CGTGTAGGGCGCGCTCTTTCAGGCACATCGTATAGTAGGATCTTCCTAACTGTGCTGTCTCCTAGGTGGTAGTAGCCCTGGAGCTGTTGCAGGCCTATTTTAGCGAATTTGAAGAGCCGGCGTATGCCCTCTTTGTGCTTGGTTCTGATCTCTGCACCTGGGAGACGTGGAGACATAGGTGGAGTGGTAAAAGGATCCATAATGGTGGAGTTGTTGATAGTTTAGTCCTAATGTGAAGAGTTTTAATTTCGAGGTTCTACAGCCTGAACGCACGGACTTTTGTCCCCATGTTCGTTATGTCCACGGAGAAGCAAAAACGAATAACAACACAACCGGATCTATGAAGCAAAATTTAAGCAAAAGAATTGTCAAAAATGTTAACTGCTGGAGACGGCTGGATTCGAATCAGCGATCCACAATTCAGTGCTACCGGAATACAGATCGATCCAGGCAGCTCAGTGCCATCCAGTTTTGGTCAACCTGTACCCAGCCGCTATCTATTGTGAGCTTTACCACTAAGCTACGTCCCCGTTTTTGATGACGAGGAAATGGTTCTTAAATTATATACGACAGGTATGATGGGGCCGGGAAGGAAAGGAGTAACTTCTTTTATTCGCTTGTAAGCGAAGGATGAGGTCTCTTACTACCACAGCTCCTGAACCGGAGGTTTAGTCTGAAGAAGAGGAGATGAAATTTTAGAACAGCTATTGTTTACATCATATCTGGAAGAAGCATAGAGGTAGGTGCTGCATGACATAGAACTTAGCACACGGGAAATAAATCCTCTCCAGCAAAGTCGATCTGAAGGACAAGATCACAAGTGTGTAGCAGTTCAACATTATTCATTTCCTCATACGTCCATCCTCTCTATGAACAATTTTTATGCTATTCATAATCGAGCATAGGCAAGTAACCTCACCACATAAAAGGGGTATCACAATGCCCGATCCCCAAACCCAATAACCAGGAGCCATTTTATGCAAGTCGCCATAGCCCATATATGCAAGCAAAAAACTTAGCAATTATAACATCATCGTACCTCCCAATAAATCGTCCCCCATAAGATGCAATAAACAGGAATAACGTCAGTGGGGAGTATCAACTCCCGGAAGTATTTTTGTGGATTTCACAACCAATGCACTGACAATCGTCACCACATGGACAATCGTCCTGTGAACCACAACAAGGCATTGGGATGTTTTGGATTTGGTTTCCGTGAATGGTGCAGCCGATACACTCGCAGTCGTCTCCGCAAGGACACTCTTGCATTGTACCACCGCAACCTTCGCCCGTGAATGGGTAGTTGACAAAAAGGAAGTTATCTGCTGACAGATTCTGGTCGTCTGCATTTCCAGATGTTGTACTTGAAGGTGTTTGAGCCGTAGGGGAAGCGACGGGATCAATATTCTGCCCTTGCGTTGCGTCATGCCCGTTGGTCCCGTCATGGATTGCTGGCTGCCCGTTACTGTACACTTCGCTCGACGCCTTTTCGATGGACATTGATGCGTAGGCAGACCGGACGTAGTCTTGCGTTGCATCATTGTAAGGATGTGCTGCACAACCAATACATTGGCAGGTGTCTCCACAGCTGCAAGTGTGTACCGTGTCCAGCGATGCGGGCATGATAGGTGTGTTAAATGGCATCTCATTCGGAGGTAGAGGAATTTCTCCTTGTGCATAATTCGATCGCATACCATCTCGCCATGCCGAGGGCTGTAATGGATTCTGCCACGATCCGTAGGATGGTGGATACGTAAAGATGGTGGGTTGAGATACGAATTGCTGATACATGACTGGATTGAAAGGTAGTCCGTTTTGTGGTAACGTCTGATGCGCAAGGTGAGGTGTGTTTTTGGCGGAAGTTCCATTTGACATTGTTTCTTCCTTGAATATCGGCTTGTCGGCTTTGGATCCACAGCACCCTCCTCCTTGAGTTTCGCGAGTTTCTGATATCGAGCTTGAACTTGAAGAATGACTATGTGTGCCTTGTTTCGGTGCACAGCAGGAGCCACCGTTCGAGATGACATTGCCATTGGGCCCACTTTTGGCTGGCTCCGTGTAGGACTGTTCGTTGGTGAACTTTCCAGAGTCACCGCTCTTAAATGTTACAGGTTTTGCCAGCGGACTCTCTATAACATGCTCCAGCCCGTTGTGATGCACACCATTGCTGTATCCATTCGTCGATGGCATATGGCCATTTGATCCATCGATACCATTGCGGTTAGGAGGTGGCTGCATTGGGACCATTCCAAATTGTGGTTGTATATTGGCATACTGTGGGGTGAAACCATATACCGGTGCGGGGTTGGCCATAGTATAGCCATTCGTGAATGTCGTTGGAACTGTTTGGGATCTTTGCTCAAATGGTTGTATGTTGACATGATTCATGTCCATCCGCTCGAGATTCGATGGATCGAAGGATTGCTTCCTGCTCGACGGAGGTCTGGAAGTCTTCTGGACCTTGAAGGACGGCTTGCTTGGAGATGGTAGATCTGATGTGCCATTCGCGGGTCGTGGAACTACTTGTGCAGCGCCCTGCGCTGGTGTACCACAATGACATGTTTGCTTCCTTGGTATGGCAGCAGTCACACTCCCACAACCACATGTCTGACCACGAGGATGGGGACATGCGCTCAACGGTCTGCCAGGCTTTCGTACAGGCACCATTAATCTTTCGTTCGCGTGTGTACATTTCGTTGATCGGTGCCCTCGTATACATGGCTCACTGTAAGTAAGCGGTTAACAAACACAGATCAAGATAGGTAGATGGGCGCCCAGCAGAGGAACACCACTTCTGCTACCATTCTGATATATATGAGGTTCATGTTGGCGCATGCGGCGGGGTCAGTATAAGAAAAGCACATACCAAGCCATCTTCAGTCCATTGATCAGAGGCATCTTTCCAGCAGTCGGCTCTTGCCGTAATGTTAGGCAGGTTGGCGGTCAATCGGTTGGATGCAGATAGACAGGCTTCACAAACGCTGAAAAGATCAAAAGCCTCGCCGTCCTTGGAGGACCTGGTCACTGCTTGCCCTCTGCCGACTTTCGACCTGGTCTGCTTGCACTCTTCCGAATTTCGACCTGCATGTACAGCCGCGACAAGACCCGGTACACTGGTGATTTGGCGACCAAACAAGGCGAATGAGAACGGCTCGAGCGTCTGGCGCTTCTCTGAGAGTTCTAGTTCCAGGATCGATCAACCAAATCGTACAGGTTGGGTTGGATTGGTGGTATTGGCAGCGTTTGGGGCCTCAGCCATAGGGTGAAGTTGGGTTTGAGTGAGTGTGAGGCATGAAGAAGAGGGGATTTGAGCTAATTATTTTGGGATGATGAGGGTCAGCATCAGATCAGTTGTCAGAAGCGGCGCACTCTTATTCACGTCGTTGAGGTGGTCCGCCGCTTCTTACCAGAGAATGACCGTGAATGCGCGCGTCCCGCTGGTTGGTGCTCTCAAGAGGAAGTTTCTTCGGGACCCCGCAATTAATCGCGGACATATATTGTCAAATGCAGCAAGAGCAGCAATGGCAGCCAGCTTTTTTCTTTTGCGGTCGGCGAGACTGGCTGGACTGGGAAGAATAATGGGATCATGGCCTGGTCAAGGTGGTGATGTTTGGTGGGGGAGAGTGAAGCATGGGAGAACATGAGCAAGTTATGGTTGGCCGAGGCCACTGGAAAGCACGTCCACTGCATCAAGTGCATGCACGACTACTGCAGCGTAGCGAGTCAAGGGGTCCCGAGCCACAGAAAATCCCCCGCCGAAGCCAAGGGGAGGACACCAAAAGGGTGCGCGCATCTGCTGGGGAGGGGAGGAAAGTCACCGCCGCCACCTACCTAATTGAGAGCGACGGCCAGCCTGACGATCCGACGCTGGAGAAGCTTATTCTATTTGCATCGTATCTACAGTACGCCGAGAGGAAGATTTGGGTGACGAGGATATAAATCTCTCCTTCGCCGCTCGCTCGATTACTCTACAACTCCGTCCTGTAACAGAGTGTTGGGTCGGGAATTTCGAAACGAGGCTGCAGGATCTCCTGGTTCCTGCACGGAAGACCAGGATGGCTTGTACTTAGTAGACCTCTTCCAGGATTGCTAATCAGTACCTAGGTAGTATTTTACCGACCTAACGGACGTTGGCTGGCTGTTGTCTCGTACGACGTGATTAAGAGCTCCCGACATCAAGTACCCTTTGAAAAGCCTGGACTCTGGAACGAAACAACCATCAACTTGGGACGAAGATCGACAAGCCAGATCTCAGCTCACGGATCTTCATCTCAATCTCTGGTTCCATCAAGAATCCATTCGGTCACTAATGGCGAGCCATCTCGAACTTCAGACCCGCACTAAAGGCATCAAAGCACCACATATCAAAGCACAACCTCGGCCGGACCAATGCATCGTCTCAAAACCTCAATGGGCGGTCACGCTCACCCATACGGTATCTGATCTCATCTCTCGCATCCCAAGGTTGACGCCTTCGAGAAGCAACAATGAGAGTTTCACTTCAAGCCCCAAAGTTTCTAGTATCCATCAAGGTTGAGACTAAAGGCTTGACACCGCCAGTCTTATGCCGAATCTCCCGAAGAGTCACACTTAGGCAAAACTCAAACCTTTCGACTGGCAAAACCTAGACGATCGACCAAACATGCCATGCCGTCTGTCTAGGATCGGATCACGTGATTCGCCCTCCTTTTCTATGACTGCTCCAGTTGACTCGGTTAGTAGCCGAGGAAGAAAGGGGTTGAAGGCAAATAGTTGTCAAAGCCGACATGATGCCAGTGGCTACGACCTTGCTACATTCTACTTCTCTCAAATTACTCCGCAAGTATGTTTTGTCATGCTGCACTCGTCGCCATCCAATACTACTAGCTATTTGATCTGAGACTCGTGCTCGCAATCAGATCGAGCGAGCTTACTTGGTTATAGTCAGAGCGACTTGGAAGTTTCCATGATTGTATCATCTCTGAGTCGATCCAGATCAGCCCACAATGTCTAGGACAAAATTCATAAGATATCTCCTTCTGTGTAACATTCACACCCACCTTTTACTTTACTCAGTATAAGAGACCCTTCTTTTATTCTTCCTGTTTGCCAATCTCCCTGCCTCTAAACAATCACGTTTTGTTTCTCGACCAACCTCCTCAACTGCAATCGCTTTCCACGAACGCACAGATGACAAAATACGACTACTTCGTCGACCCCAAAGGCATCAGCCGCAAACGTCACAAGTCCTCAGGTCGGGCCCGCCAAGAAGGCCCCTTCTCGCAACAAGAAGACTCGCAACATAGCAATTACGGATCCTCGAGACGGTCACAGGGCAGCGGAGGAATCACGCGAAGATCAGGAAGTCGACTTGAATCTCTATTCGTTGGTTCACAAGAGAAGGATATCAGTGCTGGTCGAAGAGCATCAGGAAGTCGACATGAATTTCTGTTCGCTGGTTCACCAGAAAGGGATATTGGAGCAGGGGGGAGAGCATCGGAATCTCACGTCCGCGAGTCTATGCTCGCTGCGCCGCTGCATAGGAGTGGTAGCCACGTGTCGGGATCGGGATCTCAGCGAGAGCGTGTCAGTACGCATGGTATAACCTTACCAGGTGGTAGCCAGCTGCTTCGTACTTCGCAGCGGATGCAGAGTGCAGCGGCAGTTTCGCAACAGAGAGCTTCGGAGATTGTTGCTTCTCAGATGAGAGCTTCTCAGATTAGAGACTCTCAGATTCGAGCTTCTCAAATTGCGGCTTCTCACATTAGAGCTTCTCAGATTAGAGACTCTCAGATTAGGGCCTCTTAAATGGCAGCTTCTCAGCATGCGGCTCAACGTACGGGTTCACTGGTCGCAGGTTTCTCTTCACAACAACGTCGCTCACGTCGAGAGGGAGAGTGATTTTGGGGATGTTTGATGAAGAGCGCGGAGTTGCGATATGAGAGTGTGTTGAGAGAGGAACGGAATTGCAGGGCTAGTGCTTGTAGTCATCAGGCTCTGGTCTGTCTGGCCAAGCCTGCGGGGTTTGAGAACAGGATCTGAGTGGAATGTAAGATAAGTGATGGTTCAATGGAGGTGGACTCGTCTTTGAAGAACATGAAGTACATCATAAATGAAGTATGGAAAGTGTGCTGCTTACTTTAGGACAACCGAAGAAACAGCCTGAGCTTTGTTGCACATCGAGAAATGTTGGCCAGTCATAAACATGGCGCTAATAGCTACATGCCGCACGGCAAAGGACATTCACGCACAAGAACATGCTTAGCAGAAACTCATCATTGACTGTTGCGGGTTGAGTGCTGAAAGTAAATTGTACATCTTGTCGATCAGTGTTAATCCTCATGAAAGAAAAATTCATTGCCTCTAATCCGATCTGAAACAGTTGACAGCACCCCAAGTCTTTGACAACAAAACAGCGATGTGTCAAAACATAATCCTACAAGCTTCGATCCATCCCAGCCATCAATCAACATTCCCCCTCCCAAGACTGTCACCCACAGGGTCATCCCAGAACCATTTGCATATTCTGCTCTGCTTGATGCCGTCTAATGAAGGAAGAAAAAGAAGAAGGGCGAGCCGAGTTTATATAGATCTCCGGATGCCGACGCTAAGCTGTATTAGATCTCGGACGACGGTGTTTGTTCATGAAGTGAATTGCTCTTTCTGCTATAGACGGTTTTTAGGTTGGTGAATTGGTCACAGGGTGCGAGAATGATTCACGCTGCGTGAACGATTCTCGTATTGTAAACGATTCACACAATCTGAACGATTCACGCAATGTTAATCATTCACGAAACGTAAATGTCCTCCGCATTGTGAAGGATTCACGCAAGTCCTTTTCTTCAGCTCTCCGTATAGTGTGATTCATTCAAGATGCTAGTACCCCCGAGATCTACAAATCGCCCCTCTATCAGCCACTGGAGGAGGTCATCGACAGGAAAGAAGCTTTCAAGCAGCATAACTGGTCGCGGGATTGCATGAGGCAAGAAAAGAGAAAGCTATAGATAATACGGGGAGAGGAGGGTAGTTTCGGTCTTGCCCATGCACACTATATGGTGAGCAAGAAAGAGGAAGGTGTTATTGTTGTCAACTTACATTATTTTGTTGTCAATTTATACTGTTTGTTGTCAAGCCGTCATCAACCAACTTTCACGGTCATATATGACCTTTGCGAATATTCGCAAAAGTTTGTGCAGATGTCAGATACCATTGCGAAAAACGCTACTTTGGGGATCCAGGCCCTGGGCACCCGGATGATATGGTAGTCAGAAGTCGGAGGAGTTTGAAGAGAAGAAAGACGAAAAGGGAAATATAGCCGAGTATATATAGTATGGGAGATAATGGATCGTTGGTGCTGACTTGAAAAACGATGTCATAGGGGTCATGATGAGTCGCCTGACTTTGGTGAATTGATAGCCTTGCTATCCTTTCTGGATTGGACGTGCCTTTTTCTTTTCGCGAAAATGTCTCAATGACTACTTTACGCGTCCTGTTTAACAAATGACAAAACCATGAAACCTTCCCAATGGATCTCAAACTATCCTAGGTCAATATTCCACCTGCTTCTGTATGCTTTGTCTCATTTGAAGAGTAGATGCATGTTCAATCTGAAAGAGCAAGCAACAAGGTCATTTGTGTGTGTATATGTGTGTATTTGAATGTACCATCTCTTTAGCCGGATGAGCGCAGCGCCGTTGTTGTACTGGGTGTGATTCATTTGTTACAGAGCCATAGATGGCTCACGTTTATACACTGAGATGAGTTGAGATGTTAAGATCATATGCGTAATAATACCACAGAGTTTACTTTTCTCGTACTTCAAAATGAGTACATGTGAGGCTGTTGGGCTTTCATGCGTTAAATTAAGGGGCTCTGCAGCAAGCTACAAGCAAAGAATAAAACTACTCCTGAGAAGCAAAGCAATATAAACAAAAGCACAAATACACTTGTATCACCACTGCCAAGGAGCCAATGGCCGGATTCATGGAATCCATTCGCCCCCAATGATTCACCCCACAGCCACATGGCATGACAAAATCTCGGTGACACACTACAATCACCACACGCAACAAAACTCAACGGCCAAGGGGTAAGAAAAAGCATCAAAAAGAACAAAAGAAGATCGGACGTCGAAGTTGCGACACGAACGCCTCGCCAAGAATCCAAGACGAACCCTGATCGATACCGACCCCACCGCCGGCACTCCCTTCCTTCTGAACCCCAAAGGCCACTGCAAGCATCCAGTTCCGTCTCAAGCCACAACAAGCCTTCATCCGAAACGGCATCCACACGCCCGAAACCCTGCAGCGGAGCCACCGAGAAAAAAAAGGCAACCTGAACAAAACGCAGACTCACCACATTATTCGCGAAAGCACACGAAAATCCCTTCACGTGATATCAACCCTCCCCAAACACCACAATGCCAGAATCAGACACCGAAGAAACCCTAGACCTGTTCACCGAGCCGTCAGACTACTATCCCCCGTCCCCGAAACCCACCACGCAAACACACACCTTGCTCTCGGGCCGGGTACTGAAGCTGAGACTCGTGGGCCACAATCCGTTGTGGGGACACCATCTGTGGCAAGCGGGCCGGATCGTGTCTACGTACCTAGAGCGAAATCCGGGGTTGATTGAGGGGAAGACGGTGTTGGAACTCGGGGCTGGGGCAGGGTTGCCGAGTCTGGTGTGTGCGGGGTTGGGGGCGAGACGGGTGGTGGTGACTGATTATCCGGATGTGGAGTTGGTGGAGAATTTGAGGGTTAACGTTGATGCGTTCTATGATGAGGAGGAAGGGAAGAAGAGGAAGATGGTTGTTGAGGGGTATTGTTGGGGGAATGATACGAGGGAGTTGTTGGCGCATTTACCGGCTGGGGAAGTGGGATTTGAGGTTTTGATCTTGGCGGATTTGTTGTTTAATCATTCGGAGCATGGGAAGTTGGTTGATACAGTTAGGCAGACGTTGAGGAAGGATAAGAAGGCGAAGGCGTTGGTGTTTTTTACGCCGTATAGGCCGTGGTTGTTTGAGAAGGATATGGCGTTCTTTGAGTTGGTGAAGGAGGAGGGGTTCGAGGTTGAGAAGGTGCTGGAGGAGAAGATGGACAAGGTTATGTTCGAGGAAGATAGAGGTGATGAGGAGTTGAGAAGGACGGTATTCGGATATGTGGTTAGGTGGAAATTATAGGAGGATGAGAAAATCATTTCTGAAAGTCGGAGACGCCCTCAAAGGATAACCAAGTGCGAAATGACGCTTAATCCTGATATGAGGTTAAAAAAAGGTCGGGAGATTCTCACACCAGATGGCCTGAAGCTCTTTGAGGCTCATCTTGAGATAAGAAGGAGTAGTAAGAGCATCAAAAAGTCAATTTTTTTCTTGGAATGCAAAGATCAGCGCTTATAATCATAATCCCATGCTCATTGCTATGCTCAGACACGCAACATCAATACACTCCACCTCCCACAATATCATCACTCAAGCATTGTCTTGCTTCTTCTCCAAGGCCCTCTTCTTCTCTCTTTCAGCCTCTCTTTTCTGGAATGGTTGCAAGTCCAAAGCAACAGGATTTCCCATCCATGTGGCTCTCTGCGTATGATCTCTGTATTCATCTTCATGCGCTCCCGTCTCAGGATCAACACAATTTGGGTGTATAAGCGCACTTAGAGGTCCCCGATTGATTACCAGCCATGGAATGAAAGCTCCGAATTGGGCGGGCGTGAAGAGGTTGACTTCGAACATAGCTAGTGGATGAGGGCCTATTGGTTCTTCCCAGAATCTATAGATACGAAGCTCAGGAACTAGTATAATATGTTAGCGAGGTAAAAGTAAGAAAAAGGGGGACCAGACATTCTAAGCGAATTCTCTTCCAGAGATCCTTTGCGAATTGTAGTTGGGTTGGGTTTTTGTGGAAGTAGTAAATGTGGATATCACTGGCGATATATCAGCTTCCGTCTCTTTAGGGGTCAGTAGGCTTACTTACAATCCTCCTCGGATGCCATTATCAAGAGGATCCGTGAACCTCTCGTAGCTCTTGCTTAGGACACCCGTTTGGTGGTTGAGATAACCTCAATTTCCGGTTAGCACCAGTAGTCTGAAGCACGTATATCCAGTACGAAAGAGCTGAAGGTTGACGACCGTCTAATCAGGACTAGACTACAACTTTGTGGTAGATTGAACGACATAAATGACTTCTGAAATCTGATGCCTTTACTCACTTTTGCCATCCGCAGCCTTCTCATCTGGGAGAGGAGAGGCATTCTCGTAACCTTTCAAAGGCGATTCATAGGTGTCTCTTGAGGGATCTGCCATATTTTGATAAATGTAATGTGTTTGATGATCTTTATTTTCTCGGAGAATAGTAAATCGAGGATCAGTCCTGCTTTTGTACGATATGTCGCAATTTAAAGAAATCTGATGTTTCACGAGGCTGAGATTGAATGGTGGGGTAGCTTTTAGGGGTGGGCGGCCGCTTTCCGCTGTAGATCCGCCACTGCCATAAATGGTTAAAGGGTTGACTTCACCTCCTCTTGATTCGTCAGCCTTTCTTTAACTTTTACGTTTGCATTTATCAGCGCATGTTGTGCACAAAGGCATCTCCGTCAGCCACAAAGATTGTTTTGAAATGTTTTGAAATCAACAACAAATCGGGTCGAAACCGGCCCCGGTCTTCAGATCCGAACATATGGTTCCGAACGAAGAATTGTCGAAGAGATCAACGAAGAGAGCTAGCTTGGATACGGCATCCAAGCCACTGGCCAAAAGCCCCTCCGACAAGCTACCATTCAATCAGAATTTCTCTGTCCAACGATATAGTGCGTCTATGGCAAGGATACTACCAGTCTCCAAGTTCGGCGAGTGCCCATTATCCTGTAAATGATGCACGTACTAACCGTAATTCAGATATCCTGCGTCAGCCATAAAAAGACTCCTAAAAGAAAAGCAAAATGGCTTGCACCACAAACCGCTTTGGATACACTTCTTGATGCACTTAACAACGTTTTTGTCTTCCCATAGAAGCCATGGCTAGGATCCCAGCCAGGAGAGAAAAAGTTGCCAACTGCCGGAAGCACTCTCGGACAGACACAGAGCCGAACAAAGTTCCTTATCTCGAGCCTTACGACAGCCGACTGTCTGATCTCACCGCAATATACCCCAAAGAGTACTGGAAAATGCCCAACAAGATATGGCTCTGCCCCTTGTATATCGCCGCCGGCTCTCGCAGAGTACAGGGCATGTGGAGAACTCCGTGCCAAGCGCAACCTTTGTGTGAATGTGTCCCAGTACCAATATTGGGTGAGGCTTTAAGGCATCGGTAATGTCCTTGCCGGGGAAACTTCCATATTGCGCAAGCCATTCCCTTTCAACCTTGCTGAGGATCATTTCAGGCCTGGTTTCAACCCCCAATTCTTGTTTCTTCTTCTGGAACTCAACAGTTTGAGAATTCCATGTTCTCCGGGGCTGTCTTCCTAGCACTCCTGTGCTTGATTGATTCTAGGATTGCATATGCGTAAGTGCATGCTCCTGTTGTGCCATTGCACTGTGGCCGAAGCCACGAGGAACTTGCCATCAGATATCAACTGTGCAAATCCTAGTTGGATTGATAGGCAGTGTGAGACATGAGATAAGCTTATGGGCATCAAAAACCTTCTGGCTAGGGCTACTAAATCAGAGAGCTTTGTACTATTTATGTCCCACGACTACGGGTAATTTGTAAGGTTCTTGGTAATGCGAGGCTGGGGAGGCTGCACAGTAAGGGCTCGTCATATACGACGGACACCGAGGCAAAGAATGTCCCCACTATGTGCTCGAAGTCAGAGAGCTTACCGATACTTGACGCAATGTTGCTGGACCGGCTCGCAAACGAGCAAATAAGCAATGGCCATTTTATTCTCCTCAATTAATATGCGACTCGACGATCGATATCAAGATGCAAGGGTGGTGGGAAGACCTCTTCCAGCCTTACCAATTGGAAGCTTGGCTACGAGCGTGCATTGTTTTCTCCGCAGGCTACTGGGGAGCCGCTTGGAGATGGCTTCCGGTCGTAAGGCACCTAATCAGCGTCCTCGAATCACCCAAGCGGTGCAAATCACTCACTCACACTCCTCGGCGACCCAAGTGCAAGTGCTGCCCCTCGTAATATATTTCCAAAACATGCACCGTCTCCTCGATGGCGTTTATTGGACGGCTGCCATTCGACGTTGGGTGCGCCCTACGGCCTTGCCGGCGCCTCGCTTCTTCGGGCGAGAGTAGCATGCTGCCCATCTCGCATCTCAAGCACTGCTGCGACCGACACCAAGCTTGCGAACGGGCATGCATGGAAGCTCGAGTCGAACTTGCGTCTGAGGACTTCAGACTTCATGACCAGAGGGACTTCTGGATCCGAGTCAGTCAAGGAGTGGCCCGAAAGTGCTGATACAGTAGAATACGCGGCACGCAGGCAGGCAGGGACCAATCCGCATCCCCCTTCCCCTCCCCTCCACGGAGCAAATGAGAAGCCAATCTCGCAGGGTGCTGGTAGGCGAATCACCACGACCCGAATTGAGACAGCGAAAGCGGTGTTGAGATTGGGAACTGTTGAAGACCCCACGAAACACCCCAACTTGACGAAGTACCGTAAGCCACGCAATTGTTCTTTTGGTCGATGATTCGAAGATGTCAGTCGATATCAGGACGGAGTAAGTACATTATTCCTGGATCGGCTTTGGCCATGTCACGAATTGGATCTTGGGGTCATTATTTCTTGGGGGCTTCACTCACCGAGCGGGCAGGGGAGCTCTCGCGGGGCCACCAAACGGAGACGCAGGGGCCGCCGCAGCTCTCCCTCTCCTCTCCCTCTCAGTGATCTCACAGGGCTGATGCAGTCACCCAAAGCTCTCGGTTCTAGGACCAGAGCTTCTATCTATCTCGTTTCTCCTCCACCACTAAGCCACCGATTACTCCACGCGCCGTATTCTGCGTACACGTGCGACTCGCAGTCTTCCTCGCTCTCCTTCCCTTACTCCGCCATCTTCTTGCTCAATCATTATCAGACATATGTATGTGTGCCCTTCGGCAGTTCTGAGGCTTGGCCCTCCCACGTTGAACCCCTGACGGATGCATCGACTCCAATGTCTTTCGATCGCTGCACCTCAATGCGCTAGCCAAGCAAGTATTTCGGGAGGACCGACACAGACGACCTGCTAGCGAATTCGTCAATTCTTAACCTCGACTCATCTTGAAAACATATCAACTTATCAAGACCGCGTCCGCGAAGTGCTCGCCATGCATCCTTCGTGTACTCTGTCAGGGTTGCATCTTAATGATCCTCCTTCCTTCGTTGCCTCTGCGACTCGCCTCTATCTTGCATCGATGGTCACCTTGGCGTGTCACGAGACTTGTGCTGTTGACCTCCACCTCTGAGTTGTATCAGTACAAGTACAACCACGAATTGGCATCATGTATTCCGACCGCCCTGTCGGGCGTCATCCTTCTTTACCAGAGCACCTTAGTCGATACCCCTCTATCTCGCCACAAAACCTCCCGACTGAGCTTATTCGGCGCACATCTTCAGACGACGATGGCAGATCAGCAAAGCGACCTCGAGCAAGCAAGCCCAAAGTGAAGAGCGGGTGTATTACATGCAAGGTCTTCTTCCTACCTCACTGGATACTGGATTGCCTGAAGACTAACCACTTGAATAGGCCCGTCGTGTAAAGTGTGACGAGTTGAAGCCTGCTTGGTATGTCCTGTTCGTTCTTTCATATAGCTAATATCATGCTGATAATCACAGTCTTCGCTGCCAGAAGTTCGGACGAGTATGTGATGGCTACCTCCCGGAGCCTTCGCAATCCAGGGGACTTATTCAACTGCAACCTCGCATACCTTCGGTGACCCTGTACGGTCCAAATACAGCTATACATACGACCGAGGAAGAAAGTCGATACTTCCAGACGTTCTCTGAGCATACGGCGTACGAACTTTCAGGCTACTTCGACTCAGCTTTCTGGACCCGCATTGTTCTCCAAGAGAGTCATAATGTCCCAGCAATTCGCCACGCTGTTGTTGCGTTGGGTGCACTTACCAAAAGTCTTGAGACTGCTCCGGGTCCTGGCTTGAAAGTGAATGTCATTCAAGCTACAAATGCAAGACATCATGAACACGCTGTCCTTTCTCATCTTAGAGCAATCCAAGAGCTGAATCAGTACATATCCTCCGAAAAGTCGCCACAGCTCCGCTATGCTCTCATCTCCTGTCTACTTTTTGTTTGCTTTGAGACTTTTCAAGGAAGCTACGCCTCGAGTGTCCAGCAGACATATGGAGGTCTTAAGATACTCAGGAGCTACTACATGGGCAGGCCAGGCTCTCGTCCCTGGATCCCTCGCCGCACAATACCAGAGTCATCTAGACCTAGGGGGCAACCAATTGCTGCCGCGAAAATCTTACAAACTCGAGAAGGATGTGACAACATCTCAAAGGAGAGATCAATAGTTCGACACGTGGAAGAATATCTTGAGAATGAAAACGCTCCGGACATGGCTTCGGGGGGAAAGATTGCAACATACGACACAGAGCCACACATTCTAATGTCTCCCGTGTATGCGGTCTACGATCCTCGAGCGAAACATGTTGATATTCCAGGCATGAGGACTTCTGACTTTAGGAAAGACGAACACAGCGCTCAGGATCACTACTCTAATAATCAATCTTCGAGGTCTCGCTCCGCCGAGAGCCCATCCTCCACCCAACATCTCGCAAAGCAATCGCATAGACCGCAGCTTACACTGCAACAAGCATCGTCGTCCACTGTATCTAGTGTGGTTTCAACGCCTACGCCACATACTCCGCTATCAACAGGAGCACCTAGCCCCTCTCCCTCGTCAGCTTCTTCGACACAGGTCATCTCGGCGAATCGTAAACGACCACTGGCATCTCGAAGTCCGACGCCTAACCCTCTCCATAATGACCTTACCATCGAAGAGATACTCATCCAGTCTTTTGTTAGACTCGACGGCCAGGGTCTTTTCTTCGGTATGACCCCAGGCATACCACCACTGATCTGGGATATTCATAAAGTGTGGCATCTTCCGATACCTGCTTCATTTCCTGACTTTCCTGCCGCTCAACAGTGCTGGGATTTCCTCATGGACAGAGCCCTACAATTCTACCGACGCACGCTCTTCAATCGAGCTTATGCGCCTGCAGCCAGCGATTCCCCAGAAAGAATAACAAGCCAGTACACAGAATACATCCAACAACTCTCCGCTTTTGACAAAGCCTTCAAGCCGATCTTAGACCAAGCAATAGATGCAGAAGGAACGGTAAATAATGCATCGGCGCTCGTGCTGTCATTGTACCAGAGATGTACGCGGATTATCTTGGCTACAATTCAGTCGGATTCTGAAATGCTCTATGATGCTTTCCTCCCGGAGTTTCAATACATTACACGAATCTGTTCGCGCCTAGTAGCGTGCCAAGATCCGCTTCAGCTGCCGAAGAACAGACGCTTCAGCTTCGATACGGGTATTATCCCACCTCTTCATGTGGTTGCGACTAAGTGTCGAGACCCGATCGTTCGCCGCGAAGCGATTGAGATTCTCTTCTCAAGTCCAAGGCAGGAAGGGATGTGGGATGGAGTTTTGACCGCAAGGATAGGACGATGGATAGCACAGTGCGAAGAAGAGGGTCTCCCACCTCCACCTATACCGTCAGAGAAAGAGAACGGCCAACAAAAACAAGGCTCCAGAAGCCAAGAGATGCAATCGAGTTATCCCAGTCCACCACACATGGCAGGCGAAGGCTGGGAGAACGTGAGGAGAATCTCCGAAGTGGTGATGAGTGAATATATAGGGCGGGGAATCACTGAATACGGACCCGCAGCCGAAGGTGGCAAGTTGTTGAACTCTGCTGGTATCAGAGGACAGATTGCGCCTAGGAAACAAAGCACGGCGGAAGATAAACCGCCAGAAAGACCGATGTCTAAGGACTGGATTGTGCCAGAGGAAAATCGACTCCAGTTAATGGTGGTGGATTTCCATATGCCGGATCGGTACATAAGGGTCAAGTGCCAGAGGGTACTTTTGAGCAAAGGCGGGACGAAAGTGGAGCGAGAAACAGTCATTGCATGGTGAGACTTGGATCCAACCAACTAGAAGACATTCAATACATGAGCAAAGATGGGAGAATTACATGAGGAAAATGGTGTATCAACAGGACATTCACTGTATGGCAAGAATGTGGAGTTTTGGAGTCTTGGTTGTATAGTACTATACCACTCAGCATACGACTGAGCAAGAATGACATTTTGGTCCTGAGAGAAATAACCTCGGATGATTTGCGTGAGAATGAAGATTTGTGAGTCCTTAGTGCCTACCTTGAACTAGTATATAGCTAGGAGTGTGGACCTTCAGCCCGACGTTGTGTGTACTAAATATGACATTTAAATATGAGAAGCGTTACCGACATTGAAGTAAGCATGATTTTATGTAAATTTAAACCCTTGCTTGGCTATCTGATGGATACTCTACCGCTGATGAAACTGGAAGATACTTGAAAGATTTAACAATTACTAAAAGCCTAGTCCTCAAGAAAGAACATGAAGAAGTCTTTCCATTGTACAACCCGCGAAGAATAGTTAAGTACTTTACCAGCGCTAAAGTCAGTATCTAAGGACGGACAATTGGATGTTTTGTTGTACATCGCATTGAAGAAAATTTACTTCAATGAAGTAAACAATGAAATAAAGTCCACTTAAGTTAAGTAGAGTCTACTTTATGTAAACTTCTTAAGATTTCTTACCACTAATAGAGTCAGTCTACTTGAGTAAGTAATGGAAGATTATCAAGTCTATTTAAATGAACACCTGCCTGCCTATAGACTCTTTGAGCCTTGCTTTTTTGTTTGTGGCATATCACGTTTGGCAAAGGATTTTTTGAGTGGGGTCTATTCAACTGGAGTAGACCTACTTAAATGGAGTTTAATTGAATAGACCTCTATAGGCTTTTGGAGCTTTGTTATATTATTTGTTATACATTGCAGTCAATAGAGTCTATTCAAGTATGGTCTATTTGAACCAAGCTATGTAAACTCTTGATAGAAACTGTTGTGTCTCAGGATATCAAGACGACAGAACTTCCCACCTCTTGATACATATATATCACTAGCTCATTGCCAACTGTAATAATCTAATATCACTCAAGGTAAGATCTGGCACGCAACACTCTTTTCAGTCGTCCCTAGAGCCAATATATAATTCGAGGTAATCCATCATCGAAACCACCAGTTCACAGAAGCATTAACACCCTCTGCCTCGCTCTTGACACTATGCCACCAACCCCTCGGTATAAACAGCGCATCTCCCGCCTCAACCAACCCCTCAAACCCCCCATCACCACCCCCCTCCCCCCAAACAGCCCTCTCAAGCTCTCCCCTCTCCGGACCCTCCATCATCTCATCCCCTCTCAAACTACCCTCCCCACTCCGCCCAATCCTCATCTGCACCGCCCTAAAAATCTCCATCCCAATCCTAGGCGAAAACAACCGAACCCGTTTCCTGCTCGCTAACTGAACGAAGAGGTTCGGGTTGGGGTCTTTGTGGAGAGGTGTATAGGTAGGTGGGATGCCCATCCAGAGGTTGGCGTCGTAGATATCGCCTTTTCCTGCTTCGGTGACGAGACGTGGGGTGGGGAGATCGGCTTGCAGGGCTAAGGGGAGGTCTGCGAGTTGGGCTTGCGCGATGTAGAGGGTTGGGTGGAGGGGAGGGGGGAGGGTGATGGCTGTTAGGAAGATGGCGAGGGGTGCGTTGAAGCGGTGGAAGGTGGAGTCTGGTGAGGATTTCGTTGTTTCGTTTAGGAATGAGAGTAGATTGTTGACTTCTGCTCGGGAAGTGGCTTCGTGTGGTTTCGTGGGAGGACTGTGGTATTCGTAGGGGAGAATGGTGTCGGCGAATGGTGAGAGGTATTCGAGATTTATGCCTCGTTCAGATGTGTCTGATCGACCCTCAAGAGTACTACTCTGGCCTGTGAACCATTTGTTCCCTGCTGGGAGGGAATGTTCAGAGGTGGTCCCATTGCTTATGAGCAGAGGCTTCTCCGGTCTGAAGGCATTCTTTCGAAAAGCGTCTAAGTCGATCGAGCTCAGGGATTGCGATATCTTCGGGAGGCTCGACACTCCATAGTGTCTGGCAGAAGAAGAGAAACGACGAATTATTCTCGCTGCTCTCTTGATACTCTGTACTCGTATCGTAGTGGTCATGACAGAGTGAGATGTCAATTGGAGAAGAAGGCGCCACTACGACCGGATGTAGATTGGCAACGGGACCTACCGCATTCCCTAGACCCGCTGAAGTTCCGAGCGAACTCAAAAGACGCCCGGGGGATCTAGCACACATCCTCAAGAGTAATCAAATACTGTAGTATCCTTACATGCGAATATGCACCCTGCAGCTCTTATCAAGTCCAATCAAATGCTTTCGCAATGTTTCTCTTTCTTGCGTAGTGTAAGCCCCGATTTCCCGTTTATGCATGCCTCGGTCCATCTGCTCCTCCAAATGCGGGGAGCTCGCTGGGGTGACACGAGGTATGATGTTTTCTTCGAGGATTGTGCCACAAGAGTGCTTGGACCCGAGGTCGAAACCTCCGGCCGGGTTTGCTGAACTCCTTGAGCTTCCATAGATATCCTCGGTCAGGATCCACTACAACTTGCTACTATTCTACAATACTAGCATCTCTTAGTTTCAGCATGGCTTCGTTCTTGGAGAGGCGTCCGGATGTTGTGAGCTTTCCCCCCGTGTTCATTGTTTCCTCCCGTATTCGGTCTTTGTATATGAATACTGATTGATTTGATTGCAAGATGTATGGCAGTTCTATCCGGAAAGACAATGGCTACGATGCTGGAAGTTATACCTACTATCCGGTTGCTATTCTCGGTGCTGGAGAGTCAGGTATTGCAATGGGCTGTCGATTGAAAGAGGTCCTTGGCAGTGATCAGTTCAGGATCTTCGATAGACAGTCTGGAATTGGTGGGACTTGGTGGATTAATAGATGTAAGTTCTTCGTCTCATTCAATTTGTATTTAGTGTCACAGCTTCACGCTGTAAAGTAGGAAGGTACAAAATACTGATTAACTTGTTTCCAGACCCTGGTGTTGCTTGTGATGTGTAAGTACTGTTCGATCACCACTTCCACGATAATTGTACTAACCCAGGACCCTTCTCATACAGGCCCGCCATTTTCTATTCCTTCTCATTCAGCCCAAACACAAAATGGACGACTTTCTACCCTCCTGGTCCAGAGATTGTCAAATACCTCCAAGGCGTCTGCGAAAAGTACAATATCGTGGACAAGATTCAACTCAACACAGATGTTCGAGAATGTCGATGGCTGGAATCTGAGGGGGTCTGGGAGATTACAATGGAGCATTTGATGACCGGTTTTGGAGATCTGAGCGAGTACGACCGAGCCGCCAAGGTCAGGGAGAACGGCCGCGAATCAGTATATGTCTCAGAGGAGATAGTTCGAGCAAAGGTAATTGTCAGTTGCGTCGGCGGACTTGTGGAACCGCAAATATGGCCCTCAAAAGTACCAGGCAAAGACAAGTTCCAAGGCGAGATCTTCCATTCTGCAAGATGGAAGTATGATGTGGATCTGAAGGGTAAGGATGTCATTGTGCTTGGAACTGGATGCAGCGCTGCTCAGTTTGTCCCTCGTCTTACCACGGAATATGGAGCCAAATCAGTAACTCAACTGATGCGTTCTCCTCCCTGGGTTGTTCCCAAAACGATACCTCCACTCGGCAACGAAGGTTGGGAGAAATGGTCTCCTTTCCTCAACACTTACATTCCCGGCTTCAACAAGACGATTCGACTCCTGATCGCTGCAGGTGCAGAATATGACTGGAGATTATTCGGGTCAGAAGATTACCACGAGAAGGAGCGCCAGAAACTTGAGAAGCGACTTCTGGCTAGGATGAAGTCACTCGTTCCACCAAAATATCATGAGATTCTCACTCCGGATTATGGTGTTGGTTGTAAACGACGAATTTTCGACAGCAAATGGTTCGAGTCAATGAACGATCCTGCTATCGAGTTGACAACTTTACCACTTACTAGCATTGGTGAAAACACTGTCACCTTGGGACCAGGAAGGACATTTCCAAATCCGGCTGATACCAAGAGCTCAGCCCCTAGCCACGAAGTCACCATTCCCGCGGATGTCATAATCCTCGCCAATGGATTTCAAACAACACAATGGCTACATCCCCTTGATATCACAGGACGTGGAGGAAAGAAGCTCCACGATGTCTTCGCCGAGAGAGGCGGACCACAAATGTACATGGGGACAGCACTCGACGGTTTCCCCAACTTCTTTGCAATCTTCGGTCCAAACACTGCTACAGGGCACTCGTCCGTGATCATGGCGTCAGAGAACATGATTAATCTAAGCTTGAAGTTCATTCGGCCGATTCTCAAGGGCGACGTTGCATTAGCTGAGATCAAGAAAGAAGCAGAGTTGGAATGGGCGAGAGATACTCAGGCCGCGTTGAAGAAACGAGTTTGGAATACGGGCGGATGTGTTAATTGGTATCAGAATGAAGTGGGATGGAACTCAACTACTTACCCGTCCGTATATGATTGTTTTCTCCGATATCTTGTGCTGACGCTGCATAGGTACACGCAGATCTGGTTTGCGTTTCGATGTATGTTCCCGACTTGGAGTGATTGGGATATAAGATACACAACTAAAGGTCGGGCTAAACGGAATACAATGCGTGTGGTCAGTATCTTGGCTTTAGTAGCTGCCATATCTGGTATTTTGAGGTTGAGACAAGCTGCTCAGGGTAGAGGTGTCAGCGGGTTGGTAGCAGATGTTTCTCGAGGACTTCTTTTGCGAGGTTCTTCTTGGCTTCAGAGTGCCAGTAGCAAGGTATAGAGAAAGAATCACTTGTGTTGGAGCTCGATAGAGTTTGATGTCTTTACCATTAAATCGTTACTTAATTCAACCTTTCTCACTTCCCTCCCTCTTTCTCCGCAACTCCCCTAGCCTCATACTCCTTCCAGACCTTCCAAATCTCATCACTGACCTCGATCAAACATTTCCCCTGGTCAATAACTACCTTCCTCTCGCCCTTCACAGTCCCAGGAGGTACTCTATAGATGTGATCTAATGCCTCACTGACTAAGAATCGTCGCTCATCAGCAAGGATGACCTCTTGGTAATAATCTTGCTTCCATTTTGGCATTGGAGCTGGGTTGTCGAGGATGGATTGAGGGGGCATTCCTGCTGCTCCGTCGTATGTTGAGATATCAACTGAGGGTGTTGACGCTGTGTTAGATGGGATGAGAGGGCCATGAATCTGTGGAGCAAAAAATTGTGTTAGTCTTGTGTATGAAAGATGGAGTTGGCCAGTAGTCATGCAGAGAGAGAGAGGGATTTGTTCCTGCTGTGATATTCGAAGCTATGGTGCTTGAAAGAGTTATATATGGATGGCAACAGACTGTCTAGTTACGATAGAGTTTTTGGCTGTAAAAAAGTCATGACAAAGGCCTCGAAAAAAGGGAGAGCGGATCATATACCTGTTCATAATGCTGAGCTCCGGAATGCAAGAAGAAGGGGACCACTATTGGAGCATGCTTGTGGAGCCAATGATGGTAGAATTCCTCAGGTGTTAGAGATGGGTTGCGCCTCAAAAGTCCTTGATCCATAGTACTGATATCCATGATGACTTTTCAGAGTATTGAAGCAGAGTGATGAATGATATTCAGAAGTTGAAATCTTGACAAGTGGATAAGTTTCCCTCTTTGAAGCAAACGAGTGTCTTTGTTATACTTATAGTACTGAGTTTGCCCAATTGTCAAAGGACAGATCATGCATGCTTGCTTACTCACAAATGACATGACTCAACGCCAAGACGGAAGTAAAAATGTCAGAAATAGTAGCGCTGAATGTGCCATGGGAACACCTTTACTATCAGCTTGAGAAGTATACTTCTATTGGAGATGTTCAACCAGCTGAACTGACACTTCCACGTGCTTCAGTATATGGAGCATACTGTGAGCTCATGTACTGTGATGACATTCAACAGGATCCCCTTTCACACCCTCATAAAGACAACAGAATTCCAAGCTATGCAGAAACCAACTGTCTGCAGCTTGCACCAGAGGATGTTTGTATGTTTAAGCAGCATAAGGAGTGTCGAAGCATTCAGATCTCAACACTTGATAAAACTTGACAATTCTGCTGCTTGACAATTTGACTCACAAATATGTAAAGACTGTGAGGGGAACTAACAGACGTGGGAAGAGGCCGGGTAAATGTTTCCTTTTGTTATAATGAACGACTCTGAAAGCCTAAAGACCTCCTAAGGCGAGCAGGGTTTAAGGGGGCTGGTATGGTCACGTGCCAGCTACCCCTCGCCTCCAAAACGGGCTAGTGGAAACTAAAAACCCAGCCTCATCAACACATCTCACCAATCAACGATCGTTATCGGAACGGAAATACAATTCAGCGATGGATTCCGACCGCACCGACCGCAAAGGGGAAGGCTCGAAGGAAGGCACGTCCTCCAAAGAACTCACCCCACGAGGCCGACATACTCTTCGTCAACCCAAGTCCAAACTCAAGGTTCCACGAAAGAAACACCGCACCATGTCTACCTCTTCGGGCACCCCCGAGTCGTGGATCTCATCCTTCTGCTCTCTCCTTGGTCATGAGTACTTCGCGGAGATCTCTGAGGACTTTATCGAGGATGACTTCAACCTGACCGGGCTCCAAGGTCAAGTCTCCATGTACAAGGAGGCACTGGAGGTAAGTGCGCGTCAGCGCGCAAGATCTACCGCGCAAGCATACACGTTTACTAACAGATATACAAGATGATCCTCGATGTCGAGCCTGAAGAAGATGAAGACGAGGAGGAAGATGAGGAGGAGGAGGATGGTGACGATTCTGTCGAAGGGGAGGAGCGCGCAAGCCGCAGAGGTGCTGTAGATCGACGACACCACCGCATGGCCTCCGATCTCTCGATTATCGAATCCTCCGCCGAAATGCTCTATGGTCTTATCCATCAACGCTTCATCTGCTCTCGCGTCGGAATCCAACAAATGTCTGAGAAGTACGAAGCTGGTCATTTTGGCGTCTGCCCCCGATACTACTGCAACGGCGTTCGCTCTCTACCTGTTGGCCTCTCTGACGTCCCTGGCGAAGACACTGTCAAGCTTTACTGCCCCGCCTGCATGGATGTCTACGTTCCACCCAACTCGCGCTTCCAAACCGTTGATGGTGCTTTCTTCGGCCGCACATTCGGCGCTCTCTTCCTCCTTACCTTCCCCGACTACGATCTCGCCAAGAAGGGTCATGAGACTATCCGAAATCCCGATTTTCCCAGTCCTAGACCTGTCCAATTGAACGCCCCTGACGGGGAAGAGAAGGAGAACATTAACGGCATGAACGCATCCAACCTTGCTCCCGGTCTCGGCAAAGGCAGCATGTACGAGCCTAAGATCTACGGATTCAAGGTCTCTGAGCGTGCACGCAGTGGTCCAAGAATGGGTTGGTTGAGAGATAAGCCCTCCGATGTCAACGAATTGGACGAAGCTCGCCGATGGGCTGCCGAACATCCTGATACCAGTGACGAAGAGGGTGCTTCCACGAATGCCCGCCCACCTCGCCCTCCCCGACGTATCCGACGACCTAATAACGGAAGTCCAATGTCGGTCGAGGCTAACGGTCAAGGACTCTGAGTTTCAGCTGCTTTCAAAAATTGACATTGCGGGCGTTTCTAAGGCTGGGATAACAAGGAGCGCGTTTAGAACTGGACTCATGTTGTTTATGGAAGCGATTGCATATGGGTGGACACGCGTGGAATACCTACTTCTTGATGATGCTTGCACGATAATTGAGAGCTCGACAGTAACCTTTGCTATGGTTAGTTGAGCTTACGGAAATGATACCAAAATGCTTTGCGAGAACCATTTGCTCACCTTTGCACCGTGGATGTTTCATTGACCCTTTGACATGCCTCGCCTTTAAACGCGTTCAAGTGAACGGTCTGTTCGTTTCGAATGCAGCATCTTTCTTTTGTTCAAGTACGTGTATTTTATCCAAACCTGCTGGTCATTCTCCCAAGTGGAGGCAAGAAAATATACTACAAAGAATCTCAACGCAACAAAGATCTAACCTTGTCCAAACAATGACTTTGTCCTCGACTCAAAAAGTCTCATACAACATCACTACAAAACAGCTAAAACACTACTTTCTCCACACCTATATTTTCGCCTCCTCCTCTACCCTCATATCTTCTCTCCATCTTCCTCGACACTTTCAACCTTCTTCAACACTCTTCAACAGCACTTCACTCATAAAACAAACCAAAATGTGTGTCTTGACCAGAACCACCTACCTCGAATGCAAGCACGTCGAGCGCCAAGTCTTCACCTGCTATGCGCTTCCAGATCACATGGCAGATAGACCATATGCGTGTAGGAGATACGTGAAGAAGCTAGAGGAGAAGAAGGGGTTGTGTCCTGACTGTACGCGCTATGGGCGTAAGGAGTGAGGTTAAGGTAAGTAAAGTCTGTAAATGAGAAAGAAAGATTTCCACTCCCAATATTTTGTATTAAGATTTGTCTGATTTGTGAACTGGTCTGCGCGGTGCTATGTAGTGCATTGTTAAATTATATGCATTCACTCTATCAAAGACTCAACGTCAAGAGCAGTGAGTGAATCAAAGACTCCAAAAGATACCCGTACGCGACCTCATTTCCAACTTACCGAGCCAAGCTTTTGTAACCCCCAAAAGTCAAAACTTAGAACCATCGACCGAAATCGATGGTTCTTCCAAACCAGCAGCTAGTGCTAGTTTTAAAGAGGCTATAAGTCCATCTGGAAATCTGTCAACTGAGCTAACAGTATATTAGATAACCTTGGGTTTTCCGGACTACATAGTAAGGGTTCTGCTTATTTAACTTTATATACAACGAAGGGGTTTGGGGATAGGATGGGGTTAGCGTGAGGGAGACGCTAGCGAAGATAAGGTGGTGAGGCTCGGAGGCAGTCAGACGCCAGTGGGATATAGGTATACATAGGTACGTATTTTTTTCTTATAAGTAGAATTTTACGTTGTCAGGAGAACATGGTTTATCGTTAAGGATTATTTGTTTTTATTTCTGATACAGTATTCATTGCTACAGCCTGTTGGATGCTCTTCGTTGAAATGCAATATTCGAATAATGCACGAAACCGACTTATCAAGCATATGAATATGTCAGGAACACAACTCTCTTCAAGCTAAATTGACTCAAAAAGGTATGCTCCTCCTCAGCCCTCGAGACACAATACTTGTTCGGACGAGACACAATTCACTTTTCGCTGATGTCTCCCTGGGAGCCGGAACATAGAGAATCTTTAATAATGGCTGACATCTACTCACAAATCCTCCCGAACCATACAACCCTCACTTTTCGCTGATATCTTTTTGCTATATTTCTTTTCTTTTCTTTTTTTTTTCCCTTGGCAATATTTACTTGCAATTCTAAAGTAAAGCCTTAACAACGGCAGACATCTTCTCACAAATTCTAAACGCTCTCGAAAATAAGTTTACAAAGAGTATCGCCCGGCTCCAAGTTCCGGGCTCCTAGTACCGGGCTCCACTTCCACATACATTCGGACGTCTTCTGAATAAGGACAATATGGTTTTGACATCAGAGGTAACCGACATCTACTCACAAGTCCTCCTAGACGAGACACCGCTCACTTTTCGCCGATGTTTCAATACAATACGAGTTTGGCCGTACCCGGCAACAAGTCTGGATTTTGTTAATATAAAGCAATAAAAAAGTAAATCTAGTCTTCGAGTAACAAATGATACTTTAACTTCGAGACCTCGAGACCTTCTTGCCTCTTTTATTTACATAAACTTCGTAAAAATAAAAAAATAAAAATCTCAGCCTTAATCAAATTCACTCTCACTGTCCCCAGATTCACTCTTCTCCACCCCGCAAACCCAGGCAAACAAACAACCCCTCCATCGGCCCTCGGAGGTATAAAACCCCGCTCCGTCTACCCTTCGTCCAACCAACACAACAAAGCATCCAGATCTTCAGAGCACATTTGTGGCAAAAGATCCACGAAAGAATATTGTGAGGGGCGTTGTGCAAATGATCTTAGCTGTTATTTATCTTGCTGTTGTCAACTCTTTGTCCACCGTCTCAAAGTCTATTTCCTCCCTTTGTCGGAACTTTTTTCCTCTCAAGTGTTTCGTTGCAATTCGGAAAGTAAAGCCTTGACAACGGCAGACGTCTCCTCACGGATTCTCAACGCCCTCGACGACAAATCTACAAGAATGTCGCCGGCTCCAAGTTCCGGGCTTCAGGTTCCACATGCGCTGGGAGCTCTTTTGAAGGAAAAGAATATGGTTTGACATCAGGGGTTGGGTTCGTTTATATACTCCATCGCTTGCCACCAATCAACGCACATCGTACGATGTCTTGTATTCACGCTCAAAAACAGCGTCATCTTTATACCTTCGTGCCTCAGATACCGCTCATACGGATTCAATACTTCTTCAGACTTCACCTCTTCATACTTACCTTCGTACCTCCGATATCGCTCATACGGATTCACTACTTCCTCGGACTTCACCTCTTGAGAGTTGAAGTGGAAAGCCCCAAGAATCCAACATCTCACAAGTATATAAACCCAGACATGAACCTAACGCTTTTAGGAAATTAGGAAAAGCGAGGAAGGGAAGGTTCAGGTTGTTATCGGGTGTGGACCACCAGTCTTCAAACACAAAGGCATGTACCTGTAATCTAGATAGATTAGGATTTAGATGAGAATGTGGGGTGGGTGAGAAGGGATAGGAAGTAAAAGAAGAGGAAAATTCCGCAAAGCTTGACAACAATAAACAAACGTTAACAATAAATAAAATATGACAACAGGTTCTCATCTCTCCAGCGACAATATGTTCCTTACAAAACCCGAAGAAAAGGCGAGAATGACTGGGCAAGAACATCAGTAATTGTGGATAAAGAGTAGCAACCCAAACAAGTATGATTGAAAGACGGGTTTCTTGTCAGACTTCGTGGGCATTATATGTGCTCTTCCACAAATAGATATCTGGATAGGAAAGCGGTCAGTGAATGAATGCCTTCGAGTTAATAGTTTGACGCACGTGCCCAACTCTTTCCACTTCTCATCATTGTGAGGTCTATGTCAGACCCTCTCTTTCACAAGCAACTTAGCTGACAGTGACCCTTGATGTATTTCATTTCATTAGAAAGGCGGGAGTCAGCTTCGCTTTATGTCAATGGGCAAACACAAGAAAATGATAACCAAGACTACGTGGACTGAGCTTTGACATTTGAGGTTGATATACGACTTCCGAACGATACTTTCATACCCAAACCCATAAATAACAGAACACAACAGACAAGTACCACCTTCCCTAATCACGCAAAGCCTCCCTCAATCTATCAATCCGCTCAAAAACATCCACCTACCCACCAAGATTCCGTTCCGAATCCTCCCTATGCATAGCAAAAACCGCCTCAGCCAACACTTGCAGAGCAACTACCCTCTCTCTTCTAACATCTCTAAATTCTTGAGAAATCAAGAAAATTGAGTCGTCTCGATGCAGTGTTGCCTCGCATCTTCGTTTCCGGCTTCTGGTTTGAGGATGACAGGTGGAACATGGTGTGGTTCTGTTGAGAGTTGGCCCTCGGGGATTCTGGCAGGTTTCTTTGTGCTTTACTTCGAAGCAGGGGTAGTGGATGTAGATCTCCTCCTTGCCGCAGCATTGGAATGTGTGGATGGTGCGCAAACACATTGGAAGAGAGAGATATGTATAATTCTTTGGGTGATCCTGGTTGAAAACTCAGAACGAGATGAGCTATCCCGACCTGCTCGATTCTAGGGACAAAGAAAGTCGAGGGGTGAGAAAACCTCCCTTTATCAATAATGAGTTGAGATTTCCTTCAATCGGGTAGGAAGGAGCTTATGAGCAACCGCAGCAGCTAAGTCTAATTTGCACGGTAAGAGCAGTGGCAAGAAAACATGAGAAAGTGGGGACGAGTAGAGCTACAACTTTGTAGCTCCGCTGTACTGGCCAATGAGGACAGATAAAGAAACGTTGGGACAAGGAAACATAGATCTCGAGCGTCCACGACGACTCTTCATCGTGACTTTCTTTGTTGTTGAAATACTGCGATAGAACTGATACTAGTCAACCAGAACGATGCCTACCCTGTCTGAAGCTAAAATGCCACGCCCAAGTCTATATGATGCATAAATACAATGCTCTACATTCCCATGATCCGCTTATGCCTCTTGATGGTCAACAATGATGTCGTGATCTTGACAGACATCCTCGTGTCTAAAATGTATTGCTCCCATTTCTGGGTCTTCTCAAGCCACTCCTCGCATTCGACTACTTTGGCCTTGGGGTCTGCACCCTCAAGGTCTTTCTCATTCCAAGCAAGGCATGCCATCTCGTAGTGCGCGCTGGGGCAAGTCCAATCATCTTTGAGATGACCTTTGAACTCATTTCTGGAATGTGTTAGTACGAGGGATATAGCACCTCTCTAGAAAAGCTGACCTATCATGCTTCAGGACCTCTGCTTTCAAGACTTCTCTGGCTTCGTCGTATTTACCCATATTCTTCAATGAAGCTGCTCTAAGTACTGCTTGGATGGCAGTCTCGTCTAGATCACCTTGCAGTTTCTCCGGATGGCTTGTCCTCTCCCACTGCAGGATGTCGAGTGATTTCTGCAATTGTGCTGTACCTTGCTTCTTTGGGCCGCCCCAGAAATAGACCATTTCAGCTAATGGACTCACTCCAATGGCATCAGCAAGATCGACCTCCCAGGCCTTTGCTCTTTCTTCCCACTTCTGGACCTTTCGAGTAATATAGACATCGAATGGGAGTTGTTTCGACATAACCTTCTGTCTTCCTGCCATTGGAGGTCCTTTTCTGAAGTATTCGGTGGCTTTCTCCTTATATACGCCAGCGGCTTTGGGATCACTCAACCTCAAATTTCTATACAATTCCAGGTAGGCCCCTCCCGTCATGTAAGCATATAATGTTGGAGACCAAGCTGAGAGCTCGGAGCATTGGATCCAACTCTTGGCACACAGCTCATATTCGTGTAGGAACATTGAAGACAGCGACATCTCGAACATATTGATAGTAGCTATCTGCTTCATGCTGCTGTCAGAGTTCTCGGCAAGGATCTTGACCGCAGCTTCAAGATTTCGATTGTACGCATGCATACGTGCTTCTTCCATCTTCCACAGTTTCGATTCGGGATATCTCCTGCGCATATCGGCAAGCAAGACATTACATTTCGCTCGAGGATAGGCTGAAAGATCGTCTGCGGCTCCAGCATCGGTAGGCAGAATATCACAGAATCCAACCAGACCATTGTAGTAGCCGAGAAGGGTAATACCAGCTATGGCGCTGTTGAAGTTATTGAAGCGAGCTGCCTGCCATAAATATCTTGTACCACGCTCTCTGTCTCCCTTGAACCCCACGATGTATAGGATTTTGCTGAACAATGGATTCTCGATCATGGAGAAGACCACTAGAAGGATCCCATAACAGAGTCTGGTTCCAGAGTGTATGAATATGTCTGTGTGATTAGTGATACCAACAGAAGCAGGATCGATATCGAGTAGTTTTGACTCAACCCTAGTAGCAGGGATCGAGGAACTTGGATCAGGCAAGACGTGAAGGTCCGGTTCTGTAGCATTACTGTGCATACTGGGAGCACGAAGACTTGCTTTCTCATCACCGGCACCCAGCTCAGGTTTTTCTCCAATTGAAGTCCCATGGCTGCTGGCTGGTGGCGTATTTACCGCCAAGTGATTTGTCAGATGACCAGAAGTTCTAAGACCAGGAGAGGCGGCTTGTTGTTTCAGATAGTTCGCCTCAATTTCCATGATACCATCTAACGTGAGATAGGATTTACGGAGTTTATAGAAGGCCTTCACAGCTTCCGTGACTGACCCACTCAAGACAGCACAAATGGCACTGGTCAATTGGGAAACTATGAAGTCTTGGTAAGCAGATATACGACCTGATGATTGGGGGCTCATACTTGCAAAGCAAAGAAGATACTCTGTTCCAGGTGGGTAGATGTGAGACTGAAAGGCCGTAGGTTCTCTCTGTGCCTTCTTCATATCCTCCCAGGTCTTCGTCTCAGCAACTTGCAGAGTGGCGGCGGCATCTTTCAAAAGCTCCTTCTCCACACCCAGCATCGAGGCAATGAAACTCGAGATCCCTCGTCCTAAGTGGTGGTAGGATGAGTCCTGTTGCTTCAGAATCCTATCGGCTTCAGCAATATCATCATTGAGAAGCCGCAAAAGTGCCTCTTCAACCTGATGTAGGTGTTGGTCTTCCTCCTCTGCTATCATAGACGGAGCATTGGACTTTGCCACCCCACGGAACCAACGACTCATCTTGACGGCCTTATCCTGAAATTGATTTTAACTTTAGAGTCCGGAGACCCCGGCTTACTTCGAACACCGTTTCATGCAAATTGTGGTTTTCGAGAAGGTTCAAGCCGAAAAGTCAGATTGGAAAGAGCAAGGTGAATAGAGAAAGGATAAGTCTAAATATTTCGGAAGGCGTAGACTGCAGAAGGAGTCGTTGGGAGACCGGAGATAGTAAGGAAGGCCGGCCCGTGACACTCGACGACGTGATTGCGGGGCACAAGACAGGAATTGAAGGTCTATATAAATGGCAGAAAGAGCAAAAAGCAACGGCCGCCCTATCTCTATCGAGTGTAATGTAATCTACGGAAAAGCAAGGGGTAACGAGATAAAGTAAAAGCAAAAAAAAAATCAATTGGAGAATGAAAGGTTGGGGAGGAAGGGTCCCAGCACTCAGCCTCAGACGGCGTTTGCGTTTGGCGTCCGTTGCTGACTGGCATTTGATTCGCTTGCCGCCTTGCGAAGCACGACTCAAAGCTTTGAAGCTTTCACCTGCAGCAACGGAATCCGAGAGTAACCAAACGAATACGATTTCCAAGCTCCGCCACTATCTCGACTCACGTCTTCTGTTCTCGCATCAGTAGACTACCTCCCTTTCTACTCTACCTGTAGTCGCGTTCCTGCATAACATATCTCGTTCTCGCAAAGATGTCCGCAGCACCAGCAGCTGGCGCCGCGCTAACGACGAAAGCTACCACTACAGACAAGAGTGCCGAGTCAACGAAGGACGCAAAGCCAGCAGCTGCTCTGGAGGAGGATGACGAGTTCGAGGACTTCCCGGTAGAGAGTATGGTGCCCCTAAGACGCCCGGTTCAAGCAGATATCGGGCGAGAAAACGGAGCCCTTGCTAATGGTCGTGTGATTGCAGACTGGACACAAGAAGAGGCTGAGGTACCAGGAGATAACACACATCTGTGGGAGGAGAGCTGGGACGATGATGACACGAACGAAGACTTTTCGGCGCAACTGAAGTGAGTAATCAGCCCTCAATGCCAAAAGACTCATGCTAATCGTTGCATCGCAGGGAGGAGCTTAAGAAGGTTGAGGCGGGCAAGAAACGTTGACGAAGCACATGTGCACGATCATAAATGGAGTTCCGGGGCTACATTGGAATCAACTATAAAAGGGTAGCATACAATGGACATCACTGGCATTCGATGTTTTGACCAAAATCATTCTTCATTGGCACTTTTCCTCATGAGCTATGTACGGCGTGCATCATCAACTTCATTATAGGCTAGACTTGCTGGGACGGCCTTGACAGATCAGAGTCTGGAGCCACTTCATCTGCCAACGCTTACTTACTCGACAGAGCAGTGACACCAGGGAGCTCCTTTCCTTCGAGCAACTCGAGAGATGCTCCACCACCTGTTGAGACGTGGCTGAGCTTGTCCTCAACCCCATACTTGGCAGCAACGGTAGCAGTGTCTCCACCACCAATGATGACGATCTTGCCATTTTGTGCGGCATCGACCGCAGCATCGAGAGTGGCCTTTGTGCCTTTAGCGAAAGCATCAAACTCGAATACACCTGGAGGACCGTTCCAGAGGATAGTCTTAGCCTTGCTGATGGCATCCTTGTAGAGCTCAATACTCTTGGGACCGCAGTCAAGTCCCATCCATCCGTCTGGAATGCCTTCGGCATCGGTAGCAGTGCCGGTCTTAGCGTCCTTGTCGAACTTGTCTGCGGTGATATAATCAACTGGAAGGACAAGCTCAACGTTGTTCTTCTTAGCCTTCTCAACAAGATCACCAACAGTCTTGCTGCCGGCCTCATCGAACAAACTGTTTCCAATCTTTACGTTCTCCAGAGTCTTCTTGAATGTGAATGCCATGCCACCGCAGATGATGAGGCTGTTGACCTTGCCGAGGAGGTTGTCGATCAGTTGGATCTTGTCAGAGACCTTGGCTCCACCAAGAATAGCCAAGAAAGGGCGTTGAGGGTTCTCTAGAGCCTTTGCGAAGTACTCTAATTCCTTCTTCATAAGGAAACCAGAAGCCTTTTGCGGCAGATCAACACCGACCATAGAGCTGTGAGCTCGGTGTGCAGTTCCGAAAGCATCATCTTGTAGCATAATTAGCTATACCTTGTAGAAGTGGCCCGTCTGAAAACTTACTGATATAAATATCACCCAATGCAGTCAAACCCTTTCTGAACTCCTCAACCTTGGCCTTGTCTGCCTTGACCTTCTTTCCATCAGCATCCTTAGAGCTGCCTTCCTCCTCAGCGTGGAAACGCAAGTTCTCCAGAAGGATAACTTGTCCGCCACTAGCCTTGTTGACAATAGCCTCAACCTCTGGGCCAACGCAGTCTGGTGCCATCTCAACACTCTTTCCGAGGAGCTTCTCTAGCTCTGGGAGAACAGGCTTCAAAGAGTACTTGGCAGAGACCTTTCCATCTGGTCGACCGAGATGCGACATGAGGATAACGGCCTTCGCACCATGATCAATCGCATATTTGATTGTTGGGACGGCTCCAGCAATACGTTGAGGGTTCGTAACTTTCTTATCAGCATCGAGAGGGACGTTGAAATCGACCTGCAAAGTTCATATCTATCGTCAGTCTCATATTCTTCGGCGCGTTTTCAGTGTTTGTGATGGACAAGCTCACTCTGATCAAGACCCGCTTTCCCTTGAGGTCAACATCTGTGATTGACAGCTTATTGGAAAGAGACATGTTGGCAATTGGTGATTTCTGTTGATTTTGCAAAAGTTTTTCGGGGTTCTGAGGGATTTTGTAGATGGTTCAATGGGTGATGGCAGAGTGCAGCAAAAGAAAAGCGTTAAATGCCCCTCCAAGCTTTTGGTGGGGTGTCCGACGTGTTGCCGATCATTCAGCGAAACATGCCACCACCAAAGTGAGAAGACACCAACCACGACATATACTACAGAATTGTGGTTTACATCTCATGATATTTATAATGCATAAAATGATCTGTCCGAAGCTCCGAAAAAGGCCCATTTGATCAGGAAAGAAATCCATACATGAACATTCTGCTCCTTAACTCCTAGTCCTCCAGTCATGAACACAGGGAATCTAATGTCCCTCTCATAAGTCATATGCAGTTTGGCGCTCCTGACCCAGGTATGTAGTTGAACGCCAAGTTCCCAATGCAACCATTATCGATCCTCTAATCCCTTACCAACCTGAACCAAATCAATCAATCAAAGCAATCGAATGTTGGGCGATTGAGGTGCTGACCGAGCTTCTCCTTCTTCTGCGGCATTTGATAGAGACAAGTATGCTGTCCAAGCGATACCAACGGATGATACAAATGGCTGTATTTGATTAACTGAAAGGACAACATCTATTCAAGAGCTAGAAAACTTACCAATTGGAACTGAATAGGCATCAAGCGGAAGTTGATGATCTGTACCAGAGGCCAAACCATGAAATTCGCTTTCAGAGTTGGAATATACATATCTCGCAACTTGTGGGTGACAGCTCGTCGTCCGCCTCCTTCAGCGATGGTCATGATAGTGAAGAAGCAAGCAATACCTAATTCGCATTAGCCACACGGCAGACTGCAGTTAAGTGCAGAAGAATATACCGAAGGGCGCAAAGATTAACTGATCCATGGCAACCATCTTCAAAGCAGGTCCGAGGCCACTTGTCTTTGTAGTAGGGAATGCCTTCGACAAGAACTTGAACCATGTGAACTGGACTGGTGCCATCCCAAAACCATATGCCATAAATCGTGTCAATCTCTCGAAGTCAAATGGAGGAGGCAATGCTTTCGAATCTGGTATCAGGTCCCGGTCAAGCAGCGGGTTGCTTTTGTCGAGCTCGTGGATCTCAATCGCCATTGTATCATCCTTATTGATTCCTCCTGGTTTCCTCAGCGCAGCTAGGCGAATAGCTGTTATAGACTGTGCCACTGTATCTGCCACTCCACCCAGTACTGCGTTCGTGATCATCATAGTGAGGACTGTGTAACAGTCAGAATCAACTCATGTCGGACATCGTGAAGATGCAGCTTTCGGAAAGGGAGGTAAACGCACTTGGTCGGTCATTGTAGTAACTGTTGAATTTGGCTGCTAGCCTCGACAGGATCGCCATTTCGATCAGGAAAATGATGGTGTGCACCAGTGGCTGTTCGTAGGAATGAAGCATATCAGCACCTGTGTCGGTGGAAATTGGAACGAAGTTCCACGAACGTCATCGAAGAAAACGCAAGGACCGACTCACAACTCTTCCATAAATGTACTTGCTATTAACCGAACGCATGAGTTTGCGTCGCTCGACCTCGAAGAATACCATTGTGACTGGTGCTCCAGGTAATTGAGGCAGAGTGTGATCGGTATTGTGAAGACGTCAGAGGCAACGATCGCAGATCAGTTCTCGTCGGACCGGGATTGGAATCTTGTTATCTAGTTCCACCGAACTCGTCCTTCACAGCAATTTAGAGAGTGTATAGTTCGTCGTTAGGATATGCAAAAAGAGGAGGTAAGAAATAGAGGACGTTGGCCTCTCTGTCTTGAGGGCTGAGCGGCTCTTCAGGCAAAGCTGCGACCGTTCCAAAATGCCGCTTTAGTGCAATAATGGCTGGACTAGGGTGCGTGTACAACGTCGATCCAGAATCCTTCTCCGAAGTTGTGGCGCAGTGCTACGGATTTGCTGAGTGAGTTATCCTTCTACTGATTCCGAATTTTCACATACTTCTCACAACATGTTAATAAGCTCTTGAATGCCCATATTTGTGGATTTTGATGTCCAGATCTGTTTCGGGGATTCACAGCAAGGACCCCGTATAGGGGCAGCTGACTCGGTCGTGTTTCGTTTCACAATTGTTGCGAGTTCACTGTCACCAACAAGCTTACTTAGCAAGGCACAAATATTATTACTTTGGATGGAATACTCATGCTCTCTAGAGGAGTTTGCCTTCGATTCAAACAATTCTTGATTGTCTGGACTCGGGTCTCGACTTTCCATCTTCAGATGTTCTGAACTGAAGACGGACACTCAGCCAGGAGGCTTTTGTGTCTGAAAGCAACAAAGTTAATCTTCCAGCATGGCATGCAACCCTATGCAATACCTTTCACATCCTCCCACTTCTCTCGACCGAAATGAAGCAGGTTCGATTTAAGCGAGGAGAAAAGGGGTAGGATTCACTGGAGCAAAGCATTTGATGAGTGATTCGTAGCTTTAGTGACTCTCAGAGATCCAAATGTTCGTCACATATTAGTTCTCGTAAATTAGATCCACGCAATCATAGTATTATCATCTCTACGTACAGTAATAATTAGGATATAGTTCCAGAGTTTGTGGGACAATATAAGAGAGCTAAGTCCCAAACTTGGATTAAGATTTGAGAACAACCTAAAGTCCCATCTATCTCGAAGGATCTGCTTTTGTTCTCAAGGAGTTCACTTCATACGATCTTGGATACCGTTAAAAATCTTGTATACTAATTTTGGCATTACAACTTGATCTGATCTCGTGTACTCCTCAAACCATCACTTAAACAAGTTCACAGATTTCCTCGAATACCCAATCGTCTGAGGCCAATTACTATAATCAGCATCGAACAAAATCGCATCATTGCAATCACTCCCCAACGATGTATTGTTAAGCCACGCAGGCTCCCAACTTCCCTTCCGGGTTAGCATACAGGAACAAGTTTCAGCATGATCGAACACTTACTAGTGAACTCCTTGTCCGAGACCAAATGGAACTTGCTTGACAATACTTATAACATCCTCGGTCCATTCTAGCTGTCCTGGAACGCTGTACGGGATCTCGGGTTCCGAGGACTCGGGGATGGGGTTGTATTCTCCGTTGCAGATGGCGGGATAATCTGTCTCGACGACTTGGAGCGGTTTGCGGTATTCTAATGCAAGGGTGTTGAGTGTTGTTCGGAGGTTGTCGAATGTGGCTGCAGTTCTTCTCGGAATCAGTACGGCATTCAAGATAGTAAATGATGGGTAACTTACCCATAGAATGGGTAGAACGAGAACCCTACAAACATGTTTCATTAGTATCTCCGTAATCCAAATGTAAGAAAATCGCATACCAAAAACATCCCAAGCAGTAGTCGGAACTCCGTTCTCAATCATAGCACCAAACCATCTTTGCTGCAACGTCAAATTCCACCCATCATCGATATGAATCATCACTTGAGGTTTCGGGACGCCAGCATAGATAGCATCATCCACGCCTGCTCTCGCCGATTTCCAGAGATACGCGAGGTTGGAGAAATTAGCAACAGTCTTCGGCCACGGTTCCACGTCTACGTCCGCATAGCCCAACGGCCAAAGAATTCCATGACGAATCTCATTACCCAAAGCTACAATGTCGAGAGTGATACCAGCTTCTTTGAAGGATACAAGTGTGTCTTTGACGTAGGTGCGAAGAGTTGCTACAAAATGTCAGTCTTGGATTCAATGTCCTTGCCCCGAATAGATATTGAGCACTGGACGGACATTGTTCCGATCAAAGCAAGCCATCATAGACGAATGAGAAATACGCACCGGCAAGAGGTTCCAAAGTCGTCGGCCAAGCAGCAGGCGGCGGTTGTTTATTCGGATCCGCCCACGAATCACTACCTATCGTCAACCTTCTCCCATTCACTTCCTCACCTCACCCATTGACCTACGAGAAATGAAAATCCAGATATATCTTATACCCCTCGCTCTGAAATCGCTTCGCCAGATCAAGGGTATACTCCAGACCATTCGTGCCGCCAACAGGATTGACCCAGATGCGAAGACGCACGGAATTCATGCCTCCATCTCCTAGGATGGCTTCCGCGGGACGAGTCTCGTTGTTTCGTTCCGTGTCTTTGTAGGTGGCTCCGCCTTCTTCTAACGTTAGGAGGGAACTGAGGTCATGGCCGCGGTAGAAGAAGGCTGCTTGACTGAAGATTGATTGTTAGAAATGTATTGCAACTAATAAGATTCTGATTAAAACGCACCTATTATCAGCTGTTGGTATCGCTGAGACCACTGGCAATGCCAGACATAATAGAGTATGAAGACGCATATCTCACAGCAATCAATACTCAAATTGCACACACAAAATACCACAAAACAACCTTAGCAAAGACAAAGACAAGGACAGACAATCAAAACAATTCCACGAACCCAACATCGAGTCCATATATGCCCGCGCAAGAAAAAAAAAGTTCCATCGCATGGGGTAGCTCGATACCCAGAAAGGAAGTTCGTCTCCCATCTTCCACCCCAGAATAATCCCACCAAACAGATGCCCTCCGGGCCTGGGTAAAAAAAAGAAGCTTACCCTGCGACCCCGCCATACTCCATGCTAAATAAAAAATTAGTACTGTGGGGAACATTTGCTCCGATTGACACGATTCTCGGTGATTGGTGCGGCAACATAAATGGGTTGACAGAGGCATGTCGGATTTTCATTGCGTGGTGAATTTGCGGACATTACTCATAGCACACGGGAACTCGATGCTAGTCCAACACGCATTCTGTCGCCCAACTTCCCTAGCCGTTCAATGTCCTTAGGTCCTGCGTACAATTAAGTATCTTCATTGACTCTCTGTCTTTCCGGAGAATGGATACTATAGGAATATTTATAGTGGAAAGAAAAGCATAGTTCACGTCGGTAACCAATATGACAGGGAAACAGAGCATAATTATTCCTACTTGCTCTTAGGCAACTCGAGAAAGAATATCCGAAGTCCCACGCAACAACGCCGTTCTGCGTTTCCAGACGAACGACCACCTGCAAATGCAATGTGCAGACATGTGTATCCCAAAAACCAACTAATAAACCAGAGCAGACCTTGAAATGCTATCAAGCAAGCGCAAAGCCCACATGCCAAATGAAGATCAAATACATATAAATCCTTCCCAATACCGCATATTCAAAAGAAAGAAGCAACGATCCGAGGGGGACCGTCGCAAAAGGTGGTCCAACAGGACTAGAAGAGAAGAGATATCTCCAGAGCTAACAAATGGGGATTAACGACAGTAATTAGAACGTAAAGGTATATCACGCAGAATGCTGTACTGTACACGAAGGCAGCATAGCAGGACAAACAAATGAAATCCAACTCAATGAGACCGACGCCAACTCCTCTACCTGGCCCATGCAACCAGATACTTGCTGAAACCACAAATTATCCTTCCATCCTTCCATTACTACTAGTATGCGTATAGGACGTATTGTTGTTTTGGTCCATCATGGCGACTTCCACATAGGTCAGATACGTAGTCATCGTCATTCCATCAACTTCGTGAGACATTTATCGTTGGTAAATCGAGGATGGTCTGCTATTGGGGTTGTCCTGTCCAGCCCCAGTTAGCTCCAGCTCCTGTTGGTTGTTGGCCAGCCCAACCTTGTGGTCCTGGAGGTCCCGAGGTAGGAGGTTGCATGAATTGTTGGGAGTTTTGATCAGGATACATTCCACGTCCGGGGCCGCCATATCCTTGGGTCATTCCCGGCATGCCAGGATACTGAAGCGCCGGTTGCATTTGTGGATTGCTTCCTTGTTGGCGAAGTTGAGGAGGTGCTTGATGAGGAGATTGCTGAATGTGGGGAGATGGTTGAGACCCATATCCAGGAAAGTGCTGTGGTGACTGCTGGGGCTGAGATGATGCCCACATAGTGTTTTGCTGCGAGAATCCATAAGGATTACCTCCCTGCCCAAGACCGGCAGCTCCTAAAGAGAGACCGGGAGACCTCCCAATTTGATCAGGTCTCATAGAACTTTGTGGAACGCCTCTCATAGGTGATTGAGCAATTGGGTTCTGGGGGTGCGGGGCTTGAGAGTAAGATTGAGCAGCAAGAATATGTTGAGACGTCTGTTGTGACTGAGTTGGTTGTTGGGTGCTGCTTTGCGACGTACGTGGAGATTGTAAGGCTTGAGTAGATGGTAAGCCGTCGTTGGTCCCAATCGGCTGAGGAGCAATATTTGACGGAGGAGCTTCATGGGGCTGCCTCCACCGCCGTTCAAGATATTCCTGACTTCTTGCGCGCTGCATAGTGATCTGTTTGTTATACTCTGCAGCTTGATGCGCCTGTGTGAGAAGTTCAGTTGGCGGGCTTGCCTGGGTGCGATCCTGGTAGGCTGGTCCGGTGATTTCTTGACGAGGTCTTTGAATATTACTATAATCTCTCAACCGCATGTCTGTTTGCTCGGGAGCAAGAGTGATCATAGGGAGCGTAGTAGCACCCCCTGGCGCGCCTATCATCCCTGGTTGAACCGTTTGCGGTTGCGGATGCACACCGAAATGACCAGGATTGTTGCTGTAAACAATATCCCCATGATGTCCGAGGGTCAAAGAGGCAGTAGCACTAGCTTCTGCTGCTGCTGCATCTCTGGCTTTAGCTGCTCCAGGTCTTTTCTCTCCAGCAAGGTCCTCTTCTGTGAATCCTTGCTTCCGAGCTTTCGTTTCCCAGTAATCGTCCCGGACACGTCTCCCATTGACAATGACCCTGCTACCAAACTGCCGATACATAGACCTAGCAGTGACGATAGCAATCTGTCGGGAACGATAGGAAAATGGTAAAATTTCTTGATGGATCAAATCCTCTTTCTCGGCCTGGGTAGCAATGATTTTGTACAAGGACCTGTTCTTGTTGAATAATAGATATGAATCTCGATAACCTAAGACCCTGGCGCATTCGGTAGCCAGCATGAAGAGCTTGTCGCCTCTGTTGGGAACGAAGAAGGTTCGACATCTGTAATCCCGTCCATCTAGGAGTTGGCCAGTGGCAGTCACTTTTTTCTCCCCCGCTTCATCATATTCACGGGGAATATACTCGTCTCCTTCCGGTCCTAGTTGATCCGTGGTATGGTCCCTCACGGTAGGGAGGGCCTTGATAACAGTTTTGGTGGGTGTTGTTTTGGGTGGCGATACTTGAGTTGGGGTGATGTTACTGAGCTGGGACGGGAGAGGTGCTGTCTGCGACTGAGGGGTTTGCGGGGGAACGACTTGCGACAGAGGCATTGATGGCTGGTTAGGACTTTCCGGGACAGTGCCAGAGACTCTTGTTGATTTCATCGGTCGCCCTCGCTTTCGGGGCTTTGAGTCACCTAGAATGAAACATATCAGCAAAAGTGCTCAGAAACGGCAGCGCATCGTCACACATGGCTACAGGCGCAACAGCTGTGACAAAATATATCTGCGTGCTCTTTCGTGGACAAGTACGTACCATCCTCTCCCAAGTTTTCTCCCGGTGGTAAGTCGCCGTATGTATCGGGAGAGTGGCTGCGCTTGATGCCTCGCGGACTCGTATCTGGGGTTATTGTTGCGGACTGGTTCGACAGAACTATTTGAAGATCCCAAGTCAGCGCCGGGGCTTCCAACAGCGGATGATAAGTCAACATCGCCTTAATGAAATACCGGATCGCATATCGCCAGTTGCAATTCTTCCGGCGAATCGAATGAGCCTATGCGATCGTGAGTCTTACCTGATGAATTGAGCGCAGCGGGATTGATCGTGCCTTCCCCAAGTCCGTTCTGAGTCTGGGCAGAGTACATTGCCGCCAACGGCACGATGCAGCGACGAGAGGCCAGGCAGGGCGGTGATAAGTCTGTCGCACAATGGAGGTCGATGGTTCAGCGCGGTTTGCGCCCAACGGGGTCGTGCTGGAGCGCTCAACTCTGCATCAACAGAGCTGCTGTCCTGGAATCATCAATCGAGTGAGCCAGCTTCGTCCTTCCCTTCTTTGCCTCCCTTCCCTCTATCCTGCAGATAAGCGATGCGCGGGAAGGCGCGACCAGCCTTGCAGTTGCTGCAACAGATGCAACAATGCGGGATTGGCAGGCGCAACGTGTACAGTGCGTATGTTCGAAATGCTGCAAGAAACTCGACAGAGGAGTGCAGTGCAGTACGATGCAGACGCTTTGCTTGGGTCCTATGGAATGAACGGATGGATGGTCGGGAGGTGGCCTGCGCTGCCCCACGAAGAACCAGCGGGCGGCTCTCTAGCGCAAGAGCTTCGACCGCAGCCAGGGTGCCAGGACTGGACCGTACAGGACCGTACAGAACCGGAGACAGGACCAAACAGACCAGACGCAAGGAGGACGACGGCGAGGTCGAGGTCGAGGTCGAGCGCTCTCTGTCCGGGGAGGGCGAAGCGAAGAACCACAGAAGGGTTTCTCACGACTGCGGACAACGATTGGCGAGCGGAACTGGCTGGCTGGCTGTCACGAAAGAAAGATGGGGACGACGATTGCGACTGGGACTGGAACCGCGACCGTAAACGGGGACTGGGAGACGTGCGACAGAAGAGGGCCGTGATGAGCCTGACACCAGAGCTTGACCTTGAGCTTGAGCTTGAGCCTGCTGCTGCTGCTGCTGGGGACCCGAGTGAGGGGTGTTTCTATGGTTCTGCGGTTGACTGGGCGCGGGTCGAGGAGACGAGCAAATAAACTGTTATGCTGCCGCTGGATCTGAGCCGGATAGGCTCTGCAGCCGAATTGCCCTAGAACACCACTGTCGTCTGGTCTGCGCCGACGAGGATGCGAGATGCGACCGACGACGCTTGGAACTTGAAGATGTTTTCTTCCTGCCGGGGGTCATCGATATCGATATCGATATGTCGATGTCATCCAAACCGTCCCAGGATCACGATCACGCACTACTCGGACTCGCAATCAGTAGTCAGTCAAGTCAGTAAGTCAGTCAGTCAGTCAAACAAAGCAGGCTGAATTGGCCAAGGGAGATGGGCCGAGGACTAGGTTTGCTGACGGCCAGCTCGAAGCCACGGTATGGGGATCTGTCTTCAGAGGCACCCTGGGCCTTCGTTTCCGTTTTCCCGCGTCCCGCCACAGCTTCAATAATCAACCCCCAAAATGGCCGCCGTACTTCTGGAACTCGTGTCTCTGAAGAAACCTCTCGACAAGGCAAGATGCGACCTGGACGACAAGATACCACGGTTCGAAGAGGAACAAACAAGATACGAATGCTGTTGCTATTCTGGTTCTGCGCGGCGGATCAATCGGCTAGCAGTGAGACCTGCTGTGGTATGACTGTTTGACTTGGGCAAGCAGAGGAATGATGAAGAGGCGTTACTGTCCAATAATTCGTGGAAGGGGATCGCTTGGAGTAATATCGACCTTCAGCCTGCTAGAGGAATCCCAGTCTCACGTACAGGCGTGCTAATAGAATCGGGCTCGAAGAAGGCCAAATGGGGTAGCATGTGCAGCTCCAGGTCCGTCACTTTGTCCAATGCGTGCGAGGTTGCGAGATGGAGTAATCAGGATTCCTCGGTCGTCTGTCTCGAAACGCTAAGTCCGAAGGATAAAATGCCTGCGCGAGCGAGGCCAAGTACTGTAGTCACAAGAAGCCAATCTGTCTGTCTATCAGGAGTGCTCGCATCCTGATATCGGGTCCAACAACGCCTACTCTCCCGCGGCAGCGTCACGGTTACGGAGACTGGAAAACCGATACATCTGCATGCATCGCTCTGGCTTGGACGTGGGTTTGTTTTACAGTACAAGGGACAGAGAGAAACAGGCAGCCGTGCCGAGACGCAGAGTCGAGGGTAAGCTCGACGAGTTCGTATTGGCCCATGAAGAGTCATCGACTTCGATAATCCACAGACGAGGGGTTGATATCAGGCTTTCTCCCCCGGCTCGTGATAGGCCAGCGCGAGAGAGCGAAAGACCGACCCCACAGTTTCCTATCGATGCGGAACGCCACAGCTGGTCATTTTTCATGGTTGCGCTGAAACTGCATCTGGCAAATAATCGACACTGGCCGAGGGATCTGCTCGAGCTGCCGCTAGAGCTGGTTCTAGATTAAGATTAAGAACAGAACGACCATCGTTATTCCAGCTGTCGTCGAGCATGAGAGACGAGATGCCCCGCACCCGCACCTACAGGACGAGGAGTTCGGAGAAAGTGCTGCAGAGCTCGAGCCCAAGCTAGGTCCGTCCCCTATCTCGCAATCTCCAGCCGTCATGGAGATCAGATCCTCATATACTCAGACAGTACAGGCCTGTCTCATTCTTCCCTGTAAAATATATAATCTAAATACTGTCTTTCGGATGTGTTTTACCGCAGGAGCCTCGCTCCGCCGTTTGCATACGAATACTGGTCCCTGTTTGGCTACGCCCACGGGAATTGCACACGAATCTGACGCGACCAGCGGTCAAGACTGTGGACAGAATTACGATCCGAAAATTCCCTCCACTTCTCTTCGGGCAGAGCCGCACTTGCATCAATTTAGTGCCATGTGACCCATCGATGCACTAAGAAATTATGGCGGCATTCTTTGGAAGATAACCCTGGTCCTGGCCCTGGTCGATTTGCTTCCTGATGGTGTGATGCAGGCTGGTTGCAGGGCCTTTCCGTCAAATTCGGAGCCATCGCCCATGGTTGCGTCAATCAGTCTCCAGCCTCGGCGCGTAGAAGGCTTGATATGCAGAACATACCGACTCCGTACATCAGGCTGTGCAGTAGCCGTCGATGGCTGGAGCTTTTCAACCTCCTCAAAACATCTACCACTATCGGACCTGCTACAGATGACTCGAAATGGAACTTCTAGAAACCTAGCTTTCAATCGATAATATATATGTAGGTACACCTTCTATACAATTGAAGTATAAGTACTTGACCGTAGCCACTATGAATAGATATATTCCAAATTGGGCAACTCGTTTCCGGGTTGTTTGTTACGAGAAGGAACATACTTGTCTGGGATAGTAATCCTCACACATCAGATCAGGCCTTGAAGATTTCGCCGTAGGCTGCTGATGGTTGTAACATGGATCGAGGTCCTTGAAAGTCCTAATCCTTTATCCTCGCGTGGTGATTGCCTTCTCTAAACTGCTGCTCTGATTCAGCACGTCAATTGCCGAGCATAGAAGATGTAGTAAGTTGCTAGAAAATACAAACGAGTTCTTTACAATTTTTGTATCTCCATCGTCTGGTCCCGACACCTAACGCTGTAGTGACTCTCGCCCGATCAAGCTAGAACAAAAAGGAGTACAAACATTTAGTGGCTCTCCCGCTCGCGCCGCCCCCTGGAAGACTTTCGAAGAGGTAGCTAGGTGTCCGGCCTCGCTCAGCGCCACGGACCGTCTTGACCCTGAAAGACCCCGTGGATCTATGCTAATCCAACACCATGCAAAGTGACCTTCTTGCGTCCTTCGATGCTGCGATCTGGCGGGCGCTATCTACAGCAAGGAAGCGAGAAAAGAAAAAGGTTGCAGCTGGCGACGGGAGATCCTCACACCCCTTCACACCAGTGTGGTTGCATGGAGCAAGCAGGCAGGCATAAGTGGAGGATTTTCAACCAACTGCACAGCCAGAAAATCTGCGAAACCTGGGGCTCTTCCTGCATGGCGATTCTTGATATTTCCAACGTCTTCGCGGAAGGCGTGTTCTTCTCTGTAGCCTAGAATTCATGGGCGTCGCTTTCGCCCTCGAATCGGACGTAAGTGTGAGGATTCAATGGAATGGATGGGAATGGATCCGGCCGGATTGTCTCACTTTGCACGAATCGGAATTTTGCTCAGCCACAGGTGACGTCTATGAGTTCCTTGACAAACTCGGAATGGAGGGGCAACGGAGGGGCAAATTCTCTGGATGACCCTTCTTTGAGCAAGCTCGATCGGGAAGACATAAACGAGATGCTTGGCTGTCCAAAGCCGAAAACGTCCTTCAGCTAATCCAGATCCTAGCGTGGCTTTATGATCTAGCAGAACGCCTAGGAGTTAACAAGTGCTGTTAGATATTATAATCTAGGAATTGTAACGGCTAATTGATCGTCAGGACAGATACTTTGTCTCTGAACATTCCTCGGAAGACGGCCGCCCTTCCGTTAGTCTTCAGCTTGGCCAGGGATATATCTTGATAACTAAGACCTCTAGCTCGCTTTCTGATCATGCTTAGCTCATTTACCATGTATTTGCACCATGGCAAATACAAGCTTGGCTGCAAGTTTCAAGCCAAACTTGATTTTGAACGATATCCAGTCAATTGTAAGAATCATACTGAACTGCTGCCATTCATCTCAAAACTGCCACTGAATGTAAAACATCTACAGAGAATAGCACCGAACGTGAAAACGGTGGGATTATAGCGATTAAAGAAAAGATAAAATGCCGCATGGCAGGCAAAAAAGACTTGATCATGCCCAAGGAGTGAATGTATCATGGGGTCTTGTCAACATGGGATGGAGTTTTATGGTGACCTCGAAAAAGACCACGTGTTGCATGTTTGAACAACAATTGGGACATGATGGCTTTGGAGTCAAAGGAAGAAGAAGAAGGCTTCTACTTTCCGCAGAGGACTCCAAGATGGTTACAGGATTCTAGACATCGTCAGATTGATGCTTGCGCTTATCTGGTGAATGTTGCACACTATAAACTCTCGGAGCAGGACTTGAAACGCTAGATTCATGGCCAGAAGATCGACATCGGATGGGCTTTGCACAAAGTGAGGGAAGATATCGCAGTGAAGGCAGAAACATCAAGACGCCCGCTTTGACGTTTTGAAAAGGTGGCCAGGTGACTACCGGTCTCACATGGCACTGTCGGTGCCCCACAATCGAACGTTCTCTACACCCCCCACGTTTGCCATAGAATGTGAGTCGAATCGCCACCAGGGTAAGAAATCGCCGGAAAGCTCAGACTTGCCTTTACTACTTCATTGTTGCTCGTGCAGGGATATCCGTCGGCATTCAGACTGCCTTCAGGTTACATACTTGCGTAGAAACACACGAAAGGTAGTCTGCATGGTATTTCTCCGGTCCCGCAGAGCATCTCAGCAGTATCTGGACATCATCACAGCAATCGAGGAGCGGTGTGTCGGCACATCAAGATATCAAAGTAGTGCCTTTCGTCTTTCCGACTTCCATCTTGGCCGTTCTTGCTCCGAATTGAATCTTGTATGTCAGTGACAGATGATTTTGGTTGCAAGGATAAACTCACTGCTCGCTTCTTCTCCATGGCCACAGAGTGCATCCCTAGCTCATACGCAAGTAGGCGCAGGATTTTCTTCCCTGGTTCAAGTTTTGAATCTTGCTGCGAGGGTTGGGCATTGATACGAAATCCGCATTTCTGTGATACAGGACACTCCACGGCCCATTTGACAAGGGCTTCGTCAAGATAGGGAAATCTTGCTTCCTTAGCCCAGCTAGAGATGACCCGATCGTCACGACCAAGGTTCCGCTTTCCAAGTCTGTCGACATCCAATTTGAGTTCGTCCAAAAGGCCTGTGAAGCCAGTCCTGTTGAATGCTGTGGCATGCCGTGTGTAACCCCCAAACAATTCATCCGCTCCCAGACCAGATAAGAGGACACGTGCTGGTGTTTTGTAGGGCTCCGGTTCCAGGCGAGAAATTGTTGAGGCTGTTCCTAGTCCACGGGAAGCAAAGTACAAAGCATAAGCTATGGAGAGATCCATCTCTGTGTTGTGAGGGTGAATAATCTGAATAATACGATCTTTGTATTCAAGAGTCTCCTTGTAAGGTACGTTTATCTACATCTCATCAGTAGTTCAGACACCAAATAGAGAATATGCGGACTTACTGCAATAAAGCGCCAGGTGCGGCTAGGACAAACGGTTTGTAACTCTCGGAAAGCTTTCCACCCCGTCTCACGGTCTGGACAAGCTTCGAAAGGAGAGAAGCTTGGTACCGAAATTTCTGCCGTGGTCATTGGCGTGGACTGATTTCCTTGACTATCTTTGGGAGGCTTGTCCTCTAATAATGCAGCTTTCTGGGCCGCTCTGACCACTCGGGGATTCTCAAATGCTACATTGACCAAGTCGATCTGTTCATTCAATGGCAGAATATCATGGGCCATCCGGGCCAACACTGTGCAATCTAGCCCGCCAGAAAACAGAACAGCGATAGATACAGGTTTTGTACTGTCGTGTTCTGGAGGCTTTGGGATGTTCAAGATCCGAAGTTTGAGAGACTCACTCAAGTGATAGCGCAGCAACTGAACCGACGCTGTTTGCTCATCCAATACAAAGTCTTCAGCAGGAATGGCTCTATTAAAAGTACCAATAGTGACACTCTGATTAAGGGAGTTAGCATTTAATACAAGTCGTGCAAATTAAGCTTCAGAATGTAAATAGCACACTTACTGGACATGGCTCACTCCCACAAGCCCACACATGTTTATGGATTGCAGCAAAAGATGCTTGAAAAGGGTCGTAACTGGATGTTTTGTGTTTTTCACGGGAATTGACGGTGTCCAATGAGTATCGGTAGACAGCGTCTGCTTCTACTTCTTGCCATGGGCCCGAAGTAGTGTCAGCTATGCTAGAGAATTGTACATTAGTATCATCATCACTCCTGTGAAGGAGAGACCGGCGTCCTAAACGATCTCGGCCAAAAAAAAGCTGATTGTGATATGTATCCAGGTAAACGAAAGCGAATGGTCCTGATATGCTTCGCAAGACGCGAAGAACAGCCGCTGTTGAGTCCGGAGCAGACACATGATCAGAACTGGCTTTTATAAGCAGATCAAAAACAGCTTGTCCATCGTTTCCTGAGATTGTATCGAGACCAATTTTCCAAGCTTCACCATTCCAACATAAAGCTGAATTGCTGGAGGGGTCAAGAAAAGGTTGAGCTGTGACGTGGCCGCCTCTCAATGCTAGGACCGTTGACACGAGGGAGATCCAGAACGAGGTACCGCCTTTTCCATCCACGCGTGCTTGGGCTTCACCAATGTGATCGGGACCTCGATTGCAGAGCAATTGCTTCAGCAGCTCATTGGGAGCGCGAAAAATTTGCGTCGAAATGGACGCGTAAATACCACACATCTTCAAAGTCCTCAGCGACGTCCCAGGTGCGTTGTTGGTCGTGATTGCGGCTGACACTGTGCTCTGAACAAAAAATGATTTGATTCGGTTGTATTTTGTCGAGTGCAAACCGGCGAATCGTCATCTCGCTTGAAGCTTTCGGAAATCGTCGAGGCGAGGCGAGTCCATGTTTGTACAGCTTCAACGAAGCGGAAGCCCACAGTTTGGAATTCCACTGCGCAGATGGCCAAATTTGCATGAGCAGCTCGATGATTCATTTCCTCTACCGAAGAAGGTCAACGTTTTTCCCAGGCCTGTTGTGCCTTTCGTGCTCGAATCACCGCCGTGATTCAACCTCGACAACTACCCCGCCGACTGCTGAACGAACGCCTCTCTGAAGGCGCCTATGAATGTATGTCTTCTCCCGGACAGCCCATAGAAGCCATCAATCGTCCAGATGAGCTCGCGATACAATCTTCGACTGCAGAAGGGAATGCAGATCATGCCCCAAGCACTCGAGCAGAACAGGGCGCAACTCTAGTGGGCTTCGATGGAACTGAGAATGCCACCTCAACGATGCTGGATCGTCACGACAATGAAGCCGCGGAGCGGCCGTCTGCCGATAAAACAAGCGTGGACAATAATGAGGAGGAATTGTTGAAGGGCACCAAGAGCAATGGAGATCAGCCACAAGCGATTGGGGAAGAAACGGGGATTGTCTATGATCATATGGAATCCTCAACGGCAACTTTGAAACCAGATCCTGTTTCCGCCATGAAGACCTCTACACAACAGCATCTTTCACCAGAAGACTTGGTATATCGTGACCCTACACCTAAAACGCCTACATCTTCACAGCCACCTTCACGCTCTACCTCAAGCGCTGCCCATAATCCACATAGTCGAACTGCAGATGGCTTGGAAAGGTCTCCAACAAGGTCTGATGCTGGCTTCGATGAGAAAGCTTCTACTAGTGAGGATGAGCGGGAGTATAATTCCAGGTCAGAGATCCAGAGCATCATGGACCAATTCAGCGAGGAAGGCCAAGGCCCAGGGCACGAGGAAGTCATGTCTCCAAGACTAGAATTTGCTGGACCGTTACTCGGAAGCCCCATCCAACATCCTCCTAGGAAGTCTAGTCTAGAGCCCCTAAACTCTGGCCCAGGCAGTGCTACACAGAGCATGCAAGACCTTCGAATTTCTTCTCACACGTCCGCAAATTTTGCTGTTCGAGACCCATCAGATGTCGGGCCTACGGTGCCACCGAAGCCTGGCTCAATTCGTAGCTTGGGTCAATCAAGAGTTGCGGATGATAGATTACAAAGTGTTGACTCACCCATGTCTCCACCACTCCATCGACCACCTCCTCCTGAACCTGAGCCTGAGCCAGATCTGCCTTTTGACTTTCATCGGTTCTTGGAGCAATTAAGACACAGGACAGCTGATCCTGTTGCCAAATTTTTGAGATCTTTCCTACAGGAATTTGGCAAGAGACAGTGGATGGTTCATGAACAGGTCAAGATCATTGGCGACTTCTTGGCCTTCATCACCAACAAGATGGCCCAATGCGAGGTATGGCGTGAAGTCTCCGACGCGGAATTTGATAATGCTCGCGAGGGCATGGAGAAGTTGGTTATGAATAGGCTATACACTCAGACATTCTCTCCTGCTATCCCGCCTCCTCAACCACTTCCTGGATCAAAAGGGAAACGTCGGGCCGGCGAACGCCAGATGGGTCCTGGGAGAAAGGGTCAGCACCAAGAAGACGTGGAGCGTGACGAAGTTTTAGCACAAAAAGTCAGTATCTATGGCTGGATCAGAGAAGAGCATTTAGATATACCTCCAGTAGCTGATAGCGGAAAACGATTCCTGATCCTTGCTCAACAAGGTGAGTTTCTTGGCGACTTTCCTCGGCCAGTGCTTTTTGACTGACATCTATCACAGAGCTTCTAAAGATAAAGACCTATAGAGCTCCGAGAGATAAGATTATATGTGTTCTTAATTGCTGCAAAGTCATATTTGGTAATTCTTTCTTGATTCCAATCTAAAGTAGCCACTAATTACACACAGGACTTCTCAAACATTCCAAAGCCGACTCGTCCGCTGATTCATTCATGCCTCTTTTGATCTATGTTGTTCTACAGGCGAATCCGGAACACCTGGTTTCTAACGTGCAATACATACTCCGCTTCAGGAACCAAGAGAAACTATCTGGCGAAGCTGGATATTATCTGTCATCATTAGTAGGTGTTGCTTGTCCTCCTGTTAACATGTAAGCAGTCAATGCTAACAATGTTAAGCTTGGTGCCGTGCAATTCATCGAAGGGCTAGATCGAACCACATTAACAATCTCAGACGCAGAGTTCGAGAAGAATGTCGAAGCTGCCGTTTCAGCAATTGCTGAGAAACATCAAGCAGATACTACAGAAAACCCGACATCTGCAAAGTTTTCGGAGAAATCAACCCTTGCCCGTCCGGAGGTGACCCCTCGACATTCGATGGAGGGGGAATCTTCTAATCCTCGCAAGTCGACGTCTTCCAATGAATATGAAAGTGGGGATGGCCTTGATGAGAAAGCTGCTATGACCGGTTTACTTCGTACAATTCAACGACCGCTGTCATCGATTGGACGCATCTTCTCGGAGGAGCCAAGTTCAACCCAAACTGGTCCAGCACGAACGCCTTTACCTGGCAACACTCCACGAATGAGCCCTTCGCCTCGAGTCAGCTCCGAAGCACCGCAAGGCTTACCGCGTATTCCCAACAACCACGACACAAGCACTCGTAGTAGAATGAGTGCTGAAGATGCGGCTGCGAGGCAGGCTAGTGCAGAGGCTGCGGAGGCCCATCGTATTCAGCGGGCTGAGCATGCAAATGTCGTCGAAACCTTGGCTGGGATGTTCCCCGATCTGGACAGGGACATCATCAGTGATGTTGTCACGCAGAAAGATGGAAGGTAAGATTCATCTCTCAACTTCCGTCCTTTAGGCACTAACAGTTAGTAGGGTCGGTCTTGCTGTAGATGCATGTCTTGCACTGAGCTCATAGAATTTTGGGGTAATCTGCAAGTTGCCATTTAGCATTTTCGGGCGAGCTGGTATTGCATGTTGTATCGAGCGTAGCATAGGCGTTCTTCTTTGATATCCCATAGCGCATCGATTATGGCGTGAAGAAAATATGAAAGATAAAGTTTGAGTATGTCAAATAAACATAATAGTCAAAAATCACTTATCCAACAATCTTGAAATGCCTGTGATTCTACTCGCACGGTCTGTTTTCAATAAGTTTCGATTATGGGACTTTGCTATGAAGGAAACTTCGATACCAAAGTCACAACTCCATAATAGCAATATAAAATCGCACCATTCATTAGCTTCTTCATTTCAACTACTGTGACGCAAACCAAACCAAATCGAATTGTATTTTCCATTCTACGTAAGTTCGCCTATTAGAGCGGCTTTCATGTTTTTCCGAGCCGAAACCAAACAAGAGAGCCTTTAACAATTTTAAGGTCTCGAAAGACTTACCCCACCGCCCATCTTTTTGCTCTTCAATTGCTCCAGAAGACAATTGCAACCTCCCGTCATGGCAAAGAAGAAGAGTAAGGGTCAGAATGAGGGCGAAAACACAGAAAGCGCAATTCCCCCAAGTCCTTCTCCAACTCCATCAACATCGAAGCCGAAACAGGCGAAGCTGCCGCAACCCTCGACGTCTGCGTTGATCATATGTCGTAACAAGTACGTTGTATCGAGGAGCCGATAGACATTGCTGGAGATTTTGCTATCTCCTGGCTTTGAATAGCTGGTTTGCGCGTCGCTTCCTGTTGTATTTGATCATATTCAATGCGCAAATATGTCTTACAATATTTATTCTACTATTGCGCAAAATGAACAAGGAATTACAGCTAATTGATATAATGCAGACACTGGCGATATATTTCATCCTTCCACGGTCCATGGTTACAGTTGCCCCCGGAAGTTCTCGAGAGTCTGGCGAATAACAATTACAATCTCCCGCGCCCTCGTCCCATCGATCCCGCTGTGTTCTTCGACCTTCTCAAAATTCGACAACTTGTGGACGATGCCACGAATCTTGCTGTACGGGCAGCAAGTGGTGTCACTTCCTCCTCTCTCAACAACTCTCTCAATGCGGGGAATGGTCTCCTAGGTAATAGCGGGGCCGCATTAGGACTTGGGCTGGGTGGTGGAGGTGGAAATGCCAAATTGAGTAGAGAACGAAAGCATCGTATGCGGGAGCAAGCTACGCAGAAGTTGTCGAAAGCATATCATCTAGATGAGATTGCATGTAGCGTTGCGACCATGCAATCTGCCTCGACTTTAGAAGACGTAGCTCAGCTTGTCCTCCAGAGATCTCCGCTCGATGCGGACGCGAAATATGTCCATTTCTTCCATGAAAAGATACCTTCGCGGCAATTGGCAGAATGCACTAGTCTTCAACCTCTCGACGAAGTCATCGCTGAACGACCCAGCGAAGGTGAGATCTTGCGGACTCGAGCTGTGACGAAGATCTTCAAGGAAGATTTTGTTGGAGCCGCCCAAGATTTAACCACAGCTCTGCAAGTGTGCAGATACTATCAAGGCCAGCACAAAGCAGGACGTCAGCAGCTACAACTAGCAAGTGAAGCCGCTGCCGAAGCTCAGCGCAATAGTAGATGGAAAGAGGAGATCAAGTTAGATGAAGAGGATCATCCAAGCAGTTTAGAGACCCAACTTCTCTTTCACCGAGCTGGAGTATACCTTACTATTGCTTGTCAACACGTCAATGACGCTTTACCAACTAAGCCCTCTCAAAACGGTCTCAATGGTGTCAAGCCACATCCAAATGGCAACGCCGATCAAGCAGGAGATCCAACCGAGATGACCCCTGCTGAGAAGGAGGCGCATCGGAAACGTCTCGAGGCTAGGAAGATCGTCAAGACGAATGCCAAGAGAGCATTAAGAGATTATGTTGCGTATCTATCTCACTTCGACTACACGCCTGGCCTACCGGCTGAGATTACAGAAGAATTTGTCCGCAAAGTAAATCAAGCGGCCAATGGCTTCAAGATCCCACGTCCCCAGAACTATAGTAGAAATCTTGATCTTGAGAGCAATGCCTCGCTAAGTAATGGCCAGCTCTCAGATGCACTCATCCCTCATAACGGCAGTCACAACAGTCGTGGTCGGCCGCAGTCAGGCACAGGCCGAAATACCGAAATCCCAAGCCTTCCTCCACCTGTCGTTCACCAAATGTCAGCCTTGTTCTCTGCTACGCCTCCCGCTGACCTCCCTCCTTATCCAGAGACATCTACTAGTCTCACCACCAAGCAACAGATGCAAGCAGCTCAGAGTGATGCAGCTAAAGCTATTCTTGCTCAGACGGATTGTCACGAGGCTCTTACTTACCATCCACTTCTTACTGATGCTCTTCATTCCTTGCTTCTCTGTCACTGTTTAGTCCAGACATCGGCTCGTGAGCTTCAACGCCATGCTCATATGGTAGCTAGGCTCGCTCGAGTCTGTGATGGCTATCCAATCTTTCAGGCGGCTCGTTCCCCTAGTCGAGCTGATTGGATTGAGGTTGTCCGTCGTGCAGATAATTGGATCCAGCTCGAGCAGTCATGGGAATCCCTTTGCGCACCAGCTCCTCTGCCCGGGCAGGCGGCTCCAAACCAACAAAAAGAGACACCTGCTGAGAAAAGAGAGCGACTTAAGCAGCAAGCTATCATGGAGGCCTTAGAAGATGATAGAGTCCATGATGAAGCAAGCTTTCATGCGGCTGTCGCAGCTAGACAACGCCGACAAGAAGAGGAGGCTCGCAAGGCAGAGGGCAGAGAAATGCCAAAGCGCTGGGCACAGGAAGATGGGAAGGAGTATCCTATCAGCACCGAGAGAGCCCAAGCTATTGTTCGCTGGATTAGAGAAGCACCACTTGGTAGCGAAGCAGGGGGCCCTCGCAAAAGGAAGAAGAGCACAAAGCCAGGAGCAAAAGGAAAGGGTAAAACTGGTCTTGAGGAGTCAATGACCGGATTGGATGTTGAGGATAGTGAGAAATTCGAGCCAGTTGAGGAAGAGGTCGATTGATCTCGAAATTCTTGTGTACAAATTCTGATTAGATAGATATGACAGCAATGAACGCGCCGATTTTCACCTAATGTAGTATGCATGCATGCACCTGCATACAGGTGCATGACGCAGTCCCGCCCTTCAATTGACATATCATTGACAGTCTCGCGTAAACCTCCCGTAAGATGCCAACGACATCAAAATGCATCACGAACATCCCACTGTAACCTAATCATTATATGCTACTTACAGTGGGGATATCCAATCGGTGGTGCCTCAGACTTGGATCATCCGCACGACAAAATAAAAGCGGGATGAAAAATCAACGTCATCCTGTGGTCCAAGATGTATAAATATGTAACTATAATTTCACAATTCAACAACAATTAATCCTCATCTTCTTCTCACACCAAACACGATTCAAAATCCCCTCTCAAGAATCCATCATGGGTAAAGTCCGCAACGATGACCCCTCAAAACTCACAGACTTCCAAGTCCTCTCCTTCGACGTCTACTCAACCCTAATCGACGAACCAGGCGGAATGTTCATCGGCCTCCAACCTCTCCTCTCCCGTTTCCCGTCCGGAAACCCCTACCAAAACAACAGGACATACACCCTCTCACACTTCCAAAAATACGAAAAGGAGCTACAAACCTCCCAGCCATCTCTCCGATACAACGAGCTCCTCCCCCTCGCCTACAAAGCCTTCGCTGCATCTCTCAATCTGCCTGAGCCCTCACAAGACGAGGCTCTTTCCTTCGGCGCCAGTATTGGGTCCTGGCCCGCGTTCCCTGACACCGTCGCCGCGCTGCAATCTCTGAAGAAGAGATATAAGCTCGTGATGCTTAGCAATATCGACAATGACTCCATCGCACGCACCATTTCCGGGCCCTTAGCTGGCGTGGATTTCGACCTCGTACTTACAGCGCAGGAAATAGGGAGTTATAAACCCGATTTGAGGAATTTTGAGTACTTGGTTAGGAGGATTAAGGAGGAGTTGGGGATTGAGAAGGAGAGGATTCTGCATACGGCGCAGAGTTTGAGCTGTGATCAGGTGCCTGCGAAACAGATGGGAATGAGTAGTGTTTGGATTGATAGGGAGGGACAGGATGAGAAGGTGAGGATGCTGAAGGAGAAGGGGGAGGTGAACTTTACTTGGAGATTTGAAAGTATGGGGGAGATGGCTGAGGCTGTTGAGAAAGAAACTTGACTAAATTCAAACTGAAAATCACACTATAACAGACATCCAGGATCTTAATCAAAGAAAGTTCAGACTGGAAAAGGATGCCACATTGAAGTCATGACTTGTCGTACTATTCTTGCTATATCGTCCTTGTTTTGACTCGCGTTCAAAAATCAGGTTGCCGCCAGTGTGCAATTCTACACCAACCACCGCTTATGCTTCGCAGCCATAACCCTTTATTCACGCCGATTTTCGCCCCGCGCCCCCCTTAACTCATGACGCCGTGCTTCATCAATTCAACAAGCGAACCGAGACTATGAATAATCTCCCACAAATGTGCTCTGCAGTCAGACTCGAGTAGCCACTAGGCTATACTAGAGCAGACTGTTCGCCACAACACGTCTTCTACGTGTGATGATTTTTTGAATTATTCCTGCGGCCAAAACCTGACCCAAAAAGGTTAAACTCGATTGGCCAAGTGTGATTTTCAGGGCTTTATGGAATTCTCGTACCCTGCCGAGAGACTCATAAAAGTATCAATCTCATTTAGACCCTCCGTCTCCAGACTCTGCATCAGTTCAAGCTGTTGTTCCTGACTAAGGCTTCCCTGCCTCATTTCCGTATCGAAATGTTCGTCTCCAAACATGTGGGCACCGAAGGTGTATGGCGTAGGTTGAATGAAATAGCTCGGATCGGTGATAGCTGGCTGTTGTTGCTGCATTTGTGCCGAAGAAGGCGGTGGTGCTAGAACTTGGGATTGTCCAGCAGCCATTGGATTCCAAGCATTGGGCAAAGCTTGAGGTTGCGTAAAGTCGGGAGGGAAATAGCTGAAACGACGATCTGTTTGCATGCTGGATGGACTCGCAAATATAGAATTCGAGCGAAAAGATGGTTGGGGTGGAGGCAGAGAGCTCGCGAACTCATAATTGGAAACTGGCTCGGGCATTTGGTCGAATACATATCCGAATTGAGGGGGCGAATGATATGCGTTTTGAGGGGGCGAATGATATGCGTTTTGAGAATATGCAAGCGAGCCGGTTGTGGCGCTGGAGTGTTCCGACGCAGACGGAGAATTGGCATCGGTCAGAGCTGGAGACGTAGCTGACAGTGAGGATGGCGCTTGTGAACTCTCCCTGGTATCGTAGCTTTTGAGACATGCCTTTGCAAGCGTTGCATAGAGATCTGAAGCTGCCGAAGTTCCTGGCCAACGTTCTCGACACTTGAGAATCACGTCAAGGGCAATCTCAATGTGTTCCTCGAGTTCCTCTTTCGTATGCAGAGCCCGGACCTCTGAATACGATATTGACCAAAGAACTGTGTTGACAGCTTGAAAGATTGTAAGAACGAATATCCACGTGATGTCCACCATTGCAGATGCCATTTGTTTGCTAGTGCTTTTGATATTGGTTGAAGCAGCATCGTAGCACATGATTGCAGAACGAATGGACGGCTTAGGAACCTGAGGTGAAGGTCGCAGGAGCATTACAACCATTGTGTTATATCGTCCAATGAACCTGCATAGAGATTTAGTGGCGATTCCTCAGATCATGGATTTGCCTACTGACCATGGTTTGCTCCAAGGAGGGTTTTGAGGAGCGTCATCAACCCAATCCTTAAGCTTCAGCTCCATTTGTGCGTACCAAGGATGCTCTTCACTTCGTGGTTCGGGGCGTTTCTTTTGATATAAAACTCGTCGAATCTCCGCTTGAAGAAGTCTCATTCGAAGAAAGTGGATGGTCACGGTCTTCTTCTCCGATACAGGTCCAGGGAGAATTCCTTCTGCAGTTATATATTCATCATCAATTGGCTCAAAGAAACCGACATCAACATGGTCTTGACCAGTAGCAAATGCATTGGGGCGACCCATGCTATGGGCAAGGCCGAACTCCATGGATAAGATTATCCAAGAGAGTCGTCGTCGCATATCCAGCTGTAAGGGATCAATCTGAACTACTCCTGAAGCAATTGTCTTTTCCTCGGTCAGTCCAAGCTGCTGACAGAGGCGTGTCGCTAGTCCAACAATGTAATAGATTGCGGTCCGCGTTGGTGTCAACAATGAGTACTGGGCGATCAAGACCAAGCATTGGAGTGTCCTCATATCCTTAGGACGGATAACATCCTCCATGTAACCCATAGCTGCTAGGTAGTAACTGTCCGCCAGTCCTGCATATTGAGGATCCAATTTCTGCATAGATATTGCAAGCATCATCCGAACAACGAAATTTTTGTAGGGATCTGTACTTCCATCGTAGACTTCTTGCATATCCTTGGCAAAAGTAGGCTCATGTAAGGTTGGTGTCAAATACTGGGCTGGAAAATATATGTAAGACTGGGATCAAGAGAAGCCGAAGAAGCGCCAAATCGCTTCTGAGAATTTCAGGGTCCAAACAAACACGACTTACCTTTCTGATTGAACACTTCCACAAGCTTGTCTGTCACCAGCCGACTCGGCAACGTGGTGGCTGGCACAGCACTGATCATAGGATAAGATTTTTTGCGTGTAGCAGCTTCGGGTGACTGCACAGGAGTTCGGCGTTGGCGGACTTCTGGCACAAGTTCTCTTATACTTCTTGAATCTGTGTACTTCTTCGCTTCCTCCATGACAAGTCTCGTCATAGCAATGCCACTTGAAGGACCCAGAAATCGGGGCGTCTCGTCATCTTCGTCCAGTCGAACAAGTCCGCCAGGCCGTACAATATCTTCAGTGTTTTGTGGAAAGCCTTCCTCTTCGGTGTATTGTCCAAGTTCCGCCTCTAAGGCTCGCACCTTGTCTTGAAGTCGTATAACATATGTTCGAGATATCTTCTTTCCTTTTGTCGTATCGAAGTACTCACATATCGCGCCGGCCCTTTCGCAGGGCAAACATCTCGGCAGGTTTGGATCGCATCTCGTCTTCCTCTAGTCACTGTCAAAACCTGCATACTTGCAAGACAAGCGATAAGAATGGCACAAACCTGGCGACATCGACAACACGCTGTCAGAGTATGTGCGATCCTCGGGGAGTGGTCGTCACTCTCATGGCTGCTCTCCCGGGCACGAGAGGTCTTGGCCTCACGAGCTCTATTGACAGAGCTCTGGGCCTGCCGGAACAGATCTGCCGCGTCCATCGACAATTTCAAACTTCGCTCTATAAAGCAGAATGAGAAAACGATATTGCGCTCGAACTTGTAAGATTCATCATCATCGACGTTGCAGCCTGTGGGGTATTCTACGGCCGCGGTGGCCTTGCACAACGAGACAGTGAAGAACGGTAGGGCCTGGGAATGATGGCGTTACACTGGCTGCGGGGAGATGTTGGAGCACAAGAAAGTCGAGTCGCGGGTTAAGAGGATCTCTGAACTCCCATGTCCATTGTTCAAATCCGGGGCCTGAGTGAGGTTCCAGTCTGTGGAGAATTTGTGCGACTTGAAGGTTCGCCTTGGGCTAGAAGAAGGGGAAGAAGGATCCACCGGAGGGTTCGAATGTCCCAATTGGATGCAGGGGCAGTCGCAGCCGGAGACACAGGGTCGAAACAGTGAGAAAAAGAAGGCGGCGAGAAGGCAAAGCACAGCACACGGGGGCTTTTCCTTTTCTCTATTACTCCATTTTCTGTCCTATCAAGAGTTTGGAAAGTTGAATAACGACCTTCTTCTTTCTACTGAAACCGACCCTTCGCTAGCTGGCACCATACAGCGGCTCGGGGCAGGGACAACGGCCAGAACTCTTCTTGCCGACTACTATTTGACGCCTTCGCAATCCTTGCTGCGGCGTCCTCGGCGTAGCAGGGCCTTATCTGGAGGATTTGTTCATGGATCACTTTTCAGGCTCATCACGGGATATTTCATAAGTCCCTCCCGTCTCCTTTTGAGTGGTCCGTTGCCTGAGGTTGCCACCCGCAAATGGTCCGCCGCATCCTAGCCTCACATCTCCAAAACTACCGAACTACAGTCTAGATTTGTATCGAATCTCTCCGGAAGCGCGAGTACGAACGAGTGTTATATCCTCGCTTTATAACCTCGGATTGACTTAAGAGCGTATCGAACAACGAACCGAGAAAAAATTGCCACGGCCACGACGTCTGTCCCGCACGTTTGAAGCGCCTCTTCGTCTAGTGGGATTCTAGAGAGCGCATTGTGGGGACAACGGCATGACAGCCAGATTCATCTTGGACAGCTAGAACAGACTATACTGCTAGACTTTCACGCCAGTAAGTGCCCAAGTCACACAAATTCAAGCCTCGGGTCGCTCCAGGTTACATCGTCGGACCTTCACCTCTATTGCCGTGATTAGGCATGCGAATTCCCGGATGAAGCCAGTGCCACATGCTCCTTTGCTCGCCCATCTTATTATCATGATAGAGTTTTCTAGAGCTCTGTCTGAGTCAAGCAGTCCCTGATTATGATCTATTGTCATTCTCATTAAGAACCTGCCAGCCTCACTTCCATCGTCTTTCTTGTGAAGGAGATAGTGACTATTGAAAATGCTGACGAGGCTGACATGAAAGACAGCACGTTTTTGAGATCACAATGGGAATACCTGGATCCGCAATCCTTTGAATTTGGAATCCAAAGACGTCTGAGAGTGCCAATATATAAGCAATATGCCTCGCTCAGGGCCAAGTGCCGCAGATACTCCTTTACTAAGGGTATCACGACCAGTCTCTGCGTGCTCAAGATGTGAGTTCATGGGCATTCTAACATAAACTATCTGGACGCACTAACATCAATGCAGGTCGCGCAGCCAAGATTAAGGTATGAGATATATCTACATTCTCTCCAATGATCCACCGTACTCATCATTATCAGTGCGATGGCAAATTGCCAGCTTGCACAGCATGTGAGAAATCAGGCCGTGCAGGAGAATGTTCAAGTGCCAATGACCAGTTTGCAAAAGGCAAAGAGCGAAGGTGAATTAGCTCTTCTGGTTCATTCGAATCGAGCTGACACTTTACGTAGCTATGTTGCTTCCCTGGAATCCCGCGTTGAAAAACTTGAAAAGCGGCTTGCGTATGCTAGATTGCGGAAAGCATCCGTGGCGATGCACGATAACGATGACCCAGTTGAGGCGCCAGATCGCAAAGACTCACTGGCGACGATACGTGCTGCCATTCACGGAAAAGCTGCTCGGCGAAGAGAGGCAGCCGATGTGAATGAGCTTGTCTCCGATTTTGGATTCCTGTAAGTCCATCAGATGTACATATTGTGAACAAGACTAATCGTTCAGGTCTGTGAACGCCACCACTCGTGACTTTGAAACGTCTACGAGCAACATGACCTTTGCACGGCTAGTTCTAGCTGCTACGAACAATGAAGGTGTACCCAAGTCACAGCCTTTTCAGCTTCCCTCTAGACCGGCGGCTATGGCATTGGTACAATTCTATCTCGATAATGTCTTTGCCCTTTTTCCAGTGTTTTCCGAAACCGCCTTATTTAACGCTCTTGATGCAGTGTATCAAGAAAATGGACGTCCTGTTACAGACTTCGAGCATTGGCTACTTTATATGGTCCTTGCAATTGGCGCGAATGGCCAATCTAGGAGCAGCAAGGACGCATATTATGCAGATGGTGTTCTCTGGGTTGGTCGAGCTCTACGTTATGCTGACCGAGTCCTCATGCCGGGATATGTATCCCAGATACAAGCTTTACTTCTGCTTGTACAGTATTCAATGCTAGACCCGGCTCACTTCGACAGTTGGCAGTTGATCGGGTTTGCATGTCGAGCAGTAGTGGACCTGGGTTTCCATCAAGACCCTCCAAAGGAGCAAGTCAGCGACAAGAACACTCTTGAATTAAGAAGGAAGATTTTCTACTGTGTCTATTCGCTTGACCGGTAAGAGATACCAAGCTTCCGATGATAATTGAGACTAACTATCTGTAGATCAATTAGTATGGTGCATGCCAGATCATTCTCATTCACAGATGACTCTACTAGTGTCACTTTTCCACAAGCACCAGCCACTGTCACAGCAACTACTTCTACTGGAAACCCTGTGCAAGGGCCACACTCGATGGAAACAGCTCTGCTATTGTTTCAATTGCGACAGCTGCAGTCTTCGTGGTATCAAGAGCTTTTCCAGTCTAGCCGAGATCCATTGCAAAACTCCTCGACATACATTTGGCAAATGTGTCAGGAAATGCGCGAATGGTCCGAATCGTTTCCCGATAGTCTTCCACTGGCTTTCAAGGACTTCTTCGATCTTGAGCTTCTGTACAGTTATGTCTACTGTTTGGCTCCGTCTTGTCGTGTACAGGCGCCCTCTGCACATGGCAAGACTTTGATCTTCGAGTATAGTATAGCATACATGCAAAAAATATTCCCGATCAGCCGGGATCCGATCAACACAGCCTTCTATACATATCACGATGCCTTGAGGGTCTATTTCATCGGCGGACAATTCCTTGCTGTTCTAGGCGATAATCAAGACCAGCTACTGAACGGTATCACTCAATTTCCTGTAGCTGTCGCAGGTTCTCCACCGCCGCCGCCACTTCCCAGCAACGCAGGGATGGACAGCATTGATCGCAGTATCAATTGCATCACTCACATCAAGGAGACACTCAAGACTTTTGGGCATCGGTGGGATGATTCACAAGCTCTTCTCACCAATTTCGAATTGCAAGCTGCACCATTATCTGCAGCTCTACTGCGTCGAAAGCATCATATAGATGACTTTTCACGAAACAGCCATAGTCCACCAAACTATATGCCCCAGCCCAGTTTCGATGCGGTTGGTAATATCATCGCGGATGATTGGTCAAATATGGGCTCGGGATACGTTCACACCAACGTGTTGTCAGGAGGATCCGGTACGGGACAGCATGGTGTATAGCCTTCGCTTGTTCATGACTTTATGGTTTGACGTCCATCATGATAAATCAAAACACTTCTCATAGTCTTCCTTTCAAAATTAGGATTTTATCATGTGCCGAGCTGTTACTTCCTTTCCCGTTCACATTATGTCGTCTGCTTCCGATAGCTCCTTCCTCCACTGTAAGCTGTATACTTCTCGCCTTCCACTTTGTGCATATCTGCTTCTCTCCTTATTCTTTATCAACCAAAGCTTCAATAGTTGTCAGCAGTCTTACACCATCATTCCAGGTGATGTCCTATCGTCAACTTATCATTAAGTTTCTCAACGAATGCGAACACACTTTTACGCTCCGACCAAGCTTGTTTCTATCATTGGCGGGCCCTCTCAAGCTTTCTGAGTACCTCGAAGCTCACAATTCTGTTCATCCGTGGACAGCAAACGCCGTGAGTACGACCTTTATGAATGCGTACCCACATCATCTAACATCCTGCAGCACCAGAACATCCAGAATGAACGAGATCCTCCGTTTCCGTCGTGTAGCCACGACTGCTATACACGCATCGGTCAAATCCATCTTTATGGTAGTCCTCATTCTCTGCGTTGTGTATCCGACAACAACCGTTCTCAGTTTCACTCGAGCTCTTTCGGCAGAAGCAAACCTCCCTTCTGTTGATAGCAACTACGAACAACACAAGGATGTCCACAGTGTTAATGTAGATATGTATAAGGGCAAAAATATACTCGCAGCGCAAGCTAAGATGATGGTCGAGCTTGTACCACACGCTCGTCGAGACACAGAGTCAACTTTTGCTGATTACGACCGTGATACCAAGCACGGTAAGCACGGCAAGCATGGACGCTCTGGTTCTGAGGAGTCGAACAATGCTCCGGTCTTAGAGCTTGTACCACACGTTCGCCGAGACACAGAGTCAATTATAAACGATTATCTTATTGCGAGCAAGCACGGCAAGCACGGACGTTCTGGTTTTGAGAATTCGAACAATACTCCGGTCTTAGAGCATGTCCGTGTTCCAGACGCTGCAAGGGACAAGATTCCGAGGAATCCGACGGACCTAAAAACTAGAGTCGACCATCACGAGGGCATTGCAGCTTCTTCCGATATCTATGTTAGAATTGCTCAAGCCTCTGGAGGAGGTTGGGGTCGTCAAAAGCCAAAACCGAAACCAAAACCAAAGGACAAGAACCCACCCCCTGAAGCAATCGTCAAGAAGGATAATTCGGAGCATCGACCAAGAACCAAACTTGACGAAGATACGAGAGAATCTTCGAGAGCCATCCCTAAACGTGGAGGAGTGCGTAATTGTGATGGCGGGAGGAGGAAATGCATCCATAGACCATTCTTCGGCCCCCCGGCTGCTGCAGTAATGGCTCGAGAAGACAAAGCAAAGCATGCTGCTCCTCATCTCGACGATTGTTCAAAAGGCAACCATTCTCCATCATGCATTGATAAAGGCAACAACCTGCTAGCAATGAATCTTCCTGTTGCTCTGCACGAGACGGGATCAGAAATTCCAAGTGTCATGTCTCGAAAGATTCCGTGTCACCGCTGCTCACCAATTGGTTCTGGAGTTGGCGACCATTCAACGGAGGCATACGAAGCTAGAGGATACCGCAGCAATCCAACCATGCGGGAGAGGCAAGAAGCAGTGTCAGATCTCTCTTCTGGAACCTCGTCCGAAACGCAAAAGACAAATAATTCGGCCATAGCTGACGTTATGAGTTATCTCCAATCTCACAATTCGACCATGATGAGTGCCGGAAACAGTACGAACAATGCAACTCTTCCCGATAATGGCAACAATAAATCCGAAGATAATGCAACAAGAGGGGTCTTTTATATCGTTCTATCGGTCGCTGGTTTCTGCATGGTGTTGCTTGGCTTGATATATTTGCGTCATGCGTGTATCCAACGACGAAGGTGGAAATCGCTTGCTGAAAGAAAGACTACTTATCCATACAAGCCTGAGGCCTCACAGATCGAGTCCCTTCCAAGGACTCGATTACATGGCAGCAGTCGAATGAAGAGAATCGATGAGGAGGTTGCTGAGGAGCCTGCATCTACCCAACCCATGGCTCTCGATGGGGCGAGTGATGGCTGGACCAGATGGCTCTTACAAAAGCGAGATGTATGTCACAAGATTATCACCACTCAGACTTCGTGCTTACTGATGATGACATGTAGACTCGGAAGCCCATACAGATGTCTCCAACACCGAAGATTCGCCCTCCTCGCATTCCGACTTTGAGATTACCTCAGCCAACCTTCTCTACTGTCCGCAAGGCAAATGGCATTAAAACAGAAACAAGTATGGGCCACGATACTTTCAAGGCCAAAGGACGAGATGGGTCAAAGACGAAGGGAACTTCTATGGTGTAGGATCCAAGGAAGGGAGTTTTGTACCGTCATCGAGGGTTTTTCTCGGATTAGGGTTTGAATAAGTATTGTTATTGCGCTGCACAGCAGTTATGGTTGTACATTACAATCAGGTTTCTTGTCAGGCTTGCATGCCGGTAGACGGCGAAGCGACTTGTGAAGACTCGGCATAGGTTAGTTGCGTCTGTAATTGCCTGCATTGTCTGTGGGGTTTGACAAACGAATTGTTTAAATGCATTCCTTTTCCACGACCTTAAACGATCCACTCTCATGGAGTGAATTCTTCCTACAGGATTATTTCGCGCTTTAACTACAAAATGTATGATCTTGGATTATCATGAGCACCAGTCTCGTTTAACGTAGAGATTCAGGGTTTCTACTGTACTAAAACGGCTACAAATCAGGCAAATCCATACTCCATAAACTTCAGACTTGGACCGGGATCTTCTGGCGTAGCTAAGTTTCTTTCCGAGAGGTGGGTGTGAAATTTCCGCAAGTCGAACCTCTCGTCTGTAAGCAGATCCTCATGATTGTCCTCTGACTCAATCAAAGAAACCCCAGAATAGTCTTCCCACTTATCTTCGATCTCGCTCTCCCAGTCCGGTTCTTCCTGCGGTCTGCAAACGAAAATGAGCTGTCTCAGTTGAGGAAAGGCTGATAAGAATGTCGAGATGCTGGACCTTGGTGGTTGGTCCCTCGGAAGCATGATAGAGAAGACGGGACTACTGTCATTGCTGCAGGACGCCCACAAAGTTTCGGTGATGCCGAGGCGTTGGATCTGGTCTCGAGGTTGGAGGTCTTTCGCTACCTTGTAGAAATGCTTGACCATGAATGAGATGTCCATGAGGTTTTGTCTGGTGCCGAAATACACGATGTCGTAGATTGGGTTGAAGTATGTTGCTGGAGGGTGCTTCTCGGTGCCGAAGGAGAGGTGGTAGTGGGAGAGTCCGACTTCTCGTGATTCTGAGTTGGTGTGTAGGACGCTGGGGACGTGTTGGGAGACGAAGAATTGGCGGTCCGCCCTGCAGTATTCTAGCTCTAGAGCTCGAGTTACTTGAGATGCTAGGCCCCACTATGGCGAGTTAAAACTAAGTCTTCTCTGAGGGATCAGAATTGCAGAGTATGAAACGTTCCTGAGGAATGAGATACAACAACATGGGCTATTCGCAAGGATGAAGGGAAAAGTTTGCTGCTTACGATCTGGAGACGGAGCTCGATAGGCAGTTCTGGAAATTTGGTGAACATCGACTGGGGAGTGGGAGCTTCCATTTTGCAATCAGAGAGTGGCTAGACGAAGCTCCTGCTTCTGGTATAGGCTTAGAGAGATTCTCTACCAATAAGATCAATATTGTTTCCTTCACGAAATGGAGCATTCGTATTGTACAAGAAAATGATATCGGTGTTCTTGGACGTTCTGCCTGAAAAGCTGTGATTGAACTCGGAATCCTTGAGGAATAATTCACGATCAGTTCATGTATGTTTACAGTCTCAAGGTGACTGAATGTCCGGCCTGCTTCTGATGTTCTAGGATGGTCGTTGCCTAGCGTCCCGCTTACCGCGCTAAGTGACCAATTAACTTCCCAACCTTTCCTTAACCACACGTGATAACCTCATATAAGACATTCCACGCGACTGCCTTCCTTGCACTTTCGTTCTACCATCCACATGCCATGATGGTATTTATTCTGTTACCTTCCTACCATAGTATCTACTAATGTTAAAGTAGGACAAAGAAGAGTATTTCCGCCAGCTTTATGCGCTGAATGAAAGCTCCGACGAGGAAGTAGATAGCAACGATGCGCGCGAAGTGTTGAAACAGAGTGCGCAACCTTTGTCTGCATCCTTCCCTGTTGCCTCGCAATCACCCAGAGCCAGAAGAAGCCAGCCATCAAACGTGCCCAGGAAAATACCAACGTTTCGTCACAGTACATCAGCACCTGTTTCGACATCCGCGATGATTCGAGAAACTCCTTCCCTTCCACGGAAGCCATCTAACCTTCGATACAATCAGTCGTCCACTCCGGAAATACTCCAACCCCCCTCTAGTGAAGAAGCTCCGATCTCTACCGCAACTCCTGTGGTACAGCGAAGCTCTTCCACGCCAAATCCTGTGTTTGGACCACCTCTTACCTTCAAGCATAGCACGGGTATCGATTCTATGCTGAGGAAGAACACTGCCAGTAATGATAGTATGCTCAAGAAGAAAACCAACGCCGCCGCTAAGAGGAAGCGCAAGGATAAACTGGTCATGAAGTCAGAGAGCGAGCGGATCTTTACGGGTAAGACATTTCTCTTCATTCCTAATGACGATATCGAACCCTTTCGACGAGCCCGCATTATGGATGTAAGAAGCCGTGGAGGAGTGTGGACACAGGAGGTAAGTACTATACGTGCTTGAGACTGCGTTGCTTGTTCTATGCGTTTGAATGCCTCGATCACAAGCCACAAGTCAAGTACGTATAATTGCAATGAGTATCAAGGTGGCAACTACTCCACATTGCAAAAGGAAGCTACAAGGTCTTTTATAGTATAGCTCCACTCTATCAAGCTTTTAACGTACTGCCTGTCGATTTTATTGATTGCTTGATACGACTCTTTGAAACTCTGGCTAATGCTGGCTCTCCTATAGTGGACACCAGACATCACTCACGTTGTGGTTGATAAAACCCTCAAGCTTGAGCAGGTAATGAGTTTTCTGAAGCCCATGATGAAGTCCGACTCATTACCATCGAATGTCATCATGGTGAATGAAGAATACCCTCCGGACTGCGTGGTCAATGGCATTCTCGTGGATGAGACACAAGGACGGTATGCTGTGAAGAAGATGAAGGCTCCTGAAGAGCAGGAACCGCAGTCCACAAAGCCTCCACCGACCTTGAGTATCCAGAAGCCCAAATCCAAAAAGAAGGACCATGAGACACCCGAGGAGCGCACGCAACGAAGCGAGCCCTCAACACAACCTCTACACTCGGGCGTCCCCAACTCGTCTTTCAGTGGCCGTCTTCCTCCTACCGATGAAAGTCTTGTCGAGAGTCCGCGAGAACGATCTCCTATTTTGGATAATTATGACGGGATTTCCAGTGTGCTAGATGAGTTCATCAAGCAGGCTCGTGATACGAAAGATTTACCCTTGGATGACGAAGATGAAGAAGTCGATCGACCTTCCTCGAGTGAACGCGATCCTGATCAAGAGGGCAGCTCAGAGGAGGATCATCGTCCCCCTACAAAGAAGAAGAAAAAGAAATCCAAGAAAAGCACAGGTTCCGGCCAAAAAGGTTTGGACCAGGACAAATACTCTTGTATGCATGCCGGCGAGGTGATCGAGGATAATCTGAACTCGGATACCATCGACATTCTCACGAGACTGGCCGACTATTACGACAGAGTCAAAGACCAATGGCGAGCACTTGCGTATAAGAGAGCAAGCGGCACTCTGAGGACACAGTCTACCAAGATTCGCACTTATGAAGAGGCCATAGATCTTCTCTTTATCGGCGAGAGTATTGCAAAAAAGATCGAAGAAATTGTTGTTACTGGACGTTTGAGGAAACTTGAATACGCAGAGCTTGAGCCCGACGACCTTGTTCTCCAACTTTTCCTGAAGATCTACGGCGTCGGCCCTTCCGAGGCATCGAAATTTATCCAAGCAGGACACAAGACCCTCGAGGACTTGAGGACTAAGGCTCGCCTCACGGAAGGTCAGGAGATCGGTCTGGAGCATTACGATGACTTCAATACTCGCATTCCGCGTGACGAAATGACCGCTCTAGGAGTTATTGTCAAGGAAACAGCTAAGGCGATCGACCCAGACGTCGAACTCATCATTGGTGGCTCCTATCGTCGTGGAGCATCCACCTCTGGGGACATCGACTTCATAGTCACCAAGCCTAATACAGACAACAGCCGAGACCTGCTTCCGTTCCTGTATAAACTCGTCGACGAACTCACACGAAAGGAATTCCTGACCGCTGCTCTAGCAGTACCTGGTCATCGCGAAGGGTCAGGTTCGAAATGGCACGGTGCTTGCGTTCTTCCTGGAAATCCCATCTGGCGACGTATCGACTTCCTGCTTGTACCTGAGACGGAAATCGGCGCTGCGTTAATCTATTTCACTGGGGACGATATCTTCAATCGCAGTATTCGATTGCTAGCCGGTCATAAGGGCTATTCACTTAACCAGAGAGGCCTGTATAGAGATGTTTTGCGAGGCCCGGGTAGGAAGAAGCTTACGGATGGGGAGTTGGTGGAGGGTAGTGATGAGAGGAGAATTTTCGAGATATTGGGTATACCTTGGAGAAGACCAGAGCATAGGATTCTTCAATGAGCCGGGCTGGTTGCATTGGGTTGGTCGCATGGGTGCTGGTGCATAGCGAATGGGTTAGGTATTGAGATGAGGCGCATTGGCATTGACTGAATGTCCTGGCATTATTGAGAGTTGCTGCTTTCTTTGCATTAAACACGAATTAATGATCATGTCAATGACTTTCGTTAATCTAATGTGAGATCACATTGAAGTCTGAAGCCAAAGGTTGATATAGTGACTCTATCCCTAGAGCTACCATAAACATATTTGCAGCTCGGAGGCCTAATACGGCGCTGAACGCGCTATTTCCACTATCTGCGCTATCTGCGCTACTTGCGCTGAATGCGGTGAACCCGCTGAATGGGCTGAACGCGCACGTTGCGCTATATGCGCAATGCAGGAAAACAGATTTATACGGTTGAGGAGGAACATTAGACTACTTATTTTGTACAGTGGACTTTTCAGTTTCTAAATACTTAATGATTGAGACGAGATCAGAGATTCGAAAAAGGCGAGAGGCTAACAAGGCGTGAGTTGCTAAAAAGGTGTGAGAGCTTGAATCTCAAAAACAGGTAAGGAGAAACCAGAAAGAGAAAGATTGAGGCGGGCGAGAATGCCAAAGGAGGTAGAGGACTTGACAGTAGCTGAGATACTAAAATCGGTTTGCATTGAGGACATTTATTGAGTCATCATAGCACCTTATCCTATTGCGAAATCGAGGTACAAGTCTTTCAACAATCACAGCTGTCCAAGATTCTAGACCACATCTCAACACGAATAATTGTCTCTCATTCGTAATAAAAATTACAATAAGTTCTTACGTCCCATAGATATACATAACACACCTGTTCTCCGCCCGAATCAAAAGCTGTTACGCTACAGCAGCGCAAGCTAAATGCAAGCTCAACGCTCAGAAGAACAAATTGGGTATCAAAGAAGATCTCCGTATGGCTGTCCAGCCAAGTACGCCTTCCGCCCTGGAAAAAAGCAAGTTCGTGACTCCGTAAATAACGCCTCTCCTACAAATGAAAGCTGTGTCGAAGTTTAGATAAAACGGCCTCCAAATCAAACATCCAGTACCCACGCCAGAACAAAGAAAAATTGTAGAATCGAAATGTATGTACTAAACGGCACCCTCCTGCCCTTCAAGAACCCTTCTTGCAGCGTCTAATCGTCGTCTCCATACACGGCCATCGTAGCTTCCTCGTCCGGCTTCTTGCAGACCCAAGACGCACTTGCCAAGGCTGGCTACCAGCCTCTCCACCAATATCTGATCATCTTTTGCTAGCATGTGCACAGGTGATGGCTCAAGACGCTCGCGACTTGAGTTGACTTCTGTCAAGGTAGTGGAGTCACTCAAACGCGAAGCTTCATGCTCTTTGAGACGCAAATCGGGGTCACTAGATGTTGGCTGCTGTATTTTAGGCTTGTTCACCAATGGAAAGCTGCGCGTAGTTCCGGTCGATTGGAAAGACTCGAAAGAAGCAACCGATGGACGGTGGGCCGCACTGACAATCCTTTGCTGTTCGTCGTGTCCGGTAGAATGCCTTCGAACAACTTGGGTTGATACCTGGTTGTTATCGGAAGCGCCATTGACAGCACTGCCAAAGGTTGTACGTTTCGCGGTGACTGGCGTGCTTGTTCTTACTTCTGGAGCAGTAACCTCTTGTACGGAGAAATCTGCATTGCCATCCTCGCCATTTTCAGAGCCATTGCCTTCTGTCGCTGTAGCAAATGTTGCCATTGTAGAGATAGAATCGGTGCTTCCAGATCTGAGATGTCCCAACGATGTACGTTCATTCACCTTTGCGGTACTGGACGTTGTCGGACCCCGTGTCGTCTCAACAGAATCCTCAGAGCTATAACTGCCAACGCTATCTCTCCTTCCATTTCGTTGTTGACTGATCGTCCCCATCGCGCTATGTAAGAAGAAGTGCTCATAATCGAAGGCATCTTCTCGGTCCTCATGTGAAATTTGAGTTGCAACTGTGTCGTGATATAAAGAAGCATCACTTTCGTAATCATCGGCCTCCTCACGGTTGACCATCTCGTCGTTGTATTCGTCCACAAAATCCTCCTCGAAATCTTGTGGCTGCTCTCCCTCAGCAGCTGTATCATAGTCCTCCTCTTGGATCGGTGGTTCGCGACCTGTCATACCGTCTGAGGCATGGGTCTCGATGACATCTTCATACACACTTGTGACATCCGAATTTGCATATCCTGGAGCAATCGGGGCACTCTCTTTCAGCTCTCTCTCCTTCCCACCGTCTTTCTCGCGCTCCGGTTCATTCCAAGGAGGTTGAGCAACACCTGCATCAGCACTCAAAGGTGGAGAGTTGCCGTAATTCTTTGCACCTGCATACCACTGCTCGGCTGCGGTAAAGGGGCTAGGCGTACGTAGGCTCTGTAAACTTCGACGTTTCATTGTATCGTCTCGAGCACGGTCCCGAAGCACGGACAACCGACCCTTTAGATCTTGCATCTGGTCCCGAAGGTCCCGCATCTGCATAGAAGACGCAGAGCGCGTCAAGCCTCGGTGCTCGCCGCTTGGGCCTAGCTGATCGTCCAGAGCAGACCTCATGCTGGCACGATCAGCCTCGAAATCAGGACTAGCATCGTCTTCACTCAGTGGTTCCAGTATTGTGCCATGGGGTGGAGATGCTTTACTCAAGGACGAGGTGAATCCAGAGCGAGATCCAGTCCTGCTCTCTTCATGTGTGCCCTCAGGAGTGTAACTCAGAGGAGGAGATGGCTGACTGGCATCCAATCCACTTCTACCGATATAACGAGCTGCCGCGCTTGCTGAACGAACTGGAAACGCAACAGGTCGCAGAGGAGATGATATTGAAGTTTCGCTGTAGACTCTCGAATGGCCCGGACTATTCGTCGGAGAATCAGAAGGGGTATTCAGCTGTCTGTGTTTCGACGGAGCAACTCCAAGGGATGTTATCAGTCGTGGCTCGTTCTGAGGAGGAGACGGGGTCGATCGTGATAAGGGACTGCTGCTGTGAATAGAGGACATGGACCCGGTGGGAGTAATATACAACGAGCTTCGTGCTCTGGTGAGATTGCCTTCCATGTTCTGGTTCGAGGTTAGCTTCAACGGTCCTTAGAAATGCAAACCAATAATCTCACATTCAGCCGTTTCTTCGCGTTCAACAAGATCTGCTCTGCTCTCCTGCTTAATGCTGCGCTTGAATTCCTGTCTTCATCTTTGCCAATATTGTTATCTTGTTGATTTAGACGTTTGGTTTCCGAGGCGATCACTTCCTCAGTGTAAGAATCTGCAACACTCTCTTCATCGTCTCCCTGGAATACGCTGTCGTCAACGCTCGCCGAATCGTCAAAGTCCTTAAAGAGCTCTCCGTGCTGTGCTTCTGACGTGATAGTGCTTGTAGATTCAATTGAGATCTTCCGTTGGTGTGTTCCCGTTTTCGTTCTCTTCATCACAGCGTCATAGCCAATCGTTGGGCTCGATCGCAAAGGTTGATTTTGTTGCTGTTGCTGCTTCAACATCCTCCTCTCTGCTGGTCCAGGCAACTTCCTTCCCGGTGTGCTCTCAGCTTCTGTCACTTCTCCAATATCCGACAGCATTGTTCCGTTCCCGTATATGATAGGCGTTGTAGGGGTCATTAAGCCCATATGGGAGTGAGAGGATCCAATCGAGAATTGCATTGTCGCAGGATTTGTCTCCCAATCTTCGTTTGGAGAGCCCGATCGATATGTCCCACGAGGAGGGGAAGGGGTCGAATCGTACTCTCCATAAGGCAAGATCATGTCGGGATTGGTGAGGGTAGGAGACGCTGGGAGAGGGACTGTTGAGTATGCCATGGTCGCGGTGCCCGTTTGTACATGCATGCTGCCGCGTGCACTTGGCAGGTGGGTGCCCTCGAATACAGTACTGAGACTCTTGGGAGGAGGTCGGCTGAACGTGTGGAACTGTGGACGCAATCGCCCGAGGACCGTCGACTGCTAGTTGGTCTAGAAAAAATAAAAGTCACTGTCGCGAACGCCAGAGTGCGACAGCACGGCGATGTCTGGCCGAGATAGGTGAGCCCCCCGTAGCAGTGGGTTCCGGGTGATGTTGTGCAAGACAGGAGATGGACGGGTGATGAAGAACACCCTTCACTCGAATGGGAAGGAGTGAATATCTTGATGTGCGTCGAAAAATGCTTCGCGACCGCCCCGTTGGATGGAAGTCTCCTCTCCTTGTGCCAATTGCTCCTGTCCTGACTTCTCCTGGATTGGGGAATTTCTAGTGATGTTCCGCATTAGCACTGGACTGGACAATCCAGGTAGCCAGGCACAGCGACTACCGACTACTGGTACCCTTGGTCGCTTGTCTCACAGCCAATCTCAGCACCGGCAGAACCCTGCAGCGCTTTTAGAAGCTGCCGTTGGGCATGAGAACGTCGACCTCAGCTGCCAATTATCACGCATGGTCAAGCAAAGTCAGGTACGGAGGATCCATCCAATCCAGACCCTTTCTTACGTACCCTCTACCGCATTCTTCATCGTCTCTTCAGCAATTGCATAAGCCTCCCCTCTCGATAACGGTGGCATAATACACGTCCTTCCGGATTGCTTCTTCAATTTTCCGGCAGCGGGAACCGCCTTGCTCTTCCCTGCCAAGCGCACTGAGGAAATTGAGCGCATGGACACTTTCTTGTGTTTGGTGGGGATGAACAAGTTCCTCTACGAGACTGCGACCGCGGCACGGTGCTCTACAAAAGGATCACATTCAAGACGTGATGGGCGCAGCCGATCCTGTTGGCTGCAAGTAGGTGAGGACAGAACAAGAGGAGCTGCTGCCACCGTTCCACAGAATGCAAACCGCCAAAGGCTCGCAAAATCAACTACATACAGTACAGAGAATCAGAAGAAGAAGAAAATCAAGCGATCAGATGTAAGATTAGGACTCCCCAATCTCGGGGATTTTTATGTTCACGGACCACGAAAAGGAGGCTCAAGTGTGGATATAAAAACAAAAAAGAATCGGCAGTTCGCGAGCATGTGCTGACTCGAGACACAGCTGACGCTCAATTTGACGCAGCGAGGTCAAAAGTACTTCAAAACACCATATTCCCCTATTGTTGCAGGATTTTGAAAGTCCACGAAGCAAGAAACACTACTGGGGTTGTTCTTCGAAAACAAGACTCGAGTGTCACCCCCGGCCCTTGCATTCTCTCGGCTTGCGTATGCTAGGTGAAGTCAATTTAAAAATGTTCTCTCTCATCAGCTCGCAGAAGAATGAGTTCACAGAACGCCCTTAGCAAGGCATTCAAGCCCGATTTCAAGAACACCGAGCTCCGGTGACAGAACGGAATTCTTACACTGGCTCCAAGCAGTTGCGGAGCGCAGTAGCGCTTGAACTTCCCTATTCTGACTGGCCGTTAGCGTGGAAGACGTTATTCCTGACTCACTGTAGCGGTCGACTGGTCTCGAACTCCGACTCGACGGCTTTGAAGAGGTGAGGAATTTGTATATATATATATATACAAGTTCATTTGATTTCAATATTTCCGTTTTTCGAATTCTTAAAGACCTTTCCCTTGGTTTTTTCCTTCAAACAATAAATCAAAATTTTCAAATCGACAGCAAGTTACCGCTCCACACCATGGCACCAGAAACCTTCACACTCTCCGAGTGCACAAAAGAAGATGTACCAGCCATGATACAAGTCTACCTCAGCTCCTTCGCATCCGACTACTTCGGCCAGTTCGTGTTCCCCAAAGCCACCATAAGCGACGAAGAAAGGCATCGCTGGCTCACCTACCGCTTCACAACCCTGTTCACCAAACGCGAAGTCCGGAGCTTCAAAATCACAGAAAACAGCACGGGGAAAATGGCCGCGTTTCTGAGATGGACGTTCCCAATCGTTTTAACAGAAGAAGAGCAGCTTGAGCGCAAGAAGGAGAAGGCGGAGAAGGAGAGGGTGATGAAGGAGACGGGACATGATCCTACGTGGCCAAGGGGCGCGAATTTGGCGCTTACGGAGGAGAAGTTTGGGGGCTTGGAGAGGATGATGGATAAGTATGTTGATAAGAAGGAGATGTATGGTAAGTTAGCAACATCTTTGAATGAGAGGGGAGGAAGAGTGCTCACGTGTGTGCTTAGTGGCCAATCTTTTAGGTACAGATCCAGCGTATCAGAGAAAGGGACTTGCTAGTAGGTTACTGAAGCATGTTCTTGATATGGCTGATCGGGAGGGGAGGAAGGTCTATATTGAGGCTACTCCTGCGGGGCATCCCGTGTATCTGAAGTTGGGGTTCAAGGATGTTGATATTGTCAAGGTGGATTTGTCGAGATGGGGTGGGAAGGAGATTGGGACTAATAGGATTATGATTAGGGATCCTGAACCTGCTTCGTGAGGTTTGGTTTAGCATTTTTATAGATTTTGGCAGGATAGAGTATTTTCGCATAGCGGTAAATGACATATAAAAAGGATCATCTATCTATTGCTTATACCGAGAGCGTTGAGATACTTTGTTAGTTCATTTTTCGTAGATTGCTCCTGACCAACCAAGCGAGTTAATAGTAAACGTTTGTACGATGAGACCACAAGGTTTTTTTTACGAGGTTTTGTATTTGTAAATCTTGCCATACTGCTATGTCTCTAGCTTCGATACAAGTATGCTCGGAAGGTCCTTGATATCCACATGCTCTTGCGTTCCCAAATCAACCACTCTCACTGCCTCAATCCCTACAATACCCGCCCTCAATGCCATAAACTTCAACTCAACCTCATAACAAGCTGATGGTGCCAGAGGGCCAACTCGGGGATCTGTACTCAAGCAGACGATCTCCGTTTGGTCAATCACGGAATTCTTCTGCATTGCATAGACGATGTTCTCATCGACGACAGCATCGGCAACTTTGGGATCCCTCTTGCCACCGTAGCCGGTAGAAGGGGGGCGAGTAATTCGTGCTTCTGTTCGGCGACGTTTAGGGATGACCATGAGGGCAAGTTTTCTTGGGCGATCAGATCTGTTGACTATGAAGACAGACCATACGAAAGGAACACCAGGATAGATTGGGTCATCATTTCCAGGTCCTGTGAATGTCATTGTCACACCAAAGTCGGGGATAGCTGAATTGCGTTGCTGCCGTGTCGTGATATCCACGGAAGGGAGAGCGTCAGGTCGGGTTATCGCCAAAGAAGTGGCTGTTGGAGTGTCGAAAGCAGAGCCAATGGACAACTGAGCAGGTCGGTGAGGCCTCTGTATAGGCTGAGTAGGAGTACCAAAACCTGGATTTACTGGAGGCGTAAAATCCAATGAAGTCGTCCAGTGCATTGATATTTGAGGCTGACATACGTCGGAGAGCTTGGCTATTGCCGATATCGAGATTTCTAGAGCCCGCACTTGTGATTTGTTTGTTGCATCTAGATCATCTGGAAGGAGACGGTACATGAATGTGATGTCGTCTTGTGGAAGAGTGGCAATTGGAAGAACCAAGCCAGATACTGCATTGAGATCCTCCACGCTTCCGCCACTTATACTGAGATCAACCTTTGTCAAGGTGATTTCGCAATTTGCAAAGGCGGTGATATCAACATCGACAGATGCTATCACAGCTGCGTTTGTAGGTGTAGTATTCGGTCGAGAGTACCTCACTCGTGCATTCACTGCTGGATACACTTTTATGGACTGCCGTGAGATGTTTTTCAGAGGCCGCATCATATCTCTGGTGGACTGTGGTGCTGGTGCTACACGAGCAACTCTTAGTGCCGAGAGCCGTGGCTTAATGCCTCCCATTGCTGGATCATCAGTGAATGCCTGTCTGATTTTAGCTCTCGATTTCCTCAATGGGCATTGTGAATTCAAATTTAGAAATAGAAGGGCTATTTCAATAGGTATATAAATTCAAGTGAAGTCAAAGCATAGCATACCTCTAACAAATTAATCCCAGATGGAACCTGACTTGGCAAGTATTCCTCTTTCAGTGTTGCATTATGAATCTGCTCAGCAGGCCTCAAATGTGCTGTAGCAGCAAACACCACTGACGGATTCTGAAGTCGGAGACGGGGTCTTATGAGAAACGCTGACATCTTCCATACGACTAGAATATGACCTTCTGTGGGATTCCGTAAACTTTCATCAGGTCCCTGAACCACAACTATTGGATCCTCTCCATCTTGGATAGATCCATTGTAAATAACCTCCTGACCAGGTGAGCTTTCAGGGTTATCCGAGTGTGCATTCACAACTTGAGCTTCAAGATGGATGTCCAGTCGTCCCAGATAGGATCGCAGAGTTCGTTCATCGAAGTACGGTGTTTGTAGAACAATATAGACATTAACAGTTTCATCTAGGATCTATAAATGAGTAAGATAAAGAGCTGAAATAGTGCCCAAGATAACTGACCAAAATATAAAGCATGCCTTTGCGGAATGGCAGCTAGGGGAGAATCGTTGCCTTCATCGAGACGTTCCACTGAACCACTCAGAGCTTCCTCAATATTCAAATCACTCGTTGACGGAATCACTGTCCCTAAGATAGAACTCTCCACGAATTCGAGACTCCCGCGAGGGCGCGGTTCCTCAACTTCGGTCTCTTCCATCATCTTGTCAATTCCAGAACGAGTTTCGTGAAGGAAGTGTCGCAAGCTTTGGTGATTGAGCCTCGAGCTCCAGAAGACGCCTGTCAGTTCGCAACCATATTCGTATTTGTTGCAGAGTGGCTGCGCAGTTCATCAAAGTGAGGTTCAGATTGTCCCGTTGTCCGAAGGACATTCACGAGCTCCTGGTTAAGGTTCCACGCTAGCGTCCTTTGCTCTTTCGAAAGTTTATCTTTCGCGATTGACTTCCTATCCTCAACTTCAGATTGCGATCTCAGCAAGCAACGTCCACCATGAATGTCATGAACGGAATGAATGGCCATGCTGCTGCACCGGCTTTATGGTCGGAGGCGCGCAACGCAGATGGTCGTGTCTACTATTACAATACCATCACCAAAGCCACACAATGGACAAAGCCCGATGAGTTAATGACAGCAGCTGAAGTACGTTTTTGCAGGACTCTCAAATTCACCATATGCTAAATCTCTACTGCAGCGAGCTCTTGCAAATCAGCCATGGAAGGAATACACGGCAGAAGGTGGAAGGAAATATTGGTATAATACAGAAAGCAAGCAAAGTGTTTGGGAAATGCCAGAGGTCCTCAAAGAGGCTCTTGCCAAGGAAACACCAACGCCTACACCTGTCGCAGCGTATGTATACACTTTGGGACACGGTATGAATAGCTACTGATGGTTCACAGGGCACCTACCTTCGTTGCAGGTGGTGGTTTCGGCGCCTCACAATTCGACCAACCTCGAGACAGAGAGCCCCTTGGAGAAGCTCGCCAAATTGCTTATGGAAATGATGCTAATGGCAGCCGTGCTCAAGTTTTTGTGCCAGCAAATACTGATCCCGAATACTCTACGTTTGAAGAGGCTGAAGCAGCATTTTTGAAGCTCTTGCGCCGAAATAATGTCGACCCAAACTGGACATGGGAACAGACTATGCGCGCGATCATCAAAGACCCGCAATACCGAGCACTGAAGGACCCCAAAGACCGAAAAGCTGCATTTGAGAAGTATGCTGTTGAGGTCCGCATCCAGGAGAAAGATCGCGCGAAGGAAAGGATTGAGAAGTTGCGCAAAGATTTTGCTACTATGCTGAGAAGCCACCCAGAGATCAAACACTACACTCGATGGAGGACAGCCCGACCCATTATTGCCGCCGAGGCCATTTTCCGTTCCTCAAACGACGACGACGAGCGCCGCCAGCTGTTTGAAGACTACATCATTGAGCTTAAGAAAGCCTATATCGAACGAGAAGTGGTGACACGCAGAGCTGCTATGGATGATCTAGTGGAAATTTTGAAGAGCCTTGATTTGGAACCGTATACACGTTGGTCTGAGGCACAAGGTATAATCCAGTCCAATCAACGCTTTCAAGGTGATCAGAAATTTAAGTCACTCACCAAATCTGACATGTTGACTGCCTTCGAAAATCATATCAAATCATTGGAAAAGACCTTCAATGATGCTCGACAACAGCAGAAAAACCAGAAGTCCAGGCGAGAACGCCAAAATCGAGATCGGTTCTTGGCTCTGTTACAAGAGCTCAAGACGGGCAATAAGATCAAGGCAGGTACTAAGTGGAGCCAAATCCATCCCTTAATTGTGGAAGACGACAGATACAAGTCAATGCTTGGCCAATCGGGTTCCACACCGCTGGATTTGTTTTGGGATATGGTTGAGGAGGAAGAGCGTTCTCTACGGAGCACACGGAATGATGTCTTGGACGTCCTTGATGTATGGTTCTCACTCTCTTTATTATGACTATGCTAACGAATAACAGGACAAGCGGTTTGAGATCCAGCAGAAGACTAGTTTTGAGGAGTTCCTTGCCTTGATGCAGAATGATCGACGGACTGCTAACATTGATCGAGATGCGCTTGCACTAATATTTGAGCGGGTAAGAACCTGTATATGTCTGTCCGAAATCAAGAGCTAATAATTACAGCTGCATGAGAAAGTGTCCCGACGCAATGAAGATGACAAGCACCAAGCTGAGCGCCAGCAACGCCGAGCTATTGATGCTCTCAGGTCCTATATTAAACACCTTGAGCCTCCCATTCGGATTGAAGATACTTACGAGAAAATCAGGCCTCGTATCGAGAAGTCTGAAGAGTACACTGCTGTATCCACAGAAGAATTCCGACGCTCGGCTTTCGATAAGGTCATTCGGCGACTGAAGGAGAAGGAAGAAGACGCCGAGAAAGACAGGCTTAAACGTCGTGAGAGAGCATCAGTCGATAGACCGAATCACCGTGATAGAGACAGAGGTGAGAGACCACATAGAACTGGTGGACGTCACACTAGGTCGAGCCGCAGCCCAGAACCAGATGCATACGAAGCAGATCGACGCAAGGCGATTGCCGACCGAGAGAAGAACTATCGAAAGTCCAGCGTCGCTGAGACATTACTTTCGCCGGGCCGTAGAGATGCTCGAGGGGACCGCGACAGAGACCGCGATGATCGAGATCTAGACAGACCTCACCGGAGCCGTCGTGAGGAAGCCGTCAGCCACTATGACCGGGAGAGACGTGATAGAGAGAATGAAAGAGAGAAGCTCTATCGCAGACGAGGTGACCCCAGAGGCAGCATTGATGAGTTGCCATATGGTGACGAAAGACCCAGCGGTGGCAGCAGACGTCGGAGAGCTGACAGCGATGTTGAGAGTGCAGGAAGTACGAGGATCATAAAGGTTAGCTCTAATTCATTTATCTTTCTTTCCATGTATCCTGCACTAACATAAATTAGCGATCTAGAAGAGAATCACCTCGTGAGCGCTCCCCGCCCCGTGAACGCCATCATAGGACTAGGACTCCCCCAGCAGCTGTTTTACCACCAAAGGAAGAACCGGCCGTTCATTCTGGAAGCGAGGAAGGTGAAATTGAAGAAGAGTAGACCAGAGATAATGTGGTTATCTGCCAAGACGTCAATTTAGTACGTATCGAAACACCATAAACGTTTCTTGGCATGATGACCATGGCAAGCAGAGATTTTGAACACTTGGAAGCGAAGATGTGATGGAAAGCGAGCAGTGGATTTCAATTTGAGGATTCATCGGTGTGTATCTGTCTCTCCTAACGAGCCATATCATCTCGATTTCCCTTGAGCATGAATTCCTAATAATGAAAATCATTCATCAATGTGTATGTATGTAATCAATACCACACCCTTCGTGAACTATATAAGTCCAAATCTTGATGCCAAATGCACCAGACGGCAGCTGCTCACTTGACCCATTGTCCCTCAATCTACCAGATATGCTGTTATGTACGGAAACAAAAGAAAGAGCAGCAATCGTGAGTAGGACCAGACAACAGGGAGCAAGCTGCCGTCGCCGTTGTTAGCCGCCGGGTTCTTCGTCATCATTCAAAGTCATTTCCTCGCTCAAATCCCCGCCCGATCCTTTATGCCTATTCCCTAATGCTTTTCCTGAAACGCCTGAAAATGCATTATTTACCGAGCCGTTTGATTTATCATGAGTGCCCTTTTCAACTAGGAGGGGCGGCCGTAGCCGCCTTATCCTCTTCCAAGAAGAAATAATTGCCCCCCAATTTCTGCTCTTGGTCTAGTTGAGAATTGAGCTTGTTGATGCGAGGTCTGTAGTTGGTTGGGTCACGGCGGAAAGTGACATCGAGGTTCTTCAAGAACTTGTTGCAACCAGTGAGCAATGATTCGGGAGCATTGGCACGAGCGTCGATTCCTGGCTCGCCATCAAAGACGATGACACGATCAGCGAGATAGGTGGCCATGATGAAATCGTGCTCGACAATGAAAGCAGTCTTCTTGGAATGCATAATGAAACGCTTGATGACACGTGCGGCGATAATACGTTGTTCGGAGTCAAGGTAAGCGGAGGGCTCGTCGATGAGGTAGATGTCGGCGGGCAATCCCAATGCGAGCACGATGGCTACACGCTGTAACTCACCACCAGACAAGGTCTTGACCTCTTGATCAATGAATTCCTCGAGCTTCAAGGGCTTGACAACGTCTGTCTGGAATTGAGGGAGCAGGAATGCTGTCTTGATCTTCTTGAAGAAAAGCTGTCGAACTGTACCCTCAAACTTCGGTGTGATCTTCTGGGGCTTCATGCTGACTTTCATGCCTGGAACCTTCTGGTTGCCATCTGGGTTCAAAGCTCCAGCGAGGAGTTTGCAGAAGGTGGTTTTTCCAGTACCGTTTTCACCCATCATGACGATGATCTCGGAATCGGTGAAGTCGCCAGATTCGATACCGAGATGAAATTCTCCAAGAGTCTTTTCCATAGATGGGTACTTGAAGGCACGAGTCCGGTCAACCATAAACTCGTCAGCAGCCTCTGCGATACGGAAGGTCAATGATTCCTCTCTGAAGCGAAGATTTTCAGTGGGAATGTTGCCGTCAAGGAAGATGTTGATGCCTTCTCGGACAGAGGCCGGTAATGTAACTACACCATACACAGCAGGTCTACCGTAGAGAACGCAGATGAAGTCAGAAAGGTAGTCGAGTACGGACAAATCGTGCTCGACACAAATGACATAATCGTCGGGTCGTAGCAGAGACCGAATGACCTTCGCGGCACTCAAACGTTGCTTGACATCCAAATAAGATGAAGGCTCATCGAACATGTAGCTGTAACATTCGTTAGTATGAGCAGTACCCGAGCAAGTACGGAGACATACACATCAGCCTGTTGCACGCAGACAGTGCCGATAGCAAATCGTTGAAGTTCACCTCCGGAAAGAAGATTGACATCTCGATCCATGATATGTTTCAGTTCTAGGGAAGACTTGTTAGCCAGGTTTGTGATTTATATCTGTAGGGTCATACCAAGAACGTCCAAAACTTCCTCCAAATTGTCCATAGATGCATTCGCCTCGATGAGGGTTCGTACAGTCTTGTCAGGCCCTCGAATCGCCTTAGGGATACGGTCAACGTATTGAGGCTTGACAATGGCCTTGAGATCATCCTCAAGGATTTTGGTGAAATAGTCTGCGACACCGTTAGCTGCAAAATGTCTTATGCAGGTTGACGAAACTGACTCTGCAGCTCAGAACCTCGGAAGTACTTGATGACATCTTGCCAGTCCGGAGGGGTTTCGTATCTTCCCAAGTTGGGCTTCAACTTTCCGCTAAGAATCTTCAAAGCAGTACTCTTGCCAATACCGTTGGACCCGACCAAACCCAAGACTTGTCCAGGACGAGGTGTAGGAAGGCGATGAAGCTTGAAGCTGTTCGCGGAGTATCGATGCGTGACATGCGATTCGAGGTTGGTTGGCAGATTGATGATGTTGATAGCTCCGAAGGGGCACTTCTTTGGGCAGATACCACAACCAATACACAGACTCTCGGAGATGAAGGCGATCTTGGACTCGGGTGTGACCTCGATACAGAGACGTCCGCTCCTAACCACTGGGCAAGATTTCTTGCATTCTTGTCTGCATTTCTTCGATTGTTTAGCGCGACCACGTTCTCTTGGAATTGGAATAATATACCTTCGGCTTGCACTATAATTGAAGACGTTTGTTAGCCCAAAATCTGAGTGACAGCGGGGTAGTTGGCGGGGTTGTTAGGCAGGTGAAAGGCAAGTCATACGGACCTTATCTGTGCTTATGATCGCAATACGGGTGAGTTTGTCAGACATGGTTTGTACCTGGCGCTCCTAGAGCTGCAGAGACGGAGATGTTTTGGTGGCAGACCGAGACTGCGTATTGTTTTGGAGTTGAACAATGACCTACGTGGGAAAAAATGACGGATTTGTGAATACAATCCGTGCGATTGGTTCGGCACCGGCTAACTTTAGTGCCATCGGTACCAAATTAATTTCACTTACCTCTGCCTGCGTCTATCAGATTTGCGTGAATGTAATAAAGCATCTACAGCTCTGGTAAGAGAACACGTCTCTGATACTATCGCACAAAGAACAAAATATGGTGGTATCAGCTACAGAGTGTACATAGATAGAGGTCCCAGATGAAGCCCGAGAGTGCACGTGTCTGCAATATTCCCCAGCGGAGGCCCCCCTTTCAAATAGCGAGAGGCATGAGTGACCCGTTCTGCAAACAATTCGTCGTCCAATATTCCATGGCCATACACTGAAGTCCTAAATGGGCTCTACGAGTAGCGTATTCTAGAATTCACATTAGTTCTCTGCACTTGTCCATTCACAATGGACTGTGGTTAGGAAGTGACTTCACGGCGCTATTGCATACCGTAGAAATGTGTCGCTTACAGTAGCCCGCGCCAAAAGTACATTCGATGAAGAGCCTCTGTCTTCCTCCGCACTATTCTACCTGTATGCAACACCACATTTCTTTACTTCAACAAACACCTTAATTTTGTGGGGGAATTCAAGGGAAGCCAGGTCAAGATGGCTTGTAAGTGTTCTTCTCGTTCTCCTCATATTTTTCCACACGGAAAAGTCCAAGGGACTGTTCCGCTGCTGCTATTCTGCCTGCTTCACGATCATCGATATACCGACCAATATTTCTCGAGCATGTCGGCTTGGAAGACTATACAATCGACTTGCTATGCCCTCTCGTCTCATAGAACTCTGTGAGAGGATTTCCGACAAATTCTGCAGAGCCCTAAACCTCACCTCACCTTCAATCGCTCCGATATCAGCATCAAGCCTTCCATCACTCTCATCCATCTAGACATGCGCCAGCAGCAGTCAGACAGTTCCTGACGACCCCTAGCATGCGGTCTTGGGTGCTTCGAGATCGCCTATCTCTGCTCTACGCCCTCATATCAACATTGGAATTGGCATCGTGGCAGAGACTTTGAGCTTCTAGACCAGACTGCTAACATCGTCGTATATAGCCCCACCACCAACAAGAATGACATTGTTGGACACAGCCTCTTCACTTCCGGGTCTGAATGGAACCACCGATACCATAATCCTCACGAAAGACGACGCACCCTACGAGAGCGATGACAGCGAATTGTCCATTCCCAATGTCGACGACGAAGCCTCGCCGGCCTCAAACCACCAGTCCGAATTTGGAGCTCAAGGAGCTCAAGATACTGAAGCTTCCGATTCTTCCGATGCTGAAGCTCAGGATCAGTCTGAAGACGCAGACTTCGATATGGAAGAGGACAGTCCTGCACCGGTCACGAATGGCAGACGAGAACAGAGCTCATCATCCACCGAGTCTCGCCGTCCTACCAAGCGGAAGCTAGATCTCGAGGAGGAGCATATGAGAGCCAATCCAGAGTTATACGGTCTGCGGAGAAGTGTACGTCGTCTAGAGGCATTTCTCATTGGGACTGCCATGCTGACATCTGCTCTTAGGCCCGTGAAGTCCAACATCGACCTATCGTACGTCGAAGCTTGTTCCCCAAGTAGCTATCGTGTATACAGAGTCTGTACTAATTCAAGCAGATTGAATCTGATGACGATAATGATGACTCGGAAAGTGATGTCGTGCCAGCTCATAGGACAAAACGAAGAAAGCAGGAGCCGTCACAGCCTTGTATGTATCATCCCCTCACCTCGCCGTCGCCCCTAATTAATCATTCGTGTGAAGCATCAAAACGCGATACGCCTGTCCTTCGATCAGTCTCCGATTCCGATTCTGATGACACTGATACATATGGTGGTTCTCGAGCCCGAACTCTGACCAAGAAGCATCGTCGCCGCCAACTCGAATCTGGCAACCTCGCCCCAGCATACCAGGAGAAGCGATGGAATAGTCGAAGAGCTGCCCAAGTCACTGCTGGAGCATACCAAGAGAGTGAGGCAGAGTTTGAGGACGAATCAGAAATGATGACTCCCAACTACTGGGCTGGCGAGACTGAGGATACCACCCCCTATATCGATGTTGTCCTGAAGCATCGATTGAAGCAAGGCAAAGATATGAAGACGGACGATCCTACTCGAGATGACTTCGAATACTATATAAAGTGGCAGGGCAAGTCCCACTATCATGCCACCTGGGAGACTACGACTTCATTGACGGGTATGCGAGGCTTCCGTCGACTCGAGAACTACTTCAGGAAGATAGTGCAAGAAGATATATACATGGCACGTGGTGATGATATCCCTCCCGAAGAGAAAGAGAAGTGGATGTTGGATCGCGAGCGTGATGCAGATGCTCTCATTGACTATACGAAGGTCGAGAGAGTCATTGGCACTCGAGATGGAGAAGATGAGACCGAATACTTCGTGAAGTGGAAAGGTCTCTACTATGAGTCTTGCACCTGGGAGGTTGCCTCACTTGTGAGTGAACTCAGTCAAGATGCAATAGACCGCTTCCTGGATCGAAGCTCGCGGACTCTATCCTCGGACAACAAGGAGTCTAATCCCAACTCCCGCGGCCCTCACGTGTTCATTCGAGAACAGCCTTCGTACATCAAAAATGGCCAACTTCGAGACTTCCAAATCAAGGGTCTAAATTTCCTGGCTTACAACTGGACCAAGAACAAGAATGTCATCCTTGCAGATGAGATGGGCTTGGGCAAGACTGTACAAACGGTGGCATTTATGAATTGGCTCCGTCATGATAGACGGCAAGAGGGCCCTTTCCTCGTTGTAGTTCCTTTGACTACTATTCCTGCCTGGGCTGACACATTCGATCACTGGGCTCCTGATATCAACTATATCATCTACAATGGTAAAGAGGCTTCCAGGAGCATCATTCGTGAATACGAACTGCTTGTCGATGGAAATGTCAAGCGACCAAAGTTTAACGTGCTCCTAACCTCTTACGAGTACATTCTCACTGACGCAACGTTCTTGGCTCAAATCAAGTGGCAATTCATGGCGGTCGACGAAGCCCATCGTCTCAAGAATCGGGAGTCTCAGCTATATCAGAAGTTGCTCGATTTCAAGGCTCCAAGTCGACTGTTGATCACTGGCACTCCAGTTCAGAATACTCTAGGAGAGCTGTCGGCATTGATGGACTTCCTTATGCCTGGTGAATTGGATATTGAGGAGAACATGGACCTGACTGAGGAAGCGGCCGGAGAAAAGATTGCCGCACTCACCAACAAAATTCAGCCATACATTCTTCGTCGTACAAAGCAAAAGGTCGAAAACGATTTGCCACCAAAGAGTGAGAAGATCATCAGAGTCGAGCTTTCCGATGTTCAGTTGGACTACTATAAGAACATCCTCACTCGAAACTATGCTGCTCTCAACGAAGGCTCCAAAGGCCAAAAGCAATCTCTTCTCAACATCATGATGGAATTGAAGAAAGCTAGCAATCACCCATACATGTTTCCGAATGCTGAAGAGAAGATACTGAAAGGAAGCGAGCGACGAGAAGACCAACTTAAAGGCTTGATTGCAAGCAGTGGAAAGATGATGCTTCTTGACCAGCTCCTCACTAAATTGAAGAGAGACAATCATCGTGTCCTGATCTTTAGCCAGATGGTGAAGATGTTGGACATCCTTGGTGACTATCTCCAGCTTCGTGGGTATCAATTCCAACGTCTTGATGGCACTGTTGCTGCTGGTCCTCGCCGCATGGCCATAGATCATTTCAACGCTGAAGATAGCAATGACTTCTGCTTCCTGCTCTCTACTCGTGCGGGAGGTCTCGGTATCAACTTGATGACGGCAGATACCGTCATCATATTCGATTCTGACTGGAATCCTCAAGCCGATCTTCAAGCCATGGCTCGTGCCCACCGCATTGGCCAGAAGAAGCCCGTCAGTATATATCGACTTGTCTCTAAGGAGACTGTAGAGGAAGAGGTTTTGGAGCGTGCACGTAACAAACTCATGCTAGAATTCATCACCATTCAAAGAGGCGTCACTGACAAGGAGAAGAAAGAGCTTCGCGAAAAGGCAGTTAAGGCTGGTAAGATCGACGATCCAAAGTCGTCTGAGGACATCTCGAGGATTCTCAAGCGACGAGGGCAAAAGATGTTCGAACAGTCTGGAAATCAAAAGAAGCTCGAAGAACTCGACATCGATTCAGTCCTTGAGAATGCTGAAGAACATAAGACTGAAGTTCCCGAGGGCATGGTTGCTGATGGTGGAGAGGACTTCCTCAGGAGCTTCGAGTATACTGATGTCAAGATCGATCTTGAATGGGACGACATCATTCCTAAAGATCAACTCGCAGGAATCAAGGCCGAAGAGGAAAAACGGGCTCATGAAGAATACCTTGCCAGAGTCGTCGAAGAGAATGCCCCCCGTAAGGCTGCCATGAGAAACACTGCGGAGATCGAAAGAGAGCAGCGTCTTGCTAAGAAGCGAGAACGAGACCAAGCTAAGCAAGACGAGCTCGACGAAAAAAGAGAAGCACAGGCGAATCGTGCCGATCCTAACCGGGAATTGAACGAGAAGGAAGCTAGGAATCTCTTCCGGGCATATTTCCGTTATGGGTCTCTCGATGAACGCAAGGAAGAATTGATCAAGGATGCTCGTCTCGTAGGCCGGAATATCGAAATTCTTCGTTCTGCCATTCGAGCTATCACCGACGAAAGTGAAAAACTTCTCAAGGCCGACAATGAGAGGATTGAGGCTCTCGAACGCGAAACGAATAAGCCTCTGACGAAGAAAGACAAAAAAGCTGTTCTCTTCGACTTCCTCGGTGTCAAGCGTCTCAATGCTGAGACTATCATCGAGCGCCCCGGTGAGATGAGAATGTTAAAGGAGATCATTCCGTCAGCTTCCGAGTTCAAGAACTTTCGTGTACCTGACGCATCAAAAGCCGCCCACTACTCTTGTGAATGGGGTGCTAAAGAGGATGGCATGCTACTCGTCGGTATTCATAGGCACGGCTATGGTGCTTGGGTGCAGATCAGGGACGACCCGGATCTTGGTCTCAAGGAAAAGTTCTTCCTGGAAGAGCACCGAGTAGACAAGAAGGAGGAGCGCAACAATGGGAATGAGAAAGTTGCTAAAGCTCCAGGAGCTGTTCATCTTGTTCGACGAGCTGACTATCTTCTCTCTGTCCTGAAGGCAAAGTATTCTGACAACCAAGCAGCCAAGCGTGCTGTCGAGAATCATCACAGGAACAACAAGAAGCACGAACGAACGAATGGCCATCGACGATCAGAGACTCGAGGGTCTGTGTCCGCTTCGCCGGCTCCACCAGTGAAGAAGCACCACCGCCAACCTGAACATCGCAGTCGAGACCGAGAACGAGATCGTGCAGATAGCCACAGTCGTGCCGGTCCGGAACGTTCCACTCCTAAGCCTGACCTGAAGAGAAAACATAGCGCACCTGATGATGATCGTCCGCATTCAAAGAATCACAAGTCGGAGAATGGCCATTCAAAATCGACTCATCAACAAGATTCCATGCTGCGTGTCATTTTCCGGCCGGTGAAGGACAGTCTCAAGCGAATACAGTCTGCCACTAAGGACAAAATCACATCGAGGAAAGAGAGGGCGAATTTGATGAAGGTAGAGCTGGTAACACTCGGCAACTTCATCAATGATCTCACCAAGGAAGAAGGGAATGCTTTAGAGGACCAATTCTGGTAGGTTGCTCCTATATAAATGTGTCACTTATGCTTGCTAATTGCTCTATAGGGAATATGTTGCCGGATTTTGGCCCCCAGTTGAGGGCAAACCCTTGGCTGGACAAAGATTGATCGCCATGTATAAGAAGATCACGAACCCTGAGACAGCAGTGGCAGATGGCGCCAGTACATCAGCAACTCCAGTTGTAAATGGCACGTCTACACCGGCTGCGAAGGTGAAGACTTAGATTGATATCATCATATGCTTCGAGTGGATTTCGTCAAAATACCATTGCGTGGGCGTTTATGGAATTCGTTGAATTACTGGGAATTCAAATCGGGGTTGGGTTTGCATGCATGGGTTTGCGGTTGGGATTGGTTGCATCACATCAGGCGTTGAGGGTCATTTTCCATCTATTTTAGAGCGATTGCCATTACTCCGTTCGGCAGGAGTTTCACACCATACTTGGTTGGCATGGCATTCTATCGCTGGGTCTGGTCTCATCAGAGAGACTCGATTGGTGTTTCCTGGTATTTGAAATTGCAGCAAAAAGATGGTCCTGTCATATAAAACGGGGTTCTCCACAACATTGAAACCCAAAAGTTGGTGGGACACGAGTTGCGATTGCAGTTGGGATCAGAGTAGCTGGGATATGCACACATCAGATTGATTGTAGCATTGCAAATATACTGGCCTACTTCCCACCTCACCTCACCTCTCTCCGTGATGCTCTGTTGCCTACATAATCAACGTATCATCTCACTTCATTCCTGCTTTTCCCTGATGATGCACAAACTCCACATTCTATTGTCCCAGAAAACAATAAACCATAAATTCAATATACCTACGCGTTTCAGTCATACTGACTCGTACAGACTACCCAGACATGAGTGAGCGGGATATTCACACTGCATACAGTATGCAGTACAGTACAGTACATACACATCTTCCCCATGACATGACCGCGAAACATCGACCCATCGCCGCGAGGCTGACACCGGAGGCTACATTACATTACACTACATGACACATCCCACTTACACGCACAAAACCCAATCCCATCTTGGTACAGCATATACAGTACATGCTTGTTGTATGATCATGGTGCCATGAGGCTTTCTCGGAAGAAAGAAGCCACACCATCGGAGCAATTTCCGTGGCCATGTATCCTCATCCTCATCTCTTATCACGTTTTTGCTTTTTTTTTTTTTTTTTTGGCCTGCCCTCCCATGCGGAAGGGCAACTTGCATGCTTGCATGACTGCATGCATGCATAATCTTCGACGGAAGGCTGAACGACGACAGACAGACAGGCAGGCAGGCAGGCAGGCACGATAGATGATGGTAGATCGACGATTTGAGGTACGTATTTAATGGTAGTTTTGTTTCTTTTCTTCAAAGGGCAAAAGTGGCTTCTTTCAAAGGGCATTGTGGCTGTGAAGCCTTCATTTTCTCTATCTAGGTAATTATTTTTCGTAGTAGCAAATTTTTCCCCCAGAGAATCTCGCAATCCTCTTTTCTGCCTTACTTTTCGTGTCGGGGGGTGAGGCAACCAGCAGCAAAGGAAAAAAAGTAAATATCAACGAGGAAAGTCAGGCCAGAATTAATACACGTAGACCACTCCACACCCCTGGCGCTGCCACGAGGAGAAGAACGTTGGAATGTGCATCTCCGAGCACCCGTTCACCGAAACAATGCATGAGGCTTTGTTCATCGCATGTTCCAGTCCAAATTCATGGAAAGACAACGCTTGACTGATCCTGCAGGACTCGCCCCGGACGCCTTGCCGTCGCCCGAAATAAAAAAGAAAAAGAAAAGGAAAGGAAACGAGGCCGTCAGGAGATTTTTAAAAGAGATAATGAACAAGTCGTGGAATGACGGGGCCGCCGGATGGATCCATCGCCAGACATTGTCGCTCGCCCGCCCAGATTACTCCTCCCATGCCGCTCTTCACAATTCCGCCCAACGTTACATCCGCAATGTCGGGAATCTGAAACCTGGACCCGTGTCCATGACGATTACAGACTCTTCTCCAATGTGAAGAGCTCCCTGAAGCCCTCCTTCCACTTTGCGCTCTGTTCGCTGGTAGGACGAGGCAGAGGAGAGCGACCATAGCCTCCGTATCCGAGCCAGCTCTCCATACCGGCCTTAGTGCTCACGATGCCACCTTGGATCGCCGTCCAGTCACCTCTGGCAACAATCTCCTGCACCGCTTGTGCTTCTGCAAAGTTGCCCTCACGGTACAGGCGCATGATCTCGATACAAGCCTTAGGCGAGATGTTGGCCAATCCAGCGAGGATACCGTGACCACCACCAATCAAACTCTGCATGGTGAAGTCGGCACTTCCTCCCAGAACCAAGAACGGCGGGGCGGTACTTGACGATTGTGGCTTTGCAGACTTGGTCGCCGCCACAATCCTGTTCAGCTTCCCGGTATTGCCGCATGTGAGCTTGACACCTACGATATTCGGGTGTGCCGAAAGCTGGATGATGACGTCGGAAGACAGGTCCATGCCGGACACGGCCCCTGGATAGTTGTAGATGAGGATGGGGATGGGGGATTGGTCGGCCACCGTCTGGAAGAATTCGACGACACTCGCTGACGCCGGAGCAAAGAGACCTGCGTAGTATGCAGGAGGAAGCACAAGAGCATAGTCGCCGCCCACAGCGTACGCCTCGCGGCAGTATTGTACCGTCTCTCTCACCGACTGTGCTCCGCAGCCAACGATGATGGGGACATGAGAGAAGCCGGCCGAGTCCAGCGCGGAGCGGGTGGTGGAGGTGACTGTCTGGCGTTCGGAATGGGTGAGGTGCACAGCCTCGCCATTGGAGCCTTGCGTCGCCAAACCTTTGACGCCCGCTTGAGCAAGACGTACCGCATGTGAAGCAATGGTTGCGGTATCGAGGTCTTCCGTAACCGGGTCAAAGAAGCAGGGCGTTGGGACGTAGATTCCGGGGACCAAGTGACGAGCCATGTGGTCTTCGGGGTCGAATGATGCGCTGCTGTATGAGGAGGAGTATTGTGAGTCGTTCAATGGAGCGTCGAAGATGCTGTTAGACTTGCTTGAGGAGACTCGGAGACCTGAACCGGCGGCAGGGCGGAAGGACATGTTGAACGATTGAGTGAAGCTACCTGCGGGAGAAGGAGCGTCGTTGTGGGGGGACATGTTGGAAACGGAAGAGGAAGGAGGGATGGAGGTGAATTATAGAGTTGGCTCTTCAATGGCTTCGGTGAAATTGAAGGGATCGATAGTTTGATAGTTCGGAGAAAAGCAGACGAGGTGGAGCTTTTGTAGATCAATGTCTAAACAGTAACTAACTTTTTGCTGGAAAACCAAGGTGGGAAAGGAGGTGGGAGGAGCAGGAGTAGAGTCAAGGCTGAGAAGAAGGAGACGGTGTGTCTTAGATGACCTTTTTTTTTTTCCTACGCAGATACAAGTACTCTGGGCCAGGTTAAGTATTCTTTTGTTGTTCCTGGGGTGGCGCAGAATGAATTCCGCGAGCGGGGGAGAAACATGATTCCAGCTGGGATGCTGGCTACCTAGGATCGTATTCTAGGATGGCGGACTGGGATATTCGAAGGGAAAGGGTGTCAGGTCAGGGGGATGGGGAATGGTGGAAGTGTGGAAGTGTGGGCAGTGTGTGGGAAGTGGAAGTGTGATCTGAGGGATCTTGGTACCAGGTACTTTGCTGAGGCGCAGATTGACTTTTTCTTTGTCTTTCACTCGCGCTCGCTAGTGCGGGGGTCGCGAATGACCTTGATGACCAGGACCACCATGACCATGACCATGACCAGCTCCTCCCAATGTTCCCACAGACCACCTGCCAAGCGGGAGCAGCGAATCCCAGGATGAACAAGCAACCTGCAAGCACTGCAAGCCGAGCCACGAGGCCACCGCTTCCCAACGGGCGTCCGGCCAACTCGAAGTTGCAGCGAACAGAGTACCTGGTGTACGTAGCCGACGACGAGCCATAGGTGAAGAATGAGTACTCCGTACGTGAAGCAAGCAGCTGTGTGGAGTCTGATACTACTGTGCTACTACTACTACTACTACTACTACTACTAATAAATTAACGAGACAAAGAGGACGAGCCAGAGTTCCCCAGATTCGCTGACACGCTGGCCGCCCTGAAACTCTCCACCGAGCAGAGCAGCTGATCACCGACAACGTTGCAATAATTGTCACTCTCGCGTCCCAGGGGGAAAGGAGAGAGGGGAGCCAAAATGTGATACTTTTCCTGCTTCTCGGCCAAGGACGGGGCAGCATTGCAGCAGAGAGGTCTGCTTCCTACGTTGCCGCTGGCGTTGATGAGATGATCATGACCTCACCCCTTTTCCGGTCGCTGGCACGTCCGGGTCTCTTTCTCTGTGAGGCGCTGGGTGGCTGCTTCTGCCCCTTTCTGCAGGCAGGTTCAGTCGGTGTCTGTCTGTCAAGGAGTCAAGGCGGTCGGCGTCAGCAATCTCTCTCTTTGCTTCTTGTTCCCAGGCGTCTGGAACGCGAATGGGAATATCATGCACCGTCCCTGTCCGGGCGTCCAGTCACTGACCCATGGGACGGAAAAAGCAAAAAAAGAGGCTCAATGCCCATCTTCTGTGCTCACCGCACAACGCTCTTGTGCCTGAGGTTCTATGGAAGCCAGTAGGTCAATGATAGCGGCTGCAAAAAGATGCCTCTTCGGGATGCCCTCTCTCGTATAAGGTGTGAAGGGTAGTGGAGCGAGGGGCGGGGGCGGTGGGCGTGTGCAGAGCAAAGCAAGATAGAGTAGGTACATTAGGAGTACGTAGTCAGGTCGAGCGAGGAACCAGCTCGCTAGTGTATGGAGTACGAGTACGTGTACGTGTACGGTCGGTAGTTTTTGGTGCTGAGGAGAGACAGTTGTTGCTTCTGCTATTGCTATTGCTATTGCTGCTCTGTATCATCTACTGTATTTTTTGGCGGATGGAGAAGGTGTGAAGTCGTCTGACACGGCCGTCACCAAATCACAGGCCCGGATGGCGGTTGGGTGTTGTGCTGGGCTGGCTCGCCTGGACCTGCTGGGCGCTCGCTAAGATCGGGTCAATCAACCTTCCCCAGTTGGGTTCGCGGCTTCCCTGACCTTTCCTCGTCTGATGCTGGTCATCTTGAGCCTCGAAAAGCAGCAGCAGCCTGCTGATCATGCTCCTTGTGGCTTAGCCAATCCAGGATTCTGGCTCTTGGTACATCTGGCGTTATCCATGCTCACACTCGCAAAACGTGGGGGTCAGACACTTCTGCTGCCACTGACTACCATCGCCGGGCACAACGCTCCAGCTGGAGGAAAAAGAAAGAATCCAATGATCGTCACGGATGTGCTCAACCAGACTCCGCGAACCAGTCATCGTCCATCCCGCCACTTCTTGCATGAGGTACGAAAGGCACGAGAGGAACGCAGACACCCGAAAGTCACCGAGGCACCCAGGGCGACGACAGCTTCATCATCATCATCACCATCTTTTTCTCTCGGCCAGCGAGGAGACCCCCCCCCCAAGGCGGAGAAGCAAAAGAAGGCTGAGGTCGTCGATACTTGTTCTCGGGCGTTTTTGGAGACCACTCTCTGGCCCCTCACTGGCCTGCGCGCGCCCTGCTGGATCAGACAGGCGCGGCGGACCAGGATCAAGGATACCTCCCAGGTAGTCTCCATATATCTATCAGTCACGAGATCATGACCGTTGCATATGCTGGACGAGTTTTACCTAACCGCACGCAAATACCTGCAAAAAGGATGCGGAAAACAGGCCATCCAACCAATTCGGTTCTTCTGCCTTATTACCACCTCATGTAGTGCTACCCAATACGCTTTGCTGGCTACAGTACGAGAGAGACGTCGCGGTGCGTGTGGTTTGAAGATTTCCTCGCTACGACGCCAGGACCCTGTCTCTTCTTTCTGCTCTTTGCACATCTACATGTTCTAGAGCAGACAACTGGACGCAGACCGCTAGGTAGGTTCCGACATATTTTCTTTGTCCCTGTTCTCATATTCCCGGGGTCTGAAAGCAACACCATCCGATTTCTCTCCACCACCCCCGAGCGTTGTCGTGTTTTCTCTGCGTTGCTGACTTCGTAGTGGAGGGGCGGTCATAACACTCCGCTGGCTGTCTTGAGTTTTGTTCGCATATCAACTTCTTCAAGCCCGGAGATGTGGAAATGGTTCATTTTGCAACAACGCAATTTTCACCGACTATAGCACTCCTGTACTATTGAGTAACATTAGGCAACTTCAGCGAAACGTCAAAGCCCGATGTCGTGTGGGATTTGCCTTTCTCATCTCCTCTCAACCAAATACCAAGGACTGTCAGAATCGATCGCATCGAGACTCATGAAGTAAGCACGAGCATATTGCGTAAACCTTAAAAAAGAAGGGCGGTTCCCAATGTTCAGATCGGCGTTGTGCTTTCCCGTCTTGACCGAATCTTGTTTCTCCAGCATGCAAGATCCAGTTCCTGAAACTTTGCTTGGTTGAGGAGGCAGACCGGGTCATGGTACTCGATACATGGGCAGTACAAAACCCCCACGCTTCCACCATGCTCGGGCCAGCTCAACCCGACCGAGCCTTCTTCGCCTTCCTCAACATAAGACTCCCGTGTGCATCGCGATCTTCACCGACAGACATCCGCTTCATCCAGTTTTCTCCGAAGATATCGGCACAGCTGTTCAGATAGGCAACATTGCACATGCCCTTATCGTCAACGTCGTATCTTGACGGCAACCACTTGACCGCCTCCCTGCGACAGATCATTTTGGGTCTTAACAGCCAAGTCACTGCGATAGTTAGCAGGCCAGATGTGTGTCTGAGGACGTGTTCTTTCCTTGACAAAATGATGGAGCGTGTCGAGAGAGAAGCGAGCCTGCGACCATATTCGAGACCAAGGGTCTAGACATGACTTGCATGAGGCTTACCCCTCTCCCTTGTGGCCACGCCGTCTAACTACATGTTTTTCACGAGGCGCGAGACAGTAATGGCCTGAGTCTCGCACTGGACCCCTTAAAATGGTATGCGAGGCATCTTTTGAGGTGTCAAGATTTTCACTTTTCCCTGTTTATTGCTGTGCTCTTCACATCCGCGTACCTCCGACTTTCCGCAGTCATGAGAGTATCCGGAAATAAGTCCCAGCCACAAGAGTTTGCAATTGGACCCTCTCTCCACACAAAACTATGTGTATATTAGAAAGGATCCTCAACCCCGCAATCCACATATTGATGGCGTCAAAAATTCGGACATGAGTCGTGAGACTTAGTCTGACATGTACGACGGTGGTCATCGCCAACCACTCAGAGAACCGATGTTGACAGCCGTGAAAGCCCATTTACGTTACCCCTCCTTTCTTACAACCTGGCCGTGGCGCAAGGCTGCTGCTCGTTTCTCCTTCCCCAATACCTGCACCTCATATTCGTGGCCTTTAATAGGACCGATTTATCCGATCGTGGCACAGGAGGTGCATGCTTTGGAACCAAGAAGGGATGCCTGCAACTAAGAGCACTTCTGGAATTGTGGGGAAGCGCGTTAGTGTCAGCACGATGGAGGGGGAGGGAAAAGCGGCTTTCTATTGTTATTCGGGAGGGTGGGAGGATTTGGCGTGGGGGTCGCGATTCTGTTACTCTCATAGTCTGGATCTGCTGCATGGTCAGGATTAAAGTTCGATGTCGAGACCTGAGCGACGTTGCTTGGCGTGCCATATTTCCACTTTTGAGGTTCTCGGCAAGGCCGAGGTAATGAGGAGCTTCTGTTTCCATATGTCATGAAAGTGGATTGATTATGGAAGTCTTTGATAATGGAGAAAGAGGTTTTGCCGAGTAACTCTGCGATGGGAGATCTGAGCAGCATTATTCAGCTATCCTCAAGCCAAGGCAACCTCTTACATCATGCTAGGCAGTATCAAGCTGATCTCCGAGTTTCCTCCCAGAGCCTACCGCCTTTGCCACTCGAGACGACACATCGTATTCTCGGCGTTGAGAGCGGTATGACTTGCACCGAACGCAACACATCATCAAAACATCAACAACGAAGCTCGGGCTAGACCTCCAGTGAGAGATCGACGGACATCAAACAGCGTTCGGGCAAATACACCAGCAGTGTCTATCAGACCTCGTCCCAAGTGCCGAGCTGAGACAAGGAGGGAAAGAAAAACTTTTTTTTTAGCACAACATGTGAGGGAGGGCTTCATCCCGCGGGATGAGAGACGGTATTGCTTACCCCTTTTTTCGATGCGTGGTCGAGAGGTGTTGATCATGAGGTGGTTGAGGAGATTAGGGTTGCGTGTTTCTTGACACATCTTGCAGATACGGACGGTTCTGGGAATAAAGTTCGAGGTTGGTGGAGAAGGGAGGGAGTTGGCAAGGGGTTTGAGGAGCTGAACTGAGCAATTGTTCCCGGACGCCATTTTTTTCAATTTGGGCGTTGGTGAGGTGGATGGGACGGCTCGGGGAGACATGAGGTGGAGGAGGAGTTGTTGAGGTGGCGAATGTTGGTTGTGAGAGTGATTGATCAGCAGTGGGATTTGAGTTTGATGGTGGAGTTGTGTTGGAAAGTGTTGCGGGGGATCTGAGTTGCGTTTCGCTATCCTCCTTCCTGGGTTTGTTCTGCGAAAGGTAGAGGAGTTTTTCCATTTGATGGATTTGAGTGGTGATTTACAGCTTGACACAAATTTTGGACTCGAGTAGCGCTCTCTGTTCATCTCCAAAGTACACTTCCCAAGCGTGAAATACATCTCTTACGGTTGAAGAGTCATCGATACCAGAGAAATACTTGTGCTTTATTCCCTTAATATCCTTCCAAGCACACGATGGAAGCGGATCATCAATCTTAAGATATTCGAGAGAAGGAACATCAGATTTTTGTTTGAGATATTTCCTCACTTGAAAGCTATTCATACGTCTTCATTGTACCACGCTGATATTCGCAGACACTGAATCCATAGATCGCAGTATTAAACGCGAACCAGAATCACCATACAACTCCAGCAACGACATGACATCTGAGACTCATATCCTTCCCAGCGTTGAACCTGAATCTCAACCTCCATATCCCTTCCATGCCCGTCCAAACAACCACAAACTCCAGCATACAAAAGGTATCCACGCCTCAGCCTCGTCACCACCTCAGACTCAGACACCTATATAAGATCTTACCTTACCTCCCAACAAAGCAATCACTACCACTTCACAGGGCGACTAACCACTTGGCTGAGTTGACGGTATTGGTATTGGATCAACGCCTCAGCCTGAACGAGAACGAGGATACCTAGGTAGGACACGGCTAGTTTGCTAGTGAGCAACGTATGTCTTTTCATTGCTGGAAGGCCTCGATCTTCAAGTTTTTAAATGTTTTGGGATTGCTTAGTCCAGCATTATTCCGTTGGTGCATTGTGGTTCTTTTTTGGCTTTTCTTGGGTTTGTGGTAGTCCTTGTGTGCATACGTAGGTAGTTGGTTGGTGTTTGGAGGTGGTGGAACAGTATCATGTCCTTGTTTCAAGGACGTGGGTATCGATAGAGGGGATTTACTTGGGTGGGGAGTTGGCTTTTGGAGAAGGGTATTGCGTTGGATAGTGTTTCTACATTGTCGGCTCTCGTGTCGAGATGAGTGTCTGCGGAATGTTTGCTATGAGATGATTGAGGAAAGACTATGTGTTTGAGTATGAAAGCTTCGGAAGGGTCGCGTTCAACCTTGCAAACAAAGACTTTAGGTCCATTCAAAAATCTCTCCTTGTGCCTCGTGTTTAATTATCATATGGTAACTCGCCTCGAACCTCAATCAAGCATGGTACCGAGATTCAATCTCCAACCTCACCTTCAACAATTGGTAAAAAGAGGGCGGCCGCTCGCTAAGCCAATCAAAATCCCACAACCCAAACCTTCCATATAGATTTAAATAAGCAAATCTTCTGCCATCCGGATCCAAACGGTGTTGCATATCATGGGGCCAACACTAAACCGTTTGGATGGAAGGATCCACGCCACCGCGACAGCCAGACTACTCACCCTCTGGTGCCCCAATAGTAGAAGGCACAGGGATTGTTTTCTTTTGCTTTTTTGGGTCTGATGAACGTTTTCTTGTTTTTGATTAAGTTGTGTAGGGGGTTTTTTTGGGTTTTTTGGCAGGTCAGAATTTAAGCGAGCGAGGTTTTTGATATTGCAATCCGAGTTGGTTCAAAACAAGTTGCGAGTCACAATTCATCTTTTAGAATAATATAGGGAAGATGTCTCCTGTGAGTAGTGCTGGAAGATGTAATTTCCGTATAAATATTTGGAGAAGAAGACTTGAAAAACACTCGAGACGCTCTTGTATCACTCGAGCGCGAGGAATTTCTACTCACTCTCTTCTGACTGTCTAAGATGGCAATCCCCGCAGCGTAATTCGGGTATGAAATCCCTCCCAGTCCTTCTCCCTCAACTTCTGTATCGAGGTAGATGATAGACAGGGAGTGGTCTATCTTCACAGTCAATTTTAAGTAGAGCCCAACTTTGAGAATATCACCTAGTTGCCCAATTGAGCGAGTTTTGAAGTCATTAATTTTCATTGATATGACGGCTTTAGCAACAGCTCCGAAAGCATTTCAGCTTCCCAGCTCTAACATGCAATTGACAGCGTCGGAATGGCCACCCCTCAACCTCAATCATTATCTGCAACATTAACGCCATTCCTGGAATATCAAATCGAAATCAACGCCCATGTATCTCTGTCAATATCTATCTAGAGAAACCACCAGCTTGGCCACTTGTGATCTCGGGGACGACCGTGATGTTGGAGTAGGTAGGTAGCTCGGTGGTATCCTTGGCCATCGTGACATCTTCGTTCTGGACCATGACGACGAGACTGGGAACCTTGTCGGTAGGAACAGCTGTTCCATCAAACTACACTTTGGTTAGCCGTCCAATCTCTCCATCATAGGAAAATGAAGCATACCTTCTGCACCTTCCAATGCAAATGCTGCTTCAGGTACTCCGTCACGGCACCGATATCGTCTTGATCCTGGCCTTTATCGTTCAAAGCCTCAACCAAGCTGAACTCGGAATATGCAAGGACCTCGGGAAATGGTGTACCATCGACGTGTGGAGGCGGGAAGATCGCCGTCGAGCCAACTTGATTGGGGCTACTAAGCCAATCTTGAGGGTTTTCGGGGACGTGGCCAAGGAAGAGGTGGATGCTGAAAGGGGTGCCGAGGAGGTCGAATTTGTTGACTTGGACCTGGACGAACCACTTGATACACAATTATCATCAGTATTCGGGGAAATTTAGATCGGTGTATGCTTACCTCCTTTGTCACCTCTCCAGGGGTATCCGCACGCTTCCTGTACTGATTGCTGGGATTGTACAAAGTGTGAACCTGAGCTGTAACTTCGGCAGTCAGCTGTGAAGCAGGAATGCTCCAGTCTGGGATCTCGGGATATGTGTATCCGAAGATGTTTGGCATGCGAGAAGTATCCGGAGTGTAGTATGGTGAGCTGCCGCTGGATGCGAATGGTTCGAGCGAGGTGTTTTCGTTGTCTGGAGTACCGGGTGGAAGTGCAAATGTACCATAGGGCTCCGTAGTCGGGGTGATCCAAGAATCTGGGTTCATGGCTTGCCAGAGCGCGTAGAGTCGATCGACATTTGCGTGCTGGAATTCTGTTAATCTGTGCCCTGATGATAAGTGTACGGTTACTCACATGCAACCAGCTAGGATGTGTTAGCATTCAGGAGAAAAATCTGGATACGGAAAATCATTGAACTTACAAGATCGGGTCAAAAGCCGAGTAGGTTAAGAACGACATGTGTCCATAGTTAGCTCCAATACCTATATGAACATTATTATGAACGGCTTCTATAGAAGATCCTTGAGTTGCTGTCGTGGTGAAATTATTGTACATTCCAGCATTTCTTGTGAGAGCATACCACTATTGCACGTTAGTGAATCGCGGTATGGGAGGGCAGATCATACTCACGATACCCTTCTGCAAGCCAAAGTAGTTTAGATAGTAATTCGAGAGAGCAGGATTCGAAGGTCCTCCCTTAGTATTAACTCCTCTCATCGTCTGTGGGTAGTTTGCAAGCCATCCATCTCCAGCATTGGTTGGAAACCACGTTTGGTTCATGGGCATATTTTGGAAGCTATATTGGTACAGAGGGTTGGTGACAGTCTGGTTTCGTCCTGCCGAGTTCGTAATCTGGACCGTTGGTTGACTGACGACATCTGGCATGTTCGGGCTGCTCGCCCAATCCCAGTATGGGATGCGGAATTGGTCGGCTGCAACTTGCCAGGTGGGCTGCATAGAAGCTGGGTAGGTTTGGACGATATCCTGGATGATTGCCGCGATTTCTTGCTAATTCATTGTCAGGGTGGGTCAAAGTACGTGGTGAAGACATCCAACCTCGTAAAGAGCGAGATATGGGCGATGCCAGCTCAGGAAAAGAACGCTACCTGCCAAGAGGTCAGCTTGTTGTGTTTCGGATAGTTCGTTATGATTGTCTTGCTCACCATGGGTACAGTAGCCGGTGGTTGGAGATCCTGGGCCTTGCGGCGCATTGTTCCAAGAGTAGTAAGGTCCTACTAGATCAGCGATTGAACAACAATTTGGCTCTAGACAGAAGCTGGCCGATTGGTTGCTCTCGATCGCAATATCAGGGGACACTCACTGCCATGTATACCAGCAATCTGATAGTACGAGTCGAAAAAATCTTCAGGTTGCTGTTGCCATTGATTGTAGGCTTGGACGAAGAGGGACCTGTATTCGAAGTATCAGTATCCGGAATTAATAGCAAGGAAACATTGGATGTGTGGCGTGACTGTATAGGAGCAATAGATCATCGAGTGTTCATATTTACCATTGTGGGATGTTGTTGACTAGGTCATTGATATTATGTCGAGCTGGCCAGATCTGACCTGCTTGGCGCTTAGATCCAGTATGAACACCAGAAACCTTGTACGAGGGAGACGAGTCTATAGGCGCTGGGGCTGGGGCTGCGACGACGACGTATGATACAATATAGAGAGTCCATGCGAGGACAATGCGGAGAAACATCTTGAAGCGTTGTGAAAGTCAACAAATGAATGAACGATAATTAATTCCCGAGATAACGGGAAGAGCAAAACGATCAATTGCTGTGTAGCATGGAGAAGTTACAAAGAACGGGAGGCTTTCTTGGCGAAGGAAAGAATTTTTGTAGTTTGATCATGGTGTTGTCAAAGGTGAAGTACTCCCGCTGTCGTCAGCCTCGCCAACCGAGGTGGCACCAGAACACAAGAGGCAATGTACCAAACGCTTAGCTGCAGACGCGACTATTGGATCCCAGAGACCACGAGATACGACTTTCATCCCATGTAACAAGATGAGCGACCTTTTTACGAAGATGGCCGTGGGCAGGATGTTCCAAAGTTGATTGGCATTGAGCGTTGCTGACCTGGCTGATAGTCTACGCATTAATCAAACACAGGCTAAACACATCATATACGATCAGGGTGAAGGAACGCAATACGAAAGGAAAGCCAAGCGGCAAACAGGAACGTTTGTGATCTTGACACTTCTCAACTCAACGGGCCGATGCCACACCGTTTGCGCCACGATCGGCCATGTGCCTTCCAGCCCACATCAACTCAACGTGCTCTCCACTCAAGACCCATCTACAGAAAGAAAAATTCGAAGGCTTGCATACGAAAGCTTTGTCCAATAGTACCCCTCCCCTGGCCCAATATTGTCGAAATTCAGGTCCAGCAAGCGGATGGTTGCAGGTACGACGACAGTTTTAGAACTCATGACCTCAACCAGTGCCACATTGGACGAACAATCCATTCAGAAGACACCATTCTCATTTGAATTGAAATTCTTTGCCTTACTTTCGGGTACAGGCAGGAATTCCTGCTGGGAAACGATTCGGCATAGCACTGACATCTGCGTTTTTCGTTTCTGTGGTTCTCAAATATGCACTGTCCCGTATCAAACTACAGGGGAGTGATGTGATTCGATAGTATCGTTGCATTGAATTGAGAGTCTGTAGCGATAGTTTGATTTCTGAATCTGTTTCCATGCATGTAGTACCAGAATTCTACAAGCGCATGATAGCAAATCAAGGAAATCTCACCGCTTCGAGGTCCATACATCCTTCAACCCCCTTCGAAAGATCGTTGCCGCTTCATGTGCTATTTGGAATGATCGAACGCTCTAGATGAGCTTTCGTATCCATTCGATAAAGTTGTCCTTTCTTCTGCCGAACCATGCCAACGTCCGTCTGCAAGTGAATGTCCTGAGATTGTCACCTCAAACTCGTCCTTGGAAGTGCAGTGCCTTTGGTGGCCGACCTTAGAAGCGATCGACTCGTCGAAGACGGTTCCGTACCGATTCCTAGTCGTCCATGCGTGATATGATCCATCCTCTTAATCTAAATCATCTGTCGAAAACGAAACGTCATGAAGCGAGTGCTTATGGCTATATGTTTACCTTTACCAGCTTAGAATATCTTTCCCATGCGGCCATAGCGTGCAAAGTAAGCGTACTTCGTAAGCACGAATGCGGTACATGATACGACAAAGGTTAGAAGCTCGAGGGATGCTTGAACAAGCCCGAACTTCCAGCCGTAGCTTACCACGCCACAAACCGTACCGAAGTCGAGAGCGTCGCTGAATACATTGTTCTTATGATTCGAACAAGACCATTTCCTATTTTGATCAATTACAGAGCCGAATTACACATGTTTTACTTACCAGAGATCATTCTCAAGTTTAGTCTGTGCATTGAGATGAAAGCAGGCTGCCATCGAAGATGAAAATCCAATAGCACTGAGAATTGCGAAGACGGCGTTGAGAGCGTTGTTACTTTTCCTGAACTTCAAGTAACATTAGCTACGATGGGTGTGATGGATCAATCTGATGGCATACCTTGCTCGACATGCATGAAAGGCTAAGAAGTGCAACACTGAGAACAAGGTTCATTGCGGCAACACCAGAGAAAGCGATGCAGGGACTGTCTGTAATGCCACTGGGGGGGTGTGGGACCGAATCCAAGGAATGTCCAGGCGCCCTTTGGGCTTTTGAAAACATGACTACCGCACTTAGAATCAAGGCTAGGGATATAATCATTATGAGGACTGCGAGAACTCGAATGTAGATCCTAGAATCGCGAAGAAATATCAAGAGCGAAGACCGCGTAGCCGCCGTTGAGACCTCTTCTTCCTGATCATTATCAAGTTCTTTCCCCTTCAGACTTTGAACCTCTGTCACACCAGACTCGGTGGTCATCCGCTTCGTCTCGACATAGACATGAGGATTGAATTGTGAGTCTTTTGATACATCATAAGACAAATGTCGAGTGTAAGCAGCAGGGACAGGGACTGCGGTCTCCTTTAGCGTTACTTCTAGAATCTAGTCAGCAAACAGTACATAGGTCTTTTGAAGCAAGACACTCTTTCATGAATACAAACAATAGCCAAAACAGACATTTGTGCTCGTCTCTGAGCTCACAGCTAACAGTAGGTCCTCAGTTCTCAAGCCAACTGCCATCATTGACGGCATCTTGTACGCCCAATGTACAGCATCAAATCTCAAACCTTCACTTCGCAGAATAGAAATACCAATCTTACCAGTATGGGTCGCCATGTTTGAGGGCAAAAGAGGTGAGTTGGAGCAATTCTGTCAAAAGACTGCTGATGTGAATGTTAGGAACATTATACTCCTCCTGAGTGCTGACAGCCGTCGGGCGCCTCTTCATATTGATTCTCCCCATACCTACCGGGCTGGGAGCTGGTGGTCGGGACGTTCGAGGGCTGGCTGAGAATAGCAGATGCCAAGCCGAGTCACCATGCTGATTCGCCCAATGACACTTTTGTGTAGGGCTAGAACACAGTGAAGAAACATTCTCCCACCATCACGATGTCACCACAAGCGGGATACCACGGAATTCCCGCACATCTTCAACAAACGAGGCCTATGAAATGGCCTTGCGACTCAGGCTGGCCACTTCAGCACGCCACCTGGGCTGAACATCTTCGAGATAAGTGGAAGAGTGTTTGGTGGCTGCATGCGACTTCAGATGTGTTTGATGCAGCCCGCTGAATTCAAGGTGGCTGCCGAAAATAAACCAATTAAAAGCCGGCTTGATTGAGACTAGTCTCACCGCTCAGCCTCATACCTCTATTCCGCACTGCCACCATTTTCCAACTCGACAAACGAAATACACAATACAGTTTCCAATCGAAATGAACTTCTCCTACCCTTCTCTTCTCTACCAAGTTCGCTGGTCATCCATTCCTCGACTTGAGCAGATCAATCCCCCAAACGCTGAGTTGTCGAAGTCGATCCTCACGTCGTGCAGAGGCCTTACAACAATGTTCTGTGTCTTTATAAAGCAAGCCTTTTTATAGAACGTCAACACATACTTCTGTCAGACGGTACCGACGTACTCTGTGATTGGAGCACTCGTCTAGATACTTTGGAAGCCGCGTCCTGATAAGAAAATCTTCGGGAACAACTCCAATTGAAGCAAGCAAGCGGCTACCAACAATATCCAAGCAGTTGGTTGGATTGCCTCTCCCGCAGAGCCAACCCGCCACTACGGTACTCCAACCCCCGCACTGGAGACGGGTTCTCGGCTTGTTCTTACGACCACCCTTTTCTATACAGGGCTGAAATAGGCCTATGCTTGGCACTGCCATGGTTTTACAATTATCCGCTGCAAATGTTGCAGACGTTGATGAAATTGCAGCTGTTCATCTCGCAGCGTTTGACTCCAATATCTTACTCCACGCGCAGTTCCCTACATCAACGAGTCTCGATGTATTACGGTTCTATCTCAGTCAGGAAATGCTGGCTTCCATCCAAGGAGGTCGACAGTCTGGGAAAGCTGTTTTCGTAGTGAGAGACACTGAGGCTAATGATAAGATCGTCAGCTTTGCAAAATGGGATCTGCCTGGTCCTGCTGCTGAGTCGCCAAATTTGAGTGTTCAGGACATCACGTGTATAGAAGGCTGCAACAAGGAATATCTCGATCAATACGTCAGCAAAGCAGAGGCTGCTAAGTTCCGAGTCGTTGGAAATAAGCCATGCTATCGTAAGAACGCCGTTTGTTCACCCCGTTACCAGATTTTCAAACATACCGACCCCATGTCGTTGTTGCAATCGTCGAAGAAATTTGTCCCAGTATACCAGCATAGTACCAGTCTCGATCTTGTTTATCTTTGTTCTATCTTGCATTATCTCTACTAACAATGGACATTGGACTGTAGGCCTTACTTTCGTGGGCACTCTTCCCAAATATCAAGGTCGTGGTGCCGGCAGGTTGTTGACAGAATGGGGCCTCGAGAAAGCCAAACAAGAATCAATGCCGATCTATCTTGAGAGTACCATTTCAGCAGCCCGACTCTACAGACGATTGGGGTTCACTGCTCTCGATGGATTGTCAATGAGTCTTCCGGGACGGTCTTCGGAGGGCGGACCGAATGTGTACGAAGAAGTAGGTATGCTGAAGACTTGGGATGAAAATGCCGACGAAGCTTTTGAATACTGGGATTCCAGTCTCAACATTACAAGTCTTTACCAAGATTATGATGCTGGGATCAAGCCTCAACAGGTCATCCAAGCGATCTACGATCGTATTGATGCCTACAAAGATGTTCAACCGTCGGTCTGGACCCACCTACAGCCGTTTGGCGACGTCCTGAGAGCGGCGAACGAGCTTCATACTCGATGGCCGAATCCAGCACAGAGGCCGCCGTTGTGGGGCATCCCTTTCAGCGTCAAAGATAGCATTGATGTCGCTGGAGTCCCTACAACAATCGGCTGCCCAGCCTTATCTACTGTCCCAAATGTGTCGGCTCCTGTTTTTCAGCACTGTATCGACGCTGGGGGTCTCTTCGTTGGGAAGACAAACATGGAACAGTTAGCAACAGGTATGACAGGTTGCCGGAGTCCTTATGGCACTCTTCATTCTACGTTCAGCAAGATGCATATCGTAGGAGGGTCAAGTAGCGGGAGTGCAGTCACCGTTAGCGAAGGCTTGGTATCATTTTCCCTTGGAAGCGACACAGCCGGTTCTATCCGCGTTCCTGCCCTCTTCAATGGCATCTTAGGTTTCAAGCCTACCAAAGGAACAGTCTCTGCTAGAGGAGTAGCACCGGCATGCATTCACCAAGACTGTGTTTCATTTCTTGCTACCAGTATCGAGGATGTAGAAAGGATTTGGAAGGTCTGCAAAGGTTTCGACAAACAGGATTTCTTTGCCAAATTACCTTCTCAACTTCTTGCCTCCAACGGAAATCGTCAACTTCGCTTGCGCTTTGGTGTTCCTCCTTTGGATGCACTGCAAGCTTGCAGTCTCGAATATCGCAGACTATTCTCTCAAGTCGTCGAGACACTGTCCAAGAATGGCGCTGAAATGGCAGACCTAGAATGGCAACCTTTCGAAGATGCGAATGAACTTCTGTACAATAGCACATTCGTCCTGGAGAGACTGACGATACTTCCGGACGGCTGGTTCGAGAAGAATAAACAGTTACTACACCCAGTCACGAGGCAAGTCTTTGAAGGAGCTCTTGCAAGGAACAGTACAGCAGTGGACGTGTTCAAAGATTTGCATAAGCAAGCAAAATACAAGCGAGCCGTCGAAAATATCCTCAGAATCGAAACAAATGCGGAAGATGGAATTGATGAACTTACCGTTATGGTTGTTCCTACGACTCCATTCCATCCTACGATCGAAGAAGTGGCACAGGATCCTCTCGGAATCAATGGCCAACTTGGACAGTTTGCCCACTTCGCCAACGTGCTAGATTTGGTAGCAGTTGCCGTACCTTGTGGTACCTACGAGACGGCCGAACTCGTTGAAGGCAGGCCTCTAAGACTGCCGTTCGGCGTTACGATTCTTGCTGGAACGGGACTCGATGCTGAGTTGTTGAAAGTGGTAGCACAATTCGAGGAGGTGTTGGGAGATCTAGGTCAAGATGAGATGTGATGGGGTGTCCTCATGCTGTTGTACTATGCCAGCCAAAGTCTCAAGCATTATTGCTGCGACAAATGCATGTCTTTGAAGAGACGAGAGTCACGGTTCAGACGTCAACGAGGTGTCTTGCTGAGATGCCTTAACCTTCCCATCGTGCTCCCACCGAAAAGACCAAACATTGTTGGTGCAGTGGTTGCAGTCCTCTTTAGAGACGACACGACATCATCGTAGAGATGTCTTGGCTTACCCCTGAGTTTCTCACGCCTCCGACTCGCGTGTTAGCGAGTCAGTAAGGAACTCTGGTTCCGACCCCGATTCTTGGCCTATGAATTGCCGAGGGGGCGGGAGTCCGATATTGTTGCATTCCCGACTTCTCGGAACCCCCATTTGCACCTTTTGCGAGCTCCAGAAGACTGGCTCAGTCTACAATTTCTCCTAGCTTTTCCCCCAACAAAGATAATACAGATACCCAAGCATGGCCAGCCCCATCACGTGTATCTCTTGAGTTCCACCCTCCTCACCGCCCTCTCCATGGACAGGAATAATATGATTGTGTCACAGAATTGTGCCAATCTCCAGCGTTAGGTAATTCCCAGAGGACCCTTACCCGCTTCATGCAAGCAGCACATGCTACCCGGTGCTGGCCCCCAGCCTCAATATAAGCTCAGCCAATGGAGGGCGTGGTAATTGAATCTTTTAGCAATCTGAAAGCACCACATACGTAGGATCTTTGTGGGGTGCGCCTGTCCACCACGATAAATGTCCATGATTCAGTGGTCGGTCCGGGACTGCTCACGCTCGCCGTGACCGCACTGATGCAGACGGCGTCGTTCCCCTCGAGATACGACGATAAGTATCATTCCTCTGAGTGGTGAGAAATGTCACGGTAAGGAGATGGTTCGAAAGTCGAGCAATTCCAGGTTGCACCCAGGGACCAGTCAGCAGCAGGACCCAGGAATTATTACGTACCAAATTGCTGGAAGCGGGTTTGCGAGTGTCATGGAAAGCCCGTTATTGTTCGGGTGTACGAGTAAGACGTCCCCGGAACGCCCGCGCTCATGCCGCACGGCCGGTAGATGCTGGCTCAGATGCAGCAGATGCGAGGTACGGATTTAGTGTATCGATTTGTTGATAGAGATACAGATAGATATATGTATGATAATCGTCAAGCGTCTCCTTATCTTCAACAAAAATAGTCCCACGCAACAACCTCCGCTCAATTCCTGCCACGGCTCCAACCTTCCTACCTCCTGAGGCCTGATAGTGCCAGTCAGTTCGCACCTTTTTGTGCGCGCGCAGATCCGTCGCCGTATCGGTGATATAGAAGACTATTCTTCTCTTCTGGTGGTGCTGGTCGTCTCAGCTTCCCAATGACTGTGAAGAATATCCACCATCTCATTTTGCTTCAATCGCTGGCTGGATCACGCAGTAGTGATAGCCATTGACAGCTGCGATCTCCCCGCCAAAAGAATACATATTTATATAAAGAGAACGCAGGAGAAACAGATCTCGTGCCCGTGGCCTGTCCCGCAGTCTAGACGTCGTCTCTTCCTTATCTTTTATCTGCATTATTGAGGACAGGACAGGCAAGACCGACACCACTGCCTGCACACTGCCCACTGCCCACGGCTTCCGCTGCAGATAAGCATCCTACCGTCCCCGTCCCAGTCACTGTCACAGAGAGTGGGGAGATACGATAGGCGCATCTCCCGGTATTTCCCAGGCCACTCACAGCTCTATCATCGTGCTGGGCCTGCCTCTTTCGAGATCATCACTGCGGCCACTAACCCAGTCATATCGAAAAGTCGAACTTTCAGTGCAGCAAGACCTGGCCATCGCCCTTCTCCGAGGACAGGGGACAAAGCCCAAGACACTGCCAAATCCTCCTAGCTGCAGCAACAGCCAGCTTGCCCCCAAGCAGTGGGCCAACCGCTGATAGCAGAGCTGGTCATTCGGTTGATCACAGAATTCCGGTACCTGGTTCGGATCAGAACTCCAATCGAGCCTCAATTACGCCATGTCGAACCCAACCGCCGTCGCCCGCACGGCTCCCATTGCTATAGCCTCCCGCAGACCCCGTCCTGACTCCTCGTCGAACGAGCTCTCGAACAGCAGCCATCTCACAGGCAGAGCACAGCTTTCGGGAAGCATGAGCAGCTCGGCTTCTGGAGAATCGGGAACCAACAACATTCGGAGTCGGAAAGAGAGGCCGTGTGATGCCTGTCGGAGGAGAAAGAGCCGTTGTGTAATCAACGAGGGGCAGACGACCTGTGTGCTGTGTCAGTTTCATACGCAGGAGTGCACTTTTGTCCAGAGTCCGCAGCCGAGAAAGAGGAAGCTAAATACAGAAGGAAAGGAAGAGTCTGTGGCGAAGAGGAGGTATGAAGATTCTTCCTCCTGCAGTGTGCTTTTCTATCCCGCATAGCCCACTTTATATCCAGTTTCCTTCGGTGCAATATATAAGGGCAAAAGTACTAACCGTCGTGAGCAACAGATCTCCAGATAGGACAGACGAGAGGAAACGAAGGACAACTGAGTCGAGTGTCTCGAGTCTTGGAGCAACAAACTCATTAGTGGAGGATATGGCCAATATTGGTGGTCCAACCTTACTGAAACGAACACTGGGTTTACAAAATGATCGATACAGCCAATACATTGGCCCAACGACCGACTTCGAGCCGTCACTGATCGACCTGTCGCCATTCGATCCTCAAGATGAGAGTTTATTATCGCGAGGAACACTGAGGAAAGTTAGCGACATTGATACATTTCTTATGCTACCAGACTACAACACACCTGGCCAGGAGCATGTGATTGACGATGTGGACGCAATTGAAGACATCGTGAAACCTCACGGGCCGGCGCTGCTGGAGCTATATTTCAGAATCATTCATCCGAACTTCCCCATCTTACAGAAGGCGGTTTTCTATGAGAAGTATAACAGGTCGTACCGAGAATTTTCCCCTCCGATCCTGGCTGCTGTATATATACTAGCCATTAATTGGTGGGACCACAGCGATGACCTCGCCAATCAGCCACGTCCCGATCTGAGGGAATTGGAACGCCTGGCACGTGTTACGTTAGCAGATGCCATGTACAGACCCAAGTTGTCGACAATACAAGCTGGTCTCCTGCTCTCACAACGACCAGAAGGAGATCAATGGGCCCCCACAGCTCAATTGGTAGCCATTGGCCAGGAATTGGGACTCCATCTCGACTGCTCCAATTGGAAGATACCTCCGTGGGAGCGTGGGCTACGAAAAAGATTGGCTTGGGCTCTATACATGCAAGACAAGTGGGGGTCGTTGGTTCATGGTCGTCCTTCACACATCTTCGCTTCCAACTGGGCGGTACAGTCACTGTCACAGAATGACTTCCCCGATGTTGAGTACGACGAATCAGATGCTGAGGAAAGCGCCGAGTATGAACGTGGTCGCCTACTTTTCACCCAGATGATTATTCTGTCTCAAATCCTATCTGAAGTCCTCGATACTTTTTATACTCTCCAAGCCATGGCGGCTGTTACCCAGGCCGGTGCTCAGGGCACGCACCTCGTCCTCCAACTCGCTAAACCTGTCCAATTGAAACTGAAAGAATGGTTTGCGGCTCTGCCGCAAGCTCTCCGGATGGATTCGTCGACTGCTATCCAAAACACCAACAGACTTATCTCAACCGGTTTCCTTCACCTCGCCTACTTCGCCACTGAAATCACTTTACATCGTCGCATCATTCGGTCTCTGGCTCCTCAAGCTTCCTCAGCTGCACAAAACAATGCTCCTGCTCTCGATCCATATATAGTGCATATTTGCAGGAGTGCCGCGAAGACACGGTTGATCTCAGCTATGGACTTCGTCAACCGTCTCACCTCTTCTCATCTAAGATCCTTCTGGTATTTTGCTTCCAAAACAAATTTCGCTCTGATAGGAACCTTTGGTTCCCTGTTATGGGCCACAGCCCCTGGAAGAGAAGAAGCAGACTGGTACAGAAGGAGATTGGGAGAGTATAGATGGACCTTAGGTGTATCAGGCAAAGGCGGCGGTGCTGATGGTGGCAATGCTCTTCTGACAGAATTCGCCTTGAACATGCTAGATACTTCGACCTCACTTCTCAAATCCTTACCGGAGAAACCAGCTCTAAGCAGAGTGGGAAGCGAGAGCGAAAATCTAGGTGGCACGAAACGACAAAGAAGCATAGCAGAGGGCTACGGCTATGGATTCAACGTCGGCGGAGGTTTTGCCGTTGGTGGACCCCGCGGAGATGGTAGCGTAGGAAGCTACGGAGCCGAACGAGACGGTGAGAACGAATCTATTGTCCGAAGCGGGCTAGCCAGCCCAAGTACGAGTGTCAGCTCGGGAGGGAGTGGACTTGGATATGATACGTATTTAGCTCAGCCACCTGGATTTGGCGCCCCTACTGAGGAGGGATATTGAGATTTATATTATGCAGCGAGTGTTTCGAGCATTGCGATGATATCATGGTTGGGTTTTGTTTCATAGATCTGGGTTGGATATAACGGGTATTATGGGGTGTATATTTGAGAAAACTAGGTTACCTATGATTTGAATGTCCAGGTCTTGAAATGGACTCTTGGTCTACTTCATTGTTCGTGCTGCTCTGGCTACCTGGAGTTGAGAAAGGTAGACCAATTCGATGGCAAAGTCTAAATATACCACGACTCTGCCCGGTTGTTCTCATATAATGGATGCTCCTTGTGCCGGTACGTAGAGACGAGCGTCGTGATAGCGATCACATGGGTCCGGAGCATAACGGCAGAAGCAACGGCCTTGCTATTGTCCTGATTGGAGGCTTTGTGATTGCCTGTCTTCAAATAGGTCTTCTATCTGCTGCTAAAGTCTGTCCAATTGTGCGTTTTCAATTACGAGATTTTGACTCGGTGGCGTTTTCAATGTCCGGCCGAGGATGAGTTACTGGTCATCTGAAAATGACGTTCCTCAAGTCAACACTTATAGCCGCCAAATTCACCAATTCACATCCAAATACCAAGACACATAAAATCACTATTCCAAAACCCTATGTTTTTATTGGTTGAAGATCTACTTTACAGCAAGCGAAGCTTTCAAAGACCCAACGACAGCAAAACAAATAACAGGAGATGCAGCATACGATATCGTTACAAATTTCGCAATGGACATCTTCTCGTTCTCGTCCGCTCCACTGACGTCCGCTAATGCCGTGAGTTTTGTGGCTGGGGGCCCGGTCGGCATCAACATCAGAACGAACCAAAGGATCGGGTCGTCGGTTAGCAAGGAGGTTTTGGTTGCGATGAGGAATATGACGGCTATGCTGATACTAGGGGGCTATTAGTAGATATATTGTTACCGGGGAAATGTGGGAGAAGGGGACTTACACAGGCCAAAGGATAAAGCGGATGAAGAAGATGGTGAATAGGGGAATGAGTCGCACTTCCCCGCTCGCTTCCCCTTTCTTCATCTTGAGGAGACTGCCGCTGAGTTTCGCGCCTACGACCACGAGTTGCAGGGCAGCGAAGAGTTCGCCGACGTTCTTGACCGATGCTGTGAGCCAGGCTTTGAAGAAGCCGCCTTCGGAGGGGTCGTTAAAAAATGCTTTGTGGAGAGGTGGGATGAGTCCGATGAAAGCTCCGATTAATGCGCCAATCAGAGGTGCGTTGAGGAAGCTGTAGGCGAATTCGAGAGCTTTTCTCATGATTGCTGGGAGTTTGAGCCACTGCTTGTCCGATGCTTCGATAGCTTGGTCTCTTAATATGCCGCTCCGCTCCGCGACTCGATTTGGAAGCAGAGTCGTGCTTTCGTTAGCGTGCTCCTCTTGTTCCTCCTCTGTTCTTCCAGAGCAATTCACTGGGTGCGCATGCTCTTCATCTCCCTCGACTCGTCCATTCGAATGCACGTGCTCCGTCTTCTTCTGGTCGTGATGCTCGTCCGGACATTCTTCATCGTCGAGGAGTTTGGGACCAATGGCAAAAGTCAAGCTGTTTCCTACCATCGAGGAGACCAAAAAGTACGACTTAGCTCTGCTCAGAGCAGCGGACGAGGTGTCGTTTTCGCCCATCAGTAGGTCGTTTAATATGCCCGCCGTTTCGAGGGATTGGATGAGGAGCAGCGGGAGCGCTGTCGTGTTGTTGAAGCAGATCGCCGGAGTGGTCCATGCTGGGAAATGGCGGGGGAAGATTCGTCTCAATGTCCAGCCTAGAGCCATGGAAGAGAGGGTGTAAACTAGTGCCCATACTGTAGAATGTTAGATTCCAATCTTGTACATTGAAGGAGATGAACTCACTCAAGACTGGCACATATCGAAGGGCAGTATCTGCATGGAGTTCGGAACCGACATTGGTGATTAACAGAGCAGGAAGGAACAATCTAACACAGGTCTTCGAGATATCTCTGGACGATGATTCTTTCAAGAGGTTATATCTCGAAGCAATCGATCCTGCGAAGATTGTCAAGAGGACGGCTACAGATGCTTGCAATGCGCCGACGAAGCTGGGTAGGATGCCGCTTGACATTGTGAAGAAGATTGAAGAGATATTGTACGAATTGAAGGAGAAATAGCAGCAATAATGGAAACGGGACCTATCTTAACGCGCGGATCAGATCTGGTAGGTGAAAGCGTAGGTGCGCGATAATTTGACACTTGAATTCGACGTCATGGCGGGCGGCTCGATTCCAGCTCCTGCGGATTGGTCAGGGGGAAAAGCTTGTTTTGCCAAGAATCGTTAGACTAGGTTCTGGAGCACGGGCTCAGCTGAAATTGGACGAAGACGAAACCAACATGACAGGCTGTTAAATGACTTCGAGGTTGAGGGACTTTGGAAGTCATGTTGTATTCCTTGGGAGGGGTCTTGGATGCAGTAATTCCTGATGTGTTCCCCAGTGTGGTTGCTTTCCGAGACTTCAGAACTTCTTCAATTGAGGTCTCCGTAACTTCGTTTGCAGTTTGATTTCAGCACATTACAATAGCATCAGAAGTCTTTCTGAAGAGAATGTTTGTTCATATCAGGTATCATTAGCTGGTTGCAGCATTCACGAGAATGTGGTCTTTTGTGCTTGCACATAGACAACATCAAATTATATGTTCAAGTGAACTGCGAAAGAAACTCCTGAGCATCATCTATTGTCTTTGCCTCCAAGAGCATATAGATTTGTATCATGCTAGTTGCTCTCAAGAGCTGGCGAGGTGCATTGCTAGTATGCGATAAGGTAGGAAACCAGCCATAAGGCTCTCTGAGTCAATAGATAAAAGGTGCATTTCGCTCACACTTTCATGGTAGTGAGATTTTTGGCGAAGCAGCTCGATTCTTGCAGTGTTCAAGGAGCAAGGAGCGTCTCCTAGACCATCTAAGTCCCAGTCAAGGGGCAAGTACGCGCTCTATGTAAAGTACATGATAGTGGTGCATGGAATAGGAGAAGGTGGCGAGTCAAATAAGTGACTCTGATGCGAACAACATGAACTAGGATAATTAATAATGGTGAAAAGGCTTCTTCTTCTGAGGAGATCCTATGAATATAGTGTCATGCATTCTTCCTTATCACTGCTATGTAAAAACATCACTTTTCACACAATCCTTCTGTCAAGCAATTCTTCGCAACATATCTTCTCCTTCGAAATCCTGCTGTATTGGCTAAGCTTGTGGAAGAGATCCGCTCCTCCTTTGCGTCTGCAGATGAGATCAACTCTCCTGCTGTGTCACATCTCCCATATCTCATGGCAGTTTTCAGCGAATTCTTCAGACTTCACCATCCTGTTGATGGCAGGTCTAATCGTATCGTTCCTGCAAATGGAGTGCCGGTCGATGACCAGTTGTCCCTGGCCGGTGTCATGTCGGGCTGTCTCAGACATCTGCCTACTTGTTCAAGAAAAACTTCAGCCGCACCTCTTCATTCCAGAACGGTGGTTGGACTCGTCAGATATGGACGGTATTAAGACTGTGCTACAGCCTTTCCATGTAGGGCCGAGAAATTGCATAGGGCGAAATACAGCATCGAGTAAGCGATCGAATTTTATGTGATGGTTGCATAGTTTGGAGGTAATGTCGAGATGGAAAGATGGAAGTCGTTCGGCGAAGAATGAAGCGCGGGATTTCGCAATTGCAGAATCGTCATGGCGATCGATATTTGCAAAATGCGCCGTGAAAGTATACTGAATTGTCCTGATCCTAAAGTATATGTGATTCGAGATTATGGGGCACTAAGGTTGGCTCGAAGTCTGTACAGTCTCTGCTTCGTCCAGGTTTCGATCGAGACTTCAATGGTCATCATACACTAAGTTTGGAGGTGGTCAACGATATTCATAATGCCCGACACATCTGAGCCGGTTGTGCTCCTACCTCTTGGTGATCAAGGTCCCTAGCAGCCAGGAATTCATCTCTCAACCTGGGCGTTGATGGTTCACATCCAGCCATGAATAGAGAGTAATGTCAAGCACAGGTGTCAACGTCTGGCTATTCAAGCATGCGCTAGCATCGATCATGTTTGAGTGTCGTACTTTACATTCAAGAAGAGGTTGATCTTGAAGGCTTGAATATACTCCGGTTTCGATTCCGTTGGGTTGTGCGGAATTGTGGTGTTGATATTTCAATGCTGAATCATGTCGGGACACGCAATCGAAATGCCTTTCCCGAAATGATCCAGAAGAGGAGTCCATATGTATTTGACGCTTCGTCAGCTCCGGACACTGTTTATGCCTGTCCGACAGTCTCCCCTTCTGTCCAAAAGTGCACTCAACCACTCTCCTGAGCCGGTTGTGCTCCTAGTTTTGATGGCCTTGGTGGAGTGTGCAGCTTGTAAGTGGTCGTTGGTTGTACAAGTTTGTACTAGGATCTGAAGATATGTTTCTGCTAGTACTCTTGTACACTTCTTGATACATGAATGGGTGTGAACGACTTCTCCTATATGGTTAGCGGAGTAAATTGTCGTAGTCGAACACTTGTCCTAGATTTCAGGAAGTATGAGCCAGTTGTGCTCCTAGCTATCAGAGCACCATGCTGCTCGAGGATGGAGGATTGTCGATGAAAGGTCTTGGGAGCTATTGGGAGCTGTGCTTTGAAGGCAAACAGGTGGCGACCGTTGGAAAGCTCCCAAGGCCAATCAGCTCTTGCTGCCCAAGAACATGTCGGCTTCTTACGATGTTAACTCATTGGGCAGTCTATCTCTTTGGTGACCGCAATTGGTCAGGTCAAAGTTGAGATGAAAGCTTTGTCGGGAAGAGTAACCGAATCAGATCCAATCGCAACGTCCTCGACCTCTCAAAACCAGGGAGGGCCACGTATGATCTGATGCGCAAAACACTATCTATACTAAGCCAGCCACCGACGACTACATCGGCAAGGACGGAAAAGCGCTTAAGCCAGTCAGAGCCCATGAAAAGGAAGACTAACATGAACAATGGAGACATCGAAGCTCGTGGTGTGCTGGATGAATTAAAAGAGGGACTCGGCTCAAGCCGCTCAGCCCATTTTACCACCTTTCGACAACTAGTCTTGACGCTTTCCTGCTAGATTTCACTCATTTCGATATATCAAGATGGAATTCTTCGCATTGTTCGTTCTTACTACCTACCGCAGGAAAATGAGGTCAGTGGCGAGGTTTTGTCGTACTAATATCTCATTTCAAGGGGCTCCTAAAATGCCAAAATAAAAAATGTCAGCAAATGAAACACACATGCATGATTGTTTTCATTTGATATCATGAATCACAAATAGCGCCAAGGCTCAGTCGCACCGAAATCTCACAGCCTCAACGCTACGGTACTGCCAAGTCATGATAGGTCAGGATTAATTATTGCACCAGGGTTCCGCTCAATGCCTGCTAACAGGTCAAGTTTTGAAAATTCGCCGTTGACTTGGTTTCTAAACTGAGAACTTGATGTGCAACGTCGAGGTTAGAACCGTTAGAAACAGTGTTAAGCTCCAGTGCAAGTGCACTCTAAGCGAAAGCATAATCCATTTCTAGTGATGACGGAGCTTTAGTTGCGTCTTTTATACCCCCTTCGGCTCGAGAGGCAAGTTTGCCATGACGCGCTTGCTCAACTTGGCCAAGATTTGCGCCGTTTCCCCTGTCACAGTCAATCGATCGGCAGTGCTTAACCCTGACAGATGCAGGTCAACTGGAGACGTCCGACTGGCTACCCCACCTAAATGAATGAGCCTTCAAGGTTTCTTGACCTTCTTCCCTTCTTCCTAGCCGACCATGGACTTTCCATTCCTCGTGGAAGCGATGCGGAAGAGCTCTGCCACATGGGGTCTGCACTTTCGCCACACGGCCACACGAGGCGTTGGCTAATCGAAATCACGAGAGCCAAACACATGAAAATGCAGGCATTCCTGCCTTGTTCACTGTGCGAGAACATCATATGGGACAAGCTTGCGGTATCCCCTCGCAGAACTAAGTCCGAAGCTCATGGGTTTGCCTGTGGCTTCGGACCCCTTTTTTTCTTGCATTGCATTGTTAGTCTCCCACGAGAGCTGATCGGCGAGTCAGCCACAGCGTCCTCAGCTTCTTTGAATCTTTTTTGTTTGAGCTAGAAGTCTGGCAATAATCAATTGTAGATGTTTTGGTCAACCGTCAAAACTGATGTTAAGGCTCGGCATATGCATTGACGTTCTAGAAGCATATGTTAATCCCCGTATACTTAATTTTAACCGTAAGTGAACATCATGCGTTCGTCCCAAGAGTTGAAACGATGACGAGGAAACCCAAGGTTTCAAGAGCAGACAAGGTTAAACAGGTCTATGAGCTCTCCAGTACCACTCAACGTTTTCTACGGTTCCGGCAGGTCCGCTTGCAGACGGGACGTTATTGCGGCCCCTGCTTTTACCTTCTCCATGTTTTGCAAGGCAGTCAAGGGTGTCTAAGCGATGCATCACTGATGATGTCGATCTCCCCTTTCTATGTTTGCTTCACCCTGGAATAGCTGAGACATGCATTCAAGTGGCAAGTAGCAGTGACGATCGATTCGAAAGCTGCCAGGAACCATCGGAGCTGTGGAGGAGAAACGTTCTTCCCGCGCCTCCCAACCGGATTTCTCGTCAAGAGTTGCGCATGAAGAGTTGACGGGTTTCGATCGACATCGAATTTCAGCACCTTGCGGTAAACTTACCCATCTCGACCCCCTGACTTTTTGGAGAATTCCCAGCAATATGACGAGTCTTGAGTGTTCAAGGAGTGGTCCCCTTGAGTAAGTGGACGAAATGACCTTGGATCGACGTCCTGGGAGTACGTTGACTATGACGATCAGCTGAGAGTAACAGCTGTTGGGCACAGAGAAGAAATCTATAAGAAGAGTGTGAATTCCCACTGGAAAACAATCTTCATCACGCAATCGCAACACTCTTCACAAACATCCAACTTCAACTATCAATTTTCAACTTTTTCAAAAGTACTCCCACCTCAACCGCAAATATGAGAACCGAAATCACCAGCCTTACCGTCCTCGCCGGACTCTTCGCTCTTGCCTTTGCTACACCAGCAAGACATATGACTCTTGCAGACCGTCAAGCAACTCTTGTCTGCGCATCTGGCACCCCTCAATGCTGCGATGTCGATGTTCTTGGTGTTGCTGACTTGGATTGCGAAACTCGTACGTCAATCCCAAAAACTCTCAGCGATTTGTCTAGAATGCACTTTACTGACAATGTTCTCTGCAGCCCCCACTGTCCCAACAACAGTCGCCAACTTTACTAGCATCTGTGCTGATGTTGGAAAGATCGACAAGTGCTGCTTGATCCCTATTGTAAGTTCAAAACATCTCTTGCTGGTTGAAAATGCGACTAATAAACATCATAGCTCGAGCAAGGTCTCATCTGCTCCGACCCCATCTAAGCGTTCAATGCTTTGAAGAGAACCGGAATGACTGTCAATTTGTACCCGTCCTTATCTCAAATGTATGAGGACTTGGTTGTGGAAATGTTTGATTCCTTTCAGAGATGGTGAACGGGGAGTTTAGAGGATGTGGAAAACAGGCAGCACAATGTAATCGTGTATGATATTGAATATACTGTCCTTTTTGGAGAGGTCTTATGTGCCAGCCATGTTTTTTGTGATGAAATTGCTATGAAATGATCGCTATTCTTACCATCTAGCATGCAGTTTGCTAAACAGCTTGTGACATCTCATTAAGAACAACGAATTTTCGGGAGATTTCTGCATTCGAAATGCCAAGCTTAGATAAACAAGCATCGGCAGAGTTTGGATGAACCGCACAATGCAAAGCATGTCGTGCTTACAATAGCAATCCATGAAGTGGGTCCGATGACCCCGCACTAGCTTAATAAAGCGCTATTAGTGACGCCCTTCTGCAGACCTAGGTACATTTGCAACTTCTTTCACAGAACTTTTCCAGCTTCATATTTAGATTCTAGTTGCAAACATGTTTCCTAATTTCGAGTCCTTCGATCTGAAACTCTCATCCTCCTTAACAATCCACGGGATCCGTTCCGGCTCGGGTCAACCCCTCCTTTTGCTTCATGGCTTTCCTCAAACTCACCACATTTGGCACAAGGTTGCGCCAGAACTCACGTCCAAATATACTGTTATCGCGATTGATTTGAGAGGATATGGGAAATCATCTAAATTGCCTTCGGATGAGAAGGATAGTCACAAAGCATATGCAAAATCGACTATGGCAGAAGATTGTGTGAAAGTCATGAGTGGGCTTGGGTATGAGAAATTCTGGATCTTGAGTCATGATAGAGGGGCTAGGATCGCTCATAAATTGTGTCAGTATTATTACATTGTTCAATACTTCTTAGACTAATCTCACTAGGTGTCGATTATCCTGAGAAAGTGGGCAAGCTCATGATGCTCGACATTGCGCCGACGTTAGCCATGTTTGAAAAAACAGACCAAGAATTCGCTACCAAATACTGGCACTGGTTCTTCCTCATCCAACCATCACCATTCCCTGAGAATATACTGCTCAACAATCGAGAAGAGTTAAAAGCCCGTTTCTTTGGAGGCAGTTGGTCAGGAGTGAAAGGGTTTATGGATGAGAAAGCCGTTGAAGAATATATTTCTCAATTCACTGATAAAGCAGGTGTCCATGCTATGTGTGAAGATTACAGGGCTGCTGCTACCATTGATCTCGTGGAAGCGAGAAGTGACAAAGAAGCAGGAAGGAAGATCAAGTGTCCTGTGAGAGTCTTGTGGGGCAAGAATGGAGTGATTGAGAAGAGTTTCGATTGTTTGGGGGAGTGGAGAGCTGTTTGTGACAATGAAGTGAGTGGTGAAGCAGTCAATTCGGGACATTTTATCGCAGAAGAAGTTCCTAATGTGTTGCTGAAGCATGTCCGAGAGTTCTTTGGGTAGGTTGGGTAGATTCGATATTTCATATCTCGAACTATTGCTTCAATCTGCATGTGGACATAGAATGCAGTATGTCCCGTTCACCAAACGTATCTGAAGTGTATGTTTTCCTTGTCTGTCAAATCCTTAAAGTCTGTCTCTTGATGGGCTAGCTCGCCGCCTGCAGTATCCAATTTGTCGCGGCGTTGATTCTCATGCCAACAAAATGCCATATAGGTACACATTGTGATTATCGAAAGGACGTAAGCGCCGAGAATCGCACCTGTTCCAAGTGGATAGAGAGGTGCTTGGTTCGACTTGAAGAATTGAGGTCCGATGATGTTTGACACACAATAGCTTATAAAGACCAAAGCATTGACTGTCACTTTCTTGGTGTGGCCGGCCGTATTTGCTGTGATGAATCCAAGAGAAACGATATATGGGCCCAAGTAAAAGTATGAGACATAAAGTGCAGCGAGACGGTTATGCAGTGCCGTCAGAGGGAGAGTATAGAGGAAAATTGCCGCGATCATGCCAACGATAAGACCAATGATAATAATCACGCCTCGAGGGTGGTATTTTGGCAGACGTGTAACAAGCAGGAACACGCAGCCGTTGCAAAGATATGAGGACACTGTTTCCAGGATTCCAGATGGCATCGTCAGTAGGGCAGCGCGTTGAGAGCTGTATCCAAGTCCATTTACAATAAGTGGCGTGAACTATGAACGTCAGCATATAATCCGCACGCTCCTAAATGCCTTTCAGGACTTACACTTGTGAGACCTCCATTGGGTATGGAGACCCAGAGATTGAAGAGCACCAGTAGCCAGGTCTTCACATCGAGCAACGCTTCTCGAAACTGTGCCCACTTCCACGTCTTATTTTCGATACCAATCTGATCTGCCCTCATCCTGTCGACAATAATAGCCTTCTCACGTTCACTCAGGAACTTTGCTGAAACTGGACTGTCCGGGAGTACAAGGCTTATGAAGAAAGCCCAAATGATCGTAATGCTCCCAATGATCCAGAAGAATAAACGCCATGGCTTGAACCACGTTCCAGTGACGTACCCTACACTGTGGTTGATGTTAGCCATCATGGCCCGTTCAAAGTTCAAAGACAATTAATTACCCGTAGCCAACAGGGCCAGTGATCAGCTGTGCAAAGCCGGTGTAGAATATTCCGAGGCGAAGTGCTTGTTCTTTCCTCGGATACCACATTCCGATCATGATAAGGTTTCCAGGAATGATCGGAGCTTCGAAGATACCTAGAAGAATTCGCAACGCCAGGAGTCCTGGAAAATTGCTCACGAAGCCTGTGGCAATCAGAATGATTCCCCACACCAATTGGCATCCGACCGTGAATTTCGCAATTGGTAGTCGTTGCAACAGCCAGGCAGCTGGGAGTGATGCTACCAAGTAACCGAAATAGAATGCGCTGCCAACCCAGGAATATCGATTACCAGTAAGATCACAGTCAGTCTTCAGGCCATATCTAGTTATGTGAGCATGACGGTGGACGTAGCAGTAATTCTCGCTTACAGCGCTCCAGTTGAAGAAGAGGTTTTGTCGCAACTGGCTAATATTACGTTCAACATGACAATTGGCATAATCCGTCTGTCGAGTCGCCACCGAAGGCTAACCTCCTCCTTTCTCGAATACGAATCGCCATTTAGTTGGTTTGCATAGAGAGCACCAACCTTATCGGAGTCAGTATATGAACTGTTTATTAAGAAGATGAGGCTGGTTGCTCAACGAGGGGAGGAGGGCGGAAACTGCTTACGTCGAGGTCACTGTCGATTTTGGTGACTGTATCCTTTTCAAGCACAACTGACGAGTCTTCTTCAATTCTCTTTGCCGACATAACATCTTGGTCGGTAACCGTCGGCATCTTCTCGCCCGAAGACATGATATCCGGAAGTCACCAGTGTGCTCAGGATACTTCTTGGCGGTGACATGATATATACCACTGCGCTGCAACACAATCCTCACAGACTTAAGACCCCACTCGGAGCATCGACCGAAGTGCTATCATGTCGATGCGATGCTACCTCGCTGCATTCATAGCCGATTATCGTTCGTTCTCACAGAGGAAGAAGATCTTCATGATTGAGCTTATTGGCCAAATTAACCGATGACGAGAACCCCATCCTTGAAGGGTTCCTGGAATTGTCCAAGCATCATCAGAGATATCAAAAGTGGAGAATAATGCGGATAAGTATCAGACGAGTACGAAGCTTGCCTGCGGTGGATTATTTTACTTTTGAAGTTGATTGATTGCAATCCTTCGATTGGAGTCTGGATCTTGTTCGCTATGTCAAGCGACGGCGAAGGGCGATGATAAACGATGCGTATGGGTCTGGAAAATAGAACCAAAGTCATATCAGCTTGTGGCTAGGTAAATGGTGGCACAAAAAGATATTCGTACAATGTCTAATGATCAAGGGAAAATGGAGAGGTGCAATTTGAAGGAGAAGAAGCGGCGGTCGAAAACTGGTGAGCCCACCTGCCTATACAAAGGACAGTTCTGATCTAAAGATGTTTATGAAGGATGCAACACTTGTCGTCTCAAAAAAGTTAAATGTGATGAAAAGCAACCATGGTGTGGGCGCTGCTCTCGGCTTGGACTGAAATGCTATTGGAATATCGTTGGCCCATCGCTGAGAGAGAGAAGACGCGGAGCGGGAACGTTGAGGTCGAGGGAAAATTGGCAGCCAACCGTTATTTCTCCCAAAAAGCAGTGCCACTCAGCCGAAGTTAGTGTGGAACTCCATGAGACCTCCACTGCATTACAACACCAGGCAGCTTTGAGCTCACCTAGCCATTTCGAAGAGTTATCGCATGCTGGGTAACCCGACCATTCAGAGGTATATCCAACTTCGGGTGTTGGTAGCCTTTCTTGGTCAAACTCGAACCCTCAATCCAGCACGAGTCTCAATGCAACTGCACACTCGACGTTTCAAGAATATTCTGCTCATCTTCTCGAACAATCTTCATCCACCAACATTGCCTTTGCCAATGTAGCTACGCTCCCTTCAGAGTTACCATGCTTTCGAACTTCGCTACCCAACGCACTAATGCTTAACGAGCAAGAGCACGAAGCACTCCACCACTATTCCACGACCTTTTCAGCTTCTTTCACAAAGAAGCATCCAAAGTGGTCTACGCTAAGTATGCTACTGCGCCTCGGATCTAGCAAGCTGATGGTGATGCATCTCTTGCTTGCTGTCTCTCTCAACGACTTCGCGTTGCGCCGTCATGACGAGGAAATCAGACTGGTTGCCCACAGGCATTATCGGGAAGGTGCTAGTCAGCTCACAGAGTTAATGACAAGCAAGGCTGAACCAGACCATGTCGGGATACTGGCCACCTTCTAGTTCTTCTACCTATACAAGATGAATTGGATGCAAGTTGATGTTTAGTATATGAACCAGTTGAGTCGGACAGTTACTAGTCATATCGAGAAATACAAATTGGATGACCTCTGCTGTTGCACTTACAACACTTCTGCACAACCTCATACGTCACTGATTAGGAACTAGCCCATCAGTCCGCAAGAAGGCAGTGTCGTGGCATTAATGATAACTTGTCTACTATCAAGATATCAAGTACGGATTCTATTATTGCGGTGGAAAGCTAGCCGAGTATCTCAACACGGATCAAACCAAGCTTGGAACGATTTATGATCTTGGAAGATCTGCCTTGGCCTTGAATTGGGGTTCTGAGTATCCGATTACGGAGGTTATTGACGACAATGAGAACTACATGATGCTCAAACTGAATAGTGAGCTAAACATTGTGGTGGAAGACATCAACAAGAGTTTCAAGTTCACACAGAAGAGCGATCTTGGGTCCCAATTAGGGCATGAACTTAGTACTCTCGAGCAAGTAGGTGGCTCTGTTATGGACGATGTAAAATAGTAAATTAGGTCATGCTGACAGATTGAAGAAGTATAGTTTCGTGTTTCGCCTTGCCGCAACCACTACGAAACCTCGAACTCGAACACTAGTGAACGCCGACTTGAGTATTGCTTATTACCATGCAGTCCGGGTATGTCTTTTTCGATGCACTTTAAGTGATCTCAAAGCTCCTTGTCCAGACATAATTCAGTCATCTCTAAGTTGCATCCTCAGCATTGCTCACCAAACCTTTGCAACTGGAGACGATGCACTTTTCCATCGAATCGAGTGGCCCATCTTTATAGCTGGCGTGGAGATCAAGGATGAGATACACAGAGAATGGATCCAAGAAAAACTGAAACACAGTAACATTGGAACGGCGTTGAACGAGGTCATTCAAGTGCAGCAAGAGTTTGGCAGAAGAGTTGGAGTGGAATTCATGAGAGATGTTTTCTGTAAAGGTCTTAGAGCGCCCTGAAAAGTGTGTTTATGTACACAAGACACTGAAAATTCTCAATAGCATAGATACAGCATATCCACTGTGAGATAGTGAATCGGACACTGTAAGAAGCGTTTGCCATTCAAAAATGGGATGTGCCAACGCCATTGGCTCAATTTGCCGACCCCCTTTTCTACTTCTGCGGCCCATCTGCAGTCAGGCGATCGGCCACGGAGCCCGGCTATATCTTACTATCGTGCAGCAAGCCATGCTTGAAGCTATGGTGGGGTCATGTCTTTGAGCTTGCTGAGCGCCGAGTTCTGCCGCGCAGCTTGAAGTTCGCTCAGAATAGCTCCTTTCACGTTGAATCCTTCTTAATCCACTCAGTCCTAACAAAATTCCTGCTGTCGCAATTTGTTCGTCAATTATGGCTCCATTGGATATCGACGTCGATGCAGAGCAAGTGGCGTTTGATAAGGAAGTTGCAAGCATTGAAGACTGGTGGAAGACTCCAAGGCAAGCTTCAATCAAAAGGCAAGTATTATCCAAAGCTGAAATGCAAAGCTGACTTTAGACAGACCATATACAGCGCGAAGAATAGCCACATTGCGAAATACAGTGCGAGAAGAATATGTTTCGAGCAGGCAAGCTCTCAAATTATGGAGCCAATTTCAATCTCATCTCGACAATGGAACATATGAGTTGACATTCGGAGCCACTGATCCCTTGATCGTTGCCGAGATGGCAAAATACCAACAGGTTTGCTCCAGTAACTTTGTACCCATGTGCCAAATACTGATGCAGAATCGCAGACGGTCTATGTTTCGGGTGCTTTATGTGGATTCACACAGGTACTTGAGCCAGGTATGGATCAAGCCGACTATCCTTGGGACACTGTACCGAAGGTTGTGGAGAAGATATATCGCTCTCAGATGTGGAACGACCGCCGCCAGCGACAAATCAGAATGTCAAAAGCTAAAGCAGAACGGGCGAAAATGGAGTGCTACGATTACCTAGCTCCAATTATCGCAGACGCTGATATGGGTTTTGGCGGCTTAACATCCACTGTGAAGATGGCAAAGCTATTCGTGGAATCTGGGGTGGCAATGATTCACGTTGATGACTTAGCCTCTGGCATGAAGCGGTTCACTACAGGCCAAGGGCGAACGATCGTCCCGACAAGCGAGTATATCGGACGATTGACTGCTGTTCGTATGCAATTCGATATCATGGGGTAAGTTCTTTGGCAATGGTAGAAATTTCCTGCGATATTGACACAACACAGTGCTGAGACCATGCTTCTGATGCGAACCGACTTGATCAAAGCACAATTCATCACCTCAGTGATTGATCCTTGTGACCACGAGTACATTATAGGGGCTACGAACTCAGTCGAAGCTTTGTCGACTGTTTTGTCGAGGACAATGGAATCAGGAGAGCCAAGTCTAAAAGAGCTCGTCCTGGTGAGGACTGAATGGGAGAAGACAGCTGGGCTTATGACCTTTGATGAAGCTGTCCAACCTCAAGCCACGGAGGAAGAGTACAGAGCTTACGAAGCCAAGATCGCCTTTCCACTGCGCTCGCACAAAGGAGGGAGGCTGCTCGGAGCGTGCTCGGGAAAGAGGTGGCATTCGATTGGGAACTGCCCAGAAGTAGAGAAGGTCAGTATCTATTTAAATGGGCCGTCAAAGGAGAGACTGAACGCTGTCTCGCTGTGGCTCCGTTAGGCGACCTGACATGGCCTCGAATGGATTTTCCAGGTGTGTAGCTCTGATCCGCCACAATCGCCGCCCGTATCTCGTTGCAACAGCGCTGACAGACGACTAGATCTTGCAATAACAGGTGAAATTCACAACGCTCTCCGAGAAAAGTATCCACGTCGGCTATTCTGCTTCGGCTATACGAATACGTATGACTGGGCAGGTGCAGGATTTACAGAAACAGATGTGAAAGACTCCCCCTCGAAGATGGCAAAACAAGGGGCGATTTTTCAGATACAACCAACATGGTGTGTTCAAGGAATACGGTATTATGCAGATAAGAGCGCGAGGATGCTGAAAGAAGATGGAATTGCTGGGTACGTGCAAGAAATTCAGAAGCCTGCACTAGCAGTAGGACGAAACGGTTCTGAGGAATCCGGTGCATATCTCACAGATGCGTATTTCGAGACGATTGCTGCTCAAGATTACATATGATTGAGATGATTTTCACTTCGAATTTTGACTCTACTTCGAGCCAGATTTTATCATTTCAAGTCTCCTCCTATGTGACCCTTTGTGATCATGTTCTAACTATCGTCTCAGAGAGCGAGCTTGATCTCGCCTATGGTTTCCCGCACACAAGTCCATCCCTAAGCTATGAAGACAGTTAGCTCGTCGTCCTTCAAAGGTTGGACGCAATATACTAACAAATGGGAGAACACAGCAGGCTGCTTGTTGCCCATTTTCGGAGCATAATTCGGAGAAATCCTTCATGTCGGTTGGTGTTCGAGAGGCTGAAGCGTCAGTAAAACTCTTCATACTTGAGGAATAGTGGGGCAATACGTGCTGCACAAGTAAGGTTTATAATGCCATCAACGCCCACGTCGCAGCATTGCCGCTGCGAGATGGCGTTACACACACTCATATCTCGCGGATGTACTGGGCTTGCAAAAGCAGTATTGAATAGGCCACCGAGGGCGATGACAGAGAGAACTGATGTCTTCATGGTTTGAGTGTTTGAACTTTGGTGAATCAAACATATATGAAGGAAGACCAGATATTATCGGCAAATGTTTTCAGTTTGGAGAATTCTCACTAGAGAACAAACTCGACTCCATTGTCTGAGTCGTCATTGTTTGTTTATGATGTAGAGGCGGAGATGTCAACACAGAGCCAACTCGACGTTTGACGTTGACAGAGAAGATACGTAGACGGGGACATTCGGTCCACATTCTAGCTTTGAACAGTATCAACAGTGTTGTAGTTTATCATCCGTTGTTCTCAATAGCTGATCTTGCAGGCAAGTCTGGGGAAGTCTAGCTAGAACGGATGTCCAGCCTAGCACTGGACACTCAGGAGGACGTCAAGGCCCAATCTTCCAATTGGGCCAGGCTCACGAAGGTCACACACAGGCCTCGATTGCGGCTGCAAAGTGAGATTGTACATATTATTAATACTTTAGAATTGAAATATCAGATAATGCTGATTGATTCTGTCGAATGATAAAAAGACTGTAAGTCAGCTCTATCACGTGCAAGGCCAAGCCACATTCGGATGTTGGTGATCTTTCCCCAGCCTCCAGTCATGACGTACGATCCTCAAGTATCACAGAATGCACCAGTAAAGGCGCTCCAGCAATTGGTAAACCGGTAAGTTTTCTCTCTCTGTCTTTCTACCAATCTTGAAACTGCTGTTGTTCAAGATTATCAATACTTCTCACGATGCCTTTCTTCCGCCCCTATATGACTCTTTCGAGCTTCAATCGACAGGCTGCTCCTCAAGCTCTCCGACACCAACCTACAGCACGTTTCATCTCTTCCACCCCGATACGATTTAGTCAAGGTTACGGTGATGGCGAAGGAGATCCAAAAGGAGAGACTCCTCAGGATCAAGGGAGCTCTAATGAGACCAAACACAATGCCGAGCATCCTGGTCCAGCACCTCCATCTGAAGGACAGGGCACTGGTGCAGGGCCAACGAAAGGCGGATCTGGAGGATCACCAGAGGAAGCATCGGCACAATCAGGAGGATCTAGGTCCAAAGACGCCAAAGAGACTGGGTCCAGCCCAACTGGAGGCGCCGTAGGCGACAGCGGAGGTAAGAGTCCTGACAAAAAAGCGGCATCACCACGGATTCACGACAAGAACGTGCCAGGCCATGATAATACTTCGGACAAGCAAGCTGAAGTTGAGAAGCACAATAAAGAGTTCGAGCAAGGCCATGATCGCGCTCCGCCGGCTGCAGAAGACAAAGTTGACAAGAAATTCTGGAAGGGTAAGACTACTCGTTGATCTGTCAATCCAAGACTCTGCTAACAGTTTGGCAGGCCATGGAGGAGCAGATCGGGAGTCATAAGGCAATGCACGGTTTGAGACATAGACATAGTCAGACATTTGGAAATTGGATCACTATCCAGAGATTGATAGCCAGACTTTTTCGGTTCAGATGTACATTTGAAGTCAACATCAGCTATATCCTCCAGGTTTCCAGTATCAAAAGATCCATCATTGTGATATATTGCTTTGCACACAAAACTTTCAACTCTCTCAAGAACTCGAGAACGGACAAAGGCAACTGATTCAACATATCCAGTCCTTTGAATCGAGTGACAAGCAGTAGTATATTTCGGACGTTGTCATTTATCTAGCTTGCTGAAGGTTACATGTGAAGTGAAGGTGCCTTGAAAACATCCACTAAACTCAAACTCTGATTGAACGCCACAAAAAAAGTGGCAAAAGCCACAGTTCTCGACTTTCCTCCCAAGCTCTTTTCCCCACACTGTCTCTCCCGCCTGATCTGTGCGCATGTGCTTGACAGGGTGATGTCATGGTGCTAGCATCGTCATGCTCTTTGTATGGCAAAGTGAGATTGACATCTGAAGACCCCAGTCGCTTTGAACCAATTATCTGGATCACAAGCAGATTCTTTGCACGTTCTATCCGCTAAGCAAACACCACAGCACGACGTCACTCTACAATCCCATCACGTCTTAGCGAAAGCTGCCTGTTCTCCTCTTCAGCCACATCAAAACATTTGTTCCTTCCTTTAAAAACATCACTTCTGCCAAATTTCAGCCCTGGTAGACCATCTACGAAATAATCAACACACAAAAATCGAAGGACTTCTTCCAAAATGAAGTTCTTTTCCCAGCTCTTAGTTCTGGGACTGGCAGCTGAAGCTACAGTTGCTAGCAGCTGGTTCAGCAAAGCTGGTACGTATAAAGCTCTCTAACATGTCAAATACTTTGTTCTCGAATTTGTCTTGAATGTCTAAAGCTCCTGCCAACTTCAACAGCTGGTTTCGGAGCTCGATTGCGTCTGTTGTGCAACAATTTCTCGACCTCGTTTCACAGACGTCATAACAGCTTTTCTATACTTTTGCCAAGGCCTGAAAGACGTATACTGATGGTTTACAGTCTACAATAAGTGGCACGAAACCGAGCTTGAGAGATGGCTTTCCGATCACAACGTCCCATACCCTACACCCGCAGATCGTAAGGATCTTGAAAACCTTGTCAAGGACAACTGGCAATCGAAGGTCGCTCAACCATACAATGATTGGGAGGCTCCACAACTCAGTTCCTTCCTCCAACAAAAAGGTGTTGAGGTTAAGGAATCTGCAGCCGCAAATAAGGATGGTTTGATCGCTCAAGTCAAGAACTCCTGGTACGAGACTGAGGACAAGTCTGAAGATGCTTGGTCTAGTGTAAAGGACTGGATCTTTGACAGGTATGTTCAATTGCTGTATATATCAGGATACATGCTAACATGTTCTAGCTGGACTGGTATAATATCCTCAACTGTTATGCTGATTACGAAATGCTGATACTATCAGAATCATCCTTGAAGGCCTTTGCTGACAAGCATGGTATTCCCGTCCCTCAACCACGAGCTAGAGATACCCTCCTACAGAAACTCCGATCCAACTACGAGACTGTTGCAAAGAAGGCCGGTGAAACTGCCAGCTATCCTGGAAACTGGCTCTATGAATCTTGGTCTGAGTCTGGTATGTATGCACTTCGACAGCAGACAAAATATCGCTGATAGGTTCTAGACTTGAAGGAATGGTTGGACAGCCACGGAATTCCGGCACCTCAGCCCACCACTCGTGACAAGCTTATTGCCAGTGTCCGCCGCAATGCTCGTGTCGCCAGCTTGAAGATGGCAGACATGCAGGCATCCGCCTCCAAGTCCGCCGCCGACGCTACCCAGACTTTGAGTGACAAACTTCTCGACTCATGGTCCGACTCACGTAAGTTCATTTTTAAAGATTGGGGAATACTTGCTGATTGTAGAATAGAAATCAAGGAATGGGCCGACAAGAACGGTATCAAAGTCCCACAAGGAAGCAAGAGAAATGAGCTTTTGGCAATTGCACGAAAGCACCGCGCACAATTGACTGGCGACAATGCCTCATACTCTGCCAAGAGCGCTGCCAGTAAAGCCAGCGCCTCCGGAGCGTCTGCTTTCGGTGCTGCTACTTCAAGCGCTGGTAATCAGTACGCCAAAGCTACTGATGATGCCCAACTTAAGGCTGAAGATGCTTTCAATTCTATTACCAGCACATGGAGCGAGGTAAGGCACATGCCTACCATCCATTGGATACGCTAACATGTTCAAATAGTCTCGCCTAAAGGCTTATCTCGATTCTCGTGGTGTTCCCGTTCCTCAATCTGGAAAGAAGGATGAGCTTTTGGCTGCTGTTCGCTTGAACCGACACAAGGCTGCCACTGGCTGGTCTGCTTGGACCTTTGATACATGGACTTTGGAGAACCTGAAGGCTTACCTCGCATCATCTGGCAACAAGGCAGCCGAGAAGGCTAGCAACCAAGCTGGTGCCACCCGAGAGCAACTCGTCTCAGCGGCTCAGGATGCGTATGCCTCAGCCTCAAAGACTGGTGGTACCTCTTATGCTTCTGTCACGTCCTACCTTGCCAAGCAAACCGATGCCGCCAAGGACTCCGTCTTCGACACCTGGTCGGAGTCTGAGCTCAAGAATTATCTTGATTCATATGGATTTAACGTTCCTCAAGGTTCAACCAAGAACCAGTTGATCGCCTGGGCTCGCAACCAAAGAAACTACTTCCAATACGGCACTACCACTCCTCAAGGCACTCTATGGGCTAAGCTTCAAGAGGGTGCTTCATGGGTCATGAACCAACTGAGTATTGGCGCAGCTGCTGGACGTAAGCAGGCCGAGGTTGCAGGCGATTCCGTCAAGGAGGGAGCTACCTATGCCACCAATCGTGCAGGAGAAGCTGCTCAGAAGGCTGGTGACAAGATTAAGGAGGAATTGTAGGCAAGGAACACAATTTCGGGCATAATTTGGGATTGGAAGAGAGAAGCACACATGATTGTGGATTAGTTACTTCTGAGCGTTTGCCTTCGGCGGAGTAAAGATTATGGGATTCTTTGATGACCTGGGATGACATAGCATTTCGCTCTTCGGCAGGACAAGAGTCAATAAAACGTGTTACTTTTATGAGATCTCTCAGCGATCTTTCAGCTTGCATACTAAGATTGTAAGTTCTGTCATGTTGCGTTATCGATGAAGTGATCTATGGTAGGACTCTGGGACTGTTCCAAGTTGAGACAATACTTACGGGGCTTGTGATGAACCTATCTCGACCACGTTGCAAGTCACGGTACATCAAGAGAAATACTTATCTGATGACGGCCATTAAATTTACTATCCCCAGAGTGATATAAAGTGCGGCAAGCAGAGAGTCAATCCCTCAGTTCAGTAGAAGGGTAAGAGCAGGTGATATCAAACACTTAGAGGTTCCGCTTAAGATCTTGCCATATTTATTAGTTACTGTAATCATTCAGAATGTATTGTCCTTCAGAGCGTCGAAGATCAGTTTTGGCTCAATTATATACAAAAGTGCTGCGCTTCGAAAACCATCCACACAAAAATCTGCGCACCAAACACGACACGTAATCCTGAACCACAACACCTTGACAGGTCTTGAAGCCTGTATAGCCTCGCTTGTACCCATTTCCACCCGAATGTAGTCAGAAGCTCTGCAGACAGAGGTGGCAAGGCAGGTGACCAGAGCAGGTATTCGAACGGCATTGTATTCTAGATCTTAGGTTGCTTTTGCTTTCGTTGCAGATGCCGCCGATGTTGCTTTTCCTGTCGCAGATGCTGCTGGCTTGGAACTGCTCTTGCCAGTAGCTGCAGCTTTTGGCGCAGATCCGGACGCACTCTTCGCAGACGCTGTGGCTTTGGGAGCAGATAAAGTGGTAGCGGCCTTTTGTGTAGATGCAGCAATGCTCTTGCCGGTGGCCGCAGGCTTTTGCGTAGAAGTAGGCTTCCCTGTAGTCGCAGATGCTCCGCTGCTCGATGATGCAGCAGCATTTTGAACCTCCAAACATCCAGAGGGCCGAACAGATTGCATGTCAGGTTGCCCAGCAGCTGCAAAATAGGCGTCAATATTGGGTAGGACATTAACGCAACGATTCTGGTTAATGGCATCAACTTGCATCTGAGCTGTGTCAGGGCCATTGTCAACCATGGACTGAAGCGCGTCCACAACAGCCTGGAAAGTTCCTTGAGTAGCAAGGGTGTCGTTGGCAGCCTGAACCATATCCATCTGCCCAACAGCAGCGTCGAGAATCATCTTGTGATTGAGTTCGTCCTTCTCGGAGTTGAGCGCAATTGTTGCTTGACGGGTGAACTCGTCTCCAGAGAATGAGGTAGCGGTGTTGAGGAATTTGCTGACTTTGCCCGTATCATTCATCCACGACATGACTGCATTCATGACTTGCACATCGCTTGGGCCCATGTTGGTATTCATCGCTGGACTTGAGGCTTGCCCAGTAGCCTTTGCGCTTCCAGCAGTCTTGGAAGAACTCGATACTGCTTTGCTGGCGGTTCCCTTTACCGTCGAACTGGCTTTGGAGGAGGCGGCGGGCACAGCCAGGCCAAAAGTGGGCAGGAGGGAGAAAAGAACGACGATTTTAGTTAAGATATACATGATGTCGGGTATCAAAAAAAAAACGAGGACAAAGTGATAACGAAACACACGCCTTACAAAGGCGACTTAAGAAATAAATTGAAATGAAGGTAATGATAATAATAATAAACTTTGAAAATGGGTAGTACAGAATAAAAAGGTCCAGCCTGCCAAAGCGTAGGTTTTGGGGGAACAAATTTATTATATTAGCTAGGAACAAGCACAGCGCCAACAGAACTCAAAGCACGACTTGCCTCAAGACTTGGGGTGAAAGGCCAAGGAATCTTGGGGGTGATCTTGTCAAACATGGGGACATGACTCTGACCAATACTCAAGGTTGGGTATGGGAAATATGTACAGTACCTATGGGTGGAAATTCCATCCCCTCAGCCTGGTCTGTGCAACACATGAGAAAGAACTGCAAGACTGGTGTAATTGCCACCTCAAAAATCACAGGGCGTACTCGGTTCTTCTGGTTCTTGAAGCAAAGACCAATCAAGCCCTGCTTCAGTTGTACTGGATGTTTTATGTCAATGCCGACGTAGATTCAAAGTGGTCATATAACATACGAGCTCGTGGCGGGAGCTTAAGCGAGGCTAGTCTCCCTTTCTCTACCGTTTCTCTGCAGGAGCGAACCTTGGCAGGTAAGAAGTTTCTTCGCTTATGTTTCTGGATCTTCAAGCCTTAATGTCGAGCGTTCTTGGGGACAACGGTGAGTTGACTGGACTGTGTTTCAAGAGATGCCGGCTGGGCTCCAGTAAGAGAGATCATCATAATCTTGGCGTCGATTGTGTCCCAACTATCTGGATTTCCTGTTGATCTGTAGACACTGCAAAGCTTATACTGTTTTTAAGGATGCGGTTGTGAGATTTGAGTTAGGGAGAGCAACGCAGCCTCGTGACATGATTTAAGCGAGCGTTCGAACACAGCCACAGCAGAGAGAAAAAGCAAAGCTTCCGCTGTCACCTTCAAACTTTATTTTGTCCTCTCTGAAGCAGATTTGCATCATAATAGTTGGATAAATTCGAGAGTGATCTACCGTGACGCCAAGCACTATTCATCGCGATTATCACCATCTTGAGCTGCTTCAAACAGAGAATTCTTCGTGGCGCTCCTGGGGGCGAAACTCGAAACTTGAACGCACGATGTTGGAAACAAAAAATCATCGTGGCTTCCTCATTGTACGAAACGCCACAAGAGCTTGGCAGCCTCTTCTGAGACTTCATCCTTTCTCCTCAACCCTCAAGACGGATGTGGCAAAGTCCGGCCATGCTGCACCCCGCAGTCGATCCTTCGTATCAATCGTTGCTCAAAATTTAAGCTTAAGGAAAGGCCAGTGCTTAGCACCTTACAGAGTCTCGGTAACAATCATGCACTTGTCTTTGAACTCCACTCGAAGTCAGCTTTCAGTCAATCCGGATAACTTCTTAACTCCATCCGCGCACGGTTGGTGTATCTTCTTTTATCTGTGCCATTCGCCCTTAGCAGGACGGTCTTGGAGGCCTGGATCTTGATTTTGATATACTTTTTTTTTGCAAACCGGTCACTCCTTTGATCGTGTCTACCTCTACTATCTCGAGGTACCACATAGCCCTGGTGGCCATTTTCACTAGTAATCATAATGTCCGCCATGCAATTGTATTTCAGTTTTCTTCTTGTTAGCTCGAGACTCAGCTATCATGTTGTGGCCCAGTCACAAAATGTTCAGTTCGGTCAGGTATCCAATCTGAATGGTGATGTAAGGTTTCCCTGTTTGAACTACTCCCCTCACGTACTGACAAATATATCTGCAGATGCAATTGAATAGCCTCACATTTCCCGACAACTCCAAAATCGAAACATTCTCTCAAACACAACGTCAAATCCTCGTGAACCAAAATCCGGCTCCGGTTCCGGCCAGCCATGTTATGGGATCGACAGGTCAACCTTTCATTCAATTATCACAGAACTCCATGACTATTTCTACCAATGGAGCAACGGATCTTGTAGGCGCGCAGATTGAGATGCCTATAAATCAAGCAATGCTTCAACAAAATAATATCACACCTGACAATACGTTCGTTGCAATGCTTTCCACAAACAGACAAGCCTGGATCATTATGGAAGGGCAAAAGAGTGTCAATACGTAAGTTTCCTAATACTATGATGTCAAGTATTCTTTCTGATCAAGCAATTTAGTACCGACAATACTGTCCGCATGGTCAAGCTCAACAGTATTGACGGAGAGTATATGGCTGTGGGCAGGCAAACGGTTGAGACATCAAATGTGCTAACTCCATTTGGTGGGTCCCAGCAGCAAGCTGTCAATATTACTGGATCTGGGATCCAGGAACTCGAATTCCAAGATGGCTTTCGCATGTCTATAATGGCGAGCAAGCCAATGACTGTGAATACGGATGTTGTAAACGGTGTCAGCACATCCATGTTAACAGGAGGTGCTATGTCAGTCAGTATGTAGTGCTTCTATTATCACCGGACCCGGGTCTCAGTGCTGACTTCCTATCAGATAATTATAGATATCTTGTCACCACTAATCTGGCTGGTGTCGTTCCTAATCTCAACCAAATGATGGCTGTCGTCCAGGTGCCATGTAAGTTCACCCATCAAGTCGTCACTGAAGTGAAACTATCAAAATCAATCCGAATCCTGCTAATAAAGTGCAAGTGAACGCCGTCCGTCTAATGACAATGGCACAGAGCATGGGTATTGGACCAAATGATACGGTTAGCCTTGGCATCTCACAACGGGGGGTAATTCAGAACCCCGGAGGTGCTACCGGAGGAAGCCTGTCACCTCAAAAGAGAAAAGCTTCTTCGTCCTCGTCGAAAGTCGCAGCTGCCTCTACCAAGAGTGCCAAAGCTTCAAAAACCTCAAGCGCCGAAGCTACGGAGACAAGCGCTGATTCAGCAGATACGATGGACACTGGGACTACCTCGAATTCGACAGATACTGCATCTGCTGCAGATACCGCCCCTACAGATTCTGCCTCTGCCTCTGCTGATACTGGAGCCTCAGCGGCATCGAGCGCAAATTCATCTTCTGCAACTGCTGATGCTTCCTCAGCTTCTACAAGTGCCGCCACCACTCAAGCACCCGCATCTAGCCAACAACCAGCTAACACCAGTCCTCAAAACGCAGCCGCAACTCAACTACTGCTCTCGCCCACTTTCACCCCAATCACACAGCGCACAGTTCTTGATATGACCAATAGTCGAGTCGCAGTAACCGTGAGCCAATTGGATGGAGAGTTCATCGTCACAATGGCGAAGGCGGGTGCCCAGAACCAAGTTCAAGCCCGTCCTGGAGACATATCTCCTAGCGGTCAAACTTCTCAGAATTACGCTCTGGGATCAAATGGAACATTCCTGACCAAAAGACAAAGTACCCAGGCACAAGGCCAAGGTGGTCTTCTGGTCAGCATGGCTCAGCTGCAAGCTTTGGTTCAGCAACAAAAGACTGGTGGTATGCTTCCTGTCACGCAGATGATGGACGAAATGATGGCGCAGTCTCAAAGTTTGTCCTCGAGCTCATTCAGGAACAAGAGAACGGGATCGCTTAGAATGCCGCAAGCTGTTTGAATGGAAATGAGCGATTGGAATTCAATTACATTTGTGGCGCGATAGAGATTCTCAGTTGTTATCATAGATGGCTTGCAGCGTTTTTGTACATAATAGGACTCTTACCTACCTAGCTTGGATGTCACAGTCAGCGGCTCGCAAACCAGTTTGGTTTCAAGCATTTAACATGCGTTGGCAGGAAATTCACACAGCAATACAGCGGTCCTTGATGTGTTGAATCTATATGGACAATGAATTCTTACCATAGAAATTAGGGTAAAGATATATCTCTTTGAAAGTTCAATTTCTGATAGAATCAATTCTTTCGAGAGGACAGGGAAGTCCAGGCATGCTACAAGCCACTTGATCTCTCAAATTTCAATATCTACTTGGCTCTTAAACCAAGTTACATTACCTTCCGAAATGTAGGACATTTGCCTTATATCCCGATTTCTACAGCATGCCAAGTTTCAGAATCCACTCCGGGTTTCCTTTCCTACAATGTTTTGAGTTGGCAGCTTAGGGAAGGGTCGGGCCTTCTTCTTTGGGACCCTTACCTATCTGGCCATTTCAGGATCTAGTGGAATTAACTTAACTGTCACACTTTGGGGGATTTTCGATTGCCTGCATATTGATGTGTTCGTGCATCAGAGTCGAAGTTTGACGTCCTATCAAGCTTGACTCCATTAAGATTTAAGGCTGGTACTTATGTCGTCGACGTCGACGCCAAGACTTCAGACGGCGTCTCCCAGTAGGGAACGTCGGAGCGCCAATCTCCAGCATAAGCTCGCCAAAATCCAAGCCTGTTTTCCCCAAACTCATCGCTGTCCAATCCCCTGCACGAGCCAACGAGAACCCCAGAGGTTCCTGATCGAGAAAGTCTCCGTTCCGCCTCTTAAAACACGCCAGGAATCCATGTTAGTGGACAGACAGGGTTTACGCAGTGATGAGCTCTGACAGGATGGCAAAAGCCTGCAGCCCATGGCGATGATGTAAGGTCCATGGCAACTTGGATCTTGATTGTGGCATCTGCATCAATGGTCGCAGAGGGGTCTGCGATCATCTGAGAAGGTGTTCTTCTTTTCGTGCTTCCTCGTATTTGTCTCACACTTGCATACATATTCTCTGTTCGTATTGAGGTCAATTGAACAGATGCTCGTATTTTTTCATTTTTAGCGACCGTTGCGGTGCTTCTGATTGTTGCATGATTGAGTGGTCACGATGGCGACTTTCGAACATGAGATTCGACCAGCTCGGGGGAGGGCTGGCCGCCCGAGCTTCAGCTCACAGAAGACGACGGATAGGCTGCGGGAGTGTGAGAGGAGACCATCAGTACAGGCGAATACCAAAAAGAAGATGCAGAAGAGATCCCATTTCAGGGAAGAAGGGCTTGATGATTTGACAACCAGCATATACCACGATCTTCAGAATTACAACTTTTCACCCCCTTTGATCAAGAAAGAGGATTCGAATGACAAAAAACGAAAATTCGAGGAGCCTCTGAAGGAAAACGAACAGAAAGGAAATTCAAAGAAAAGTGGGACATGGTACTCGAAGCTTGCGAAAACTCCAAGACCTATGGTTAAGAGCTCTGCAACAGCTCCGCCAGGCATCTTTACTACAATACCAAGGGTGGCATTGATTGTTTTCCTCATTGCCATTGTGGTTCCGGGCCTGAGAAATCGCGGAGATTCAGAAGTCAACATGAATGGGGCAGATGCAGGTGTCATAAGAGAGGCAGAATTGGTGGAAAACGCCTCTGCGATCGAGGGGAGAGCAAATAGCCCGACGTCAATATGTACAAGATGGGCAAACCAGAGTACGTATCAACTTTTGGTAGATGCGCTATCTTCCGCAGCAGACTGACAATGTGAAGTTGCAAATGTCAATGGAACAGTTTACATCTATGGTGGTCAGGCTACTACACAGAGTGGTCAAACTGAAAATACTTGGAGTGAGTAATTGAGTTTTGGAGTGCAGCATCTTATACTGATTTTCTTAGACAATGATTTCTTAACATTAGACCTCACGAAATCGTGGCAGATTGCATCACCCTCCCTGACTGGTTTGCCACAGCCATCAGGTCCTCCCGCAGTCGCCATGGGCTCATTATGGCACTCTTATACCTCTCTCTTTCTGTATGGAGGTCTATTTTCCGACAGCCCTCCAACATCTCCCCTCCCAGTGGCAACCTGGGAATACGACATAAGCTCCTCGACATGGACAGAATGGTCAAATCCCCAGACATCAGCAGGAAACAATTCAGATGGAGGAAATCAACCTGTTCAAAGAGCCGCCGAAGGGGCAGGAATATCTGTCCCAGAACTTGGAAAAAGCTGGTACTTTGGGGGACATCAGGATTTATATACGACTGAAGGATGGTCGAACCAAATTGCTAGGATTTATCTGAAGAGCTTGCTCGAGTTTACCCATCCAGGATATGCGAACAGTGGGGTTGATTCATTGGGGACTACGACCGCTGCGCCAAATGGAGGTGTCTACAGGAATATTACTCAAGGAGGCATACAAGACAGTGCTGGTTTTACCGAGAGGGCCGATGGTGTATTGGTTTACGTTCCGGGGTGGGGAGAACAAGGCATCATTCTTGGTTTGGCTGGAGGAACTAATGAGACTTTTGTGAGTATCCCCTTCAAATTTGGAAGAACTTAATCTAATTTCTCTAGACCGAAATGAACATTATCGACATTTACGACGTAGCGAACAGTACGTGGTACAAACAAGCGACATCTGGACCGAGCCCCCCTATTCGAGTCGATCCTTGTGCTACTGTAGCAATGGCACCAGATGGAACAAGTTTCAACGTTTACTTGTACGGCGGACAAAACCTCATACCATATGGATCCCAGATCCAATACTCGGACATGTGGATCCTCACTATTCCATCCTTCACTTGGGTTCAAGTCAACATGGACGGCCAATCCCAACCACCAGCTCGAGCAGGGCACAGCTGTGTAATGTGGGACGGTCAGATGGTAGTAATCGGTGGGTACGTAGGGACGGACATCAGTTGTGATTCGCCTGGCATCTATGTATTCAATGCCTCCTCTCTCGAATGGACAACTGGCTTCACGGCTCTCTCATCCTCCTCATCCGATTCTACGTCCACCAACGACCCAGATTCAACCATAATCCAAGGTTCTCTCGGCTATCTCGTCCCAGGCCCCGTCCAATCCATAATAGGAGGATCTTCAGACGGAGGCGCCACAGCAACCCAACCTGCCGCCGGCTCAGCAACAAGCGGTCCCCTCGCAACAGGCAAACCGCCCACATTCACGATAACACAATCGGGATCAACCATCGTCCAGACCGCACACTCGACCTCTACCGCCACATCCCCAGCTTCAACATCAAACTCCACCCCTGCAAAAGCAGGCACAAACGTAGGCGCGATAGTAGCAGGCACTATCGCCGGCCTCTTGGCTATCATAGCAGGCTACCTCGCCTTTTGTAGCTGGCTATACAGAAAACAGCTCAAGCTCTACAAGAACCACGTCGCAATGGCACAACGCACCGCTTTTGCAGGAAGTCCTGAGAACTGGGGCGGCGAGAGCGGGAACTCGAGCGGCATCCGAGAGAAAGTCGGGACGGGCGTCATGCTGGGGCCATTTGGCACCGAAGTCAGCGGGAGCGGGAGCGCGGGCCGACCGAGCGCGAGTGAGAGCGCGGAGGGCTCGATGCATTCTGGTCTTGCGCCGGTGTATTCGGGTGCTGGGGTCGGAGGGGTGGGGAACCGATATTCGCGGGTAAGTGAGGGGGATGAGAATTTGGCGTATATGGGCGCAGGCGGGAGTCAGCATGGTGAAGGGGCGAGGAGTACGGCAGGGTCTTCGATGGAGGATTTGCTTGGGGGCCAGGAGCCGAGTTTCTTTAGTGTGGTGTTGAATCCAAGGAGGACTTTGAGGGTTGTTAATTTGGATTAGGGGAAAATGGGAAGGCGATTTTGAAAGGCAACAACAGGGAAACAGGAAATAATGTTTATATGATACCCAGATTCTTTTATGTAAATATGTGGCCAGGAAGCAACGAGTATATGGAAACAATAAATACACAAAAATAATTTCGAAAACAGCCTTCACTTGCATGCAAGATTAAGCGAGCTGCGATGAAAAGGGGCTATGATACAATTCAATTGCAATGGAGAAGTGCCTCATGCTACCTCTCTACCGCTCTCTCACGATCCCTCGTGCAGCCGCAAAACTTCTCTCCTCATACACCTTACGTAGCTTTATCCTTATTCTCGATCTTCCACTCCTACCTACCTTCCGCTTCGACTCCTACTCAACCAGCCGCTCAACCAGCCGCTCAACCAATCACAACCTTGCACTCTTTAACACCCTAAAAAACCCAACAAGGCATTTTTTCCGTCACCGTCCTCTGAGATAGCGGCCTCCAGGATATAGACGCTTGCGACAGTGATCGTGCCTCTCTTATATTCTCGTGAGTGCTTGAAATACGAATAACTCAAGATGATGATGAAGCCCCCTTAAAACCCCGTACTGGCTGGCTATGGTGTTGGACACTGCCTTCGGGAGTGAAGTTTTTGTTTTTGGGTTCTATGATTTTTTTAGTTTTTTTGTGGCAATTTTTGGTAATCTTTGCAATTGAGGAGGTCCTTTTTAAGCGAGGTCTGCAGATAAGTGAGCTTAGTTTTTTTGAAGGTGAAGAGTTTTCATTTATGCATGTGAGTTGGTTTAGCGTTGTATTAAGAGCGTACACTTGAATCGGCTGCTCGAAAACTAGAACATGGAGTCAATCAAGGAAGAGATGTGACATCAGATAATGAGTAGTTGTTGACTTGCATTGTTTCAAGTTGAGAGAAATGAATTACTGTATGGATCGAATACGGGAAGACAACAGCGGCTCTACTAGTTGGCGCATATGTCGTTCTTACACCACTTCATCTCTCAAATTTAGTTCACGCTTAAGACTTTCACTCATATTGTTCCACACATTTTGGAACAATGTTATTTGATATTCCAATATTTACGGTGTTCTTCAGCTCTCTTGATGTGAACGTCTAGTCGCGATTGAGAAGGCTGTTTCGGGGCTTCAGAACATCTCATTTCTATCTCAGCTCTTTATCCTTACTCCTACTCTCTTGCAACCTTCCTTCTCCATCCTCCCTACTACTTTTCTTCTCCCCATCAACCACCTCCCCTTCCGATTCCTGCTCAGCAGACATCTCCTCTAACGCCTGCTCAACGGCCGGTTCCTCCCTCCCCTTCCTCGGCCCCAAATCCCTCCTCCTCACACTCCAACCCCCTTTCCACCCAACCCAACCCTCATTCCACGGGCCCCTCGCAGAACAAACGAGTAACCCCACCCCAATAAACCCCACGCTACAACTCCCACTCGCAATCCACCCTCCCCTCGCATACAACTTATTCCCTACCGCGGTCCCCATCAACTGCCCGCAAAACACCGACACCATATACGCCGTATTGACCCTATTCCTCGCTTTCGGCTCAATCGCGTAGATCGCTGATCTGTTTGCGATTTGCGACGTCTGGAGACCCAGATCGATGGCGAAGGCTTGGATGATGGGTCCTGCGACCGTGAATCTGCCGGTGTAGGTCCCGATGATGACACCTGTAATGCAATAGGAGAGGCCGAGGATGACGCTGAAGAGGGGGACGAAGCGGTCGATTATTGCTTTGGAGTAGGGGGGTCCGAAACACATTGCTCCGATGCCGATCAGGGCGAAGAGACCGATGGTTAGGGAGTCGTAGGAGTAGAGTGGGGAGGAGAGGAGGAAGGTTAGGGTTGTCCAGTAGGAGGTGAAGGTGCTTGAGACGAAGAAGCCGACGAGACAGGCTTGGACGAGGACGGGGTGTTTGAAGAGCATTTTTAGGATGCTGAAAAGCATGCTGAAGTAGTTGAGACCACCCGGGTTGGTACTGGGGTAGTCGGGCATGAAGAAGAAGAGGAGGATTAGGATGAGATATTGCACGCCGAAGGAGAACCAGTAGATGGTTCGCCAACTAGTGTATTGGGTGAGAATTCCGGATAGGAGACGGGCGATGAGCATTCCTAGCAAGAGACCGGAGACGACGATTGAGAGGGCTGTGGCTCGACGGTGGAGTGGTGCAAGGTCTCCGACTAGAGGGAGCATGAGTTGTGGTGTGACCGTCGAGACGGCTGTGATGAATGATATTGCAAGGAAGACTGAGAATGATTTCGTTATGCATAGGCCAACCCACTAGAGCATGTAAGTCGAAATTCCCCGAGGTCGTCTGACAGGTAGAAATTAAATTGACTTACAAAGGTAGCTGTGAAGAAAACTAGGATAAGCACGAATGCTCTCCGTCGAAATATGTCGCCAAGTGGACACAGGAAGAGTAACCCTACTGCATAGCCTGCTTGCATGACCGTAGGGACTTGAGAAGCTCTCTCGTTGGAGACATTGAACTCTTCTGCCAGAATATTCAAGATGGGATGGTTATAGTAGAGATTTGCAACTGTGAAAGTGCCAGCCTAGAGACAGTCAGTTGACAGTTCGCTGACAAAGAGTTTTTGATAAGTCTTGATACCTAGATGAACAACCTCAACTTCGTGATATAGTTCTTGGTAGAGAATGACCTTGGCTCTGGGTAGGAGAATTCTAATAAATGCCCAAAACTTACAAAAGCGAACAGTACGTTCAAGCCCATACTGAACTGAGGGGGTGATTCAGGATCCCATCTACATCGCTTCGGAGTCCACGTGATGAATCTCCAAAAAGACCTGGCATACTCATTGTCTCGTATGCGTGCAAACTTCCGCTCTTCACCCGTACTAACAGTAGAAGTCGAGTCATTCGCATCTTTGCCTAGAGCATCTTTCTCATCTGGTAAATCTCTCACCGAAGATGGTGGTTCGGCTTCGGTAACTTCATCTTTTGTCATAATGGTCTGGTACAAGCAAAGCTCACAACCGAGAAAACGAGGCTGGTAAAAGGAGAGAGGGCGGGGAGAAGAAACAAGAGATTGTGGAGCAAAGGAAAGCAACAATGCGAGAAGTTTTGGGATACCATCATGAATGAATGAATGCCGCATTTGTCAGTGATCAACTACAACCCCATCTTTGGTGGATTTTGACTGAGTGGGGATGGAAGTGCTTGTCCGCGAGATGTGAGAGGTTGGAAATGGGCAAAAGGTGGAGTGGAGAGGCACGGACGGACTTTGGCTCGGATCTGGCACGGAAACAAAAAAGCTTGGCCTCCTCGGCCTCGGCCTCGAAATGGACAAGGTTCTTAGGTTCTTTTACAGTATCGACAGCGGCGTCATCACATGATAAGCCTCCACCCTGGGCATGCACCATGTTGAGTGAGAGGCAGTGGCGTACAAACTTTGCTCGATTTGGCCGTTTTGGTGGGTTTCTACTTTCGCGGGAATGGAATTTTGTTCTCAGACATGGCATTTCAAATTGAGAGCGAGGGACCTGGGAAGCGTGGCCCTGGAAGAGCTGGTAGCACCATTGTTGACGGATAAAATCATTGGCAAGTCACCTCACAAGTCTCGGCGTCCTGGGACCAGTCGCAAGAGGCGAAAAAAGACTAAAAAGGGAGCAGTGAGACATCAGTTGCCTCATTCGAGCCATTTCCAAGAACAGATTCAAACCATGCGTGAACTATCGCGAGATCGTGGAGTGGAGTCTAATGATTCGTCGTACTGTAGTCGTCGTCGTCGTCGTCGTTTTTTTGCGCTGGGTCTCCATCTGCAGGTTGCCACGACTAGCAACCATTTTGATATGGAGCCCATGCAGATTGAGGATTGGCGTGAGCTCTCGAATCCGCTCCCGTAGGTGCATTTTGATAAGCTCTCCTCCACCACCTGGCAAACACTGTCGGCCCAACATCTCAAACTTGCGAGGCCTGCTGTGACTGAGATGGGGCAATTTCCCTCTCGCCAGGGGTCGGATATGTTAATTTGCCTACTCATCCCTTTATCCGTGTCAGATAAATGATGGTCTGAAGAGATGCGACGATGCTTCAGAGGGAAGAAGAGTGTTGAGAGGTGTGCAGCAGCTTTGGCAGACAGACAGACAGACACCTCCAGACGTGCATACATAGTCTACCGTAGTCTGGACGATGGGAATACGAGAAAAGAAGAGGTTGAGAGAAACCCAGATTTGGTCCTGGGCCCTGCATGAGAAGATGCGGGCCATTGACCAGTGAGACCGGTCCAGATAGCCCAAAAGCCCGCTCATTGGCTCGTTTCGGACGCCGCGAAGGCTGCAAGCCACTAAAAAGCCACTAAAAAGTTTTAGCGTTCGCATCGCGTATCAGTGCTGTCCGTAGCTTCCCAGCCTGGATTGATTATTTACCATCGTCGGCTTCCCTTTTCCCCAACTGCTGCTGCGACCTTTTCTTCTATTTGATCTCGCCGCAACCCGCTTCTCTTCTTTTTGAAACACTTCCAGCATTTCTCTCGGTCTCTTCGGAACATCAATTGAGTCGCCTTCCAATTCCAAACTCGTCCGATTCGTCGTAATTCTTCAAGATGCTCGCCAAGTCTCTCGCTGTTGCGCTGTTCGTCAGTGTTGTTGCCGCTCAGAGCTCCAACGATACCATCAACCCCAGCTCCATTACTCTGACCCTCAGAAGTGAGTCAACCATTATCGACTGGTCCAGAAATACGAAATGCTGACTTCTTCGCAGATCAATGGTGCCAAGGACAACAAAACACTTGTGGTACTCTCTGCAGTGGTGACCCAGGCACGAACAATTGTGACCCGGTATGCATTTCAATCTCGCGAACGTCTCTCGAGAATACCTTGCTAATGAGCTGCTTTTCAGGATACCCTCACCTACAACTGTACCTGCGCTGCCAACAACTCCGCACCCGGTCTCCAGTACTATACCCAAACAATCCCTACCTTCGAGTGCGAGCAGATCTTCCAAAACTGCATCAATTCCAACGTTGGTGACGCCGCTGCTCAAGCTCTTTGCAACACAAATGAGAAGGCAAACTGCGGTCACCTCGATCCAGACAACTTCACCGAGACCGCCGCAACCACGAGCTCTGCTAGCATGACCGCAACTTCCACCTCTTCCAGCGGAGCCGCCACCGGATCTTCCACCGGGACTTCTTCTTCCAAGGCTGGTGCTGCAACTTTGGCTGCTATGCGCAATCTGGGCACTGGAGCCTTTGCCGTTGGTGTCGGTGCTGCTTTTGGCTACATGCTTTAAGCATTCCTCTCACCTTCGATTTTACTCGACTGGACTGCGACGAAAATAGAGTACGCTTCTTGCGTGTGGTGTTCTCAAAATAGTCGACGCGTTTCGGACGATTTGTGCATATGGTTTCTTGTTTCAGCGCGTTATTTGCAGCATTGGTGTTAGGGCACGTGCATACGCAGTTCCAGCATCTTTCGATCGACGATTTGCTTTTGTTGTGGATGGAAAGGGCTGCTGGAGGGCAGTCAGTAATACCAAACGTGGGGATGATTGATGATGAAGGATGAGATGCGAAGCTGGAGCGCATGAATATTATTGTGTTCCTCGATATGATAATTAGGGTGCCTAGCATAGGAAATCAGATGGCCTAAAAGTCAGATTGATGTCTTCTTCCATCTGTGATTTCTATGTAGGTGGTATAAAGTTGTCTGCTGGGGGACAGGGAAGAGAAAGGTACAGTCGTCATGAAACAGCTCTCTTACTGCCATGTCAACAGCTGATTCGCCTCCGCCTTGCAAGCATACCAACAAGCCTCTCGTATCATGAAGACCTCAAAACAAGGCGAAAGGAAATCGACATACAAAGCTGTAGAGAAACTGGTTCGAACTTCAAAGAGCTAGTTTCGAGCTCCGGACTCCCGTCCACCATGCCATATCTGGAAAGCTTCATTCGAATCTGATCCAAGCTAACAACATATTAACTCCACACGAAGACCATGTCTGGTCTTCTTTCTTTGTTCTGGAAACATCTCAACTAATGATGCTGTGGAGAGAACCAGTACCTTGTTTCTGCTTCCAAAGTTGGATTTTGAGCTTTGCTGCTGCAATCTCTTTCTGGCATTTATTTATGATTGTAGGGATCTGGTCCACTCTGCTCCAATTCGCTACATCTCTGCTGCCTTTGTCTCTTATATCTACGCACATACTTGGTTTCCTCTGTCCCCGCAATAGTCTCCTTCGTCCTCTTCACTGCTTCGAAATTCTTTGCTTTCTTCAATGTTAGGATATATTTCGCCTTCGAAACAGATTTATTTGGTATATATAAATCTAATGTCGGTTTTGTATTAGCACATTGAGCGCGTTTTGTTGCAAGTCGTACCGTGCCGGGTGTGTTTCACTGACTGGGAGATTGAGAGCCTTTGTACTGTAAAAACCGCTCGACTTTGGTCTTTGTCCGAATTTTGAGCATTTCTTGTTGCATGTCGTCATGTTAAACATCTGCTCTCATTTCTAACCTGGCTCGTGGAATCCTCGCGATTCCGGGATTTTCTTCAGATACTTGAGGTTTATGTTGCAAATCGCGAGTTTGGCCAGAAGTGTCCCACAATAATCTGGGCTCATCTCCCCTCCGCTTTCTCCTCACCATTTCGCGATCATTGAAATATGGTGCATCTAGCCAAAAATGTCCTGCAATTTTGTTGCGCATCGCAGTGAAGACCCAGGTCCGTCCAGACTTTCGGTTCTGGACTTTTGTTGTACGACTTGAGCGGAGCGGGATGGTTCAGCTACCGCGGGCCTGGATGTCCACCCCGCTCTGTCTTGAAGGTCCAGTAAGGAATTGGTTTTGATTCGTCTTCTGAACATCAAATTTTGGTCACTACCAGCATTGCTGCAAGTAATGATGGCTAGGAGATGGTATCCGAAGCTTGGACCACTATGGGAGATTTATTCTTCTCGAATACTCGACACTGCGACAACGAAGAAACACAAGATTCTCCATGAATGGTGGGCATCTCAAAGGTTAATTTCAATCATTGCTGGTTACTTCCAGGCCACTTAATCTCCTCCGAAGACGCCATTCGAGCGAGAATAATTTACTACATTTTTCACAGAGCTCGACAATGGTCTTAGACCGAATCGATCCACGACAATGGACAAAGGGCCAAGCTATCCATTTCCTGCAAAATCACAATGGAGACCAAGAAATAAACCAAAGTCCTTGAGACATAATGACAATGGACATACAACCATTTTGTCCACGACAATGGAGGACAATCGAGGCCTTGTTTCCATTGTGTGAAACACAATAAACCAGACATCAAAGACCAGGTGCAATTCTATTGACCTAAGTTACACAATGGCTCAGCATAATGCATTGTCGATTCTATAAATCCAATCGAGGGGACCATATCAGCTCTTCAGATAAATTTTCCTGTTCCTCTACTCCAACTACAAGCTTTCAATCTTCCGCCAAAGTACCCAGATCCATCATTCATCAATCATCATGTCCAGCCAAAAAATACCTCTGACATTCGGCGTCGAGTTAGAGATGGCCGTCGGCTTTCTATACAAGAGCGATAAGAACCCAGATCCATCCGACACCCGCTTTATATTCTTCGACACCACAGCCCAGGACGTCAAGAATGGCAAAAATACCCTTTATGACGACGAACTATATGCTCCACATCCATGGCGATCAAAAGACATATCCGAAATCTACTTGCGCAGGCGGGCCTGCCAGTAGGCCAAGTGGAGAAGACCGCATACCAACAGGGAGACTATTCGGTCTGGGAAGTCGTCGACGATTCTACCATCGAGGGCCCCGAGGACAGTCCTTATCAATGGGCCCAGATAGAAATAAGGTCTCCAATTAAGGCCAACACCCAAGCGTCTCTCGATGAGGTCCAGAAAGTATGCGATCTCTTAAAAGCCAGCTATCACATTGAGACTAATCAGTCCACGGGTCTACATGTGCATGTTGGCAGAGGAAGTAATAGTTTTGAACATCAACAGATCAGGAACTTAATCGCCTTTTACTGGGTATTTGAAGAACAAATCAAAACTGCGCTCGGCCAGTTCCGTTCCCAGAGTACCATGGCCCAGTTCTCTCGCGACAATTCACGCTACGCGCACAAATACTGGCAAAAGTATGGCAAGAGGCCAGCAGCAATAGATGGTGCACGCCATTTTCTGGAAAGCAATGAATTCAGAACCGAAAGCAACGCTCACCACACCAAGGCCGAGAATGTCACTGCATGGATCGCAGATCAAGCTAACCCATACCGGGACACTGACAAATATACCTCTCTGAACCTTACTGGTGTCAGGGAGGAAGCCAACCAACCCGGCCGTGCAGATAGTAAACCAACAGTTGAATTCCGATCACACGAAGGATCCATCGAAGGAGTGCGTGTCATAAACTGGATCAAAGCTGTCGTCGGCATGGTAGACTACGCTTGTTATTCCTATCCCAAAGATTTCTATCGTCTTCTGCTGGTGTCAATTTGTGAGACATGGCAGAGAACAGGAAACAAAGCTGAGGATGATAAAAACGAAAGACTGTACGGTCCGATTCTAGCAGACTATGCCTTCACATTTGTGGACCTTTTCGAATACATGGAATTTCCAGATACTGCCACTTACTATGCGGACAAGCTAGTCAAAATCGAGAAGGATCGAAATACGTTTGCTGGCAGACGAAGCAGTGACAATATGAATCTGAGCAGAATTCACACACGAGAAAAAGCATTCATCACCTGGGATCATGACGAGGATATGTCTCTCTCTGCAGCCGAACGCGAAGAGTTGGATAATCGAAAAGAGATATTCACTCTCGCGCGGGAACTGCACTTGGACCAGACCACATACATAAAATTCGACCCCACGGACCCGTACTGGCCCAAATATACGATAAGAGTACCAGATCTCGACCGAAACACCGATGCCAGTAACGACGATGTGTTGTAGATGATCGTACAGTTACAAATGGAGACGGTGCTGGCGCCTCCCATTCAGAAACTCGCGAATCCTGGGGTCGAGGACCCAGACGGTCCTTACGCCGTAATGACTATAATTGTAGGTTTCCATCATGTATATTCTTTATCCTTATGCCTTCGTCCCACTTCAAATCGTGTTTTGTGTTTCGTGAATATGTGTTCTATGCCAAGAAGTCAGCGATGCTCAAAACTCCCATGTGCGATCGGGTTGGATATCATCTCCATAGGTTTGCTGCGATAGGAATAATCTGCGACAGCTACAGAGGATACTAGAGTCTTGCAGATGCTGTCGTCGATTTCCTTGCTGCCAAAGTGTTTTCAGGCGAGCAGCTCGTGGCATGCTGCAATTGTTCTTGTTTGAAGGACGTCCAGTAGCTCTGCGCCCTCAAACAGTACCGTTCAGACCTTTGAAATACTGTCGCAGACCTCCACGGTCAGTCTGGCTCTTTGTCGTCGGTCTTCGGATTGATCAAACAAAGTAAGCAGGCCCTGGAATCGCATGAGATTGTATAACTTGATGGAAGCAGTCCTGGAGCAAAAGACTTGGGAATAGGCTCCTATCACCATGGTGTGAAAGTATAGAGCACTGAGTCGCTTCATTTAGTGGCAAGGAGGACGCTGAAAAGCTACGGTCGGGCAAGTGCCTTCCCCTATGGTGCCAGGAAGGAGCATCTCAATTCTCGGCCCCAACCCCCGAAAAATGCATGCTCCTTGTCAGTAATTTACTACTGCGGGAAGAACCAAGATGCTCATTCAACTACAAATCATTTTTTTAAAAAAGACTTGATGGTAGTGGTAGTATGGATGAAGAGCTGTCCAAGTCCTTGGGGGTGGTTCGCTTGCTAAAGGGGATCCTCATACCAGCACTGAACTTGGCCATTCATCACCACAACATAATTCAAACCATTTGTAATTTGATGAGAAGCTCGTGATATACTACTATAGTATTCCCTCTTGTTCTAAGTCTATAAAACACCCATTTGGGTACATGATCCAAGTTCTGGTGTTTCACGTGCTCGATGCACTAACCACTTCTAGCCCAAAAAGCTCCTCTTGAACGCTCTACATAAGATCTAATTAGCATTTTACCCCCGGCGCCGGGGCCAAATCACGATCCGATTGTGGACGGCTAGAGCCTCGCAGGATGGCCGGCATGTAAGGTCCCCCAATACTTAATCACCCAAACCATCACTAACAATCAAACCGCAGAGCTCCTGGGCCTGCACGATCCGATTGTGGACGGTGGGCCAAAAGCCGATGAACCTCCATGAGAGGACCCCAAACGATCGTTAAAAAAGTGATAGACGTTGGGGTCGCGATCCTGGCCGGCACTGCCAGTTGAATGGCTGACTGTGCAGCAGTGGATTACTTTCCCCTTTAATAAGAAATATTGTATAGTTGATTCTTTCCCAAGGTCTGCTGTTCAAGCCATCCCAGGGCTTTGGGTTTCTTCTTCTTTTTAAATTTTGGTTGTTGGTTTTTTTGTGGTTGTTGTTTCCTGTTGCTCACACTTTTTTTTACATCTTTTTTACATTCTTTTTACACATTTCAGAGAACATTAAGCGAAGATTCGCTTAGTAGTATGTCAGTGGGCAATTTGGACTCCTGTTACAATCATCCAAAAATATTGCTTCAAATGATGTCTGTGGTAACTACGTACATCGAAATGCATTTGAATGTGTGAACTCATTTCACTTTTCTGTTAACATCTCAAATTCTACTTGAACTGGCCCATATAAAGCATACCTTTTCCCCCGAATTCAATGATCTTATGAGTTGTGCCTTCCATTGACGTCGTCGAATCTTCGCTTCGCGCCTCCCCTAACTGGAAATAGGGGAAAGTGTAATTAAGCGAGATCTCATCTCGCACAGCAGAAACAGACAGAAAAATATCCCCAAAAAGGACAACCCATGTTGTAGTTCTTCTATTTCTACTGATACCCTCACTTCAGACTGTTTCTGTTATCTTCTCTCTAAATCTTTGAGACTATTTTCGAGCCGCAAACCGAATGCTGTATGTGATGCTTTTACCCCAAGGAAAGGAGGCTGATGAGGCTCAAAATCATAACGATCCGAAGGACACCAGGTGAGAAATCCCTTTGGGAGATCTCAGCTGCTTCTAGACTGAATTTCCATAGTATGAATCACAATTTTGAGGCCTACATACCCAGGGCGCTGTTCTCGCATCCTGCGCATTTCCCGCTAGTTGCGCTATTCGCGCGATTCGCGCATATTGCGCTGTTCGCTCTGGAGGCAATGGGACTGAAGAATTTTGCATGATCCACAACCATCAATCCGTGATCAATGAATTGTGAGATACTTTTCATCGAGACAGTAAATATGGCTCCCAGCGATCGTGGCTTGAATGTCCATTTCTCTACAGGTAATTTGGCAAGAACTAAGATGACTCCCTGGTTTCTGACTGTCAACTCAATCATATAAGTGTTCAAGAAGGAATGTAGCTAATGGATTCTTATCATAGGTCGGTGCCTGCCTAGTGCCTTAGCAAGTCGAGTACATTTGTTGGGTGAAAGTTCCACTTTCATAGATGAACACATCCCCTTTACCCAAGTGGTTCCGCTGTTAGAATTCTTTAGAGTAATCGAGGTTATTTGTGTCGTTTTGGTGGCTTCTAGGATTGATTGGTTATCAGTTGGAAGACCTGCGTTTGTAGTAAGTCTGAGATGACTTGGAGAGAAACGCTTAAAGCTTACACACTCTACTAGTTGGGACCAGGAGAATACATGTTTACTTTGCTATGGAAGATGTATATGAGGAACTTAAGGTTAGTTTCAGAAGATGCGCATGCCTCCTTTGCTATCGAGGCTGCATTTGAAAGCGCAACGTTATTACTTTATTAATCTAACACTCTCCTCCTCACCATTTGCTTCGCAAGCTTAATTAGTACCAAGCGGAGACCATTCAGTGCCTAGAGTCATGCAACTACATCGTTGCCTTCCCAGTGACAAGCTACTTACTCGAACTCCATTGTGAATGTCGGAGTTTTCGTGGGACAACCCTCATTCATGATCTCACGCAGCATCCTTCCTCTCCCACCTCCCAGCATTCTCCTTTACTAATACTTCATAAGAAACTCGGCATTTGGCGGTACAATAGTAATCATGCTCCCAATTTTCATTCTGTCCCGACACGGATGTTTTCCGGTGGGTCCAGAGCATTTATGCTTTTCCGTCCTCCTCCATCTTCTACAAGAGGCCATATTTCTAGTATCATCGTTGTACGACAAGTGCTTGATCCCCATAAACATCAAATCTGACACCGGGATCAAACTTGGAATGAGTAGGCGAGTTAGGCAGATCGTCTCATGAGTTTTAGCGAATTGTACATCAGATAGCCGAGACCGTTTCAGGAGACAGGACGATCCGGAACATGCATGCCATCCCATTAACCTTTGCCGAGACTTATGGATCTCGTGTTGTCAATAGCGGGGTGGTGGATATCGTGAGGCATTATGCTGCTGTGGAGTGTTGGTGAAGTCATGAGGCCTTGATGCCAAGTGATTGAGCTGTCATGTCAATGCAAATGGCGTTGTAGTAGTATAAATTAAGTCTATCTCTCTGTGAGCTTCCAAAGTTATTCTTCATCACTCCTTCATATCTACTTCTTCTACTGTCTTTAATATTTCTTCATACTTTCCGCCGGTCGGTTTCATTGGGATCACCACGAGACCACTGTCACTATACTCACAAAACTGACCGACTTTCGTTCACGATGAAGCTCACTATATCAACGTTGGCTCTACTTATGACCACTGCACTCGCTGCCCCAGGTAGTCTCACTGCTCGCCAAGAAGCCGCGACCATTTTCGACCGAGCTGTGAATGATGGCCGTCCCGTCGCTACAGGACTTTGCTGCATTGCAAATACGAGCAAGAAGGGCGATACGTGTACTCAAAGTAATGGAGCTGCGGGGATATGTTCTGTGGCCGATACTGCGGGCTGTAGGTTATACTTATATTGGCTTCTCAGAGCAAATTACTAACAGATGCTCTAGGCGGTGCGAAGTTAACTTGCACGTAATATATTTGAATAGGAAGGGAGGGAGGGTCTGTCGTTACGACTTCATTGATGATGAGCTATGAGACTATGTATCGAGTACTAAGTATGAACGAGTTTCGTTACCGCTGGACCTGAAGCGTCTCCATTGCATATCTATATATCGTTTGCATGTATAATGAATACCTCCCGCTGGCTGCAAGGCCATTGTCAGTAGCTTACTGGAGAGATGAATCACAAAAGCAGTGTGTAATTCTCGAATGACAACTTGATAGATGATGGGATCGTGGGTATCAATTACATATAGCAACGGATAGCAATAGAGATCTACGCAATGTTACTTCAACTTTTCCAATAGAAGTGCTGACCCCTTATTCCCGATATTGCTGACATATTTTGACTTCTTTCCGGTCTCCTTGGCCATTTTCTCCATTTCTTCCCGTTTGGCCTTTTGTTCCATGGTCTCTTCCCTCGCTGCCTTCTCTAGCGTTTTCTTTTCCGCCTTCAACACTTTCAAGACTTCATCTTTCTTAGAGAATGTGTCAGATTCGACCAGTGCTAACACGACAAAAGAGCTTGATCCAGTGGCCCATTCGATGATGAAGTCCTTGATGTTAGGATATAGAATGTCGGCAAAATTAAGAGCCGGAACAACAGGGATGACAGACTTTGTCTTGCTGTCGAATCGTCCTCCAGCAATAAGTGACTTGAAAAGTCTTCCGCCGAATGGTGTGTTGCCAACATGGGACGCAGGCTCGGGATTCTCCTCCTCTGTAGTCTCTGGTTGAACAAAAGTCGGGTCTCCAGCAGCTGTTTCGGCAATGGCCTTCAATGCGGCTGTCTTGTCTCCTTCAGCGCCAAACATGACTTCGGTCACGAACTGAGCACCGAAAGATGAAGCAACAAGATCCTTGGCTGCTGTTTCGATAGCCTTCAGAAGATATGGCGACAGTGCTTTTGCCAACTCGCTTCTCCTTACTTCAGGGTCTTTCTTGCTGGTTGCTGTTCGGACTATGTCAATTTCAGCCAGGATCTCAAGATCCGAAGAATGGCTAGAGGGAAACAAGGCTTTGGATCTTCCTTGAAACAAGTAGAGAAGCGTCGTACGGGCGTTGATATCGTTCGCCGAAAACACAATATTCTCTACTTGCTTCTCTGCGTCTTTGCTCAGTAGCTCTGGGAAGATGGATTTCGCCGTCAGGACAGTATCGTCGATGACTTCGTATGCAGCGAGAATTACAATATGGCCGTTCTGATCAGCAGCCATCGTTCGTAAAGTGTCCTTGTAGGTCTTGAGGATTTGTTTCCTGTCTTTGGCAGTACCGTAAGCTAATGCAAGGCAAACGACTCTTGCACCAGATTTTGTGAACGCCAGATTCTTCAACAAATCTCCCTCTTCGTCACCTTTGATAATCTCCAAGTACTCTGTGATCTCCTCAGTACCCGGCTTGGCGTTGAGGAAGTATTGAAGCATGGCATCGTGGAGAAGGGTAAAACCAGTAAGCTTCTTTTGTATGAGGTGGTTGATAAGTTCCTGTAAGGATCGCATGATGGGCGCTCTTTTGCCTGGATCCTCGGCTAGAATCTCGGACAGCTCACCAGTGACCTCCTCTGATTTGCCTTTCTGGAAGAGCACGAATTCTGCTCCATACCATTCTCGAAGAATGGTAGCCTTTTGCTGTTTCGTGGCAACTCCACGGTAAACATCATCCAAAATCCAAGAAGCTTCCGGGTGCTTGATGAGTCGGCGGACATGACCGAAGAATTCTGGTACAATAGTGTCCCTGATCTCATCGTCACCTTGAACCAAAAGCTTTCCAATCAGGAACTTGGCGTATCTGCTCTCAGCAAGTTGTCGATAGGTGCCTGCAAGTTCCTTCGCAATCATCCTCTTTTGTTCGGGATTGGCATATTTGATAGCAGTCTGAACCACTCGCACACTGTCGTGCTTCAACACAAAATCTTTGATTCTGCCCGTGATAATATCGAACAACTCCGTGACCAATGCCTTTCGCTCTTCGAGTGGTACATGTGATTTTCTTCTTAGTCGCTCCCATATCTTCTTCGTCCTAGCCAGCTGATCTGCTAATGGTTTGGCCGCTTTCCGCTCTTGCGCAAGCTGTTTCTGTTTGGCATGTGCCTCTCTGGAAGATTGTGCTATTCAAGGTCAATTGGTGTGGCATAATGCAAGGAGGAATTGCTTACTGTTCGTTGAAACAGCTTTGGCACGATCTGGGTGTAGACCATCTGCAACTTTGGGAATATCTTCAACCTCGCTCTCTTCCGCTACTTCTTCCTCCTCTTCGTAAGAAGTAAGCGGTACTCCTCCATCTTCGTCTGAATCGAGGTCATCGGAATCAGAATCGCTGGGAGTCTTTTCTTTCTTGGCTGGCTTAGCCTTGGATTTTGTCCTGACAGCAAATTTCGATTCGACTTTTGCTTTTTTGGTTTCTTTGACATGTCCATTCTTGACAGGCGCAGATTTTCTCTTGACACCTGCCATAGCAGATTTCGTAATTGTTGCGGTGGGCATTTTGCTCGATTCGCAGATTCGCAGATTCGAGTGGACTTTGCTGCTTGGTGGAAACTTTTTTTATCGAGAGTTTATCTTTTTCCTATCGATTGATTGGAGCTAAACCTATTCTAGCCAACCCCACGACCAGCTCAGGAGAATTCTCGACCTGGCAGTGAGGACCTTAAAGATGGGGAAAGACGAGCAAGTCGAGGAGCGAGAAGTGCTCGATAGTATCTTCCCGGATGAGATTCAAGGTCAGTAGAATTTTGTGGAGAAGCTGGCGCAAATTACAAGCAGTTTTTTGACCCCGCCTTGAAGCACCGAACATTACTGACACATCCAAAGACATATCAGAGACAGAATTTCGAATATCGATTCTACTAGATGTCACAAACGATGATGGTGATGAGTCAGAGCCTCCAACATTCCTCCTCCAGGTCAAATACCCAGATGCCTACCCTGAGGAACCACCAGTTTTGGACCTTCTAGCCCCTCCAAATGCGCCGGCGCACCCATACTTCAGCGTCGGTTCGGACAGAGAAACTCTCTTAGATGGATTATCGGAGACTATCGAGGAGAATATGGGCATGGCTATGATCTTCACGCTTGTTTCTACCTTGAAGGACAACGCAGAACAACTTATTGCCAGCCGGCAAGCAGAAGCTCGGCATGAGCACGAGGAAAAAGTCGCTGCTGCAGAAGCCGAGGAGAACAAGAAGTTTCATGGAACACCTGTAAACCCAGAGACATTCATGAAGTGGCGAGAGGGGTTCAGGAAGGAGATGGAACAGATGAAGACGAAGCAAGATGAAGACGACGAAGCTGCCGAGAAGAAGAAGAACAGAGGCAAGGATACGACTATTCAATTGACAGGCAAACAACTTTGGGAGAGAGGCTTGGCTGGCAAGATTGATGAGGACGAAGATGACGAAGATGATGTTCCGGTGGAGGGGGTCGAGAAAATGAAAGTTGAGGCTTAAGTGTGGGAAACATATATTTTAGGGACGGCATGGAGGAGTTGCATTGTGGGCGTTCAGCTGGGGTTTAAGACTTTAAGGGTCTGTGAATATCTCTTCATTGATCATGGTATCTAGAAGTCATACATGCATCTCTTCATAGAAGCATAACATAGCCCAATTACTGGTATAAGCCGCGTGATTTTGGAAACCCCAACGCCAGTACGCCAGCTCTAGCATTAAGTCTATCATGATCCGGCCATTTCTTCATCTTCATCACTACCTTCATCTTCCCATTCGTCTCCATCTTCCAACTCGGCATCAGCAGAAGTTCCACCTAATTCAGCATTCAAAGTCTTGAGCAATTCTTCTGCATGCTCTCCCAACCTCTCGTCCTGGTAATCTTGTTGCTCGAAGAGACGTTGACTGTGCTGGAGCCATTGACGACTCGATATCCATGAAACTTTCCAGCTTTCTCCATCTCCATTCTCGATTTTGACTTCGCCGTTTCGTTGCTTCTCTCCCATCATATACAACCCCCACCCACCAAGATACCATACCTCAACACTACTATCATCTTCTCCCACCAATCGCTCCAGAACTTCAATGGCTTCCACATCCATATCGGCTTCCATCAATAATCTTGCTAAGCTGACCCGGGTGGGAAAGTCCGGTACTGAAGGATCTTCTGGTGGTAAATCTTTCCATAGCTCTAGACTCCTTGTCAACGCAGCTTTTGCGTCCTCCATCTTCTGCTGAGAGATCCTCACACTCGCAAGTGTTTGCCATGGCTCCGCAAACCCTGGAGCAACCATAGTAGCTTCTGTGATCAAAGCCTCGCACTTTTGTTCTGCTTCGTCTTCCCAGCTCAAGTCTGTCATATACACCTCTACAACTCCGCAGAGGGCTACCGCTAATTTTCTGGTCTTCTCCGCTATCGTCGCCTCGGTATCAGCATCCGTCTTCTTGCTATCGAGAAGCGCTTGAATTTGTATCCGTAGACATAAAGCTCCCTTTTCGAACCAGTCCACGCTGTCTTGTCCACCTTCCTCACTCAGCTGAGCCAACCATAAAAACTTCTCGGCGCCTCCACCCAAATCTTCGCTGATCTTTCCATCTTCATCAATTGCAGCAGCTTGTGCAAAATATCGTCGCGCCGCGTCTATGTCTCCGAGTTCAACATGAATTTCTCCTAGTAAGTTCAGGGCCGGTAGAGCCTCCTCGGAGTCGGAAGGAAGCAGGGAAAGGGCGCGCTTTGCCAAAGGAACGGAGCCTTCGATATTGCCTTGTTGGAGAACGAATGCTGCTTGTACCAATAGTTCTGCTGGTGATACTGACTTCGAGGGACTTGCTGCAACTCGATTAAGCGCAGACTTTCCCCTCTTTCTCGCCTTCTTATCATTCTTGCGGCTGGGCTTGGTTTTCATTGTGTTGGCGCGTAGGATAATAGCATTGCCAAACCAGAGTTTATTTGCGAGTAACTGCATATTTTTTTTTGGAAGTCAGGGACCCACTTTTCCCTTAGCGTTGAAAGACCCCTCAATGACGATGATTGCGGCAGCGCCACATGTACGTCCTGTTCCTGTTTCAGCAATTGAATTTTGAAAACATGTACATTGAAGATCATATCAAAGTAGAACAGCAAGCAATTTGAATTATCTCTCGTGACTCATCTCTCGGAAGCTAATTCTCCGGGATGGGACAAAAAATTGATGTGAAGCAAATCGCAGAGCAGTCCCAATACTATATAGGTATTTACAAACGACTTCTCGTGTGCCCAAGTACCATAACCTAAAAATATATGGGCGTCACGTTGAAGAAAATTTATGATCAACTAATGTCCATTATCATTATTAAGATTGTGATCCTATGCAAGGTGTATTTCCACATCTAGTGGTGAAATATTGAGCGATTGTGCCTTTGTCAAAGCAACAGATAACCAACGCCCCGGTCTTACCTAATAAACCAGCCCAAATATGTAACGTGAAAAGGAGTGCAGCGAATTCTCCTTTCTCCTTTCTTAGTGAACTTCCTTTGCCTCTCGAGAGCCAGACGTGCCAGGGCGCTGTATGCTCCCAAGCTCTTCTCCCACACCACTTGCACCTCTCTTTCTTCCTCCAATATGGAATCTAGAGCCGCTTTGAGTCGGAGCAGTGGAGTCTGTATTATCCCCCAGCCTCGAGAAGAAGCCCTTCTTCTTGGTCTGTTTAGCTTCGTCGTTCAGTCCAACATCTTCGAATCCTTCTTCTGCAGTAGGAGGTTGTCTTTCAAACCGTCGCTCATTCATCGCCGATCGAGGAAGTCTGGGAAGTCGTGCCGAGTCGAGACTTTGTCGTCCAATATCATGTTGAACTATAGGGGATCTGGCTGAGATATCCTGCTAAGTAATCAGTATGCGCCTTCAGGAGCCACTTCGGGATGGTCGCACAAAGGATCTTCTATAAGAATCGAATGATTCGCGTGAGATCGAGAACGGTTCAATGTCTGCTTCCCCATTGACAGAGCTGGTCGACGTGCCAGATGGGTTTGAACGCCGCGGCCAGAACCCCTTCTTCTCAGGCGGAGATGGCTGAGAGGTGTCAGCACATACCAAATAATCTTCGAGGGTTGAGACTTACTGGTAGATACACTCCACTGTCATTAACAACTGTTTCGACAATGATCAGCCAAAAGACTTCCATAATCACCATTGCGACCTCTAATGGGAATTCCGGCGCATACCGGACATCTTATACTCGACGGGTTCCTGGCTTTGACTACTGCGAATACTCATGGCAGAGGAGCCTTTTGACCCCATTGTATCAACCTTCTCGAATGTCGGTCGCGTGCCATTCTGCGATAACGGACGAATGCCCTCCTCATAAGGTTGCAGGCCTGTCGAGACCTCTGGACGCTTTGAGAAAGGATTTCGAATCGGCATTGTGAGGTGATGGACGAAGAATCAATTGCTGAGGAGTGTCGGAAATAGGAACAGGATTGAAATAAAATAGGAAGATGGCAATTGAAAATAGTTGGAAGATAGTTGGATTGAACTTCGTCAAGACCTCGTGACGTTATTCCAGTCAGTCTATTTTGTTGGTGGATGAATTCTCCCTGCTGACTCTCTGGGGAATCTAGGGTGGCTTAGCCACCGCGGAACGTATGATGCCGACAATTGAAGATCATTTTGACCTACAGTACCTACCGATGTCGACCTCTAGCACCTTTAGAAGTGCCAACGACAGCTTATAGTCCAGAGAGCCACCATGATATTTGACGCTGTGGAGTGAGCGGGCGCTTCCTCTATCAGAGATGAAATTGCGTTGTCGGAGCCTCGGGGGCCAGCGTGAGGCACCACTCGCAGCAAGCAATCCCGTCAATAAAGTACCACATGCCCTGATTCTGTCGGCTCGTCCACTTCGGTATGGCTGTCCATGACAGACAACTACATACGCAATCAGAGTCTCGTGTTGCAGGTGGTCTCGAAGTACGCTTCCTTGCCGTCTCGTGAATGCAGGTCGCACAGCTGGTGAATGTGGGCATAGCAACAGAGCTGAATGGCGTTGGGAGGCGAGATGTCTTATATCTGTCCCGCTGCGTTTGCTTTTCCCCTCCAGTTATGAGTTCTTGCCCACTTGATCAGGGGTAAGCTTGCTCCGTCGATAGGGTCTCCTGGATTCTACGTGGCAGTAACTGGACCTAGCGAGCCTTGCTGAATATGGGGTATACGAGGCGTAAGAATAATATCAAGCCTCGAAGAAGACAAATCCAGGGCATCTCATTCGACATCCAACGAGCGCTTTTGCTCTTTCCAAGACCAATCTGCAAGTTTTTTCTGAGGCATATTAATCCTGGAAGAGAAGACCGGCTTCGATTGGGACTCAGGAGACAAGCAAACTTAAAGAGGAGAGAGCTTATGCCGCTTTAAAGTACCGAATCACGGACGGACTTTGAATCTTGATACAAACTCTGCTTGTACATTCTCTTCAAGTTGAAGCAATATGCCTCCATACTTTTGGCAAGCTAAGATATGATCAGGGGGGTACACTGTATGGTGGTGTTTCTTCTTGGACGAATGGTACTTGAGCAGGCAAAAGGTTCCGCCGCCGATCTTGCTCAGACCTCTGGGACTCTCAGACTGATCATCGGTAATGGGTTCTCGGCTCGCTCCTTGGTCTTCCATTTCTGATACGACTTGGTAAAGGGTCGCGGGGAGATCCTTTATGACGGCCTCTAAATCTTGTTCGAGTTGTGGTTTTGCCTGCAGAGTGCCGAAAATAGCTCGGCCCCCTTTCCGAAGCCTTGCCAGTCCAACCGACCAGCGCACGTCCTGCAGCATGAAGTTCCTTTTTCCTTCATGCACCTCACGACGCCCGATTCATGTCTGTGTCTGCCTTTTTTGAGAAGACCAAACCCCAGTCGATGTCAAATCCGTCCATAGTGCGTGAGGTGATCATCCCAAGGGCGAGTCACCTTCTGGCTCAAAGTCCGTAGGCCTGCATAGATTGACACATGGATGTAAACAGGGATCCGGATGGTCGAGGTGGAAAGACTGGTGTTTCGATGGCTCTTGTATATAGAAACAAAAAGGCCGCTGTCCCCTCGATGAAGGTAATCCTGGATCTTACCTTTCTTCGACAGAGGATATGAATATTGTTCTTGTGTGAATGTCCGCTCGTTAATACAATCGCAATCGTTCTGTTGTCACACGTCGTGCATATTATTCACTCCAGTCGTTGTATATCGTCATTCTCCAAGTACTGTTGTACACTTTAATAACCGATATCGTCAACTCTCCCGACCAACGCCGTATCACGGCCTGCAGGTATCCGTTTCCAGCACACAAGAACAAGTTCGATAGAAAGCCAGGTCCTCTACGGAGATTCACGATTCCAGCAGACTTGCTTTCTCGAACCAGCTCAACAATCCCAAAATTCCTACCTTTGCAGGTATATCTTACGGAGTTGTGTCAAACGTAAGACAATCTCACGTTTCTTCGGCAGGTCGAAGAAGGACTACGAGTGGTCATTGTTGCCGTCGCACTTTCCGTAACTTGCGAAATTTCTAATTCTGTCAATCGAGACATCATCAAACTCAAAACAGGACCGCAGCCCACGTGGCAGTATTTTTTTTGGAAGCACCACCAAAATTCTAAAACACCCTCTGTTCTAACATAGTTCAAACTTCGTGGTGTTGAAAGGCGAAGGCGCGTCTAATATAATATACACCACTTCAGAGTCTTAACAATGTTCTTCACCTCATGGGCTCTGTGGGAGCAAATGACCTTTGTGAGCACAGATTCTCCCCTCGTTTATTTACAGCCTGTTGACTCGAGCAGATTCTAGGTCTGGCAATCCTCTTGGTATTCGCTATCGGATATGGGAAGCTGCTCTACACCAATAGGTTGGTGCAGAAGCAAGAAGTTGTTGATGAGGAGAAAAGAATGAGGATTCAAGAGTTGAGAAGCAGTGGTCAGATTGTTGAGTCACGCAAGAGCCACGACATTCCCTTTGGAATTAGGGCCATACAGAGCGGAATCCAGATAGACGGAATATGGATTTCCCAAGGAAGTACCCCGGTGCCAAGTGAGCTTAAGCTAGGACATCTGCGCGGAAGCTCGACAGATATGATCGACCCTGATCCGAACAAAGAAGCCCAATTTTCGAGCGAGACGACCGCCGAGTCACTCCGACCAAGTTCTAGACAAGGAAGGCCCCTATTCAGGGCCATGGACTCGTCCAACTTGATTCTTGACAAAGTCTACGAGGCCTCAGACACAGAACGACCAAATACTGCTAGATCACACGCTTCGTACAAACCTCGAAGAGCCTCGCACTTGCGGCACGGTAGCCATGGCCAATATGATGAAGAGACTCTCGGTCACTTAGAAGGCATCTCTCCCTCACCAAAAAGGAAGGTTCACGCACACCGACCTCGATCAACTCCTCTACTCGATGCAGGGGCGGATTCTTCTGCAGCAGACAATGAGCATTCGTCCACAGGAGTCTCTGATTCAGATACCTCACTGTCACACAAACTGCAAGAAGCCGACAGCTCTTCGCCGCAATTTTTCTTCAGCGAGCCAGATGTTCGCAATGCTACGTCTTTGTCAATCTCCAATGTCCCTTCTGGCAACGCAGTCCGAGCATCACTACCTATGCAAAGGTCGAAGGCGGAATATTTCTCAGTGCCTCTTGACTCGCCTCGCTTCGAATCTTCAGACCCTTTTGCGACGCCGCTAGCAAGCCCACTCGAGTCGGTTCCAATGCTCAAAGTAGAGAATTCCCCCTTGGTACAAGAGCCCAGTCCACCTGCGGACTATCAAACTTTACCTTTACAGCCAAGTCGATCTCCATCGCCGTTCATACCAGGAGAGCTTCACGTCAACAAGACAGTACGGAAGGTTAATTCCGGGTTTGAAGTTTTACCCGCCGGCACATTCGGCGTCCCACCAGAGTTCAAAGGAAAGGGAATAGACTTAGGTGAAGATGATGACTCCGGAGACCGGAGGCAATCGAGGCTTCAGAAAAAGCCACGGACATCTATGACGGTTCAACGGACCTCGGGCACTATTGAACATCCCTGAGAAGTGACTGAGAGGATGTAATATCTTTCAGGATTTATTTATGGCGTTCGGAAGGATAAAGGATAAAAGAAATATGCATACGTTAACGGAAAAGCTTGCGCAGAAGCAGTGTATTGTAAATAGTGCTGATAAGGACTCACCAAATGACTTGTCTTCAGAACATATTATGAATGGAAAATAGTCGGTAGGCGCAAGCCAAAGGAGCCAAAGCATGAGGAAGTTTCTGCTCAGAACATTTTACATGCGTGATGCTCTTTATCCCTTTTCGTATGGGCGAGGACTTTGTACTCAAATACAGTGTAAAGTGTCAAGCCAGCTTCGAGGGTTAAAACAAAGAAACAGAGATCCAAAGACTGGGTCAATCGACAGGGAAGGTCTCACGTCTCCAAGGCTCGTTTAGCTCTGGCACGTGATATCGCGACTAGTCTAAACGCGCCTCCCCTATCCAGATTGTTGTTTTCGACGGCGCGTCTGCAACATACCACCAACCATCAACTTTTCGCAACTCGATATCGGCCACAGCACAACTTGATCATTATCTCTGTAGCAAGCAAACACGACAATGGCGACTGATGAGATTGAAGAGTCCCAATCTGGTGTTGAGGAGTCGGGGATGGGTGGGCCAGGCGCGCCTACGCCACTCAGCGCGCTGGAGGTAAGTTCTTACGAATGCGATTGAATCGAATCTTTCTGACAGCACCTAGGGTGTAGCAGGACTTACCAAGAGAGACATCCAATTGATCATCGACGGAGGTTACAACACGGTAGAATCGGTCGCATATACACCTCGAAGAATACTTGAGCAAATCAAGGGTATCTCCGAACAGAAGGCAACCAAGGTCTTGACAGAAGGTCTGCCTCCATTCAACGTGAAGGTTACCATAACTAACTTTCAGTAGCATCAAAGCTCGTTCCTATGGGGTTCACTACCGCTACGGAAATGCATCAGCGCAGAAGCGAATTAATATCGATCACGACTGGCTCTAAGCAACTCGATACATTACTAGCCGGTGGAATTGAGACGGGTTCAGTCACAGAGATCTTTGGAGAGTTCCGTACAGGGAAGAGTCAGATTTGCCATACACTAGCTGTCACCTGTCAACTGCCTTTTGACATGGGAGGTGGTGAAGGAAAATGTCTGTACATTGACACAGAGGGTACTTTCCGACCAGTCCGTTTACTTGCTGTTGCAAATCGATATGGACTATCTGGTGAGGAGGTCCTTGACAACGTTGCGTATGCTCGAGCATACAACTCCGACCATCAACTCCAATTGCTCAACCAAGCATCGGCTATGATGTGCGAAACCCGATTTTCTCTCCTCATCGTTGATAGTGCTACATCGCTGTATCGAACTGATTTCGTTGGTCGTGGAGAGCTCTCATCTCGGCAAACTCACTTGGCCAAGTTCATGCGAACTCTCCAACGTCTAGCAGATGAATTCGGAATTGCTGTAGTGATCACGAATCAAGTTGTTGCCCAAGTCGACGGAGGACCAAGTGCGATGTTCAACCCTGACCCCAAAAAGCCCATTGGAGGCAACATCATAGCTCACGCCAGTACTACCAGATTGAGTCTCAAGAAGGGCAGAGGAGAGACGAGAATCTGCAAGATATACGATAGTCCTTGCCTACCAGAGAGTGATTGCCTGTTCGCCATCAACGAGGATGGTATTGGCGACCCAAGCCCCAAAGACTTGGAGAAGGATTAGACGACGGGAGGGGATGATAGAGGATCGCGTACGGTATTGTTTCTCAGAAGTCGAAATCATGATTTTGCATGATGGCAAGAAGCTGTCGGTTTTCCTTTGTTTGCATTCACAGGCATGGTAGCGTTCATGGCATTGGTACTTTGGTAGGCTTATTTCGGATTGAGCATGGCACCTGTAGATACATCTTAATATTTGTAGCTTGGTGTCAGAACTGATAATTCCGCATGAAATGAATCTTTTAAAAATTCGATGTCTTTAATCTCACGTGATTCCGGTGACAGCTTCGAGCTCCAACGCGTCGCCAAAAGTTTTAAGAAATGCGCCAACGAGAATACAGCCCGCAACGAACCATCATCAATCGGTATTAATGGGGGAAAGATGGAGACCTTCACCCCGTTCTATGCCTACAAGGAAACGCGTTTAGATCTCGATCCTACAGTCCAGGGTTCGACTGTTGTGATCCGTTTACCTGGCGCCAATACATTCACTTCTAGAGCAGGACAAAAACGACCTCACGTTGCGGATATTCCAATCGCAGAAGATGAGAATGCATTCAGGCAAAGACACTTAGCTACAGCTTCCTCGATATACCACCGGAAACACAAGAAATCTATCCGAAGCTTTCTGTGGAGGGTTTTGGAAGATGGCAAAGTCCTGTCAATTCGATCCGTCGACATATCCAGGCAGAGCGCTGCAGCAGATGCGAACCTCGCCTTGCGCCTTGTATTCCCAAGCGCTATCAAACCTGGCTGTATTGCGTTCTCCGATTCGAAAGAACATGACATTTTGAGCACGTTCGTTATTACAGAATCAAAGCAGATCTATACACTCAGCCTACGTCCAGAATACTTCCGAAAACCGTCAAGCACGGAAGACAACGTCGATTGGTGCAAATTATATTCCTGTTCTACATTCACATTCAAGCAACCTCACCGATTGGTTGCTCTTGATTCCGATGAACTGTTGGTGTCTCTGTCTGATGGAGGCCTCATTAAATTTGACAGACATTCTGGTGGAGATGGTAAGCTGAGTCCACATTGCTCTCCATAAACAACTACTGACAGTACATAGGCTCGACTTGGCAGGAGACCCACTACAGTGAAGGTGGTTGGCGCAACACAGTGCGAAGCGTGGTGCCATTCCAAGCTGGCAATACAGTTCGCTACAACGATCACAACTTGGAGCTGTCTACGGTTACATCGATTGCTTCGCCGGTCATAAGCATAGATGACTTGCCTTACGCCTTTACAGTTTCATTGGACCACAAGATACGAGTTTGGAATCTCAGAAACAGGAAAATCGCATATATGAGCGACATTCTCGATCAAGAACTCGATCCCCACGAACAAGCGAAGAGAGTGGTAGATCCGTTCCAATCACAATTGGTCAGGGTCTTTGCGAATAACGGAGAGAATGCTCTATGTGTTACTTTCTCGCCTCTTGGTTCTGGTCAATTCAAGTTCTGGAACGTTACGCCCGCAGTGGATGGGACGCTCATCTTTGTCGACTTATTCCCTGGCAACGTCCTTGAGCCACAGGCGCCTTCGTCTGAGATTTGGACTTTGGCAGACTTTGCTGTTGTCATTGACAAGTCTCAGATCAATAGCTTTGGGTTGTGGGTATTATGGAAAAACAACGTCACGTACCGGTTACATAGACTGGACTTTCAAAGTGGGTCTGTTGCTGCGATAGGAAGTGCTTGGAAGGATAATTGGATGGCGATGGCGACTGAGACTCTCCGAGATACTCTTCTCCCGACGATGCTCTCAGCCGACTCAGCGGACGGGACGGACAAATGGCTCGAATTCATTCTCTCACCAGGAAGATTTACCCAAGCTACTATTGAGACGGGACTTGCAATATACGGACGTGGGCTGGGAGCCTCGAAGGACTTGTCTCGAAGAACTGCGTCTCCAGCAGATCGGATGTGCACTATCATCGCTTCGACTACTTCCTTAAGTAGATCGTCTGACGGCAACATGGACTTCGAACAATTCCGCTCAGGTACTGATGCTCAATGGCGGCGTTTCTATCGCTTACTTCTCGAGCTTGACAAACAACGTGGTGAAGCAATGTCCCTCGTAATTGACTACCAAGGCGAAATGCCATGGGTGGTATTGGCGGATGGCATTACAGCAATCCGAAGCTGTAGTGATCTGGAACGGATTTGGCACAACAATGGCATGGTCCCATCTGGCACCGAAACTCTAGCACGCCCTCTATTTGCTGCAGCTGCCTTCAGAGATTCTTTGTCTGAACAGTTCATCCACAGCTGTCGAGCCCGACTAGCTGAAGAAACCTTCCAGGAGCCTTCCTTGACAGATCCTATGAGGATGCGTGCCTTCTACGAGAAGTGCAATTTCTCCACTCAAATAGGCGACGAAGATTATTCTCAGCTCGTTGGTGGCCTGGGCGGAACGTTCAAGGACGTAACCCCAAAGGTTTACGAAGCCATGCTAAGTTTGATGGATGTATCTAGCAGCTCGACGAAAGGGGATCCAATACTGCCTCTTGCAGAGTTTGGAAAGAAGCTCATCGTAAAAGGAGTGCAGGAGATCGTCGAGCTGCATCGCAATATCTGCTTGGATCAATTCATTCTTCTGATATTTATCGAAGCTGAGATCAACCATGGCGAGGAGGGCATCCAGTTTGAAACTGCTGCAGTCTTCCGTCAGCTGATGTTGATGCTTCAGAGACTTGAGCTGATTGAGTGGCTGACCAGTACTCAAATTTTCAAGGAGGTTAAGTCCAGAAATGAACGATCAAACTCCATCACAGACTCGACATCGACTATCAGCAAAAAGGGAGCACCCGTCACAGAGATGATCACTGTTCTTGAAGGAGTAATGCGCCATCTTTTTGGGCTAGACTTGCGCAACGACCAATCGATGCCTTCGATAGTCACCGATGTTATCGTCCAGATTTGTGCTGTGAATAGTGTGTATGAAGCACCACCAGCAGTCATTCAGTGCTTCTTATTAGTGGAAAATCGTCCTGATCTGGCTTTGGAGTTCTCCCGGTTTACTGGTGCTGATTCATTCTCGACCTATGTCCGAGGAAGAGCATATCTTGCTGCGAATGATGCCATCACAGCATCTACATATTTCAAAAAGGCTGCTCTTGGTATGGGTAAGTTCACTGCAACGCAGATTCTTCTTAAATGTATGGGGACTAATCGGATTCTAGCATATCCTAACAAGTCTGCCGAACACCGTAGCGCCGGCTACTTGGATGATGTGGAGAGAGGCTTGCTTAATTCTGGCTTGCCTGAATACTACTCACACATAGTTGCGCTATACGAGAAAGAGAAGTTATATTCCTTCGTGATAGATTTCGCAAGACTCTCCCTCCAATTCATCAAGCCCGAGACAGCTGAAGTCCGTCATCCCCAGATTAGGACGGACATGCATAGCAGGCTCTTCAACGCCGCCATACAGACCACCCGCTACGAAATCGCTCATTCTATCCTTGCCCTCTTTACGGATAATGCACTGCAACAATCATCACTTCGTACTCTTGTCACCAAGATGTGTGAATCTTCCTACGCTTTGGAGCTCATTGAACTTCCATTCATTGGCCTACAAGACAAAGTCGACGATATCCTGGCCCAGAAATGCCAAGGCATAGTCGATGTTAATGTCGGGATCCCATATCACAAGATTCTTTACGCTTGGCGAATCAAACGTGGCGACTTCCGTGGTGCCGCAGCAACCTCATTTGAGCGCTTGCAAAGACTGCAACAGTCTGGAGGTGGTGATAGGATCATTGGAGACGACGAACTCGAGACACCTATTACTAAACAGTACATAGCTCTCATCAATGCTTTGAGTTGCGTTGACCCTAAACAAGCATGGATCTTGTCAGAAGATGATGGTCGGAAGAGTAGCGGAGCAGGACTGACGAGTAAGAACGCACCGCCGAAAAGAAAGGTTGTGACTCTAGATGATGTGAGGAAGAGCTATCAAGCGGAACTTGATAGGATTGCGGCCATTCAAAACGACCAATTTGCATTTGTTGGTGGGGACGAAATGGATGTTCTATGATATCAAACAACAGGGGAACGGCCAAGGCGTATTCGGAGTAAGGGGAAGAGATTCTGTAAAGTAGATAGGTGATACCGCGCATCTGCATCCAGGCCTGGAGTCATCCTGCAACTCAATAGTAGATACCTGACACTATGCCATTTCGGCCGTGTTCTCGAACCATTGATGGCCAACTTCTCCTAAGCTCCTCTTTCGCGACACTTCATGATGAATCCTGACAATGATAGTAGCTCACGACCAGATGATATACATGCAATGTTCACATTCAGGAGTTTGTTATTTTTCATTGCATGCTCAACGACCAACATGACGCCATGAGTCTATGTTGCAAGTGATTCTACTCTCATTACTCTTTCATAGCATGACCTTGCTAATTACGACTATGCTTCTTGCTGCACCTGAGCTCGTTCTGGAGGCGGGGCGCCAGCAATCTGTGTCTGTTGGCCTGCACCAGCTGCTATTTCGGGTGCTTGGCGATATAGAACAATTTCGGACTGCTTGAAGTAACGTCGTGCATCTGTGACGGTCAGACGTAGTTGTACTGGGGCTAGTAGAATTCACAAACCTTCATCAATAAGCACCAAACTGAGGTAATATCTCGTTGAGTACTTTTTGTTGACTTCTCGGAAAGTGGGTGTCAAGTCGAAGCCTCCAAGGAATAATCTGATGGGGATTGTCTCTCCTCTGGATGGCGAACCGTCCATGATCTAGATCGAATAAGCATATTTTGTTCCCTGAATGGGAGCATTATGAATTACCTCAAAACGGACGAGTGTCTCGCTCTCATTGTATTGATTTGGTGCCGCTCCAGTAGTTTCTCGTCGTATGATCGATAATTCCATATGCTTGATCTTCAATCTCACAAGCAGGAAGTATATCCTACCCACAATAACGTCCTTCAAATGATATTTCGACTTGGAGTATTCGAATTCGATGTGAAGACAATCCTCGATACCAACGTCCATCTTGATAGAACTGTTCATCTCGGGTGGTATTCTGTAAGAATAGACCCAGATATCCTTCTCTCTGATCACATCCGCCATGCGCCGGGATACGGTGACCCGTACGAAGTATCTGAGTCTGACATTGATGCCGCTGTAGGACTCGTACTGCTTCTCAACATTCTTGAAATTAAATTCGAATGCTTGGGGATGCTGTAAGTCGCCTGGTGCAGCTAGTTCTTGTCCCAAAGACAAGAACTCGTAATGGTTGCCCCTGTCGAAGAACATCTCTGTGTTGCCATTTAGCTGGCAAAACCTTCATACCAATGCATCTGCTCCTTACCAATTGTGCCAATGAATTGAACTTTGATTCCAGTATGTTCTAATCGTTTTCCGTCCTTCGGTCGTATCGTCACAGCTCCCTTCACAGACTCTCCGTCCTTATAAAGTGGTGCCTTCTCCCTACGTCCTTTCTCCGTCTTCATGTCCACCATTTGCCTGTCGTCTCCATCTTCTAGGACAATGTCGATATCGACCGGCGTGGAGAAGAAGAAAGCAGACATGTTGTGCGACACTGATTTCGACCTGTTCAATCTTCCTGGGAAGGTCGAATGTTGACGCGCAAGTTGGAGTTGGAGCTCTGGGGAGCGGGTTTTACCGACGACTACGCCAACAAGGCTTCAGCCTCTCGAAGCACAGACTCTTTTTTAAATCAGCCATCAGATATCCAGCTTTACAATCCACCACGGGACAGATCATACATCCTGTATCTACTACGAAGACATTCAGGTCAAGCTGTATTAAGCACCTTGTGTTCGCGCCGCACAGCCGGCAGCGAGATCGAAAGCTTCCAAGATGTCTTCTCTCCAACCATATGTCAACAGTAAGCTTCCCTGCTTTCCCTCTATTACCCCTCAGCTCGCAATGGTCTTGCAAAGCTTACAACCTATTCTGACAGCTGGCTAGAGAAGGTCTTGGTGTTGACCAGCGATTCGAGAACGCTTGTGGGCACGTTGCTCTCTTGTGATCAAATGACAAACCTGGTACGCGTCCTGTTCTTTCTCATTTCATAGCAGGAGCAGCTACTAATAGAGGATAGGTACTGTCGCAAACTGTCGAGCGTATCATACGACCACCAGATGATCCGGAGCCTTCTAGCGAAGTACCTCATGGGCTTTATCTGATTCGGGGAGACAACGTTGCGGTCGTCGGTTTGGTGGATGAGGAGCTGGATGACAGTATCGATTGGTTACAGGTCAGGGGAGCTGTTGTAGGGGGTGTCAAGCATTCATGATGGAAACATTTAAGGATAGTTGACTACAAGATCATGAGAATCTGAGTGCCACGCTGGTGGAGATGAAGGAAATGTCAGAGTGGTTGCATATATGGCGTTCTGGGACAATGAGGAATTCATCTTGACAGACTTTTTCAGATGCAGAAATGAGCCAAAGAGCTTTTTTTCCAACACAAGTGATATCAATGACAGGTGCAAGAGCGCATAAAGCAAAATCCACCGTTTCTTGTGCTAGTTTCAAGATTTTCATTTGCTAATATTCCATCTAGCTCGTCGTCGCTTTGTTTCTACGCAATAATTTATGCCAATGCAAAGCTATAATTTCCACACCACGCAAAACCTTTATCTATTTGCATATCGTCTGACAGACTTAACTTAGGAGCCATCCCACCTTCCCCTTCAGTCTAACCGAAAACCCTCTCCAGCAAGTATGGGCCAAAGAATTCTTCTCCAGGACTACCCACGATTCTGTTTATCCTATTTCCTTTGTGTGGAGCAAGCCATCCACCGTTGTCTCCGGGAGCGTCGCCACCCTCTCCATCGGCATTTGGAATGACAAGCTGCTCCATAGGGTTCGCGATGTCTACAGCTCCTGGACTTTTGATCTGTTCTGGAGCTCCACCTTTCTTCCTGTTTCGTCGATCGATAATGTGCATGCCTTTCAGATATGAACATGAGATTCAGATCAAAGGGAGATATTTACACTTACCTCGAGTCCATTGACCAGCAGTCTCGACTCTGATATCTTCTAGGCCTTTGGGGGCTCCCATCCACTGAGGGGCCTCCCGAGTAAGCATGTACCAAATTGTGAGAGGGTCGTGTAACTCCAAACCAGGATCAAGTTGCTTTCTTGTCAGGGACTCAATCTTTTCATAAGTCTTGTTTACAAAGGCCGAAGTCCATTCTGCTAAGGGGCTTCCTTGCTTTATTAAAGGATCAAGCTTGGCCATCAGATGGGAACGCTGCAGTGTATGAGGGGTTGTAAGATCGAGGGAAAAGAGTGTGAGCTTCAATTGTCTAGAAAGCTTGGTTGGGTAAGGAGGTAATTTTGAGATCTTCAACGGTGGAGGTGGCATGGTCGAAGACGGAGTTGGAGATGTCAGAGCAAAGACGCGGGCAGTAGCCACAGCATCTGCATATGTGTTGAACTCTGCGACTGGTGTGATGTTCCCTCGAATAAATGTCAGCATACAATTTGAGAGATCACTCTAGGAAATTTGGTCATACCCTCAACATCGATGGCACCTCCCATTACAACCACTTCTTTTACTCTCAAAAAAGTTTCAGTGTCCTCTGCAGCTGCCAAAGCCAAGTTGGTCATGGGTCCCACAGCAACGATGGTGATAGTGTCACGTGGATTCTCCTTAAGCAATCGTAGAATCTCTTTATGGGCTGGAACTTGGGAAGCTCGGAAAGAGGTGATCGGGGTAGCGAGCTCTCGAGCTTCGGCAACTTGCTGTGTAGTCGCATTTGCCTGAGGAGGCTGAAACAGAGTCTTCCAAGCATCTGATGGAGAAAGATGGGGATGCTGTCTATGGTCAGCCAGTCCAAAGAAATAAGATTATTACGAGAAGAGAAAACCAACGCTGGTGTGGACTCCAGCCAAGCCATCAACACCGTCTAAGATCCGTCAGTCAAGCAAAGGTCTAGCGGAGAATTTCATGTCTCACGGAAGTAGTCAGCCATGAGTATTTCATCCTCCAACGGGTGATCAGCTCCCACTGCTACGATGGGCTTCGAGCTCGTCATACATCCGAAACCCTCTAGTTGACCCCTTGCTCTTCGCCATTCCATCTCCTTCTCGAGAACATGAAATAAGGCGACTACATTTCGTAGACAACTATCTAATCCTCAGTACTACTACATATATCTGAAACTTGAATCTACGAACCTCTGGACTTCGACGTTGCCGTAAGTCACAGACAAAAGAAGAACTTCGAGCTCTTCGGGTTTGGCTGCTAATGCTAATAGCATAGCAAGAACATCATCAACTCCTTGGTTGATGTTAGAAACGAATTCTTAGAGGGTAAGCATGCTTGCCTGGGTCTGTGTCTATGATGATCCTGTTTAAGGGTGCCATAGTTGTTTATGGTAGAGTCGAGTCCGTAGGTTGGGGTAAATCAAATGTATCAAAGTCGCGCCGGAACGCAGCTATATGGAGATCTGAAGGTCTGAGATATATCAAGGCGTTCTCCGTCACTACAAGTTCTGTGTTGCTGTCTTGTTTGTCTTCTGGGTGAAGGTTGTGCTGGCTTGTTGTCTTTGGAGGGGTAGCTCCACCGATATTCGGAAGAGCCAATTACTACTCGAGTATTCTGCCCTCTATAAACGGCTAGCGTTATGTATACCGCCTTGCTCGTTTACGGATATCTCGTGTTCTTGACCCTTGCCTTGCCTCTCAAGCTCCTTGGCCAATCCATCCACCTCCTGCAGATACCTTGTCGGAACTTCAGGGCCGAAAGCGACACGTCTCGACTACTATCGACGACGGCTGTCGTACGCGAATACTACATCCTTAAAACCACACTCTTTGTCCGTATCTTCCCATCATTCTGTTCTGCCCTCTGTTGTTGGTGCCCGTTGCGGATTCGAGTTCATCCATTCGAATTCTCCCACCTGCGACTGACAGTTTCGACATCGACCCACAACCGAACCCTGTCTTCGACTTCAGATAGTAGTTACGAAGACACATCTTCCTGCATTACATTGGTGGCTTCCGCAACAATGCCGACTGCAGGCACAATCGGAGGCTGGGTGGTTGTCGTTGCCGTTGCTGGTTCGTTTTATTGGGTGAACAATCAAAGAAAGAACAAGAACCGTCGTGCGGTAGATACTAAGCAATCGGGCAAGGCTATCGAGATCAAGAAGGATCCTAAGAGCAAGAAGCGCAAGGATACCGGACAGAGCAGTGGTGACCAGAAAACACCAAAGAAATCGTCCAAGGTTCAGGCCAAGCCCACTGAGGAGGATGTAGCTGTTACGACCGCAAGACCATCTGCCGATACTGATGGCACCGATGTCGATAATCGAGAATTCGCTCGGGCTATGGCCAATGCGAAGACAGGCACGATTACGGCTCCAAAGTCGCAAACAAGTAACAAGCCAAAATCTGTCAAACAAAGCCGAGCACAGGACAAGCCAGTTGTCGAGTCGACTTCGGCTCCCTCTTCCACCACTGGAGGAGATGCTGACGATGATCAATCACCGATCAATTCTCCTGAGTTCAGCGCAAGCGACTCGACGGCACCCATCGCCAGTGGTGACGTTTCTGACATGTTGGAGAAGCCGGGAGATGCTCCTTCGGTCCTAAAGATCACCGCCCCGACCAACCCCTCTTCTGCGAAGCAAGTCAAGCCAAAGGCAAGTTTCGAACCGGCTGAGACAAAGAAGCAACGTCAAAACCGCAAAAAGGCCGAAGAGAAGAAGGCCGCACGGGAAGCTGAGGAGAAGGAGCGACAAGTCCTGCTAGAAAAGCAGAGGCGCACTGCGAGAGAAGCGGAAGGAAGAGCAGCAAAGGACGGTACCGCGTTCATGGCCGCTCAAGCACCGTCAAAGTCTGCTTGGACCGCCCCGCCAGAAGTCAATGGAAGCAAGGAAGCTGCTCCTGCCAAACCTGTTGAGCTCCTCGACACATACGAACCCACCAAAGGCAAAGTGTCCACGAAGCCAGCAGAAGCTGTGTACTCCGAGAGTGAGGAGGCTGGCAGTCGGCTCGCTAAGGAATATGCCTATATGACTGAGGATGAGCAGATGAGAAAGGTGAAGGAAGACTCCGCAGCGTGGGAGACGGTCAAGGCAAAGAAAGGCAAGAAGTCGGAGAAGTCAGGACTCAAGGACGGAAAAACCTCCAATGACAAGCAAAGTTCTGCCAGTGAGCAAAGCGACTTTGGAGTTCCACCTGTCACTGCTCCCACCGTACCAGGCAAGAAGTGGGGCATGACGGTTGTTCATGTCGACAATGATAGCAACGTCGTCGAGCGAGAGATGGAAGTCCAGGATTCAGAATGGGAGGTCGCTTAGGTTTCACCATACAACACTTGACGCGTCTGGCAGAATTCGTGGTGCGCATTTCCTCTTGCATTTTCTCGCCTACAATTGTACATTGAGGGCAATCTGCTCCATCTTGCATATCATCGGCATTGGGATTTCGTCGAGAATCGCATAAGGCCTCTTCTTTGATTCTTCTCTTTCGGTAACTGGCAGGGCGTTTGTGGCCGTTCTTCTTCGCAGTACAACACAAAGAGGGTATCAAATTTGCTGGGTCTGGGCATTTTCTCTACAAAAGATCACATTTCATCAAGCCACCTCACCTGTATATCAGAACCATGCTTTGCTGAGCATGCTGCGGTTCATTCTCACTACATACAAAACCATACCAAACAAAAGTTCCCAATGACTTTATTGTGCTTGTGATCTAATGTCCTCCTGCTTTGTGTTGATGATCAGACAACTGGAGCAGACTAATCTCAAGGAACCCCGTGCATGAACGATTCGCAGAGGATCATATACATACATCGCTTAAGATCTTCACGCACCCCGCCACTGTTGTTCTTCTCATCATCTGTTCACAAGCAGGTATAAACCATGAATAGTCTGCTGCATCTAATGTGCACCATTCAACAGTAAGATTATTGGCCCGTGGACCGCCTTTTCTTTTTCAGTGGCACGTTTTGAGCCGGCATTTGACAGCCATAGGGGATTGTGTCCAACAATCTCCCACACCATTTGACAAGCATCGTCCAAGGCTGCAGTGAATCAACCCCACTCTGTCACTTTCGGGCTCAGGGGTCTCAGCGCCTTTTCCCCAGCTAGCCGAATGCAACAAAGATCCTAGTCATCAGTCTCCTTTGAGACCCTTTATTCTGAAACAATGCGTTGATTATTTTCCCATGTGTGAAGTCAAGGGATGCTCTGAAAGGTGAAGATGACCGATAGTATACCTCTAATTGCCTAGATCCTTGGTTTGAAAGGGTGGATCGGCCTAGCCAACGCAATCGTTTCTAGCTAGGACCCGCCGTCTAGTGTAGATAGGAAAGGCATCTAAAGAGAGGGGCTCGCTCTTGCGGCGAAGCAGTCGAAGTAGGCACATCTTCCAACAATCCTTCATGACTTCAATCGTGCAGCCAGAAAACAATTATACTGCCGGTCTCACCTCCACGGGTCCGCAAGCCCCGTCGCTTTCGACACCGTTTTGAGAAGGAGCATTCTTGACGCTGCTGCAACCTCGCTACGCCCTCTCCGAAGACGAAACGGCAGAGGCTCTCAAATTGGCCAACGAACAATCCACATCCCAATTGCGATTTCACAGTATATTCTTACGTCGACATATACTTACAGAAGACCAGTAGCAGTCTGCCGGTAACACTTGCCACTTTCTCCTGTTCCTCCGGCCGGACATTCGACGCAGGCTGTGCCCATCATCCGCAGCATCTCCAGCTTGTTGTGCGAACGGCGCAGAGAATCGATAAGAAGGAAGTTCGAAGTGGGCGAATTCCGACCTGGAGATCCTGATTGCCTTTCGAAACATCTCTTAAGTCAGTTCCGCCACCACTTCAATCGAGATACTGGCCTCGAAGTTGTGCTTCATGCATCAAAACGTACAAAGTTTCTCGAGCACGCGACAACAAGTCCGCAGATCCGTCTGCTGTCACACCCGGTCGTGATGTCGATTAGCGTGGCTCTTCAATCAGTGGCATTTTATGTGCTTTCATGTAAGTTCTGCTATCCAGATCCTCGCGTGCAATCATGATACTAAGTCTTTCTAGGTAGCACCTGTGCTAAGATTAATCATCGACGCAAAGCAAAAGTGCAAGCCAAGCGCGAACGCGCTGAGAAGCATGCTTTGGAAACAGAACAGCCGGGCCTTTATAGGCACCCATCGCCTTTCAGTACGAATCCATACTGGACGGAGGAGATCATGATGGGGCCCGGCCCACCGAAACAGAAGGGTGAAAGTAAGAATGCAAGTCAGAGAGCTCTGAATACTGCAGGCCAGGGAAGCAGTTATGCTGGCAGCACTGCTATGAGCTCCGAACCCCCAAGTAGTCCAACAAATGTCACAGAAAATTCGCGGATTTCTGGAGACGGGTGGAATAGGAAACGATACCAGAGAGAAGACGAGGCACTTTGGGGGCATGATATTCCCGGACCAGGCCAAAGGATTATGGATGCTATTGCTAGAGCTGGTTCTTCAGCAGGACGTTTATTAGAAGGACGTCTAAGCAGAAGTGGTCCTGGGAGAGAAGAGGAGGGTCCGTCACATTATTATTTAGCCAAGAATCCTCCAGTGAACGATTTGCATCCTCCAGTGGTCAGCACAGCTCCATCAAGCCGAGAGGAGACAAGGTGGATGCTTCAGCCTCCTCCAGCTGCGAAGATCATGGAAGGCAAGGAGAGGGTGAACAGAAGTAGAGCAAGTAGTAACGGGAGCAGCCGGAGAGGCGGCGAAGAAATCCCATTAAGCCGCCAAGTCACGGAACGGCTCGTCGATGCAAGACTTCAACGAGGCGAGACACCATATTCAGAAGGACGCCCTGTATCATCGAAAAACAACCCCAGAACTCTGGCACCATTGTCCGGTCCAGGCATGGAACATTCCCGTGATAGAAGTAGAAGCCCATCTATGGACTCTTCCGGATCTTCAGATGCGGGGATGAGAAGGAAACGAAAGCCACCGCCAATCTCCATCTCGATGTCCAGCAAAAGTTCCCGGGATGCTGTTGAGCATATACCAATACCTGCATCAATTGAGATGAGAGAACAGTCGGTCAGGCCTATGCTTAGTACCATAATAAGCTCCTCTGCTGCTGTCCCTCAGCTTCCCATAGAAGATGATGGCGCACTGCAACCTACAACCAACAGCGCCATCAATTCGAGGGCATCCTCCCCGTCTCGTCGACTTTCACCCAATGCGAATGCTATGCCAGTATCAATCCCAAAAATGGAAGCAAAATTTCCTGGGAATTCAGATTATAAGTTCCACCGGTCTACATCAATGGAAAATGCAGAGCCTACTGCCTAGCTCTCATGAAGGCCCGTAGTAACTTACTTCTACTACCACATTCACTTAGAGTTCTCTCCTTGGTATTTCTCTGATTTTCTTCATTCAGCGACTGTTAGGGTATCAGGTGCGCAGGGTATTGCATTCATTGGGAGTTTTGGGTCTGACCTAGCATTTTGCAGGTGGTGATCAGCTTGGGACCATTGAGCGGGCATTTGATGCATTTTGGATTGGGGCTTGGAGCTGAAATTCAGGCAGAGTAGCCTAAGAAATGGAACAAAAATTAACAATAATGTCCAGATACACACTATCCCTGTGGATTCCCAAGGTTTGTAACATGCTGGGGATATTGGCTGTGGTCTCGAAGTCGGGCGGCAGTCCCTCTCAATATGCCGACTCTGAAAGTAGAAAACGCTCACCCACAAGTCTTCTCTTATTTTCCCTCTCCATTGTGAGGCAGGCGGAGAGACTTTGAAGGGTTACAGGGTACAATGAGCTGCAGGCAAATTACTGAAGATCTGATAAGACACCTGTGCAGCACGCGCTCGGGCTTGAACTTTCATCAACGTCCAACTCTTTCCTAGAGTCATGTCGGCTCTCTCAATTCTTGCAAGTTCACTATCTGTCCACTATTTCAACAGCTAACATGGCCCAGCTTGGAGCCAAGAAATCGGGCTGGGTCAATACACATTGACAATCCACGTTGCACAACTGAAGGAAAAGCCGAACTCTGTTGTGTCATTTTTGACCAGATAGCAATATTGTCAATAGACAAAGGATCTCAAGTGGCTGGTTCCTGTGCCAGAACACTACATTTCATATCCTTCATTCGATTACTTTTCCTAACCGGGTATCTAACGCCAGCAATGTACTCAACAATCTCTGAATGTGTTGTTCATTCCTGTATCCTATAGATGCATGCCTTCATCCTCATCGCCCTCTTCAGCCAATACCCTCATTCGTTCCTCCATAGCCCGCCGAAGAGCCTCATCGTCCAACGATCCACCCGTACTTGAGGTCGCATTTGTCGCTCCATTGGCTTGTCTCTCATTGTTCATCATGACTTCCCCATTCACGATCCGGCCTGTCTGAAATGTCCCATCGGTCCATGCGCTGCTTCTCTCCTCCCCAGCCTCACGTCCTACATGACTCTCGCCCGTTCCATTAAGTAGAGTTTCCTCACCCTCCTCATTCTTAAGCTCATCCGCGCTCTGAAATTCCGACCAATTGCTTCCTCGCCCCTCAACCTCCGCTCTGAGTAACGCAATCCTCTCTTGCATGCGGGCAATTACAGTCTCGTTCTCCTTGATTGCGTCGACGCAGTCTTGATCTGGTTGTCCGTTCGCTGAAGGCTCGGTCCCATCTGCGAAAGGTTTGAGTTGCTCGTTGGAATAGTCGAGGTGTGCGATGCTGTTGCGGATTTCGGCAGCTTTAAGATGGAGAGTGCTGAGGGGTAGATCCTTGAGAGCTTCGGCGAATCGTGCGGGGAAGATAGGAGTTGCTTCGTTTGACATTGTGAAAATTCGAATCTTGTCACGCTTTATGTGAGTATGTGGTGTGGTCGAAAGGATTCTTGTTGATATTGAATCGTTGTAGATCTCCTTTATGTTGTGAGATAAGTTTGGAGGCAGCGAGGGGCAGACGCGGCAACTTTCAGGCGACGCGATGGGATGTCGTCCGAGGTGGTCCATGCTCAATATTTTTCTTAAGCCGTTGCAGCGCACCACTTTACGACAATATTATACCCATCCGAGCGGCTCCTTGGAAGCTGGCATGCATATACCTAATATGTCACGATAAGAAGAACCCAAGATGAATAGCCTTCCGCCTGTCGCTTTCCGGATAACGTGCTTCAATCCTCGAACGATTTTCCGAATATGTCCTAAACTCGACAGCCCAGCGGCAATGCTCGTTCGGAATTGCCTCCGATCATATACTGGATCATGCTCTCCGCTTCGGCGGACTCGGTCTGGACAATTGGAAGGGAAGCCGTTGGCTCAACATTGGCAGGGGCTGAATTTCTACGCTCTCCCAGCAGGTGTGAGGACATTTGCCTCACGCCGAATCATAACAAGTTTTAAGGACTTGCCCTCTCATTACAAAGACGAGGATGGGCTTCCTTTCAGAGACACTCCTATTTCGAGACCAGAAGCAGTTGCTATATTTGGGAATTTGCTTGACGCGAATACTGTGAACAGATTGCTGAGATTCATACATGGACGTAGAGTTGCTGGGACATTAGGTGATCCCAGTTTATCGAATCCGTACGACCAGCAAGCATTCGAAGCTGGCTTGGAATGGCTAAGGAAACATGTCCCGGTGGATGAAGTGGAATGTGCGGGCCTCAGGGCTGAGTTGGAGCTTGCAGAGATGGAAGGAGACGTTATGGCTAAAGCACAGAGAGCTGGTCTGTATGAACCGAATTCCCAAGGGCAGAAAGATGTATATGGAAAAAGTGGACTTGACGCAATTCGGCGAGCCAAGGAGAAAGAGTTCGACGAAAGAGAGGCAAGAAAGAAAGCACAGTTGCGTGAAACGCGCGGGATTGAACACAAGACTGGTATGCTGGAAGAACTCAGCGCAAGATCACAAGTCGAACTACGCAGACCTGGTGAAGACCCACGGCTCAAGTATTACTTGGAACGAGCAAAAGTGCTGCCAGATACGCCACCAGAGATGTCGAAGTTCCAACGCCTTTGGCCATCTGGACTTGTTGTTTTGGCTTTTGTGACCGGTTGCTCCATTTTTGCGACGGTATACACACCTCCAAAGAAAGAGTGGAGATTATGGCCAGATATCCCACCGGCTGCTGCGACTATCATAGGTCTGATCTTCGCAAACGCAATCGTTTTGGGTGCCTGGAGAGTTCCAGCTCTGTTCCGGATGTTGAATAAAAACTTCATCACAGTACCCGGATACCCCTTCGCAAAGAGTATGATTGGCAGCATGTTCTCTCACCAACAATTTTCTCATTTCGCTCTCAACATGGGGGTTTTATGGTTCGTCGGAATTCGACTACATGAGGATGTTGGACGAGGGACTTTTCTTGCAATCTACCTTAGCAGCGGGGCCGTTGGAACGTTTACATCTCTCGCCTTCTATGTTCTGAGGAACAACTTTACGTCTTCGTCGCTTGGTGCTTCAGGGGCCCTTTGTGGTATAGTTGCAGCATACTTGCTGATGCACTCCGCCGAGAAGGTAACCTTCTGGGGAGTCCCACCCGACTTGGATTGGCTAAAGGTCTCAACAATGACAATATTATCGGCTGTTATTGCCATGGAGGTTTTTCACATGATACGCCCAATATCCAAGCGTGTGGGTAGTCATGCAGGTATTGATCATTGGGCACATTTGGGAGGATATGCTGCTGGGATTGTGGGGGCAGAGGTTGTGAAAGCGCGAGAGCAACAGAGAAAGGGAATTGAGATGAAGAGGAGAAAGAATCTCGGCTTCCTAGACAGGATAAGGAAAGGTGGAGTATAGAGAAACGGATATCTCTTGTACATATGTAACAACCTGTATCACAAAGTTGATTGGCTGTAGATAGCAAAAAGAGTGCCACTCAAATGCTATGGTTTGGTTCTATGACAGAGAGAGTGTGTGATTTTCTTGTGATTATCTACTACCGATGAGAACAACACTGGTAAAAACTCATATCAATTTCGACGCATGTCCCTAAGCTTCAAGGCTGTTTAACCCTTTTGGAAAATATGTTCAAGAAGTGTAAGTGGAGCGTGATGGAAGACCCAAATTCCATGAAAATATACCAACAATTGTTGGGCCGGAGGTATTTGTGCTGCTTATTCTGTTTGTGCTGAAGGACAGCATTCTCACGTACTAATATATCTCAACAGCAATGACAAGCTGGTCATTTCTCTACTACTGCCTCTTTGATTAAGCCTCACTCTAATATATGTTACTGCATTTTCTATTCAAGTGAATTTAACGTTTTGAGGAAAATCGCTCTGACCCGCAGAGTCTGTGGTGATGAACAACCGCTCATCGAAGTATATATTTATTGTCCAGTTCTATTTCTGCTTACCTGAGTGTTTGACTCTTAGAGATAAATAGGAGGTCAGGAAAACAGCCTAACTTCTCAATATCAGACAGCCGGTTTGAATGTCCCACCTATGCTTGGTAGATTTACGGAGAATAGGTCTTCTCTTTCTAAGGAGGTTTACGGAAGTCCCCGTGATGCGAGGGGCATTCTAGAGGAATATAGTCAGTCTCCAGTGTACTTTATTATTTGTACATTTCGAATAATTCGATTGTTTCTCGATTCAAAGACATTCACAATGGTTGTGTAAGGCTCAGTTCGTCTCATCAGCTGAGACGTCAGTACCCGCTGACCCACTCTACAGGGATGGCGTTTCGAGACAGGGCCCTTGATCTGCAACCAATTTCGAGGCTCGGCCGGGGTGTTGCCATCATCATTTTGCACCAATGCTCTGACCACGCAAAGCTCAGCTCTATTTCTCTTGGCTGTTTCTTGGGCTCTTGGCCGACAACAGATTCTTGTTTTGGCTCTGCTAAATAAGGTGAGAACGACGACTAATAAACACTAAGTCAATAACGTCAACATTTGTCGGTGATTCTCTTTCCTTGCAGACAAATTCTTTTGCTTTGATACCATCTGTTTCCCCCACATCTAGCTCCGCAGACCCTGGTTCTCTACGTCTTACACTTTGTTGACTCGGGAGCGGATTGAGCCAATCGACCACGGGCTGACAATACCCTGCGCCGCACATCGTACCTTCTCTCAGAATATATTTCGCGTTGCGCCAACAGCTCAGCCTTTGAGCCAGCCTTTCATTCTCAAATTCCAAGAACTACCTCAAGTCGCGATTGAATATGGCTTCCCATCTTAGGGATGATGTGCTTTACGGTCGCGACCACCCCGATACGCATGCCTCTGCAAACAGATGGCGCCACCAGGAATCGGGCTCCTTTGCCAGGCATGTAGCACCGCGCGAAGCAGACGAAAGAGGCGGAAGCAAAGATCTTGCAGAATTCCTCAATACTACGAGACTTGAACCTCCCAAATCCGCAGGCTCTGGAGGAAGATTCCAACCGATTATGGTAGCTGGCAATGTCCAGAACGGTGCTGCTGGGATGGAGGGAATGGATGCACAAAATGATGGGGCTGCAAATACACCAAGTACCTATGGGTCCTTAGATGTGAGATGTGGACCGCTGCTCAATTATCGGCGCATGGAGAACAAGAATTGGTATGGCAGTGTCCTGATTGTCACAAGGGGTGGAGGATTGAGAGAAAGTCCTGTGATTCCTGAGTTACATTTACGGTTTGATCGAGCCCGATTGAGCCAGGAAATATCAGACGAGAATGCGAATGGAGTTTCTACAGAGGCATATGGAGTTGTCAATGGTGTCGATTACAGGAACGGACATCAAGAGGAAGCCCAGCAACATGAGCCGATTAATGGGACAGGCAGTAATGGTACCAATGTTGTTGAGAATGGCAGTGGAGAGTCCAAAATTTCTGGCACCAAGTTATACTCCGATCCTTCCAACACTTTCTGGCGTTTCGACTTGAAAGTTCCGATGCAGAAATTCGAGTTGCATTGCCACTATGAAATACCTGGGCTGAGCTTCGAAACTGGCGAAAAGAACGATAAACAGAGCTTCTTTGTCCCTGCCATCTCGCAATCAATGAGGATTATGTTTCACTCTTGCAACGGATTTTCGGTAGGAACAGACGAAGAAGCTTGGAGCGGAGCAGCACTTTGGAATGATGTGATTCGAGTGCATAAGAGAGCCCCATTTCACGTAATGTACAGTTTCCTCTCACTACATCATAAACAGCCTTTAATTTTGATAGGCTTGGAGGTGGTGACCAGATCTACAACGATGGTATTCGAGTTAATGGGCCTCTGAGGCCTTGGACCGACATTGGAAACCCCATCAAGAGAAGAGAGTTTCCTTTTCCAGAAGATCTGAGGAAGAAATGTGATGAGTACTATGTCGAAAATTACATCCGATGGTACGGAACTGAGCCATTTGCGAGCGCCAACGGGCAGATTGCTCAGCTCAACCTGTGGGACGACCATGACGTTAGTTTCCAAAGTTTCGGGGTCCAAGCCATATAGCTCACTGAGTTGCAGATAATTGATGGTTTTGGGTCATATGTCGATGAGTTCATGCGCTGTTCGGTCTTTCGAGGCATCGGAGGAACGGCTAACAAGTATTATTTGCTCTTTCAACATCATTTGGCACCACCACTGTCAACTTATACTACAGGTATGGACGATTGATAGGAAAATCCGCAAATACTATATTAATCAATATCAGATGCTCCACAAACTACGTCCGATGATGGGGTTGGTACCGATCCACGACAATTGGAAAATACATTTGTGCTGCAGGAAGAGAATATTGATTCCAGCTACATCATCGGTTCTAAGCCAGGAGTTCGTTCACCCACATTTCTATCCTTAACATGTATTAATTTGCCACAGCCCTACGTTGCAGAACACTCACGTAGCATATACGCTCGCCTTGGAGCCAGGATAGCATTCTTCGGTATAGATGCTCGAACAGAAGTGAGATTCTTTCCCATTTGAGTATTTTTGTGCTGACTATTTCAGCGAACCCGGAAACAAGTCAACTATCCGGAGACGTACGAAATCATCTTCACTCGCCTCCGCAAAGAATTAGCCGAGGCAAAGGCTTCTTCAACCCCTATTCAACATCTAGTTGTGCTTTTAGGCATCCCAATCGCTTATCCGGTAAGTAAGAAGTTGCTCAAGAACTGAGACTCTGCTAACTCGGAGAAAGCGTCTGACTTGGCTGGAAAATATCTTCTCGAGTCCATTGATTGCTCCCATCAAATTCCTTAATAAGAGGTTTGGATTTGGTAAGAACCATGCCGAATAGGATGTGTTTTCACGGCTTACTTTTTCTAGGTGGTAGCTTCTTCAATCACTTCGATGGAAGTGTCGATTTACTAGATGACCTAGACGACCACTATACTGCCCGTACCCACAAAAAGGAGCGTCTTTTTATCGTGCAGCAATTACAAGCACTTTCTGCCGAATTCTCGGTCAGAATTTCAATCCTAGGAGGCGACGTACATCTAGCTGCGGTTGGTCGGTTTTATTCCAATCCCAAACTCAATGTCCCTGTTGCCCAAGACCATCGATACATGGCGAATATTATATCATCGGCTATTGTAAACAAGCCGCCACCACAGGCCGTAGCAAACCTGCTCGCCCGTCGAAACAAGATCCACCATCTCGACCAAAATACTGACGAGACTCTGATGAACTATTTCGACAGGGATCCGGGGACTTCGAATAAAACCGCCAATTTTAATCACGTTACGATGCCAAGTCGAAATTGGGCCATGATCACTGAGAATGCTGCAGCCATGGTGGATGGAAATGTCCCAAACGGGCACTCAGTAGAAGGAGATTCCCTCAGGCAATTGACACCACCTGCTAAAGATGGCCATTCATGTTTGCACGACGGTGAGGTCAACGCGGGAACGAAACATAAAGCTGCGGATGAGGCTCAACATGGGTTAGGGTCCGACGGAAGCCTCGACGTTACAATCAGAGTCGAAAAGGACCAGCACAGCAAGGAAGGCTTGACCGAACATTATGGCATGACCATTCCACTCTTGGCATATGATGGCGCAGCAGAGAACACATTGAGGAAACGAGATGCTATCCACGGTGCGGTTGCTCAACGAATCCCCATGTAGGCCCAGGTTTTGAATATCTGGATGGTTGAGAATAGGTAGTACTTAGCATAATGATGGTGACGACACAGAGCTGTACTACTTTCGGCGGTTGTCTGAATAGAACGGCGGTAATTATGTGTAGATATCCATTTGATTTGTAAAGATAGCTTGACACTACAGGCCTTTTAGTCCCTTTCATGCAAGACCTTATTAAAAATTATTCCGCAAAATATATCGTGGACCCTTAAAAATTGGAACATAAGAGAATACCTATTGTTCCAGAGTTTGTGAGACAACATAAATAGGAACGCAGATTCTTCGAGATAGCAGGAAAAATATATTGTATTGTGTATTGATTTTAAATATTTCATCCCGCAAATTCAACTTGCAATTGGGGCTCATATTATCCCACAAACTCTAGAACAATATTATCTTATAATTCAATTTCCACTTCTCTTATCCCATCACCGAACATCAGGCTCTTCCAACCTCGGCTGTACACTACCGCATTTAACCGAATTCGGGATAGCTCCACAGAATATCAATCATGGCGAGATCCTCATCGTAAAGCAGCAAGCAACGCGGCGGTCGAAGACGAATGTTCCGTGCACAAGTTGCAGAATGGAGACCGAATCTATTCTTCACCAGCAGCTCCCCAGTACGTACCGGGCATTACAGCCGCAGGCAGCTCAGGCAATCCAGCATGGCCAGCCTCATCTAGGACACCATACTCTCGCATCTCAGAGCGGCCTCGACCTTACCGGCCTCGACGACAATGACCCTGTGTTTCACCAAGACTTGCGACTGCAGGATCCGAATGGACATGCATTTCAGAATCCGCACCCGTTCGATCGCAATCATGGACACGGGCAAATGCATATTCCTAATGATGGAAGCCCCCATACCCCGCAACAGCATGGCAATAGTGGGCAGTATGGTATCTTGACCGCGGGTCCGGTGCAGCACAATGCAATCAACAGGCTACAAGAGGAGGATATATTCGGTAACCCAGAGGGAGGTGACCAAAAGAGCAATGGACATTTGAGCACGAAGATTGTTGTTGATCCTCCCAACCTCGCAGAATGGCGCCAGAAGTTGTTCAATGTGGACGAGATGATTACTTTGAGTGAGGACGAGTAAGACATCACAATTGTGCTCTTTTAAGATGGAATCTATTGACACGACGCGCATAGGTTTCAGACGTACTTCCCTCATGTAGATAATGTCTATTCGCACCGATCAACCCAGCGCTACAAACGTAAACCCTTCGTTTCCCACTACTGGGACTGTCGTCTCAAGGGCAGACCCCCAGGAACGCCGAAGTCGAATGACCCAAACAAGAAGAAGCGGAAGCGGACGGCAAGAGAGAGGGATCTATGTGATGTTAAGATCAAGATCACGGAATACTTTCCTGGTGCCATGTTGCGGGCGGATTTCGTACCAGATGGAGGTCAGGTTCAGCAAGACCCGTCTCAAAGCAACAACTTCTTTGCGCCAGGACAGCCGGGAAATCCAGGAATGAACCAGCAGCAGCAATTCGGGCTCCCTATGGTCAATACCTCTCTGGGGCCAAATCATCCGGGAGCCACAGGCCAACGCTACTATACTATTCAACGAGTCAATGGCAATGGTGGAAATGGCAAAGGCGATGGTGTGCCGGGGCCACATAAACATGGCTTGGCAGAGAGTGATCGTGTGAAGAAAAACAGCGTCCAAAGATATGTCATGAAGAGAGACAAGGAGGAGAAGAAAACCCAGGTAAGACATCCCAAGCCAAGTAATCTTTCGTTTAGCTTCCTTGCTGCTTCTGCTGCAGCTACCCCTTCGACCATAGCGCGGAGCAAGGCTCCATAGGATCATCATGAAGAATCAACGGTCCGGACCGTTCATCCATGAATCGTCATCAATAAATACACAATCAACTCTCGACACGAGATCTACATCATGGCTCCTTTCAGGATGGCATATATTACCACTTCATTTCCTGCGGCTTCATGCAGCATTTTCAAAGTTTCGGCTACCACAATATTGCAAATAAAGCATTTGTCACATATCCGAACAATGGCTGATGCTGCAGATTCACAGAAGACATATCATAAGAAGGCAAGTGGTGCTGCTTTGGCTACAGTCAGGAAGCATTCAAAGGACCATGATTTCAAATTGTTTGGGAGCTGCTTTTGGTGAGTTCTCTTTGAAAATTCATCTTTTTGACATGTGACGTCAGCTCTTCTAACTTGCTTTAGTCCTTTCGTTCAACGAGTCTGGATTGCTTTGGAGGCCAAAGGCTTGCCATATCAGTACATAGAAGTCGATCCGTACAAGAAACCTCAAGCTTTATTGGATGTCAACCCTCGTGGCTTAGTCCCTGGCATTCGTCATGGGGATTGGGGTTGTGGTGAGAGCACAGTTTTGATGGAATATGTTAGTACATGAGTCCAATATATTCGACGAAAGATACACTAACACTCTCGCAGTTGGAGGATTTGAACTCAGGACCTCCACTTCTTCCTCCTGACCCCAGACATCGAGCCACTTCAAGATTGTGGAGTGATCACGTGAGTCTATTTTGATCAACCATAGCGCACAGCTAACTTTGAAAGATCAACCGAAGAATTGTGCCAGCTTTCTATCATCTGCTCCAAGCTCAAGAGCTCAATAAACAAGCAGAAAATACCAAGAAGCTGCAAGATGAGATCGCCAAGATCGTAGAGCAATGTGATCCGCAAGGCCCATTCTTTCTTGGTCCTCACATCTCCTTCGTGGACATCCAATTCGCACCTTGGATGATCCGATTGAACCGAGTCCTAAAGCACTATCGTGGCTGGCCAGACCCAACGCCTGGCAGTAGATGGGGACGGTGGTTAGATGCAATCGAGACAAACGAACATGTCAGAAACACGACTAGCTCAGATGACCTCTATATCGACTCTTATGAGCGATATGCGCAGAATCGTCCGAATACTTCCGAGCTTGCTGATGCTGTTAATGGTGGTCTAGGGTTGCCTTGAGGTAACCTAGCATTGATTTTGACGACGGGACAGTAGGACGGTCATTCCTGGGAGATATGATGATATATGGCAGAGTGATAAGATACCTGGCGTTTATGGGCAGTGCGGATCTGCTGCTGGAGGCTCTCTAAACGTCTTCTACGAGGAGTTGTGAAAGGGAAGAATGAGCTTTGCAACAGCTACCATCCCACGGTCTATGACAATACATGATGTTTTGTGCGATGATTGTCAGAAATACTAGTCTATATGAAAATCTTCAACATGCAAACCATATCGCCTCGGAAGAGCTCGAGAGGAAGACACAGATTTGGTGGTGGAGACTGGCTGTGAAAGCTGAGATTGAGGTTCATATGCAGAGTTGCAAATCATTTTCGTTCAAGTCATATCTGACATTCAGTCCCCAGCGCCCGCATCCCACTCCATTTCCAGTATACACCTATCAACCGAAGAGTTTCTCATCTATTGCACAATATCTCGCCATCTCAAACTGCTCATTTGTCTGGCACACAAGCAATCCATGCTTTGCCCCTTTTTTGCCCACGCTCTGCACCACGTCTTTGATTTGCTTTTTGTTCAACTCGTCGTCGACCTCGAACCCAAGACATGCCGTTTCTTCTGCGACTCTTCTCCTGAGCAAATCGCTCTTCTCACCAATTCCACCAGCGAAGACTAATGCGTCGACTTTGCCATTCAATGTAACGTAATAGCTTCCAATATAACCCAGAATTCTGTCCAGGAAAATATCAAAGGCCAGCTTCATTTTGGGCTCGTCGGATGAAGCGATTACACCAAAGTTTGTTGTGCCCGTTAGTGATTTCCATCCTGCTTCCTTGTTCAATATTTCTTCGGCTCGCGAGATGTGGAGTGATTCAGTAGAGCTGGGAGACAGCTTTCCAACATTGGTAGCATAGTGGAAGACAAGACTAGAAAGGCATTAGCGAATGTCCCCTTTTCAAGAAAAGGCGTCCTACCTGGGATCCACACTTCCACTTCTGGTCGCACCTGGCAGACCAGCCAAAGGTGTCAGCCCCATCGAAGTATCCCAACTTTTCCCGTTTTTTATTGCACAAGCACTAGCTCCAGAACCAAGATGCAACACAATCAAACTCGTCTCACTCTCCTTCTTCCCTAGATACTGAGCTACACTCCGGGTAATAAACGAGTAACTGATTCCATGAAATCCGTACTTTCTCAGTTTATTCTTCTTTGCAATCTCCTGGTCTATCGGATACGTCCTAATATGCTCCGGAATCGTCTGGTGAAACTCGCTATCAAAAACAGCCACGTTCCTCGTATCCGGCATCTCCTTGATCAAGAACTTCACAATCTCGAGCGCGGACGCGTTGTGCAAGGGAGCCAAGTCGGTCAGAGCCTCAAGATGGTGGTATGTATCTTCGTTAATGATCTGCGGAGTTTCGTAGTCTCCCCCGTGGACCACTCGATGGCAGACAATTGCTATGTCTTCCTTCTTGCTGATGGCCGGGAAGTCCTTGTCTCCAATGAGTTGGTCGAGCATGTATTTGAAAGCGTCATTTTGACTTGAGATCTTCTCTTCTAGTTTCTTATCTTTGCAGACTGTCCGTTCGCCTCTGGTGTATTTTAGTTGAGGTGGTGGAGCTGTCAGGCCGTCGATTTGTGTTTCTGCGAGCTCTTTTGGTTCTTGGCCTTGCTCGGCGCTATACACCGAGATCTTGACGGAGCTGGAGCCAGCATTGACGGACAGGATTATTTTTGCCATGGGGATTCGTCTTCACTTTGAATATGAGAGGAATTGAAAGTAGATTTCCAAAGAATTCCAGGTGGTCTATTACATTTTATTCTGCCCGATTGAATATCAATCCTGTCCCACGTTTTCCACCCCTCCAAAACATGACGTGACGTCGGAGCTATTCACTATCATAGGCGAGAAAACTTAGCTTATCGTGGTTGGTAAGGGACTTTTGGCAGGGATATTAAGCCGATCACAGGGGTCAAATTTGAAGAAGATCACGCCAGAAAGTAACAAAACCATGGGAGAAAATCGCATGCCACTTCGAAAGCCGACCACTGCTACTTGCTGGACCCCGGAGATCTGCGAAGAGAAGACCTAGCTAGACCTTGTCCTTCACATAAGGCTGAAAAAGCAGAGTTTGAGCGAGGCTGTCCAGCCTGGTCTAGACAAACAGCTATGACGTTGAAGCTTTCTTGGTCCCTGCAGAAAGCCTCTCATCCCCTCAGTGCAACATTCATTGACCAATGATAAGTCGTAGCGATAACATGTATGCTTGATTTCTAGTCTTGCTTCTGGAGCAAACCATGGCAAGGGCTCCCGAATTATCCGACAGCCTTCTTCTGTGACGCAGTTTCCTGCTTAGTTGCTCGAAAACAATTGAAAGCTCAACATTTCTCGATACCTCCTTTCACTTCGTTTACTTCTTGCACAATCTCCTCAAACATTTCTATCGTTCAAAGCTTTGATTTGGATTCTCCTCCTCATCCAGAGGTATTGTCCAAAATTCTAATCCGTCTCTGACATCATAACCTTCAAAAAGAGATAGCAGCTGCAAAGTCAAGATGCCTGGAGAAGTAATCGATAGGCCGAATCCGCAGCCATTGACTTCTCAGATTCCTGAGAATGTCCTTGAGCTGTCCGTGAAGTTGGATAAGATGAAGATCAATGACGAAGATTTGAAAGGCCTCGAAGAGTTTCGCAGGGCAAGCAACTATATTGCAGCTGGTAAGAAATTCAAGCTGAGATATCTTATCTATTCATAGAGCTAACGGCCAAAGCTATGATTTTCTTATCCGACAATGCCCTCATGGAACGAGATTTGAAGTTCGAGGATATCAAGCCTAGGTTAGTTGAATTCTACTTTTCCTACCGTAGTTTCTTACTGAAAGGATATAGATTGCTTGGACATTGGGGAACTTGCCCAGGTCTTACTCTCGTCTACGCTCACCTCAACTACCTCACCCGCAAAAACGACCTTGACCTCATTTACGTAGTTGGTCCTGGTCACGGAGCTCCTGCCATTTTGGCTTCGCTGTGGCTTGAAGGATCTCTTGAGAAATTCTACCCTCAATATGCACAAAATAAACAAGGTCTTCACAATTTGATCACCGGCTTCAGTACTCCACACGGTTTCCCCAGTCACATCAATGCAGAAACTCCAGGCTCTATCCACGAAGGTGGTGAGCTTGGCTATGCTCTTTCGGTTGCCTTTGGTGCTGTCATGGACAAGCCAGATTTGGTTGTCGCTTGTATTGTTGGTGATGGAGAGGCTGAGAGTGGACCTACTGCCACCGCTTGGCATGCTGCGAAGTATATTGACCCCGCTGAATCAGGAGCTGTCATTCCTATTGTGCACGTCAATGGGTTCAAGATCTCAGAACGAACGATATATGGTTGCATGGACGATAAAGAAATGGTTTCTCTTTTCACTGGCTATGGATACCAGTGCAGATTTGTTGAGGACTTGGAAGATATTGTAAGTAGTGTTCATATTTGGCACATTTCATGCTAACTCTCAATCCAGGATCGTGATTTGGCCACAAGTATGCAATGGGCTCTTGATGAGATCCGCAAGATTCAAAAAGCAGCGAGATCTGGAAAGCCTATCATGAAGCCTAGGGTAAGCTTGGTAGTGCCTCTACCTTACAACATTGTACTAACCAGCATGAATAGTGGCCTGTTTTGATTATGCGTACTCCAAAAGGATGGAGCGGACCAAAGATCGTTGATGGCGAATTCGTGGAAGGATCTTTCCACGCCCATCAAGTTCCTCTTATGGCTGCCAAAACGAACAAAGATCAGCTGGCTGATCTCCAAAAATGGTTGCTTTCATACGGCCCCGCAAAGCTGTTCACGGAAACTGGCGATGCCATTGATTCCATTAAAAGTATAATTCCCGTGGAACCCCACAAGAAGCTGGGACAACGAGTCGAAACTTACAAATGCCACGAGCCACTCAATGTACCAGACTGGAGAAAATTTAGAGTTGAAAAGGGAACCGAAGAGTCTTGCATGAAGGCTATTGGGAATCTTCTTGATCAAGCACTCGTTGATAACCCCAAGTCTTTGAGGATCTTCTCGCCTGATGAACTTGTCAGCAATAAACTTGATGCTGTCTTTAATCACACAGGCCGTGACTTCCAATGGGACGAATTCTCCCATGCCAAGGGTGGAAGAGTTATTGAGATTCTCAGCGAGCATACCTGCCAAGGTTTCCTACAAGGTTATACTTTGACTGGACGAACTGGTATCTTCCCAAGTTACGAGTCTTTCTTGGGTATTATCCACACCATGATGGTACAATACTCAAAGTTCAACAAGATGGCGAGAGAAACAACTTGGAGAACAGACATCTCGTCGATAAACTATATCGAAACCAGTACCTGGACCCGACAAGAACATAATGGGTTCTCTCATCAAAATCCATCTTTCATCGGTGCAGTACTAAACCTGAAGCCATCTGCTGCTCGAGTGTATCTCCCACCCGATGCTGTAAGTATATTCTCTCTCTAGAGTGATCACTATACTGACAGACATCCTGTAGAACACCTTCCTTTCCACCATTGCACATTGTCTTCGATCCAAGAACTATGTCAACTTGATGGTCGGCTCCAAGCAACCCCAGCCGGTGTTCTTGTCAGTAGAGGAGGCCGACAAACACTGCCAGGCAGGTGCCTCGGTCTGGAAATTTGCTTCCACCGAAGACGGTCTCCACCCTGATGTTGTACTCGTCGGTATTGGGTCCGAACTCATGTTCGAAGTTATCGTCGCAGCCTCAGTTCTTCGTCGACGATGCCCCGCCCTCCGCGTCCGCGTCGTAAACGTCACCGACCTCATGATACTCGAGGCCGAGACCCTACACCCACATTCCTTGACCAACAATGAATTCAACGCTCTCTTTACTGCCGACAAGCCTATCCATTTCAACTACCACGGCTACTCGAACGAGATTAAAGGTCTGCTCTTCGGCCGTCCATCCCTAGACAGAATTTCCATCGAATGCTACAAGGAAGAAGGTAGCACCACGACACCGTTCGATATGATGCTCCGCAATAACGTCAGCAGATATCACATCATGGAAGCAGCTATCAAAGCTGGGGCCAAATCTAATCCCAAGGTGGCACTCGATATGACGGGTCTGTTGGGTGAGGTTAGACACCAGGTGACGAAGGTGCAGGATTATATTATGGCCACCGGGAAGGATCCCGAGGGGACTTTTGATATCCCGAAGTTTGAGGGGACGGTGTTCGAGGGTGGGAGTAGGGATAAGGGGCAGAGTGGAGGGAAGGAGGATGGGTTTTTCGTCAACTGATTGACGGCGAGATTAAAGAGTGGAGAGAGGGTACACTTGTATAGTTGATGTAGTGAAAATATAATACATAAGACCTTTCAAGAACATGACCGTAAGAATGTGCTGTTCCTTGTAGTCGATACTAAGATATGCAGATGTGAATCTTCTACTCACTTCCCACTACAAAACTGAGTATGTGTGGGATGGGTATCATTGGGTGCGTAGCAACGATTGGAACGAGGGTAGCTGTCACTCTGTCGTCTTTGCCGATCTTTGTTATGATAGAATCACTATCCTCGCCCGTTTACCCATTCTTCAGCATCGAAACCACCACATCGTCTAGGAAGACACAACCGTTCGGCCTTGTCAGTTTCACTGCCCAGTCGAAATGCTCCCATTGATCATCGAAGTCAGCATCAATGAACACTATGTCAAACTGTCTACCCTCTTCTGACAGCTTCGGCAAAACCTCCAATGCGGCACCAAGAATGACCTCTACGTCAAGACCTTCGACACTCTCTCGTGCCACTTCTTGGTGTTTTGGATTGATCTCAATCCTCGTCACCTCGGCACCGGCTTCAGCAAAACATATAGCTGAGTAGCCGCCCAGAGTCCCAATCTCCAGAACCGATTTGGCACCTATTAAGCGGGCGAGAATGGATAATCTGGTTGTTTCGTCCCAGAGACTAGAGTTTTGATTTTTATGAATTGAAACATTTGGGTGGGGTGTGGTCTAGCTCAGTGTTAGCAATAGTATACGGTCGTATTACGGGATCTAATATTAGGTTAATACGCACTCAGGGTGTATAGTGGGAAGCGTATATATATTGACTGCTATTAGTTCCGTATCAATGGAAGATATTGGTTCATATACTAAGTACTGGAATGTAGCCTAAAACATTGAAATCCAACGCTAAAGAAGCATATTCTACGGAATATAGCTTAAAACATTGAAATCCAAGCCTAAAAAAGCCTAAAAGAGCTACAATCCATCGATATTAGACCTTGAAACAAAGCATTCCAGTACCTAGTATACTTCTAGTGAAATTTAATAATACTAGTCTTAATATAATACGTACAACCATATTATTATTATACGTATCACTCAAAGTACAGTATTTATCAAAAAAAAAATACGTACCACAATGAATAATACTATTTTTGATAAATACTATTGCGAACACTGGTCTAGCTTTCCTCGAACGTAGAAGATAGTGGTCCGTGTAGATCAGCATTCTAAGTGTTTTTCATGAGGACTTGTCTAGCATTAACCTTTGTATTGTTTTGTAATATGATTTCACCGAGTTTAGCTTCTAGTCTTATAGACCTTGGTTTCTCCCCACATTGAATGAAGGCATCCTCGCCCCCAAGCGCTGCGAGTCGAAACGCGATGCCATAATCAGCGGCTTCATTGTTTGCCCCTCACCCAAAAACGCGTATAGCTAAAAGTGGCATCGTATCAATCTCGCTTTGACTACCCTACGGGAGCATATTGTACAGGATTACTGGATTTCTACTGGAGTTTATTGGATAAAAACCGGATCATCCTTTCTATTATCATTAGACTTATCCAAGATTTATCCAGTTTAAAAATTTAAAAGTTCTAAATCTTAGACTCTATCCAGAGTTTATCTAGGATTTGAAGCCCTTAGAGAAATTCAAACTGAATGTACATCAGATAAGCAATAAACACGCTAGCTAAAGTAAACAAACTCTCACCCTTAGTTTCTACTTTCTTAGCTTTCACTTTCTTAGTTTCTACTCTCTTAGTTTCTACTCTCTTAGTTTCTACTCTCTTAGTTTCTACTCTCTTAGTTTCTACTCTCTTAGCTTCCACTCTCTCAGCTTCCACAATAAGTTTCCACAATAAGTCTGCATTATCCATCTTTCTCTCTCTCTCTCTCTCTCTCTTTCTATAGTAAGTATGCATGTATTTTATCACTCTTTCAATCCAGGTATATGACACCATTTGTAGCATCAATCCACAATACTAGTAAATCTCTCTTAGAACGCGCTTATCACACAGGTAAGAGTGCAAGGCAAGAGTGCATGGCATATGGTACAAGTTATGGAGTACAAGGCAAAACATACATAGAGAGTAAGGCAGGAGGGCAAGACGGTCGGCCGTGGGGGGTGCAGGCAGCTGGGAATACTCTCATTATAATATCACTTAGATTATGAAAGAATGAATGCCTGCATGCCTGCGCATTTTTGGTTGCGAATTCTGGATAAATGCCAACAAATTCCTGGACTTGTACTGGATTATTTCTGTACAAAATTTAGCTGGATAAATCCTGGACAATAACTGGATAATTTATCCAGTAGATATCCGGGGCGTTGCTACCGTAGGGCTGAGTCCCTAATTCAACTATATAATCTGAATTCCAGCCTTTCGAGCTGCAGGTATACCGTACTTGAGAAGTGCATCTTGGGCCTGAGAAAGAGCCGGAACAGCAGTATCCGGTCTTAGTTCTTTACACATCGTGTAGTTTTGTATATCGATAATCAAAAGGGCTGTCTTTTCCGGGTCGATATAAACATTGCTGATCTCGCAGTTGAGATGGAGTCGGTGCTTTAGAGGCTCGGTATCTGGGGTCTGGGGATGGGTTAAGTCCCAGCCAGAATCTCGTGACCAGATCCAGAAATTGTTGGCGCCTACAACATATTTTTCGTATAAACTGCTGTTGACCTCACAAGACAATGTTCCTGTGTATTCAATAGCAATCTGATGGTACGGAAACGTTATAAAGCTTCGGAAGGGGAACTTCGGGAAGTTATTTGATGGGATCTATAGAAGTTAACTTATTCTATTTGACAAGCAAAGCAAGTACAGTAATTCAGAGCCTCGATTCAATTCAGTAAAACATAATCACTAATCTTTTTCGGGTTGGAAGATACGGCAAAATAGAAAATGAAATCAATCTTATCAATGTATCGTTTATAATCTTTTACGATTTATAAAAATAAAAAATATAAATTTTTACCAATTTGATTTAAAAATATTATCTATAAATCTTTATTCATCTCCCGTTATTTCATGTATTATGTTTTGCAGCGTGGGACAGAATGCCGGTATCATGCAAGCTACTGCAGCAAGGTTGTGGGAAGGCCCCCACTAAAGCCACGTGGGATGGAGGTGTCAGCGATCCCATTGGTGCTTGATAACGCTCGCAGAGCCCCATATTTCAGGGTCTGAGGCTGAGAGAATCTCAGCCTTGTCCCCGCGTCGCAGAGCTTAGGTGGAGACCTTGAATCGATGAAGGCTCCACAACTTCAGCACCTGCTTGTACTTGCTGGAGTTGCGTGTATGACTGCGATGTTCTCTCAGCTTTGCCATTCTCGATATTCAAATCGTTGCGATGAACCATGACTACCGGAAAACCAGGTATTGTATCTGCGATCTATAAATTTGACCTGAACTAATGGCCATCTCGCAGCTTCTGAGGGCCTCCCTTCGCTCCTCACAATCAGGATCGAGAAAGCATCCGAAGGTCTCAACGCGGGTCACTTCACCTCTGTCGATCTGGTCAAGGCGTGCATTGCAAGAATTGAAGAGGCTTCGAACTTCAACGCTGTTCTACAAGTTAATCCCGACGTATTGATTGCTGCAAAAAGTTTGGATGATAAGCGGCTGCGTTCAGGCAGTAGAGGGTACATGAGATATTACCCCTTTCTACTGCGATTACTGATTACTACAGCCCTCTGCATGGCATTCCCATTCTAGTGAAGGACAACATCGCGACGAAAGATTAGCTGGATGCGTCTGCCGGCACATATGCACTGCTAGGGGCAAAGCCAGCCGTTGAGTCTTCACTTATCAGCAGACTCCGAAAAACTGGCGTCATCATCTTGGGCAAGACTAATCTTTCGGAATGGGCGAATTTCAGAGGGTTAAATATTAGCGCAAGCTGGAGTCCTCGCGGTGACCAGACCTTGGGTGCTTATTGTCCCAACACCAGATCTGATGGGAGCAGCTCTGGGTCAGCAGTAGCAACAGCTTTAGGATTGTGTGGGGCAGCACTAGGTACAGAGGTCAAATCTGCAGTCCTATTCCGTCGGGAGATGAAAAGAAATCTGACACAAATCCAGACCATAGGCAGCATCGTTGATCCAGCGGAAATCGCCAACGTTGTAGGATTCAAACCTACCCGCGGCCTGATTGGGACAGATGGAGCGATCCCTATCTCGAAACGATAAGATGTTATCGGAACTCTTACGAGGACTGTCAAAGATGCGGCATACATGCTGAGCAAAATGGCGGGGCGCAGTGAACTAGATGAGAGAACTTGGCATATCCCCTTCGAGCCGATCCTTGACTTCAGTTTGTTTTGCAATAGTACAGATTTGACCGGAATCACGATTGGGGTTCCCCGGAATTGCTTTGATAGCAATACCGCCCCGGCACCAATCATGGCTTCGTTTGAGTCTGCGTTGACAGTTCTGAGATCCGTTGGTGCAAAAGTGGTTGACAATGCGAATTTTACTGCAGTCGAAGATTTTAAGAAGTTGAATCAGTAGGTTAAAGGAGTTGTACGATCGTTTGAATTAAAGAGGGATATTATTGCTTATCTGCAAACGCTAGAAACTAATCCAAATAATATTTACTCAACTGAAGATATAATCGATTTTATAAAAACCTTTTTAGGAAAAGATTATTTAAAGCGAGACATTAGCAAATTCTTATAAACATAGGTAGAAAAGATTAGTGTCGACAACGACAAATACAAAAACATAGTTTAATAAGAATTGTACTTTAGTGGCGAGGGCAGCATTCTCGGAACTATGGAAGATTACAAGCTCGATGTTTTGGTCGTTCCATTTACCCTAGGAGTAGCCAACGATCTTGCTGCGAAGATGGGATTTCCTTTTATATCAATTCCGCTTGGCTTTTGGCCTCGAGGAACACCGATCGAGGTTAAGAACTGAAAGGACGGTCTGGTCAAGAAGGCACCTGGCATTCCGTGAGTCTACACACGCCCACCTTGGTATAGGCCTGCATATTAACTTCTTGTTAGCTATTGTATAAGCTTCTTCACCAAAGCCTTTTCTGATGGCAAATTGCTCCAGGTAGCGTATGCTTTCGAGCAACTTGCAAATGTGCAGGAAAAGGGACCATCCCCGTTTCAGATCCCGACGACAGAGCTCAAAGATGTCCAAGAGACAGACCACAAGAAATGAACTCTGAGCTAAGGGTACTAGCTCGATGGAAAGACACGGGCCTGGGTTGAAAGTTTGTACCAGATTGGTGGATTAGCTAGCCTGAAAACACAGCAAATACAACCATTCAAGTAAATGGCAAAGCTCTGTGCAGTAAAAAGTGTACGATCGTCCGCAGAATAGGGGTAAAATCTTGAACGTACCACGATGTATTTCTGCAGGAGTTCGACTGCCACTGCAAAATGCCCGGTCAGGCATGTTGGGTCACCGTGAAAAACAGCCCATTCATTTTTTGACACCTTATCAAGCGACATACCGGTTAACGGGATCAAAGATGCGCTCGCAGTCCGCTCCTCTGGGCGTCTTCTCGAACAGGCTTGCAGAAACAAGTGTAATGTGCCAAGACGGCAAAGGAAAGGCTGCATCCACCATGCGATGACCGGACTTTCGCTCTAGTTGCATCTCTCCGTTGATATATGGGAACTCGAGTATGCGGGCAAAGCACGAGGCGAGGTCGAGGCGAGAGGCCATGACGTCGCTGATCATCGTCGATTCCTTGCTCGCTCTATCCTATCATGGTTTAACGCATCCTCCATCTTGCCTGCCCGTGGAAGGATTTTAAGACGGCGCTGGATGAAGTGCTAGAGTGAATCTTAGGGTCGCCCTAAGAAGTGTGAGAAGTGTCCAATCTGCAAACACTTCTTCTTTGCATTATCGATAATAGATACTTCTCATACCCATTCTCATTCTGTATCACATTCGCAGCATTCTATCCTACCAGCCCGTGTACGAGTGTTGTTTCCTCGGCACGCGCTCTTTTTCTCCCATATCTACGGCCACAACGAGTGGTTAATGCAGCCCATCGATCCTCTCAGCTCTCACTCAATTCATTACACCCCAATCGTCCATTTTCCCTCGCGAAAATGGCGTTAGAAAAGGATGTCAGTCCGGACTTTACCGACAAGAAGAACGAGGATGGTGCTGGCCCGATGAACTATGGCAACAACAATGTTGACCTCGAAGGTGACCACACCAAGACCAGATTTGGCAGTAGCAACAAGAGCGTTGGCCCAAGAATTGCTCCCGTGCTGCCTCATTTGCAGGCTTACGACTTTGGTAGTGATGACTCGGGTTCTGACGTCCTGGGAAAGCAAATCGAGTTGGAGGCCGACAATGCCATAAAGTACAGGACTTGCAGTTGGCAGAAGGTATGTCTTTCCTGCCCTGTGGGAGAAGACCAAGCGTTCGCGATTCATTTGCAAAGCTTCACGCCGATGCGCCTTTGCCACCCTAAGCACCAATTTTTGCCGTTCTCATCCCTCTGCAGTCCATATCCCGCGATGCTGGTTACCACGTTGTGCAATTGCAGCATATTCGTTTTGCGGAATTACTCTCGGATCATGGAATCCTGTGTTGAGTTTGTGAGCCTTAGCTGATAATTCTATACAGACTGCCGCATTGCTCTTCTCAGAGTATATCTGCTTGGCAATCATGTCATTCCCATACTCGTACTCGGTCCTTGGTCTGGTTCCAGGTCTTATTTTGACGGTTGTCGTCGCTGCGTTGGTGTTGTGTAAGTCTGAAGTTCTCCCAGGATACCTTCCAATTCCTTCCTCTCTTGGGAGCCACGCTCCGGGGCTAATGCTTTGAATGCACTCCCAAGACTTGCACATTTACTCCTCTAATGCACAAAAGAAGTTTACTGACCGAGATTACAGACACATCATTGGTAGTCTGGGAGTTCTGCTTGAGGTAAGTTCGTAACATCGATCATCAACATGTCAAACGGCGATCCACCATCTCCTCTATATCATTATTGAAGAGAAAGGCCATGTCTCTGACTCAACCCTGATGCCTTGCCCTCCAAAGAAAACAGTGAAAACCTGGCGTCGCCGGACATTCCTATCCAAGGGCACCTGAGAGCTCTGGAGGCTGACATCTTGAGCAGGCACCCAGAAGTGAGAGATGTGTGTGACATTGGACAAATGCTATTCTGGGGCAAGCAATGGGCGTGGTACGTCACTGCTGTCATGTTCATTTTGAGTAAGTCTCATGTTCTCAAAGGGTTCCGTCCTGTTCCCTGCTGTCTTGGGGGTCCTACTCTGGAGTTAGTTCTCTACATGTCCCAAGCCATGCATTTTTGTTCCTGAAATGTGCAAGAGCTTTGCTAACTCCTAAATCTACAGACAATACTTTCATCCAGGTAACAATCAAGACTACATCAACTGCATATATACTTAGTGAGATGTGAAGGGTCTACACGTTCTTGTGAGCGCTAAATACCTCAATACAATCACCAACCACAGTCAATGTACCGTGGTTTTCGCGGTGATTGCGGCTATCATATGCTGGTTTGCATCACTTCCTCGGACTTTCAGTGCCTTAGCTAGGCTTGCAACGGTATCGGCAATCTTCACCTTCATATCAGTCCTTTTGGCCGCCATCTTTGCTGGGATCGAAGATCACCCTACAGACTACAATGCTGATCCAAATTCGATCATCGCGCTGACCGGGTTGCACGGTGGGGAGCCAACAGTGACCGCTACCCCCGTCAAAGGTACGACATTCGTCGCTGGTATGAGTGCCTTTTTAAACATCAGCTATACCTTCATCGGACAAATCACCATTCCCAGTTTCATCGCTGAAATGAAGAATCCTAGAGACTTCCCAAAAGCACTTTGGGCTGTCACCATCGCCGAGGTGCTTGTGTTTGGTTGTGTTGGAGCCGTGGTTTATGCCTACACGGGCAATCAGTATAATACTTCTCCTGCTTTCGGCTCTTTGGGTAATGAGGTATACAAGAAAGTGTCTTTCTCCTTCATGATCCCGACTTTGATCTTCCTGGGTGTTTTGTACGCATCGGTCTCAGCACGATTCATCTTCTTCCGCATCTTCGAGGGAACAAGACACAAGACCAGCAATACTGTTGTCGGTTGGGCGGCATGGGCAGGTATCCTCGCAGCTACATGGGTTGGTGCATTCATAATCGTAAGCATATACCTCTTAGCATGCCTAGAAACATTTGGTCTAATTTATCTATCCAGGCTGAGGTCATCCCTTTCTTCTCCGACCTATTGTCACTCATGTCGTCGCTTTTTGACTCCTTTTTTGGGTTCATCTTTTGTATGTGTTAATCCTATCCCGGGTCCACCCATTCACAAGAACGCTCCTTCAGCAGATATTGCGAGTCGGTCAGAATTCCTGTGCTAACTTCCTGTAGGGGGCGTCGCTTACATTCGAATGAGGAGAGTGGACGGAGGTGTCAATTGGATACACGAGCAAAGCCTTTATGGGTACATGATGCTGGCTTTAAACATCTGCATCATATTCATTGGGGCCTATTTCTTAGGAGTCGGCACTTACACAAGCGTGCAGAGTATCATCAATAGTTACGCTGCGGGTACCGTTTCTGGAGTATTTACATGTGCTACCAATGGGCTATAGGCCCTCAATGTCAGGGCAGGTGGTTTAACGTGGTTCGGGTACGAGTGAACTATGGGCTCATCGTCTAAGAGCTCTCCTTCTTTGGCTAAGTACATAATTTGTTGAAAACAATTGGATACACACTCCTCTTCACATGTGTGTCACATGGTGCGGAAAAAAGTCTATGGGATTCAATTATTTGCCTAGTAAATAAGTAGCGTACCGCGAGTACACTGAAAGTTGGAATACAAAAAACATTGTTCCAGAGCTTGTGGGACAATTGAAGTGAGAAAGCAGATTTTTGGAGATAAACCGGAATGCTCGTCGTACCTCAGGTTATTTTTACCCCACTTTATTCTTAGAAAATCATACCTAGGACTTGGCCTACTTATATTGTCCCACATACTCTGGAATAATATCATCTTACCTACATTCTAATTTTCACGGTATTCTGAACGGGGTGTCTGCGTTGACTGAGCCCTACGCACTGCATGCAGGGATTGAAGTCATCAACTGGTTTTCCCCGCGCCGAGGAGAAAACATATAATTTCATTACAACATCTTAGCAGCTCGTAGTGCCACCTACTGCACGCGATTTATCAGCACAATGCCGATGCCCGAAATAGGAATTTCATATCCCGATTATTTTCTCTGCCACTGAGTAAATGCAGTATAAATCCATTGTTTTCAACTTCATGTCTGTCCCAATTTATCAAACAGCTTCTCCCTCTTTACTAGACCTAACTCCAACAAAATCATGAGCAATCCTTCTATAGAGAAATATGGTTGGACTGCAGTCCCCCGTAAAGTCTCAACTCTCCTCTCGCAGTCTGAATCCTCGTCTAATCAGCCAAAATCCCTATCCACATCGACAATCCCGCTTCCCGACTCGCCCCTCGTGAAAGCGGTTCAGGAATATGCCAAAGCAGAATTGCCAACCGAGACCTACAATCACAGCATGCGAGTCTTCTATTATGGAGAAGCCATCTTAACTCACGCCTTCCCGTCCTGGTCCTCGCCGTCGTTCAACGAGACTTATTTCATGACCTGCCTGTTACACGACATCGGTACCACAGACAAGAATATCCACGCCACTCTGATGTCTTTTGAATTCTACGGTGGGCTGATTGTTCTTGATCTTCTGAAGAAGCTCGATGCTCCAGTCCCGCAGGCTGAGAATGTAGCCGAAGCCGTGATTCGGCATCAAGATCTTGGGGAGACGGGGACGCTGACCAGGATTGGCGCTTTGATACAATTGGCAACTATCTTTGATAACATGGGAGGAAATCCGCAATTGGTGGACAAAAGTACGATTGAGGATGTGGTGAAGACGTATCCGAGGATGAAATGGAGTAGTTGCTTTGCGGCGACGATTCGGAGAGAGAACGGACTGAAGCCTTGGGCTCACACGACACACCTTGGGGAGAGGGACTTCCCCGAAGGCGTTGAGAACAACAAGCTCATGGCACCTTATGATGGCTAATTGGTACTGAAGAACCTATAATAGATGGGCATTTGAGGTAGTTTGGAGCAGATAAAGGTAATGAATAGGGTTTGTGGTGAAGGCGTTGGAAATTATGTATAAATAGGCACAGATATATAATTTACTACATGGCAACGTTATCAAAAATCGAATTATTCGCTCTCGTGTATGTTTTCATTGAAATGACCTCGAACGCCTACATATGCCCAGACACCAATGCTAAGTAACAGATGCGATTCAATGATTGGGATGGCCTTAGCAATTGACGACCTTGTGCAGATGATATACTAAAGGGAAGCCTCGAAGAGAGTGGACTGCAAGAACTTGCAATTTTACAACCTCCTCAAGCCTTCAACTCTCGCTCAATGCATTGAATACACAAAACAACAGTTTCCCCTGCTACCTGCTTCGGATAGAACGCTCCATCATCGAAACCACTTTTGCAATTCGCACAGCGGAAGCATTTCTCGTGCCATTCTCCACCCAAGGCTTGGACGTATTCGCCAATGACTGGCCCTTTGCATTTCTTGCATTTTGGAGCTCGCCGTTCTGTTCGCTTGGTCTGGCAGCTGAGACACCATGCATAACCGTCTTTCTCAATATGGGTCATGCCTTTCTCGAAAGGATCACCGCATTCCGCGCAGAAGAAATGTCCATAGTGCCAACTGTCACCCAAAGCGACCATGTGCTCACCGATGATGGGAGTCTTGCAGTGCTTACACTTCGGGGCAAAAGTCTCGTGCCAGTCAAGATGGCAGTAAAATCGTTGTCGTACATCACCGTCCTCAGCCAGGGTCTGCCCATCCACTTCTGGAATATCTTCACCACGAGCACGCCTTTTGATTCGGTCTAGCCGTTCTGAGCGTTTAGCAGGAGGCTCAGGATGAATTTCTAGAGACTCCAAACCGGTGCCGCAAGTAAAACAAATGAAGCATTCAGGATGGAAGTGCTCCGATGCACCACTCAATTTGACCACACGTCCTTCAATCGGCAGCTGGCACTGGTGACAGGTTGCAGTTGCCCTCCTTCCAGCGACTGGTGACCAATGACCCCGAGGAGTAGGAACAGTGGCATAATGGCGTGGTGGAGGACGACCTGCGGAAGTTCTTGGGTCTGGGAGTGGCCGTTTGCCCTGGGACGTAGAGTTATCTGACCCTATTGTTATTGTTGGGACTGCCGGCGCCGAGACAGAGATCGTATGTTCGTCGGGGAGGTTGATTGTGGGGATGGGCGGTTGTGAGTTGGATATATTGATGGTAGGGACTGATGGTCTAGCATCAGGAAGGTTGATCGTAGGTACAGGCGGTGCAGATTCGGGACGGTTTATGGTAGAGACTGTAATTTGAGGGACCTGATTCACTTCGACTGGTGGTGTGTCAGGAACGTGAATGGTCGGGATAGAGGTTGGGATAGTCTTCGAATCTGATCGAAAAGGTAGACTCTGCCTTTGACCGTTGGGACCTCGATCGAAGGGAGATCTTCTTCGCACTTCTGGCTTTATATCAGCCTCCTTCGGCTTCCAATTTGAATCAAAGCTTACAATCGGTCGACCAGGTTTGTCACTGACGACTGTTGGAGTGGGTAGTTTGGGGCTACGGTCTTTGAGACGCATGCTTGTGGCTTGACGGATCTCGTCACTTCTGATCTCAAGACCGTCTTTCATTGGAACAGTTGGAACTTCCTCTGGAGGGACAGATTTGGTTTCCGAAGCAACGGGAGCTGGCAATAGAGAATTTGCTGTATAGTCGGGATTTCTCGACTGGGTGGGAGGATTGCGATGGATTTCGGATGTAGAAAGCCTTTTGATCGGTTCTGGAGGAGTGCTACTTGATCGTGGTGCCATTTCATGAGCAAATTGCACTCGATTCAAGGGATTTCGAGGTTTGATCCGGAGAGGTGCGGGTATATCTGACGTGTTCTGAGTACGCCCGCGGCCAGCACTTTCGTCGCTCTCCTGTTCTGGCTCCTCCCAGATTTGCTCCCCTGTGAACATACCAGCGAGTTCGCCACTGACGTTCCGTTTGCCGCTACTTTTTCTTCTAGAACTGCCCTGTGGCCTGTTGCTATTCGACATGCTTCCGTACGACTTCTTAGAGGATCCGCCTTCCGCAGAGAATTCCGCAGAAATTTGTCCAGTCGTTTCCGGACTGAGAGTCCGTTCAGGGCGAGAACCCTTGTCTGAAAAGTCCCCAGACATTCTTCCTCGTTGAGAGGCCATCCCTCCACTGCTGCTAGAGCCACCCGAGACCGACCTAGGGGCAATGTTTCTTGCAAGCCCGGTGACCATACCAATCCCACCGTATCGTCCAACGCTTTGCGTTCTGGCGTGCTGATAGCTATTCTTTCTGAGGTGGTCGTTGTATCGGTATGGAGCATCGGGACTGATGGCCGCTGTGGGATGTTGGTGTTGCCATACTAATTCCGAGGCTTCGTCCTGTGCTGCAGTATGTAACCGAGCCTCTTCCTCCTGTTTCTTCAAGTCCATATCCTCCATGGCTTCTCGCAGAGAAACAGCTTCTTCCTTCTCCATCCATCTCTGGCCCCTCTCCATGTATGTGGCACTTGGAACAACATCGGATGGTTTCAGAAGGACCAATGGCTCACATTGAAGGGGCTGCTGTGCCAGCTGTCGACCCGTTCTTGAAGTTACAGAAGAGTATGTGGAAGCGGATGATTGACCTCGTCTGTGCGACAGTACACTTGAAGAGCGTAGCACAAGTTCCGTCACAGGCAATTCTGGTGTTTGGGCTGGAGGAGTCGTCGTAGGAAGACCTCTGTCAGATTCACGTCTGCTACTTGATGGTAGAGGTCTTGCACCGCTGGGACTTGGTCGAGCTACCCTGTTGTTGCGAAGGTCGGATAGATATGAAGCTGGAATTAGTTAGTAACGAGTGAAGCAGGTTTGATAAGATGCAAGATTGGGTAGGAAGTGGCATACCGAATTGTTCATTGGACATATAAACAGGCCCCGGAGGTGTGACTTTACGTTTGCGGTCCTTGGACCGTCCTCGAAGCAGCATGGCGTCGAAGTGTACCACTTAAATATATTCAAAGCTGGTTTGAAAGTCTGAGTCGAAGTTCGGAACTGAAGACAGGTCGGTGCATGAGCAATTTGTGGTCAACGCAGCTTGAAAGCTGAAGGACTGGCGATTTCGAACAATGTGTTATTGAGAAGAAGCAGAAGAGGTTTGGGAAAGTTTCGTTCAATGTTACTTTGAGGACTGAGTAAGCAAGGAAGCACGATGTGGTGCGGAGACAATTTAGAGTCGTGGGAGCGTTTGTTTATCAGTTGATTATGCGGAGGAGCGTAAATCGTAGATCGCGTAGTCAATAACGGAGATAATATAGGGTTGGTGGTAGGCAGAGTAACGAACGAGGTTCTTGTGCGAGCGATGTAAAGGCGGGTGACTCAAGAACACGGGGAGATCTTTGATTTGTTTCACTTGATCTTTTCCTGCGATCGCCAGTGGATAAAATGGATGTTTTTTCTTTGTTATTGGCTATTGCCAAGGCAACCCGTCGCCAGATGCTGCACTGAGCCGCGCCGCACCGCACCGCTGCTGGATTCAAGACGAGATACTGTTCGAAGCTGCGTGCTGCTCTTGACTTAGAATGAAAGGAAGAGAACCAAACCTTTTAGCTTCCTGTTTCCTCCTCCAGCGTCACGACTTCTCAATTTTGCTTTGTTCTCACTTTGCGGCATGCGCACTCTCGACCAAATCACCTCACCTCACCTCACCTGTGCTGATTATGCGCAGACAGGGCGGATAGGAGTCCATGCAGTCTATTTAATCATTTGGCCTATGAATGTAGGATCATGGCAGTATCGCAAGCTGGATGCTGGACGCTTGAGATGGACATTCAAGCTTGGACAAACATTCGAGGTATGGAATTGTCTGACGAGGCGGACGGGAAGGCTTGCTGCGGATAGGCACGCTTCCCACTGGCTACCCTCTCCATTGGTGGAATACGTGGCCGATTTTGCGATAGGGCTTAAATTCACAAAATGTAAACATTTTTAATGAGAACGTAGAATAACTTCTTGATAAATCAGAACTAAAGTCTGATTAGAAACAACTTTGTAGTCGTGTGCAATGTTGGAGTTAGTATAGGACATTTTGGAGCGCGAAAATCGGCTAGGAATTTCACAGATGGAGAGCTACCCTTAGGCATATCTACCTAGGTATCTTATCAGACTCGATGTCTCCTCCATCACGTTTCTATTGTTCGCATCTCCAAATTGTACTCCCCAAGGGCATGCAGGGAGAAGAACCTCGGTGGCCCAAGATGATCAACGAAGACCCCAAACGCCAATATCATTCGCATTAGGTAAGATCAAAGTCGGTTCACGGCACCTTCGTCTTGAAGGTTGGCTTATTTCCGCACTCTCGCGGGGTATTTAAGTAGCGTGAAAAAGATATGTTCACTCGTCACTGTTTTCATTTCAGTCACTCATTTCACTGTTTTGGCGAAGAAGTACCTAGGTAGTTCGTGTCCATGTTACATTTCATATATCCTGCCATTTTCCCACATGTGCTTTCTTCAGATTGCCACGTTCTACGTTGTACGTCGTAACACCCTCTGAAAAGACATGAGATATGTCTGCTCGAACAGCAGAAGCAATAGTCCTCGAGCCAGATCCAGTCGATGAAAATACCCTCGTGGATGCCGAGGAACGGAATCGTTATGATACGGATCTTGGAATACAGCGCGCCGCAGTAGGCGGACACACCTTAATGGACACCGAGAAAAAAAGTTGCGATGAGAGTGAGTCTACACAACAGCCAGGACCCAAGCCAGATACCGCTCCTGATGGTGGCTATGGATGGGTCTGTGTTGGCTGTGTATTTCTCATAAATGCCCACACTTGGGGAGTGAATTCTGTAAGTGGAGAATCCTTGGTGATAAACATAGTCATCTTATACGCCATAGTCCTATGGCATATTTCTAGCCCACTATTTAGCAAGTACGTCAAAATCCTTCTTGGCATTAGAGACAGTTTGGGAGTCGAATTCTCGAGACACTCTTTCCTTAGATCCTTGATGTTCTTCAAGCCCGTATTGATTTGTCAATAGGTAACACGTTCCCTGGTGCAACTTCACTTGAGTATGCTTTCGTAGGAGGCCTCTCAATATCACTGGCATTGCTTATGTCTCCCGTGGCGACAATTTGCACTCGGAGATACGGAACACAGGTGACTTTGGCTATTGGCATTGCTTTCGAGACTGCAGGGCTATTGGGAGCGTCATGGGCCAACAAGATATGGCATCTTTTTCTTTCCCAGGGCGTGGCTTTCGGTTTCGGAATGGGCTGTACGTTGAAACCTGCCCCTATTATTTTTTCTTTCTCGGGAGTTACTTCTTCAAGAAGATGTGGCTCACCTGCTCGGATGAGCTCTTCGACTCCCAGATCTTTGTCAGAAGGGTATACTGATTTGTCAAAAGTCTTATTCGTAGCAAGTGTTGGTGTAGTACCACAGTGGTTCGACCGACGACGATCCTTCGCGAACAGTATAGCGACTGCTGGGTCTGGAATTGGAGGTTTGATTTACTCTCTGGGTACAAATGCCATGATCCAGTCAATCGGTTTGGGTTGGGCTTTCCGAGTGCTAGCAATAGTCGCTTTTACTGTCAACACAATCTGCACACTCTTGCTCAGGGATCGAAACAAGGCTATCGGCGCTGTACAGCTAGCTTTCGATGCACAACTCTTCAGGCGAACAGAATTTCTTCTGTTGCTGGGCTGGGGAACCTTTAGCATGCTTGGCTACATCGTTCTCCTATTCTCTCTTCCCAATTACGCCAGGAGCGTTGGGCTTTCGGCGTATGAAGCCTCTGTCATAGGCGCTATGCTGAATCTTGGGCAAGGCCTCGGAAGACCATTCATCGGATTCTTTAGCGATGCCTTTGGTCGTCTCAATATGGCTAGTAGTTGCACATTTCTTGCTGGCTTGTTCTGCCTCGTGATCTGGATATTCGCTAAGAGCTATGGGGTTCTCATATTCTTTGGCCTCATCACTGGTGGTGTGGCAGGGACGTAGGTGTCCTATGTTCCTCCCATCTATTGTCCAGCTGACGAATATCCTTAGATTCTGGGCCACTGTCGGACCCGTTGGGGCTGAAGTGATTGGACTTCGAGTCCTTCCTTCTGCCCTTTCCATCGTATGGATTGTCCTCGCAATACCCTGTACATTCTCCGAACCTATTGGCCTTGAGCTGAGGAGGACTACTGGGGATATCTACCTCCACGCTCAAATCTTTACAGGATTCATGTATGTTGCAGCGGCGATTTGCATGGGTCTACTCAGGGCCTGGAAGGTGCGCGAACTTCAGTCTATGGCTTTGAGCAAGGAACAGCGAGAGCAAGAGATTCTCGATGATGACGCTGTTGCCCGTCCTCGAGTACCAGCACATGCAACAGAAACTGTAGTCAAGCGCAAGGCCAAAGTTTCTATATGGTCCTGGCAACGTGTTTGAGATGGAATTTGTACCTGCCTCAATCATCTCAACCTCGCCAAGATGCAAATGCTCAACAAACAGACACCAGGCTACACGTTGCGCTTGTGAGACTCTCGAGGATGTGTGGCGGGTTCGTGGTGCAAGTCGTTGATTTGAAATCTTCATGCTCCTGTCGTTGCTTTTCCGCAAGTATGGACAATTGCTTTGTCGACGCCCAAACTCTATCGGCAATTATTAACCTGCTAGGATAGAGAGAGTGAGTGGTTTCCACAATGTAATTTGCTTCAAGGACGGTGCCCAGACAGACTTTGTACAAAGGTCTAAAGTCCGTTCGCAACTGAGTACTTTAAAGCATAACTAAGTTCTCTCCTTTCTAAGTCCAACTTAAACCATCGAGTGGCAAGAGTTAACATATGATCAGGTTGTGCACTGTATCCAATATCTTCGTGTTATGCCTCATAATGACGATTGTAGATCTAGAGGATCCAGAGAATCACACCTCATATAATAGCACGTACATTTGGAGATAGAGAAACCACAAGTACTCTTCATTTGGATATAAAACTCCCTATTACCACGTATTGCTTCTTGTAAAAACATCATGAACTTCGTAAAGACGTACAGCATCGTCGCTGCCAAGAAAGGTATCCACAGTTCCAACCAACACCATAGCCATGCATTTACACCAACATGTTCCTTATATTCATCCTTCCCAGATCCGTTAGATCATCTGCCCAGCTATTCCTATACCCAACCCAGCCATCATACCCGCCGTGGCAAAACACCCCATCGTTGGTCTCGCAGCTGCTCCTGTCGTCCCTACAATAAAACTCGTAACTGTCCCGGTCCCGAACGTGGCACAATTCGCAGGTACAATCCCATAACACCCCTCTTGATACAAGCTGCTGCAGATACTCGTTGCACTCGCTGAGCCCAGGTTCTGAGCTGTAGCTCCTACAGTGACGCCGCCCCCTGGCGCTACAATTGTGACTGGGAATCCAGAGCTACCTCCCTCCAGATCTGCTGTGCAAGCTGCGAGATTCGACTGGCAGTCCGAATATGCAGTCATACATGCCGCGCTGTTGATATAAGTAGTTGGTATATATGGCCATGGGAAGAAGGTATTCGAGACATAGGATAGTGAAGCAGCACTCGTAATTGTGGCGGTCGTTGCTGTACTCGTGGTCGTCGTTGCCGAGGATGTGCCAAACACTCCTCCTCCACCACCTCCACTTGTTGTCGTCGTCGCTGCTGTTTCTCGAGTAATTGAACCAGTACAGGTCGCCCCAGTTGGACAGCATGCTATATTCTTCGCATGATCCGTAGTGCAGAAAGTGCCTATTGTGCAGCAAGCTCCTGCATCTGCTGCTGCTAGAGTTGAGCAGGAATTGTAGTTGTCTGGACAGTTGCCATCTCGTTTTCGAAGATCGTCCAATTCATGCGGTATTAAGCTGACATTTGAGATAATGAGGGATTCTTCGAGATGTGGTTCGTAGAATGGCGCAAGTATCGACGGGATTTGGAGTGCTGATAAAGTGGGTAGGAGGAAGAGCGGAATGTAGGACCGCATTCTTGAGCAGCGAAATTCCTGGACCTTAGTAGTCAATAGTTTTCTTCGAGAAATTCAAATTCAAATCCAGAGAGGGACTCGACCAAAATTGGGAGGGAATGGCTTTCGTTCGCTCAATTGGCATGAAAGGCAAGATTCCGGAAATCTGGATTGGTTGCTATGCGCAACCGGGTCACTTCATTCGATATTACTACAATTTTACTTGCCCCACGTGGGCGCGACCTTTCGACACTTGAAAAACAATTACAATCATTCATGAAATAGTTGCTGCCATTCTTACTATGATACATTTTGGTGTCCCTGCTCTATTTATGTAATCACCAGCCTCCAAGGCCTCGATGTTCAAAGCACATGCAGAAGCCAAATTTTGAAATCCCATAGTCGGACCATGCATGTAGTCTTGTTTTTCAGTAGTGCATTACGCCTAAGTGGCAATGTATGCGAGGACTTTTAGAAAGCAGAACCGAGGGCTATGCCAGAATATGAACAGTAAAGCAAACAAGAATGCGAGAAAGCTCATACCATTGCCCGTGAGAGGAGGAGCAAGGGGCAATGACGCCGTAGAAATCTCCAGGCTTCTATGACCTCCTAACAAACGCCGTGTGGATACCATCAACAAAACTCGTAAATACAATCAATCAATCAGTGTCAAGTGCCCAATCCAAGGACCTGCCTAACGGCAAGACATGTGAGTCGGGACTGGTAATACCAAAACTGTAGAAGTCCAGTCATTGACTGAGCTGGATAAATCTCCATGGCCATGTGCTGTAAACAATGGCAACTATGTTGTTCATGTTGGAAATTTCGAGGTGGGAGAGTAGTCATTGTAATGCTGCAAAGCACCTATGCGACTCATGGACTGTCGGATTTCGGACGTGGTGGTGCTCGATCGAGATCCTCTCTCAAATTAACATCAACTAGGTCGCCGATCTGCTTTCTGCTCTTAATATCGAGAGCACCATCTCGCCAAGCGATTCGAAGTCTTTCGAAGGCCGGACGTTCTCCCGTAGGGTCTTCCTGCTGGACTAATTCGATGTAATGACGAGCTAAGACCTCAGGAATAACCTTCTTCTTGCTATTGAGAATTTCGGCGTAGTATGAGATCAGATTCTTCTTTCCGGCCATTGCATTGTTTTGGGCGTCCTGGAGCGCATACTCGCGAAATTCGGTATACATTTGTGCATTGAAATTTCCGCAGAGAAAGTGCGACCAGAACTCATACAGCAGGTTCATATCAGGGTGTGTCTCACCCGGCATAGACGCGTCTCGATACTTCAATGTCCGAGCCCGGAAGGTAGTATACAGCTCCTCGGAATTGTGCTCAGAAAGTATTGCTTGTTCACCTTCGCCTTTAGCCCACATGACTGTCGGGCCATTGCTAGGAGACTTGGTTGGGGAGAGCGGGGAATAGGGGCTTCTAGACCGACGGAAAGCATCAGGAGAACTAAGACGTATTAGCTTTCTATCAAAAGTAAGGATTTGGAAGTTGTCTATACCTCTCAGTTGTGTGTACCCCATTGGCCAACGGTCGACCTTGACGAGTTTCGTCATGAAGCTCTTCTGCTATACTCCTCCCGTCAATGGAACCGTTTGAGAACGTCCTCGAAGATGCATTGTGAAATGGCAATTTTGGCTTTGGGTCATCGCTGTTCTTGGGAGCTGCAAATACCAGAGTCAGATTTGCAACTTCTTCGTCATGAAAAGTTGTCTCCGCTTCCAATTGATCGACATTGCTATTCACTGGATATGGGCTTGGCGAGAACTCCGCAACAGCCGCTGAAAGTGGCGTCTCAGGGTGGAAAGCGCCATTACCATTCACGATAGGAGGAGCCTGGATGCCATTGGCATACGGTGGGAAATTCGGAGCTGTACCATTTGGCGAGAATGTCATCGGCGACATAGAGTGATGGCCGGGAATCATCATTTGACCCATTTGGTGAAATTTTGCTGTTGGATGCGAGCGCAGATGTTGTGCCGGCCCAGCATTTCTTACACTCTCGTCCCTATCTTCCATGGCCATGATCCATTTCTCCCATCCCTCTGCTCTTCGTAGACGGTCTTTGCCATCTTCACCTTGGATAACATCAATGATCTCAGACTCCTGGCACGCATATCGCAGAAGCTCAAAATTTGTTGTCAGTGCTTTGATGCGCTTGAAGCCAGCAATGAAAGACAAGAACACAAATCCTTGAGAGTCCATGTGCTTCCGAAGATAGACATCCTTGCAAAGATTATCGATTGAGAAGTAGTATTCCAGCTGCATGGTGACGAGTTGCACCAGAGAAGCTTCGTCGACGTAAGAATTATACGGCACAGCGCTGAGTGACTGGAGGTGTTGGTAGTCGAACATGGGATTGGAGGTTTGTATAGGCGCCATGTGCTGCGATAGGGGGCCGCCGTTTGGAGCAAAGCGTCCGTACATGGCATTGTTGGGTATCGATTGTGACCGTGAGCCACCACGACCTCTTGCAGTTGGCACATATTGAGTGCTGAAGGGAGGCTGTTGGAGCGGAGGGCTATAAGGTGCAGGGGTCTGCTGGCTGGAATAGCCATTTGGTGGTTGTGGCCTATGCCCATTTGGTGTAAATGTATGTTGAGTGTGGCCATTGGGGAAATTTCCATGACCACCCCTACCCCGGGATCCGCCTCGACCTCGGTCGGACCGCCCATCGGACCTATCTTGGGATTGGTGACTACTGTCTTTGGTCATGTTTCCTCCTTCTCTAAACGGGTCCATTCCTCTCATGTTCGTTTCACTTCTACGAGCATTGCGGGACAAAGAGTCGGGATAAACGCCTTGAGGTGGCTCCTGTTTCGAAGTCCTAGCTCCTTCGTTGTAAAGGGACTTTTGTTCTTGAGAAATATCCAGAGGCAGGTCCGATTGCGAGATACTGGAAGATCGACCTTCAGCTACAGTGCTCGACTCATTCCTAGAGGCATTGGCTCTTGACTTCTCAGCAGATTGTCCAATTGTTGGTTTGCGTGTGCTGCTTTGGTCGGTTGGTGGCTGTCTCTTTTGTGGAGGTAAAGACGTTGCTCGAGTTGTGCTACTAGATTGTGGCTCGCTTTCCATGACAGAGGTCACGTCATCCGTAGGGTTGTGCACCTTCTCTCCTGAGGATGGGCCAGTCGTTGGGTCTCTTGAACGCCCACCTTCTGTTCGTCCTCCACGAGCGCCTCCACGTCCCCTACCACCTCTTGGTGGGATGGGCGTGTTAAAGCTAACAGTGGGAACAAACGGTACTGGAACCCACTTTTGCCGAGATTTGTTTTGATTGCCGTCGTCCTTTTCTTCTTTCTCAACTTTCTCCTGTGGTTTACGCTTCTCTTCTTCCAGTGCTGTATCTGGAGTTGGCCAGGAAATTGCGTCATGAACAGGAGGAGGCAATTGACTGGACTTATCCTCTTTCTCAACAGATCTGCTGCCCCGCGGGCCCGGTCTCTTACTGGCTTGGTCTTCTTTCGCCTTGCCGGTCCCTTCAGCCCCTTTCTTCTGACCTTTACTGACATGCAAGCCGTCCTTTACTCCATTCTGAAGAGTTGTTGTGCTTTTGTCCACGTCTTCCGAGCTGCCCACTTTGCCGCGCTTCTTGACATCGGTAGACTTGGTAAGCTGTGCGGAAGGAAGCTCACTCCTGGATGCATCTGGGGACTGTTGTGAACTCTGCCCAATTGCTGGTACTGGCTTTGCCTTGGCAAGCTCTTCCTTTCGCTGCTGCCAGAAATTGACTGCTGGTAACGGGGCAGGGACCAGTACTTCCGGCTTGACCTCTTCCTTTTCCTTCTCCTTGTCTGTCTCCTTCTCAACATTCTTTTGCTTCTTGCCTTTCTTTCCTCTTCGTCCTTCACCTTGCTCACCAGACTTTTCTACCGATGAACCTCCTCCTCCTCCAATTTGTGTGTTTCGGTCTCGACCCGGTTCTGTCGTTCCGACCAAAGTGAAATCATCGTTGTCTTTCTCCTCTTTAGGTAGCGTAGCGGTCGAAGCTGTACCAAAGCTAGGCGACGCGGGCGTCGAAACAGACTTTGCTGATGTGGAAGTCTTGACAGCTTGATTTGGAAGTTCTCCAGCTGGGTGTTCTGGCTTGGTGGGTATATCGAGGCTTCCATTCACACTCCTGTCGCCCCGTTCAGACCCTGCCGAAGGTGTATTGATGACAGAATTTGAGTCTTTGGCGGGTGTGCTGACGCCCGATGCGCCAGATTGATGTGACTGTATCGCCGAAGCTGTAGTTGAGGTTGCACGGCCCTTGGCAGCTTGAGCGTAGGAGAAGACTGGCGGAGCAGGTGACGACTCTCCATTCGGTCTCAACTGTGAGGTGCTCATTGTGAAAGACCTTTGGATTATAGGCAATTGATTCGTCCTGGACTCCTGAATAGCGCGAGTTCCGGTCGAAATCAAATACCAAGGTGGCAGCCTGGAAAGTGATATAAATCACTCCAGATTCTGTGTGTCCGGAGAGGTTTATTCGACCTCCCCGCACCTGGTACCCACTGTACAAATATCACTGGCAAGAAGCCCGCCGTGAATGTTCTTGTGAAACCAAAGATCGATGTTTGGACTAAGAATTGGCTCTGTCCGTTTGTAGGTGCGTTTGTCCGGGGTTTCAAGAACAGAGTCGCGCAAAATTGGAGAATTCGAGATGTCAGAAAGACGATGGATATAAGACCAATACTCGTTGATGCCTTGTCGTTGACTGAGCTATCAGCTCGCGTAGAAAAGGAAAGGTGTGGTTTGTTTGATGACACAGATGGTGCTGGCTCAACCACGATGTGTGCGGTTACTATATTGAAGTCGAATGTCAGTTGATGGATCCAACGTGATGGGACTTAAAGGTGAGCGTAAAGGACACTGAACCCGTAGGTGGGGAGGGAAATGGAGAGCATGTCTTGCGCGAATATGCGGCACAGATGATGAAGCTGGAATGATGGATGGAACAGTCAACAAACCTCAAAGAGTCGAAATACGCGTGAAGAGGTCGTCGCAGATCGATTCGTGATATCGACTTCTGTTGGAGAGTTCAGCAATCGAGTTGACGCCTGCTTCTGCCGTTTGACAGTGTACCACTGCTGTCTGGAGTGTGTGGCACGTTCTGGTCGCAGAAAGAAATTTCGAAAACTGGAATGCAGACGGGTCCGTGAATCCGAACGTCCAACCGCGTCCAGATGATTCGGAAGGAGTTGCGGTTGATGCTCGTGGAAAGCTCGAGGAAAAGTATTTTCTGAAAGTAGGGCTTCGAAGTGCCTTAAAATTTGTTCCCAAAAAAGCCGACAGGCTTCGGTAAAGATCCGGCACAACGCGATAGATAGCAATCTAGCTATGAAAGAATCTACTGCGACCTCACCACCGGAAGCGTTCTCACTCGTGCATACATACTACGTGCAATTTCTTGACTATATTCTATTCTTTTGACTAGATGACCTGGACTCAATGGGATATTTCAGGCTCCGGTTATATGTTCCTGATACTTTGACCCTTTCTCTCCCTCGACCGGAACGCGGAAGAGCGCCCGCTCACCCTCTAGCACTAAGACTGTCTCGAAGGCTTCAATGAATCTGGACATGAAAAACAAATTCAGACGTAAACAACTTTTAAAGGGGAACGTGAAGATTTAACATAACATGTGACCCATCTTTCATTCCATGGCTAATTCGCCTTTGTGGATGGCCGTGGTTGTTACATATGGATGTTGCTCGTTCTCATTTCATTTACCCCTCCAAGCCCAATCCTCGAACAGCCGAGCTTGCATGTCACTTTGCGAAGAACAAGAAATGGCTCTTGAGCGTCTCTCTACATCTCTTTACACCTCTTTCTTTGAATGCCTGCAAGCATAGAGTTAGAAAGCGTTTCCTAAGTGCGCGTAGCGTATTAGGAGGATTATAGATATGCGTTCTTGAACATGCCCGCACTTGGTCATAGGTGGTTGCTCACGCTTGCTCATATCGTGGACTGATGTTATCACCTCTGTAGACTTGCGATGAGTACTATAAAGGATTTAGATCATATTTATTTAGTGCCGGTTCTTGTCTTGTACGCCGCCAGGAAGGATTTTTGTCTGTGAATTGTATTGAGGTCATGTTGTTGTCAAATTCAAAGCTTTTTTGCTCGTTCAGTGTACCACAGCACACCCTTACCCTGGACTCTGTTAATTTCCCAGTATATCGAGGCTCATAAGATATATCGGCCATATGTATTCACGATTTGGTTGAATGCCACACACTTGGCAACTGAGCAAAGACACTGGTAGATAAAAACAACCAATTCCTCGTTGGGACGTTGATCTTCTACTAAAACGTGGGAGCAAGTTGGTTTGTTCCAGGAAGCGGGAAGAATACTAATCATACCGACTGTATTTCCTTGTGACAAAGCCTTGAGTATCAAGTACATTCATTAGAGGACATGGAGAATTTTTCATAACTTAACATGCAATCATGAAAAGGGTTCGAAGGGTCATCAATGGCAATCACAACGGATGTCACTTGATAGCTATGCGAAACCCAGGACTTGCTGATGTTACACTTTTCTTTGGTGACATTGTACAAAAGATCTGTGCTTTAGAGAAGGTGGCGTATGCTACGCTCAACCGGTCATCCACGCAGCAGCACGCTGAGCCCCAAAGCTTGTGGCGAGTCGCAATCTGAAAGAAAGTCAGTAAAGGTTCTGGTGAAGGATACATACAATCAAAGGCGTATAGGCTGGAGGTACAAGGGTCCCGATTGATAATGAATGGATCTCTTACCCACTGGATCCCATTGGGAAATAACTGACCAAGTACCAGATCAAGCATGCTAATTGTATCAGAGCCGAGACCAGAGTTAGTATTGTATTTTCAAGCTGCAGAAACCGCCATTAGCAAGCTGAACTTCCCCGCATCGTGGTAGCACGTACCCCAAGGCTGAAATACAGAGTAAGGCCAATAGAGCCAAAATATGTTGCTGTGAAGGGTAATCGTGGTGTTGATATCAAGTGTTGAAAATAATTCCAAGGACCCATCATCGCCGCCCAACTTGCAAGGAATAAGGCAGAACCTAAGGACCACCTAGTGTGTCACGAGAACTAGTCAGTGTTTGTAGATCAAGGAAGATCATGATTCATGATGGAGATAAGACATATTCTCTGTGTACAAATGCAGAGAGGTGTGGTTGAAAGAAGGCTGCCACTAGCAAGCTTTAATATACGTTGGACGGCTACCTGCAGCGGGAGACCCTTGCTGAGAGGCTGACTCCGAAGGCAACTGGAGACCCAGTGCAGAGCATAGCTTGTTATGAGCCAGGAATGGCTAGACTTACAAGATCGCAAACTTGCGCGGCTTCGCCATCATTATTGGCCATAAGGCAAAGCACAGGACGAAACATGCGAGTGCTCCAATATTGCAGCCACCAAATATCAGAAGCCGGTCCCACCTCGAAACTATGCAAACATTTGTTAGCCCTCTCGGCGCTTCTCCAGAGTAATATGAACCAGATGCAGCCACCGCCGCTGCAGGTCGCACATGGTCCGCGAGGTTGGCTGACGCAGGGGAAGTGGAACGTGGAGGAGATGAAAGATAGAAAATTCAACTCACGAGCGAACCAGCCCTCCTCTTCCTCGCGGCGGTTTCTGGCCGGAAGCGGTGCTCCTGGGCCTTCAGTTGTTGGGAGTCTGACATAGTCACTGTCTCCAAACGGATTCAATGATTTCAGAGAGGACAAAAGTCCGGTCTGCTGAGCAGTGTTTACGGGCACATCCGGGCTCCGGCGAGACCAGCCCAAGGAGTTCATAGAGTCTCTGAATGAAGAGGACGCCATTGGTAGATGGGTGGGAGTTGTAGATCGATGGTGGTTAGTATTAAGGTCGTTGTTACAGTGGCAGTCGAGCCGTCGTAGAGATTGTGGAGGCAGATACCAAGGGCAAACCTGGGGGATCGTCTCCACCAGCAGATAGGTCGCAGTCTAAGATTGCACTTGGGTGTCTCGATCAACAGAGGCTACTATTTCGGTGGTACTGCGGGTGTTGGCTGCAAGTATGTTGTGCGTTGAAATGATCCAGGTGGAAAGACAGCGACTGGTTCGAAGCGGAGGGGTCTTGAAGGGTGTCCAATGACCACGATAGACAACTAGGGTTGGAACTCAAATGCCTGGTCCCGACTTCAAGGTCTGCCTCGTGATCAAGAGGGTCCTTCGGGTGGAATCTTCACTATTCGAAGGGGTGTGGAGGATTCGCAGATGGTTATTGGTCGGGAGGTTGATGGGAAATCTGGGTATCTGTGAACGAGAGCGTAACGGCAGATGTGCCAAAACTCGAGTTATGTAGAGAGGTGGGAGGGGGGCAGGTAGGCAGGCAGCGAAAAGCCAAGTTGCTCTGGGACGAGTGTCGTTGAGGGTGTGCGACGACGTAGAATTGGTGATTTAGGTTGTCAATGTCCAAAATCCAGACGTGACTTTCAACAGGTGTGGTTGTCAGATGAAAAGCGCGCTTGTCCTGATACGGCCACACACCTCCCTTCATGATAGAGCAACACCAGACCATCTCACATCGAAACTTCCCGCGCGATGAGCATCCAGCTCGAATAGGTCTACTTCGAAGTCAAGCTGCGTCTCTTGGGCCACTCACCTCGTGTCTCTTCCCCGACTCGACGTGCAGTTTGATATTCGCCCCCCACCAGGTGTGCGTATGGAATGCCCCGTCTAATGGTCGAATGACCATCGAACGGGGCTGGACGAGCATGGCGGCTTCGTGATCAGCACCTGGATGCGCCACACCTCCTCCCAGAAATCGAAAAGTTTGCACGGTACGGCCCTTGAGTACCGTTACTACCGACGCAGTACCGTAGACCCTAGGCGACGAAGTCTACGAGACTGGTCCAGGGTGAAACATCGAGCATCTTCCCCCAAGAGTGAGACATCATAGCCACGAAAAAGAGCAGGCTGACTCCACCCTCGCTGATAGGCAGCCATCTTTCCGAGCGTGAGCCCAGTCCAGTGAGCAAGCAGCCGGAGTCCGGATTAGTAGCAGCCACCTCTGAGCTACTCGTCGTCCAATCACTTCTGCCAGTGTAGCGGTTGCTCCAAGCTTTGGACGTTAGACTTCGACCCCCCCTTCATCTCTAGGCCTCACACTTTTAGACTTGTTAGGGAAATCAAAAGGTGAGACCTCATGGCCTGCTTGCGGTCTGAAATAGGAGAGATCCAGGTCAAGAGCAGTAATCAGGAGGATCGTGGCTGACCGGGCAGGGCGGCGGAGATCTGAAAGGACATAAAAAGCTTGCTCGCGCATTCTTAGTTGAAAAAAATGATCCTCCACATCTATCAAACTCCTATCATCTGAGATTGCCGTCTGCTGTGCTCCCACACCTAAGAGAGCCTCATTCACGTTACTGTTCCTGATCTCATACCTATCTTATTCCTTTCACAAGTCCATCTGAGCCATTCTTACACCTACGCTCTTCTCCATCGCAGACAAGATCTCAATTTAGAATATAAGTGTCGTCAAAAGAGCCAGCCAACAGATACACGTCAACAGATCTGTCGTTCCAGTCAGAGTCTTCTTGGTCTCGAATATAAACACCACATACAGATACACTTCATACTAGGGTCATCATATATTCGGCGTCGTCACCATATTTCTACCTCGACGAATAGGCAGCTCGACATTTAGACATACAGCTTTCCCATTCACGAAACAAACCACATCCACATCTGGAAGAATAAAGTGCATAATAGCAACTTCTCCATCCGATTCCGAGTGTCCCCTGGACCACTAACCAACGACCTTGGTTCCGAGAAAGACACGCTCATCAAGCAACACGCAAGAAACTTGTCGGGTCTTGGCCTTAGAACGTATCTCTGTTGAAAGGACTCGTCATCTTGATCGGTACAATACCAGAAGGTAACACTCGAAGCAAATATACAACGGCCGAATCCAGCCATCCGGCCAAGAGCTCTACCAGAGCCCATTTCGTCGCACAGACCTATTCTGGCAGCATCTATTGTATTTTCTGGCCCCCTGGCGCAGATAGATTAAACAGATTACCAGGTATACTTGGACATTGCCCCAATCAGGCCCAGACCGAGGAAGGGCAACCAGCAGGCCGTCGTACCCGCCGCCTAAAGCCAGAGACGACAGATCAAGAACTGGTCCATCGCATCCAGCGCTCGAAATATTGATTACGAGAGAAGCACTTTATTTCCTTCCACGCCCTGGGCCTCTTCTCCGCTTTTGGGCGCTTCGATTTAATCAAGGGTATCTTGAAATAAACTCGGAGAATAGCTAGGTAGGTAGCATCCTTCCTGGCGCGGATCACGATACGAGAGCCAGTTGTGGGGTAAAAGGAGCTCCAGAGTCCCATCGAGTCGAGTCGAGTTGAGTTGCGTGTGGTGCCGTGCCGTGCAGAGAGCTGTGCAGCATCCGTATTCCGTCCAGTATCTGGGAGAGCCAACTCTCGAGCTTGGTCGTGTAGCGCGGCGTCCGATATTATTATTATTATAAGATCTTTCCGAGGGGCAGAGTGTCTTGGAAGTACCCTGCCGCAACGACGACTAGACGCGGTACTTGTTTCTTGACGGTCGGCTAGCTCCGTGGACGTGGGAGGAAGGCGAGAACCACCACCACCACCACCAACCGAGTCAGAGTGAGAGTAAAGTGCAGTGCGCGAGAGCGAGAGCAACTCCCTCTCCAATCCCACGTCGCAACGAACCAGACCCCCCGATTCGATCCTCACCCTCACCTTCATCTATCTATCCCACCGCTGCTCGCCCCTTCACATCAGCTCCCTGTCGACGGCTTGCGTCCGAAATTCCACGCTCGCCAAAAGCGCCCAGTGCGGTCGGTACAGTTCAGTTCAAATTCAGTACAGCAGCAGCACAGTACCGCCGTACAGCTCCATCCCGTTTCTCGACCTCTCATCTCCATCAAGAATCCTCTCCATCTTCTGGTCGTACCAAATCCTGGGCCATCCATCTCCACACCTCTTCTTGTCCCGCAATCCCATCATCATTGTGCGACCCTCGGTCAGCGCAAGCCGGGCCAAACCGCAGACAATCCTCACCGTCCCTTCGACCGCCTATCTGAGGCTGCAGCACCACATCGTGAAGCCGCTGCTGGGCATACCGCTCTTCATTCTCAACGACGGACTATCCCTCCTTCTTCGCGCATTCTACTTGGTAAGTCTTCTATTTCATTAGTGTTGGGGTGATGATCAATGCCTCTATTGCCGAACATCCTGTCAGACCCGTCGTTCTTTGCCTCACAGCGCTAATTGAGGTTGACAGGACCCCTCTGCTAAAGCATTCGGAAGGAATCGCCTTTGTCGGCCAAGACAGGCAGTGCTCGCAGCATACGGTCTGATACGAGTCACCCAACACGTCTACAAGTCTACATTACTCAAGTGTGTTGCGTTCCTGTATTGAAGGGAAGAATAGCTACCTTGATCTCCCAGTATCGCAACAATAGAGGCCGATGTAAGTGCGCATTTCTTTGCAGTCCTGCATGTGTATTGAGCAGACACTTGACGCCCGAGGGTTCCGTGAAAGACATCAATTCAGCAATGACGGAATGTTCTACGACAAATATCAGGTTCTGTCCTATGTCGCCCACGGCGTTGGTTCGCCGCTATTAGCATCAATTTTTTTTTCTTGCTTGCTTTTTCTTCTCGACAACACTTTCAAATGAGAGCAAAGGCTAATGTTTGTCACGCAATCCAGTTATCGACAATTCATCTCTAAAGATCTTGGGGCAAACTCAGTATCATCGCGTACTGGCGACATAAAATCTTCATATCGTTCTGGTCAAGACAGAAGATGGCTGGTACGGGTGCGTCTAGCCCATACATCAAAGACGAACCAGAAGAATTCTTCTTCCACAATAATCAACGGTACATGGGAGGAGGTAACCAACAGAGTCCAAGCATGTCTCAGCAACATCATCAATTCGGCGGTGCCCACGGAGGCAGCATAAACCCTAGTGATCTCATGGGCGGAAGTGGAGTAGCCATACCGAATACTGGCTATGGCTTTGGGAACCAGAACAATTACAACAATCAGGCTTCGGGTGCCAGCGCGAGCTTTACAAGGGGCATTGCATCGTTTGATGACGATGAACTACTTGATAGCCTTGGGACGAACCAAATGTCTTCGAATCAGCCAGGGATGCAGGGCAACGGTCAAGATTTTGGCGGCATGGATTATGATATTCATTCGAACTTCTACAATAATGGAACTCCCGCCCTATCCGTCGATCCGAATCACATAAATGGATACTCAAACACACCTGATGGAGACCCCATCCAGAGTCCTTACGTGCACAACTTCAGCAACCAGGCCTTTCGACATGTGCAACCTCAACACCAGTTTGGCTCAATACACTCCCCTGGACAATATGCTGGCTCTCCAATATCCGGCTCGGACATGCTTAATGGATCAGCGGACGCAAATAACTTGATGAAGCCACGACGCCCACTAGGCCTCGGTCCGCGGAAAAGTTCCAGTACCAGGAGCCCTCTGACTCCAAAAACTCCTGCCATTTCATCGCTCAACATTGGCTCAGCAGAAAACAGCTTCCCAACACAACCTATTAGAACTCATTCCTCACATAGGCATCAAAAGACTCTCTCTGGGCAGTGGGAACAGACGCCAAGCAGCCTCACGTCGTTTCCAGGCTCAGACTTCTCCCCTATTCAGGGCGTTCACCCGAGCGCGCAGATATCAGAGATGTTGAAAGGCACCTCTATGCCTACCAAGTTGAACAATGGTCACCAAGCTGGCAGTGCTCCGGCGCTTCAATCTCAAGAGATGAAGAGAAGACGACGTCGAGAGTCACATAACCTCGTCGAGCGCCGGAGAAGAGACAATATCAATGAACGCATCCAGGAGTTAAGTCACCTCGTCCCAATGCATCGGCTCGAGGATGAGAAGGTTCGCAAAGCTCTTCAGAATAATTCACCGTTGTCACCCACCTTGGCTGGACTTTCAGCGCCACCTACCGGCATGAGCCCTCCACAAGCTACCTCTGGTCTTGCCGGACCAGGCGCGCGCAGAGCGACTGCGGGTAACATTACCACTGGAATCCCCATTGAGGAGAAGGACAAAGGTCCGAACAAGGGTGATATCCTCAATGGTGCTGTGAGCTGGACTCGCGACCTTATGTGGATGCTTCATCTCAAGCTTCAACAACAGGAGGATCTTGCACAAATGATCCACGATCTTGGTGGCACATTCCCGTTCGAAGAGACCGAGGATGAAAGACGAATGCATACCGAGCTTATGGATGCGATGTTGAAGAATGATGGAACGAAATTCCATTACTCTCGTGCTCCAGGAAGCGGCTTGCGTGTTCCGAAGCACACTGATGTCCGAGGAGATGCTGTCAATCCTTCAGCTCAAGTTGGCCAGCTTGACACTTCCTTGAGTCCGGACAATCACAGCACCGGCGATGCTGGACAAGCTGGAATGGGAGGCGCTGGCCAATACTGGAGTGGCCATAACAGCGGAGGAAGCGGACCCGGTTCGATCAGCTTTAAGGAAGAGGATGAATATGGAATGGATCTCACCCAGTGAGGTCTGAGGTGATTGCTGGGTATTTTCTGCGTTGGATGGGTTACGATTTCATACATGAGGGTCGGTAACATATCGCACTTGCTTTCTCATATTTTCTTGTCCCCCTTTTTCGGTTTTATTACCCTGGGCGTCTTGCATTTGGAGGTAGTTCTGGAGCTTTCAATACGGATGGGCTTGGCGTTGCTGAATGGTGCTCGCAGAATACGAGTTTGGCATGGGATATTTGGGCTGTTACCAGGTTGCTTTTTATTCGCTGTGGTTACAGCTTCGTATGTTTTTTCCCTGGAATTAGTATTTATTGTTTTGATTGGCATCGGTTGCCCTATGATACCTTCGCATCCAGTCCCACTGCCTAAGGCGAGCTACTAGTATATGCGGCTCTGCCTTATGCAGATGCCTAATTGATTATGAATTATATTCGATGAACCCTACTCTCAGTATCATTCCCGCACTCCTCAGGCCCCGTGCAATCCAAGAAGGATTCTCGCCACCTTGCGTTCTTATGTACGCACTATTGAATCTTCTGAGACAGTTCGTTATTCTCACCACTTCTACGGAAACACTCACTAGGTGGTGGCTATGATCGGAATCTCAGAACCCGGGTCCCAAATACCAGAATTCGATGTGACTTCGTGGATATTCTATTCATAGCAGGTGTGGGTGAGGACGAGTCGGTGACATCATGTTTCAGTCTGCATTCCTCAAACTCACGTCAGGCCCATTCTACCAAGATAAGACACTGAGTCATACTTGGTCCCTTAGTGTATTTGTTCCCTTGCAGATGACGGCGACGGATGATTCGTGAAAGGTTGGCACGTGAAGGAGGCTCGGTCAAAGGTGTGCCTCCTGACTCTCGGTTAGGCAGGGGGTGGAAGTGCGTGGGGGTGTTATGATATTATGTCTAAATAACTAGAGGTGAACTACCTCTAGACAATCCTTTTTTGAGTAGTTGGCAATTAGGCCTAGCTATTGCGAGGCGAAGGGGAAGGAAGGAAAGGGCGCACTAGGGCATAACGAAGGATGTTGGACTTCTACTTCCATCTGGTTGCAAAGAGTCACCGAAAGGAGTTGACGGGAGGGCAAACTGTATTCTATGGACAAATCTACCTGGGTATCTCTGAAAACAACCTGATAACGCCACGAAGAGTCACTGTGTTCTGAAAAGCCCGCTTCCTGCGTAAAATCGTGGCAAGTCCTCAAGAGCATAGGTAGTGAACCATAAACGGTCCTACCTCAACAAACACAGCGCTCTGATCTCACCAATGCTTACAAATCAATATATGCTCCTGGTAGTGCATCAAAATGCCCCAAGTTTCCTTGCGCTTCATGTTTTCACGAAGTGCAATTGTCTCCAGAGCCTCGTTGCCATTGAAGTATTTCACAAATTTTTGCCAGCAGTCCTTGGCCTTCGGATCCAGAATGCGCTTTCCGATAGCAGCGATGTACAGAGACTCCTCATGTGAAACCCTGTGAGGGTCCTTGATGATATACGGGGCAATGCTCTTGAGGTGCTCAGCCTGGTTCTTGGAAATATGTTCCGTGGCGACAGGGACAGGCATCTTCGCGAAAGTAGCAGCCTCCTCAGCAGCCTGCTTGGCAGCTTTGTCGGCAAGTCTGCCTAGACGAGCGTTTTCGGCGACCTGTTCAGTCGTCAAAGCTGTGATCTGGTCATTATCACTGTTCTTGTCGGGACCAGACTCATCGGTCGATTCTGGTGACTCGCTCGATCCGCTGTGAGACTTGGTACCCTTCTTTGACTTTTCGATGGCTTCAGCCTTCAGTTCATAATCAACCTCGTAGATGATTTCCGGCCAAACCAAGATCCACGCAAATGTGCGTAGTTGCGTGACCCAACCGCCCCGAATAAGCCAGGCAAGCATTTCGAGATATGTAGGGCGATGGTTCTTGCTCGGTGCGAAGGATTTGTATGGGCGAGGAGCGGCTGATAGCATGGCCAAGAAGCTAGGAAGAGAAGGTGCAAGAGGAAATGCTTTCTTCCATGCGACGCTTGCGGCGGGGAGCTTTCGACTATCGCAGTTGGGAGACACGATGTACATCTCGCGGGAGTGCAGTGGTGGGATGGCAATAGCTCGGCGCCAGTGGATTAAGTGTTGGGCCAAGATCAGCAAGCTTCCAAGCTCAATGTTGTTGGCTTGAGCGACCTGCAGGAAGGATTGAGCTGGCTTGCATAGTCGAATGCATTCCAGGAGCGGTGCTGATATATCGGTATCGTCTGCCTGGATTTCTGCAATGATCTTACTCTCGTCATTGAGGAGAAGTAAGGCAAAGTGCTTGTTCAAGACTTCTTGCTCTTCACTTCCTTCATCGTTGACCAAAGGGTTGGCTGTTGTGACAATCAAACCAGGCATAGCTCGCTCAGTCGGTGTAGGGAGTCGTGTGAGGAAGGATGGGACTGGAATCTGAAGTGACAAATCCAATGGCGGAGTTGTGTTCAGTTGAATAGTGGCGATCTTGTTGTTCGAAACAGCAATGAAGACATCTCGAATTGAACTGGCCAACGTCGATCGGACAAGTATTTCGCTCCACAACCAGCTCATGGGTCGTCCTTGATACATGATTAGTGGCTGCCCTTAGATGGCACCTGTGGAACTTACTTTCTTCTCTTGCCTTTTCCTTCATTCCAAGAATCATCTCCGACTCCTTCCACACATAATTGGAAGAAGCTTGGGCATGGTTCAAAGCCTTGTGAAAGCTTTTGATCACATGTTGATAGATTTCCGTAATCCTCTCATCCGCTTCATGCTTCGGAAGGCTGAGTACAAAGACAACATTGAACATTGTCATGCCTCCATGATCGTCACCATCTTCGGAATTATTGTCAGCAGCTTTGCCGGCTCCTTCCTGGACCGTGGTACCATCGCCACCCTTGCTTCCCTCGGACGGAGCTGAAGAGTTCTGTTTCTTGGCCTTCTTTGGCTTCTTCTTCTTCCATGATCCATCCTCGCGGATATGGATTGGGTATGTTACGAAGTGAAGAGGATCCAAGGACAACTCGAATTTCTTCTTGTGATAGGCTCTTGCCGGGGTCAGGATGCTTCGGAGATCGGCAGTTGTGAAGTTGAACAAGGTCTCCCAAGGAACCACCTGCTCACCACTCGCGTCGTCGTAGTGGTCATCTCCTTCGAGGACCTCCACGTGATCAGTCTTCTTTCCTTCAGGTTTATCATTGAGATCGAGTTTGCCAAGCCCCTTGCCTGCCATGAAACGCGATTCCTCAAGATCAGAATCGTCCAATTCATCTCGTTGTTCGTTCTCATCCTCCGAATCACTCTCGTCCAGCTCTGTTCCGTACAGCTTCTCGCAGCGGGAGGTCTTTGTCGTCGGACGTGGAGGGTAATGGAATACGAAGCGGGGACCATCTTTCGATCTGATGACCAGCGCAATGGCCAAGAGACCTGAGTCATTGATTGCTCCAGCTGAAGCCATGGTTTTGGAAGTAATTGTGGGCGCCGCGAGATTTCCTCGAAATGGAAACTCGGTCTGCTCCCAGATCTGTTTGTATTTCTCCATGATAGTGGGGTCAAGGTCGCTAAGAGCGGCCGCACAGCAAAACGTCCGTGCGTCGTAGCGAAGGCCTCTATTTTTTGACGTCCTGAGGGATGATGGCTTGGAGAACGATGTTTGTCTCAATGAAGAAGAGGAAGTTAGATGTGGATGGATTGAATATAAGTGCTCTTTTCGGATTTTTTCCCCAGCTAAGCGTGAGCTAGAGCTTGCGGGGGACAGAATCCTAACGCGGTTTAGCACCTTTTGTCTTGCTCGTGTGGGGGTGAGACATTCACAAGAATGCGCCCTCTCATATCGTAAAATCTCCTTGTCCGCAGATGGATCAATTGGAAGTGTCTCGGAAGTGTTCTCTTCCTTTCTTTGTTGTTGTTGTGCCTTTTGAAAATGTTGATGTTTTAGCCCGAGTACATCATAGTCTTATGTATTGAAATCAGACAGCATTTACATTAAAAGTAACACCTCTGCTGCGGAACGTCGTTGATGGCCTGTATATATTTATCAATGAGCATGTGTTAAAATATTCAGGGTAAGGGATAAATAATCATAGGACGAGCTTCGACAAGGAGTTGACAACGGACAGTTTTATGCTTTGATGAGGTCGGGAGGTTGTGGAACAATCAATTGGAAGGAGTTCGATGCAGCTATTAACTGCGACTGCCAAGCATTCTCGATGAAGAAACTATGAAAGATGTGGTGATTTCAGGTGTTGGTGGCTAGGATGCACATTAGTGTAGGGGAACAGAAGCTAGATTATTTTCCAGTTGGTACTGCGAACGAAGAGACCTCTCTATCATAAATCTGTGTGTGTACTACTTTCATTTACATACAGGCAAATATTATAAAGCATACGATACTGCGAATAAGTGGCGGGTAAAACACTGGATTCTTGCTGAATTCCAAAAGGACAACAAGTCAGGTGCAGAAGGAAGGCGAGGGGGACTATTCAGCTAGGACATTGCTCGATTCACCGGCAGCCGCTACCTTCTTCTACCTTCTCATGTGTCTCTGTGGTAAAACTCCATACTTGTCAGAATATTGAAGCTTGGCAGCGGCACAAATCAAGAACTCATTTTACGTATCTTGCCCGTCCGTAAATTTGTCGAGCGTAGCAAGTGGTAGTTGTAATAGAGGAAGGAGTTAAGCTTGGCAAAAATGTATACTGACATTTTGTAGGAGATGAAATGTACCAGTGTAGTCCACAAAATAAGACAGCCAAGTAGCAACCCGTTAATTGGAGGAATCCTTCATAAATAGAAGGATTCTTTTTTAATACTACTCGACTTCTAGCGAGAACAAAGAAGCAATGTTTGAGTATAGTCCTATGTGTAAAGCATCATTAGTGCTGGTGGCCTTGCATGCAGTTCATCAAACCATGCATAATACCTCCTCCAGGCGACTGCTTTGCTTGGCGAGGCTTGAGGATGAACAAACTTCCTCTGTATTGGACTCCTCATTGAATATTGGATGAATGATGGTACCTCCGATGAATAGAGATTCAATTCATGAGGCCGAGTCTCGACGGCAAAATATTTGACAAATACAGCAGAGTGCTGTAGATCTGCATACAATTGTCCCCGACTCCAATATAAGATGCACCCATCCTCAACGCCATGTATAATACATCAGATTATATTTTTGACATACCCGTGTGCAGTGCCATTGAGCGCTTGTCACCATCTCAATTCGCCCTTCTTCCCTTGCTCTTGTCCTCCGTCAACTTTCTTCGCATCGATGGTAGAACCTTTACCCTCATCAAATCCTAGGTTCTTGAACTCGTCCTTCGCCATGAGATTCCTAGCCACGAGAATGAGCCATCTGCTAGACTGGCAGGAAAATGCCAGGCGCCTCACCTATCCATTCGACATCCCAGGTATGATTTGGCCAAGAGCCTACAATCGGGGTCGTTCATCCCCTTGACTTTTTTCATGCATGATAGATAATTCATCATGACATTCTTGCACTCTCCTATACATCAACTCGCATCAGCACCAGCCCTTCCGGAACGTCGTGAGGGACTAATGTCACTCGGAGCAGGTCTGCGAAAGGTATAGTCGTACCATCATGATCGAGCGGAAAACTTCCACGTTCAGGTCTAGCAAGGCATGTTAGCTCTCGACTTGTTCGTACGCAGGCGCATCCAGCTTACGGAGAAGGTTTCGAATTGGCCTGCAGACCTCCTGGCCCTCCAAAACTCATCTTGTAAGGTTGTCTTGTGGTGATTGATCGAATGTCAAATGAAGCTTTCGATGTCGGGATAAGCCAGGGCTTGGCACCGACGTGCCGAGCCTAGACCACTAAATTCTTGACACTTCTCTCGGGATAGAGAAGAAGAGCCAGCGGCCAACGTTTTGTGTGTCGCAAACATTTTCGAGGTATGGCAGATGCTCATTCGATGTCTTTGATCCCGATAGGCAATGCCTGCCCAGTTCCCTGAGAGATGCTAATGCGGTGAGAATCACACAATCTGACACTTACAGTTCGAGACGACCGTCGATGTAATCAAAAAGGACGCCAAGCAAAGATCTAGATAGAAAACTGAATGAGCTCCGAAGGCGAGAACTGACCAATCCAAGCCAGTAAGATCAGAAGCCATAAAAGCACCTACGTAGTGTACTAGAGACAAGATCGCTATTACCTACCTACCTCGCACCGCAATCCCCAACTTGTTCAAAGCTGTTGAGCTGTTAAGCTTTTTAACTTCGATGTCAGGGAGATCCCGCGACTGGCATCCATGTCTGAATACCCCATGCAACATATATTGCTGAGGTACCGCAACGTATGCAATGAACTGCAGAACTACGCAAACACCACTGATTCTCTGGGGGTACTTGAGACGATGTCTGCTGCTCATTCTAATCTTTTGGATAGGAGCTCGACTGGGAACTCCGATGCGTGACGTCTTAAAAGAGCCGATTCCGCGCAGCAAAATGTGGATACAGTAAATCCTACACTTTCAGGCCGCGACTTCTTACAAACCGCGGGCACTCCGCTTTCTGTCACACCTCTGACAATCCGATACTCAAAAGTCTGCTTCCGGTATTCTGAAGTTCTGACATGTCTCTTCTGCGAGCATGTCCACAAGAGTGAGTCTTAGAAGAATCACTCAGCCATTCATTACCATGTATTCGCCTTGTATTCCGGATTATTCGAACACAACTTCGAGACTCGATGGAGTCAACACTTTTCAGATACACAACCGTTTCGGGCTTCACAATCTCACAGAGAAAGCGCGCATCCGTCGGAAGTGACGGCATTGCGCATGCTACAAACATCGTCCGCCACTCACATCCCCATGTAACTTCAACGCTCACAACGTTCGAAGGCATTCTGGACCACAGCCAACGCATGAGATCCGCCACAATCCATTTTCAACCGTCGTCTGCACTTCGCCAAAGAGTACAAGCATTTGGAGATCGGCACTATTGTCGGGTTTTAACCAGCCACGTTATCATTTACTAAACTAGCCACCTTTGACCGCCATTCCCTCCCAATCACCCATCGTGAATTCGTCATGATTTCCTAACCCAGAACAACCGCAGGCCCAACCAACGCAAAACAAATTAACAGCCCATGAAAAGAGGAGATTCGTAAGATCCATTGCTGCTCAACCTGACTAATGCAGTCTTTCCTCCCCACATTCCAGGACTCGGGACCGTCCGTGAATCATCCGTACCCCCATACCATCCGCGCCGCTCGATTTGGAAACGCGCGATGTTACAAGTCCAAGCTCGCGGTAAGGCAGGTCACTCGGTGTTGCTTAGTAGCGGGAAGCTGTGCACAGTGGATAAATATCAGTTATGATTCTTATGCAAGGATATGTGCTCTTGCGTGATCTATCTTCCTCCATAGAAAGGCAAACTCCAAAGAAAAGAAGGAAAAAAAACGAGAATGGATCATCTTCAGAGCAGGCGCTTATCGTGAAATCGTAAGATGTATGAGACTTCATGAAATTCCTAAAACCATAACTTCGTAATGTCGTATGTACTGTGAAGAGGCAGAAAGCTCAAAGCTCAAAGATGGTGGAAAGATGCGAGTGTCTTTTGGCTGACAAAGAACTCTTATCTTCCATAACCGACAGGCGGCGCAGGCAGAGCAGTCGAGTATGGATTGTCATCGATGTATCGAGGACCATAGCCATCTCGACCCCCATACGAAGAGTAGCCATCGTCTCTGCTGCTCCTGGCATCACCATTGCTTTGCTTTTTGCTGTTGCCGTTTGAGCTCTTCTTTTGCCGCTCAAGCCGCTTCTTGTGGCGCTCCTCTTTCTTTTCCCGGAACTCTCTGCACTCGTGCCGCATTTCGTTCGCCTCCTTGATTTCTGAGATGGCGCCCTTGATACCGAGTGCTGCAATTCCGATCGACGCCGCATCTTGCAATACAGCTTTGGCTTTGAGCTTTCTTGCCTCTTCAGGTGTCATCTCTCCTTCCGCCACGGCCTTGTGCCGCGCATCACGCTTCTCCATGCTCTGATAGACATTGTGTGCGGCGTGGATTGTTGCAACAGTAGCCAAACCGGCTGTAAGAAGTTGCTTACCTTTCATCTTTTTGATGCGCTTCTCGTCTCCTGATGAGGAGCCAAGACTGCTATCTGATTCACCCCCATCTGCATCCTTGCCTTCTGCAACACGTCTGTTTCGCTGACCATCCTTCTGTCGAGCAGTGCGATGGCCTCCACTTCTGGATCCAACGTTACTTGATTGTGATTCTGCGTAACGTGAATTGCCGTAAGGATCACCTCTGCTTTCCGCATAATCGCCACGACGGGAACGTCTGGAACCGCCATCATATCCATCATCAGATCCTCCTCGGTCTCGATCACCTCGGCTGCGTCGGTGAACCCTGGTTTCTTCTTCGTACTCTACAGTGCCGCGATCTCTGCTCCGATCTCTATTCTTGACTGCCTCGCCGATTCCCAGAGCAGCAAGACCATTTCTTGCATAGTCCGTGACACTCTTGCTTCGCTTGTGACGGTCTTTGCCACCACGTCTTGGCGATGGACTGCGGCTGTCGTACGAGTCTGGGCTATCTCTGCGTCGACGAGAAGCAGCACGGGATCGGGATCGAGACCGAGAGCGGTCCAGAAGTTTCTTTCCAGCCAAAGCACCAATTCCCGCTGTAGCAAGGGCTGCTAGTGGTCCAGCACCACTGCTGCCTCCTGGACCTCTGGATCTTGATCGTGAACGTCCAGATCTTACAGAACCTCGGTCGTCTTCAATGTTGTTTCTAGAGCCATTGATCAAACGATTACCAGCTAAACCTCCTACAACAGCCTCGAGAATGTGACGCTTGCTGTGCTTGTCGGGATTGCGATCTGCAGCTGCGTCGATTCCTCCAGCTCCAATAGCTGCAGTTAGAATACGCTTTCCTTTGTCTCCTCCCCATCCACCAGGTTCATTGCGTACTCTGAAGGCTTCAGTAGCGCCCGCCAATAGAGCAGCCTTGGCGGCTTGTTGAAATTTGGCAGCTCCTTCCGGCTCCTTGTTTCTGCCTCGAGATCGATCTCTTCTATCGTCGTCATAATCATCATCACTGCCCCGACGACTGGAACGTCTTCCATCTCGTGAAGAACCACCAGCTGCCTTGGCGGCGGCACCGATGCCTGCAAGTCCCAAAGCTCCTTCCACAATCGATTTGCGGCGACTCTTCTTTGGCTTGACAGTCTCATCATCGGATGAATAGTATTCTGCTACCTCACCATTTCGGCCTTGATGGGCGATGTAGGTCTTCTTCTTTTCCTTTGTCTTTCCGGCATCCGTGTGCTTAACGACATATTCAGCACCTTCGTATCCTGCAAATGCACCGGCGGCTCCGACCGCTGCTGTAGCGAGGGGATTGCGAGATACAGGACGACCGTCAGCTTGTCTGCGATCCCAGAGTTCCTTGCCACCAACGGCTAGAGCTGCTCCTCCCACTGCTGCGATGATCTTCTGGTTTCGTGACAGCGAACGACGGCGTGGCTTCTCGACAATCTCTTGTTCTGCATATACTGCTCCTTTGCGGCTGCGACGGTCATCAAGATCTCTATCGGAGTGTCGTGGATCACGCAGGTATGCTCCATATTGCGAGCCTCGTTCAGCCGAGCGCGAGCGAACTGGCGGACCGTACCGGTCGTCTCGAACCATGGTGCGCTGTTGAACGTAAGCTCCCGCACCAGGTGGAGGAAAGTCTCTTCTGACTTCCTCGATGGATAGATCGCTATCTTCACGGACAGGTCGACGGACAATCTCTGTTGTACGTGGGATATATGGTGGATCTGGGACCGCAGCCACAGGTGAGCGCACGTAGGTCTCCTGCGTTTCAACGTATCGTGGTTCGCGATCATCTCTGCGATCACGGTCTCGATGAGAGCGGCGAGGCCGATCGTCATAGGGGTCGACCGTCGACATGATTGATAATGTTGTTGTTTCCTGCTGTGGGGAAAAGGTGTGGGTTGCGCCCGCAAGGAACTCGGCTTCGAATCAATAAGTTGCTGCAAGACGGGGTCGTAATTTCGTAAAGCAATGCGAGTTGCTCTACCGTTAATATTCGTGAAGGATGTTTGGTTTTGTAATTGTATGACTTGCAAGGCAACTTCAAGAATGAGCAAGGTTAGGTGCGGAAGGGTGGTGAAAGGTTTTGAGAGGATGGCGTTGTGGTGGCCGATGACGAGTGAGGGGGATGGGAGTGGGCAAGTGAATGGGAAGAGGCTGGAGAGGGCGCGCGGGCGGGATCGAGGGAACCTGATTTATTTCCTACCCAAACTAAACCCTACCGACCTGACTTCGTACTTTTTGCCTGCAGCACCAGTTGGGTTTCAAGAGAAGAAGAGATCTCGCAGTTATTGGTTGGGCATGAGGATGAGCCGGGTTCATGCACAAGCAGATTATTCAGAATGCCCACTCTGACACCCCACCTACCTACTGTCACTCCTCACGCCTGCACGCACACCGAGTTGGAGTCGAGGAGGATTTCGCCTCGCACGCTCAGCTGGAGAGGGACAGACAACCTCATTGTGCAGCAGAATGCCACTGCCACCCCGAGTCCCACCGCAATCACCTGCCACGCGTACCAAAGATCATGCCATACATGCCATGTCGGCATCCCGAAAACGCACGCAGGCTCAATATGGTTCAGGGTCTGAGGAGGTTCCTTGATATTCAGGGTCCCAACTGATCTGGAAATGTACTGCACTGCACACCGATCTCTGAAGCACACGGCACTTCGACGTTCTTTTCTCGTCGGGATCCTTCTTCCAGCCACCTCGACCTGACAGACATCTAGCTGCGGTAACTAAAATGCTTCGCAATATGGCTTCGATGGAGCGGGGAGTTGTGGCTGAGAGCGAAAGGGTTTGGCGACGTCTCATGCGCCACTCTCACAAGACATCACCTCTTCTTTGCCCCGATCATCCTATATGTTTTGTTCCGTGCAGTATACGTGAGGACTTATTATTCTTGTTGCTGTTTGTCTTTCTCCTCCACCTCTCCATCTGAAATTCCTAGCCGATTTTGGCACTTGAGAACACTAAAATGTCCCGTACTAATTCTAGCATTGTACACTAGTGCATAGTCGGTTTCTAATTAGACTTAAATTCTAACTTATCAAGAAGCTAATCTACGTTCTCATTCAAAAGATTAAATTTAAAGTTAATTTGTTATGCGCAATATTTTACATTTTGTGAATTTGGGCCTTGTCGTAAAAATCGGCCACGAATTTCACCGATGGAGAGTCCACCACTGGGCAGCAAAAAGACCCCAGGCTATGCCCAAGCTCCACCGAGTCCTGGCGAATGATGTCATCGATTGCCTCAGTGCCGGCAGTAGACAGGATCTGACGGATTGGGAAGTATATCCTCACTACGGATTCGATGGTTAGGAGACGGAGAGAGTGTTACTTTCTATTATACCTTATGCCAGAGCCCTTTCCCTCTACGACGCTTGACTTGATCAGCCTATGCTTGAGATTATGCCTAGAAAGCGGGGAAGGGTAGGTTATCCTGCTCCCTTTTGGGCTACATTTATTTCACTGCTCTCGAGCACTATCATTATCTGCGATACAACTCTTCATATAGTCAACAACCGACCGCAAGCTCTGCATTCTTGCGATTATCATGTTGTGAAGTATTGTGCCATAGTTCTACACGTACTCACCAGCCACACATGATACGCCACGATTGCGGGGTCTTTGATCGACTTGCTGTTGGCCATCATCGGCTTCAAAAACCAAGTTTCAGTCCAAGATTTTGCACAAATGATATTTCGTCCCGTCGTCCTTCCTAGTATTTCCCATATGTGTGTCTGCTTTCTTCCCTTTCGTCTGCCTTCTTACTGGTTGAGTTATTGCTCGTACCTTGAAACTACCCCTGAGTTCTTTTCGGCTCGAATGACGCCGTGCTGTGAGGTGCAGCAGTCGCAACCTTGGAAGTGGAAGTGTCGAAGCAATTCAAAAGCTCAGGTTTGTCTTCGGATAAGTGCTTCTGCAGTGCTCAAATCTCACACCTTCTTGAAAACTGTCAGGGCTATAAGCCTTTTGCTACGATGTTTGCTCGTGTCTTAGCCACAGCTATGCTGTGCCTGACAGTTTCTGCGAATATGCAAGTCAAACGTCAAGCAACCGACGCAGCGCAATTCACTTCGGCAGCAGATCAGTTGATCTCTCAGTACATCCCCTCAACGGCCTTGCCAGCGCTAGAATCAGCAATCAGTTCTGCTGCAAGTGTTGCTCAGATCACGGGCGAGCCCCTGTCGCTTATATATGAGGCTCTTCTATCCAGCAGCATTCCTGGCTGGTTCTCTTCTGCAGTCCCAAGTGGTAAGCACATCGCCTTTTGGTTTTACTTTCTGGGAAGAATCTAGCACGTCCTGTATTTCTGGGAGCACTTTCTCCTAGACAGAGTCAAGGTATCGGGGGAAAAGACCGTGGACAACCTTGCTCATATCATCTCGTCTTAGCTTATTCCACGCAAATTGCTGCTCTCGAATCAAACATCAATGCTCTGCGTGTCACCTCAACGCCCGGAGGACCTCTACTTCCAGTTGCAACTGTCGTCACCACAACAAACTCTGCAGGAAGTGCCATCACGACAACATTGTCGCCTTCGAGCACTGGCCCAAGCAGTTCTGCCACTGTCACAAGTACATCCATAACTGGACTGCTTACTACAACGTAATTTTCCCAGCACATTCTGGTCGTACAATCGCTAACTGTGCAGTACAACTACTCCTTCCGGGACAGCAACCGGGGCAGGCAGCGTGGTCTCTTCTTTGACGACAGAAGTTATCTCTGGAGTAACATCGATCTTCAGCACAGCGGTCAGCACGGCGGTCAGCAAGGCTTCCAGTGTCGCAAGTGTTGCAAGCAGCGCCGTAAGCAGCGCCGTAAGCAGCTCGACATCATCTGCAGGCGGATCATTGCCTACCGCTGTCTCAAGAGGGGCTGCTGTAGGGATGATGGGAATTTTTGGCTTGGTCGCTGCAATGTAATTGAGAACGTCTAGACAGTCTAGGGAGGTGAATGCACACTGTTTACTTGGGGTGGATGATTTGAAGTAATGACACTCGCCCTTTCATTGTACCAGATCCTTAAATACAATATGAAACATCCAAACTTTACCTTTTTCTACCCCGTGAAAAGGTGAATCGACAAAATGAGACATGAGATCAGACAGGCCGCGGGTGTCTCGGTCTCAAGCTCTTCATTGGGCGAGTAGGGGAAATACAAACAATTCCGACCAATACGCCTGTACTTGTACCAAAGCAGGATGTTAAACATGAAGTTTGCTGTGCCATTCCTCGGGCATTGACTGAAATAAGCACAGGCTAAAGCTAGGCGCTACCCACCCTTTCGGGCTCAGCGCATTTATTTTTAAGGGTCGTACCTGTCTGGAGCTCTATCTCATCACCAAAATGTCTCTTGCACAAGCTCACAACACGATAACTCGATCTCTTCGTAATCCCGTCTAGCACTGTGGTACAGGATGAGCACAGATGTCTCATTTCCAGCCGCTGTGGCTTTGCATGCAAGTCCTCACTAGCTCTGGCTGAGCTTGTGGGGGCCAAACAATTGCTGCAGAACCGCTGTTGAACTCAACTTCCTCGCAGTAACATTGTCATACCAGTCCGGTGCTTCGAATGGAACCTCTGTCGACCGGATTTTGAGCATCGTTGCCGACCCTTCATTTGGCAATTCTGATTGTCTACGCATCTAGAGGATTAGGCCAGCCCACGATGGGAAACAGATTCAGCAACCTCAGTCAGAATATCTTTGGGCTGATCGCTTTGATTATTTCAGTTGTTGCCCTCTTGACGACAGTCTTACAAGTTCTGCAGCAGTATTTCTCGAGCGCTGAGGGATATCGAAGATGTCATAAGAGTGTGATGGGGCTCTGGGCCAAAGGCACACATCGAAGGCTGCGGTTCAACCAATTTAGGATCGAAGTCGTCTTCGAGACGCCTGTTATATTCGCAGCTTCCCCGGAGAACAAGAAGGGACCCGTGCAAGGCAGAGATGTCTATGTTATAGATGGCACAAATGCATCTTACAAAAATACAAGAGTGTTACAACCCAAAGCTCAACGGCAAGCTGATAACGACGCAAAGCATGTCCACACCGCAGATGACGAACGGGCTTCTTGGGTCACCCTTCTATCCACGCTGCAGGAAGAGGAGAGTGAGTCCAGAGAATGGGACTTCATGCAGCGGTTAACACCAAAGTCACCCCCAAGACGAGCCACACCACCAGCACCAAAATATAAAATTGCCGTTGCTGTGCAGAGCAAGACCCGATCTTGGGATTTTATACCACCTTCGATCACGAAACCATATGCTACCTCCGCCATATGCCATCTGGTAGAATTGATGTCCATGCTCGGCCTCTATTGGAAGACTTTCGACCAACTGAATTGGAATCTGAGGGCAGAGGGAAATGGGTTCATCCTGACATCACAACACGTCCATGGACTTGGAGTTGTGGTAGTCTTTGCCACTACTGGGAAATCGAGATTTCAAGAGAATAGGGTTATACCCTGCGCTGAAATTAAGGAACTGTCCTTCGGAACAGTGCCCAACATATTTGAGAACGAAAAATATCTGAACCAGTCTGTCGAAAATCAAAGTTTGGATCTAGTTTTTGGCTCACTGGAAGATGAAATCAATACGCTGGAATCCTTGGGATGTCAAGCAGCAACTCTGAAGAGATGGCAGAAGGACCATAAACACATTTTCTCAGGTAAGTTCTTATATCAGAAGGCCACCATGAAACTCTCACTGACTTGCCGACTAGTCGCTTTTGAAATCGTTGGAATGTTAGGACAAGTTGTTCGAATACGCGGCAGCAGCTTCAGAATGATACCAAATCCTACCAGCGATCAATGGTCAAAGAAAGTCGGGCACAAGGCGTCATGGAAAGTCACACGGCTCATGGAAGTTTTCCAGTCCAAACTTTTGGACATCATAAACGACAGAAAGCTACCCGGCACACATCGCATATGCATCATTCATGCCCAATGGCTCAAGATTACGGAGCTGGATTGTACCAACGAAGCAGAGCTCAGCCTTGAGGTCAAGGAAGCAATACACGATGCTCTTGACAACACCACCGAGTTCCTTCTTGATCTCCGTCAACTCGACATCCTCAGCGTGCTCGTCGCCCACGTCACTAAAGTGATTGAAATTCTGGTGGATCCACAATCCCCATTAAATACCATTGTCCTTGCCAACAAAGAAAATGCATTGCTCGATTACTACTTCTCAAAAATCCGACCGGAGGTCATAGACTACAAAGAAAAGAAAGGAACACCAGTTCCAGTTCCCACCAACGCGAAAGAGAAGGAAGATAGGGAGATCATTTGGATATCGCTGATATATAGAATGTTGTGTTGGTTTTTATTGCATGATTTCGATAAGCAGGACATCAAGATTGTTCCGTCTGATTTGAAAGGATCGAGAATGCCTATATATATTGGTTGAGAGACTGCGAATACCCTATTGTTTAGCACTTAACGGCCTAGGAGGGGTTACATTTGTCATTTTAGGGCGTTCAGATAGCGAGCATTGTGATTTTGACAGAGAGATATGTTGACGGCTTTATGCTGGACAGTCATCCTACGCATGACACCAAGTTGCAACAAGGACATTGGAAACTCGTGAGTTATAGATACCGATTTGAGGATTGTATATATGAGAATAGGAAAACCGTAAATTCTTCCCGCTATCTCATTCCAAAATTTTATGTGCACAAAAGGCGCTGCAAACAATGGGGACATGGACTATGAGTCAGAAACGTTAATAAATGGTTCTGTCAGTCCGCTTTAATGAGGAGGTAAAGATCAACCTCATAATCACATTCTACGCAGTTTATTCATCTCGTGCTTCATTGGTAAGCTATTTCAGCCCAGACTCCGATATACTGTATATCCCGAGTCTCGGGAGTGAGAGATGTTTAGTAGAGAAAAGCCGAGGGCTATTCCTTTCCTTCTCCTTCTCCTTCTCCTTCTCCTTTTAGAGCGGGGCTGAACTCGGGGGCATGTGACGCTTCAGTTGAGGACTCGAAACTCCTAATATCCGGATCGGCTTCATAGACTGAGAAGTGTATGTGTCCATACAGGACCCAGAAACAAGGAACTGCTTCGATATCACGGTCGAGGTATTCAGAAAGAGTAAGAGTAAGACCTTGGTATAATTGTTCATCTCGCTGTTTGCACATCATACACTAAGCAGACCAATACGGCTTCTTCAGTCGCCATTCGTACCTTCTCCCGTAATCGTCCCACCAGCTTGCTTCCATGCTTGAGCTTTGGCCAAGAAACTCGATAGCTTCGCAGTCTGCAAGTCATCGGCAGGGAATACATAGTCGAGATATTCCTCATAGCTGTCATCATCCAGCTTACGGCGTTTCTTGATCTTCCGTGGCATTTGTTTCTGAACCTTGTCAATGTCGTCCTCAGAGCCATGCGTCTTCTCAAAAGACAGCCAGGCATTGAGCAATGAAACTCTCTGTGAGGTCGTTAGTGGGTGTTCTAGCTTATACGTTCTCACATTACATACCTCTTCCTTGAGCTCCTTGTCGCGCATGCTCTTAAGAGCTCGCTCAAAGACTTTCCTGGCACGTGCCTTGGCCCCTTCACTAATAGGCTTCTCCTCATCCTCTTCTGTCTCTTCTTCGTCTTCGTCTGGAACATTGATCTCGAAGTGAGCATAGCTGATCCAGACCTTGACATGATCGGTCTTGTCGAGCAATCGCTCATACAATTTCCGAGTACGATCATACTCGCCTTCCTCCTCCTCGAAGTCGATATAGGCTTTCCATAAAAGTTCGGGCATGTCAAGAACTGGCTGGTCAATAGCTAGCTCAAAAATAGCTCGCGCTCGCTCTAGATCATCCAGACCTCGCTCTAATTCGGCAAATTTGATCCAGGCTTGGCAATTTGCTGGATTCCATTCAATGTGCTTCTCATAGAGTGTTCTGCATCGAACGAACTCGAAGAGTTTGAGCTCTAACTCGACATATCCCTTGAAAAGCTTGTCTTTCGGGCACATACCAATAGCCTGTCCAAGGGTCTTTCGGGCGGCAGTAAGGTCTTGTTGTCGAATGTCGAATTGTGCCTTCATCAACCAAATCTTGGCGAATGTGAAATTCTTGTGTGGTATCAGTTTCAGACATTCTGAATAGATTTGCCTAGCTCGGTCGACATCTTTTGATTCCATCTCCTCCCAGATAGCATAGAAGACCCACAGATAGATGTATCGTCTCCAATGTCTCTTCTCTTGAGTAGGTGGTATTTGAGCAATGGCTCTCTCATAGACGTCTCGCACGCGGTCGACATCGCCACCTGTCTCCTCCAGTCTGGCATAGTCGAACCAGACATCGTAATTTTTAGGGTTCTCTTTGATCTGTTCTTCGTACTGAACTCTCCGCTTCGACAGAATCACATCCTCAACACCTTCTCGGTCACCGAATTGCTTTTCGAAGGTCGTATACGCCTTGTGCAGGGCGAGAGACTTTGATCTTGCTAAGCGATCTAAGGCATACTTGTAGATTGCTCTTGCCCGCTCATACTCCTTAAGTTTCGCCTCGTATCTTGCATAAGCAATGAAGAGACGCTCATCCATGAAGTCGTCACCCAGCGCTTCGACAGCAGAGCCAAAGACTTCTCTGACCAAATCGCTCGTGCCGTACTCCTCTTCAAATCTGCCCCATTTGATCCAATTCCTGGGCTCTGGGTGAACCATAGTAAACCGTTGAAAGATCTCCCGGGCTCTCTGAAACTCGCCATATCTTTTCTCCAACTTGATATAACTGCTCCAAGCTGCCTCATCTGGCTCCCACGACATCCAGCGCTCAAACACTTGCCGTGTACCTGGGATATTGCCCAACATCTCTTCCATGTAGACATATTTGTACCAGAGCTTGTCGACTCTTGGCAGAATAGTAACAGCGCGATCTAACAAATTCCGGGCATGGTTGATATTTCTCGTCTTCATCTCTGCCTCGATGTATCGGATCCATAGGGTGACAGAAGCGGCATCTACATCCAGAGCTCTCTCAAATATAGATCGTGCACGCTTGTATTCCTTCTGTTCCAATTCCCATTGCGCATATCTCATCCAATTGTTCATATTAATCCTGTTCCTCCGCACATAGTCTTCGAACTCCTTCCGCTTTCGGCCTTGGAACTCATGAAGCTCCTCGAGATCAGCAAACCGCTGAGTAGGCGCTTGAAGACCAGGTTCCTGTCGATCAACAGCTTCTCGCAGAAGCTGTTCTGCTGAAATTTGGATTGCGCTGGGCGCCTTGTTTTTGACCCTTGGGGGGCCACGCGAAGACTCCATAATTGCGGGTGTTACAATCTCTGGTGTGGTGTAGCAGGTTGTTTGAGGATGTTCTCCCACTACTAGGCAAGGACCAGATCCGTGTAGGTGAATTGAAAAAAAGCCAATTCGTAGTGTGGTGAAGATGGAGGTAGAAATAAAGAGTCGCGACTCGCAAGGCTCTGCTAAATTAAAATCTACACTAGCGGCCGCGACCAAAAACCACAACTTTTCGAGCCTCATTTGCGTCACTTCCACATTTCTAGGCAGAGTACCAACCCTACTTCGACAAGATGTCAACTCTCGCGGATGAGCTGTTGCAAGATTTTGAAGACTCCGGATCTGAAGGCGAAGATCAGCAAAATGGAGGACTATTCCCCGACGACGAAGACGCGAAACTTGGGCTCAATAACGGGCACGCGACGGACGGCGCAAATGGTAGCAGCATGGAGCTAGATGGCGACGAAGAAGCTGTCGACGAGGATGAGGAGATGGGTGGGATCAATGACTCTGGTGTCGATGTCGAAGATGAGGAGGAGACGAAGGCCAAAGTCGAAAAGATGGAACTGAAAGGCGTCAACGATGTGAGGAGCGTGGCGCGTCTTATGAAGACCTTGGAGCCCGTTTTAGAGGTCAGTATTTCTCACTTTGTCCCTTCCACCATTTCAGAAGATCCAAGGTTTACATCTACTCTTTTGCGCATTAGTCCTGACATCGCGGCGGCATTACAGAAAATCGCACATTTCCAATCCCTCCCTCAAGAGCAGCAGGGTACGTTTGTTGGTTCTGTCGAAGACAACCCCGAGTACCATCTCTTGACGCAGTCAAATACCCTATCAACATCCATCGATACAGAGATCATGATTGTCCACAAGTTCATTCGGGATCACTATTCAATTCGGTTCCCCGAATTGGAGACTTTGGTTACAAACCCTCTCGACTATGCCAAGGTCGTCACTATTATTGGAAATGGTCCTATGGATAGCGACAACATCAAGGCCTTGCAGACCTCGAAGGACAATACCTTGAATGCGACTCTCAGATCCGTTCTGGATGGACCATCCGTCATGATTGTCACCGTCGAGGCAACAACTACAAAGGGTCGAGAAATGACACAGGAGGAGCTCAACACGGTGATGCGTGCCTGCGAAATGATGCTTGCGTTGGATAAGGCAAAAAGGACGATGACAGACTATGTTCAGTCACGCATGAACTTGTTTGCTCCAAACTTGACTGCTCTCATTGGATCACTCACAGCAGCACAACTCCTGAACTTTGCAGGAGGTCTGACTGGTCTAGCAAAGACCCCAGCTTGCAACCTACCTCCTCTTGGATCGAAGAAACAATCTGGCACTGGATTCGCAACCAATGTTGGTGTTAGACAACAAGGGTTCTTGTATCACTCTCCGATCATTCGAGGCATTCCCAACGACCTCAAGCGCCAAGCTATGCGCATTGTCTCTGCAAAAGTTGTCCTGGCTGCACGCGTTGACCGAGTTCACAACAGTCCCGACGGATCTACGGGAGAAGAGCTCAAAGCCGCTTGTCTCGAGCGCCTTGAAAAGCTCACAGAGCCGCCACCGAACAAGGGTCAGCGCGCCCTTCCGGCACCGGACGACAAACCGGCCCGTAAGCGTGGAGGGCGACGGGCCCGAAAAGCAAAAGAAGCCACCGCCATGACCGATCTTCGAAAAGCCCAAAACAGGATGGCGTTCGGCAAGGAAGAAAAAGAGGTCGGCTACGGTACTGGAGAAGGCACGAAAGGTCTTGGTATGATTGGTCAAGCAAACGATGGGCGTATCCGAAATCTGCAAATCGATCAACGTACAAAAGCAAAACTTAGTGCCAAGAACAAGGGTTGGGGAGGAGCAACGCCCGTTGGCGGGTCAGCGTCTTCTCTGAGGGGCTTTGGTCAAGGTGCTGGCTCGGGCATCGATCTTAGAGGGAAGGGGCTGCGTTCTTCAGGTGTGGGAACGACGATTGGCGCGGGAGCTGGTACCGCGTCTTCGTTGGCGTTTACGCCTGTACAGGGGCTAGAGCTCGTTGATCCAAAGATGCAAGCTGAGATGAGTCGGAAGAGAAAGGCAGAGGAGGATAGGTGGTTTAAGGGCGGTACTTTCACGCAGGTTGGTGGGAGTGGAAGCATGGGACCTCCACCACCCCCAAATAAGAAGGTTGATACCGGTCTGAACAAAAGCATGGGACCCCCACCGATTCCGAGGAAGTAAGGTTGGGGGACTTGGGGTGAGACAATTATGGAGTTCAGGGCATAGGGCGGCGTTACGGTGTATAGTATGTATATGGACTTGGCTCGAGTTGAGCGTGGATTTATCAAGACTCCATCACGGCGATACTTGATTGGCAGAAGGATTGCTGAACTTTTCAGATACTAGCGATGTCTAACAAAGGATAGCATAACATTGCTGTCCAGAATGAAAAACATTCTCTTGATTTTCCGAAAATGGAATTGTGCAGAACATTGCTCCATACTACCGGCAGGCAACAGCAGCTCCATAGATGAGCCGGTCAATTAACCCTCTTCAAATTGAAGTCCAGAGTCCAGACACCGAGATCTGTTAATTGTGGTCTAGGTCTTTGCATCCAGACCTTTCATGAGCACAGTGTCACACACGTTCCGACATGCTGTTGCTATAATGTCTGGAATTCGCTAAACCTTCCAAAAAACAAAAAAAAACAAAATTTGTGAAAAAAATCCAGTTCAGATTTCGGGCGTGAAGTACTTCTTTGTTTACTGCTCTGAATATATATGTATATATGCTTGTGTAAAATCTTAAGCTCTTGGGCTCCTTCAGCTTTCAGATTCTAGAAACTGCTCTAGTATTTTCTTATGTCCAAAATCGTCCCAGTCACTCACCATGATCTGATGTTGAGAATAAAGAACGCAGATGGTGTATAGAATGGTTGTTTGTATCATTTCGGGTCAATGAAATCGACTTCAATCCAGTTGTTCCTCTTACGAACATGGGGACAAAAGTCCGTGCGTTCAGGCTGTAGAACCTCGAAATTAAAACTCTT